AAACCAGAATACGGAAGAACCAGGATTCAGGAGGTAATAGAAAAGGAGAAGATAGTTTAGAGCATTACCCTAAATGACCGAGATCCGCCAATCTCTCCGCTGCCAATCACATTCAACTCATTTTTTCCGTCCCTTCCATTCCCCTCGCAGGCTCACAAAAAAATGCTTCTTTTTTCTTCGCGGCAAGAAAGAAGGTACTGGTGACCGGGGACAAAGCACCGAGAGGGTCACGCTGGACAACGCCTTTACAAGATAACGACGGCAAGTAACTCAGCAGAAAATAAAAATGTACGCCTGCGTAAAGTAGCGTTTTCTTGTTTCATTGGACTACTCATCGAACGATCTTTCAGTGTTTGGAAGTACAGCTGCTAATATTAGTAAGCGGGGAGCCCTCTTGATGACGCATGAAATTCCGTAAAAAAGAAGGAAGGCTTAGTCTTTTGAGACCAAGGAAAAAGTTTCGCCTGGAATAGTGCCTGGGTGCTAGAGTGTACCATGAGTGCTAACTTTATTGACACTCGCGCCAATTCACGTGCGAGTGACAACCAAAAAAGAAACGAAGCATGTTTTTTTTTTTTTTTACAGGACCACTTCACGAGTGAACAAAGAAGGTAGAAGATAAAACACGAAAACGAGAGAGAGAGAGACTCCGCGACGAGCCATGGGTAAATGGAAGCAGTGCCAAGCAAAGAAACCTGAACGTCGGGAACCTGTAATGCAAAATAAGACGCGAATGGAGATGAAAAAAAAAGGAAACGGCATGCTGATACTCTGTTCCGGTTTCTTTGCTCAGAGCACGATTTGAAAAAGAGAAACAAAAAAAGATACATGCGTAAATAATTATATGTGTTCGTTTAACGAAAAAGGAAGAAAACCGTTTTCCCAGCTGAGCTCACAGCAACAAAGACATAACGCCTGGTTACTTTATTTTATATTTTTCCCGTTTTTGATGCAGACGTTACTCAAGTAAAAGGAAAAACAGACAAAGAAAAAAGAAAGAGGAAAACTATAGTCTGGTACTGCAACATGTACTTTGTACGAAACCCTGAGCTAGTCATCGAAAGAATCTCCTTGTTGTGTATTGCAACTATGCTTCGTCCACAGAATAAAAACTCAACTCCACATTTGAATAAAATGTGCTCAGTGGCTCCGGCGGCAAAAAAAAAAGGTGTTGTCGCACAGAGGAGCGGTGATTCCGTTTCACCGCCTCTCTCTCTCTCTCTCGCTTTCTCTTTCTCACACACTTCGTTTATTTTAAAACGCGACGTCATCGACAATAGTACCGTATCCTTCAAATGGGTAGTCAATGGTGACGACACCTTCCGCAACATCACCGATACCGCTGTAGAGGTCGCATTTACCATCGTCGCGCATGACGATGCCCGACACAAACGCGCAATCAGCCAACCGCGGCAGCTTCGGCTCGCACGGCGGGAAACAGCTCTTGGTGCCTATAATCTTGAAACTGTGTACATCGTGCGTGACAGGATCAAAAACGAAGGAGGTGCATGCATAAATGCGAAGCTGCGTTTCTTTCATTTGGTCCAACAAGTACCCGTGGTGAGAGATGCAGCCGAGCATGCCAGAAGACAGACGGTAGACCTGGTTCGGGCCTCCCCATGCGTCGCCAAATAGACGATGGTTGATCAGCTTCGCTGAGTTGATGACCTCCACCGTCAAGTCCTCCACTTTGTCAATGGTGGCAAAGCCAGTGAGGCAGGAGCCCTCGGTGCGGAAGTGTGTAAAGACGCCTACTTTGCCATCCGCCAGTTCGACAAGGCGGATATCCTTCATCTTCGACGGTCCAGACGAAAAGTACTTCAAGTTCATCGGAGTACCCTTGTAAAACTCGCAGCGGTAATCGGCGACCTTCCCGCCATTTTTAGTGACGTGCGTCCCGCCAAAAACCATCTCTCCGTGAATCTTCACCACAAAGGGGTCCTCCAAGTTGTAGGTGAGCGAAGACATAACCTTGGTATAATGGTCTTCGCCAATTCTCTCAAAGAGAATACTGTTTGAGTGAACCCATTCGTCCTTCTTTTCTACGCGGCCAAAGATGTACGTTTTTCCCTCGTAAGTGAAAGGAATGGAGCAGTTGTACACGTCGTATCCGTTAACGCCGTCAAATTTGAGCAACCTACTGCTATAAATTTTCTTCTCCCGCTCAAACTCTTCTTTCGCGGGGATGAGTGAGCACGGTTTTGTGTTGAGTAGTCCCATGATTGTATTTTCCAGTGTGTTCTCGTATCTTCCTTTCTATTTGTGATAATGAGTATGGTGCATACCCGTAGACAACAATAGCTGAATTCAAAAAAAAAATGAAAACTATCGGCAAATTAGTTTTTGTACATATAAAAAAAAGGAAAAGAAGATGTGACAGGAATTTACAGACCAGTAGAAGATCATCGATGAAAAGGAAGAGAAAAGATACAGATCGTCAACTCTCAAGCTCATGTTAAAGCTGTTGAGCAACAAACCGCATCTAGTGCATGTGAAAAGGAGAAAGAAAAAAAAGATTTCAACCCGCAAGGAGCATCAGCATTGGCGCACATTAACGAATAGCAGCTCAAAGTCGACAAAGCCAAAGGAAAGACATGTTGTTTCTGGATAAACTGCCTCAATAGAAGCGTCCGTATAGTCTTTGCTGTTGCTGCAGTTGATGTTGATTAAAGAAAGATGATTGGGTTACATGAAACAACCTCCCAGAAGGAAGAGTTAAGGCCATGAGCAGCAAACGCCTTCGTTAGGGGTGCTTCAATGATAAGCATCACTGCTTTTCATATATTTTCGAACAACCAGGGATACTTTTTCTCGTACAGAAAAGCAAAAACTTTAACCAAACCAACACGGAGCACTCAAAAGTGAAAATATCAAAAGAAAACTGGGCATAAAATGAAAACTAACGAGTACAGCGGACTTGACTGCGAGAACGAAAAGGCGGAGAGCGGCTTTGTCAGTTGAAGCTACCGCTTGCGAACCAGTTAAAGTCTTGGCAAGAAAGTAATATGATCTTTGTTTGTGAGACATGTGTATTTTTGTCATATTAAGCTAACAGAAAGAAGTCAAGCGAACGTAAATTTGTGCGTACAGCATATCTTTGTCGCGTTAGCAGCTGATGAGAAGTTACATCCGTTTTGCATGCCGATGCAAGCTCCTCGAATACTGCGTCTCTGTTTGACGCACGAGTTCCTATTCATCTTGCAAAGCATTAAAATACCAACAGAGTCAAAAGGGGGGAAAAAGAAACAGCCACAAAAGAGTTGTAAGCGGCTCCGTAAATTCATAAGTGGGGTTTTTTTTTGAAATGATTATTACGGCGGCGGTGAACAAAAAAAAACCAAAAAGACAAAGTGATCAAAAGAAGAGATGTGGGTGAGGGAGGAGACAGTTAAGCTGTTAAAGTGAAACTGAAATCAGAAAGATAAGACAAAAAAAAAGATAAACAAGAACAACAAGCTTTTCTCTTGCAACATGCTCACTGTCTTACTCAAAAGTCAAGGTTGTCCACTATCTTCCCGTGACCCTCAAACGGGTAATCAATCACCATACGGCCCTCGCGTGTGTCGCCAATACCGCTGTAGAGATCGCATTTGCCATCTTCGCGCATCACGATACCCGACACGAACGCGCAGTCGATCAGCTTCGGCGCCTTAGCCGGGTAGTCAGGGAAGCAGTTCTTCGTGCCGATGATCTTAAAGTCGTAGCACTTGTTGGTAGAAGGCTCGTACACGAAGGACGTGATGCAGTACACGTTGATCGTCTCGCCCTGCGCATCTTTGTCGAGGTAGCCGTGGTGCGAGATGCAACCGATCTTGCCCGTGGACAGAAGGTAGGGCTGATTAACACCACCCCATGCATCACCAAAGAGGGTGTGATCAATCGGCTTTGCCGCATCGATCACAGCGGAGGAGAGATCGTCTAACGAGTCGATCGTGATGAAGCCGGTGGTGCAGGTCGTAGGTGTCTTGTGATGAGAAAAAATGCCGATCTTGCCGTTCGCAAGAGTGACAAGGCGGATATCCTTCATCTTCTTGGGGCCGGAGGTGAAGTAATGCAAGTCATGCACATCACCGCGGTAGAAGTCGCAGAAGTAGTCACTCACTTTTCCGTGGTCTTTTGTTACGCGGACACCGCCGAAAAGGGCCTCACCCTGGATCTTCACAATGAAGGGATCCTCCAGTTGCCATTGCATCGCGTGCTCGACGAGCGTAAACTCATCCTTTCCGGTTTCACGGAACAGACGAACAAAAGAGTTTACCCATTCGTTGCGGCGCTCGCAGCGACCGGACATATAGCGCACGCCATCGATGGTGAAGGGGCAGCAGCAGTTGTAAACATCGTGCGTCTCCAAGCCTTTGAAGGTGATATACGTGCTTTCTTGAACGACCTTGGTTTTCTCGAATTCTTTACGTAATGGAACCAAGTCACATTCCTTCTCGGCGTGCGACATTCCAAATCCAGAAATACCCATAATGTGCAGTTGCGAAAATGAAAATTAAAACTCCGACTTAGAGTGCCAACAAAATCACTTTCTTTTGAATTAGATTTAACTCCAAAAGGCCACTAAATAACTACTATTTCAGGAGCTGTGTGTATTGAAAGGCAGGAAAGGGAAAAAATAAAGGGTTTTATGTTGTAAGAAGGCCTTCAAATAATAATAGAAAAAACACATACGGTTTGGATAAGCTAGAAGAAAACAAAAATTAGCCTAACAAAAAGACGAAAAAACGAAGCGAAAAATAAAGCTTTTGATAGTTCTTTTTGTTGCTTACAAATTCGCCTCTTTTTCTTTTTTGTGGTTGGGATTGAGTGCAGAAAAGAGGGAAAAAGCTAAAGGTAGGCGTAGAAAAAAAAATAGCTTCTTTGAAGTATTCTCTGACGAGAATACAACGTTAATAGGTAGAACGAGAAACAGATGAAGGAAGAATAAGAGAGAAGTGAAAAGAAGAAAAGAACGCACACATGACGGAAAACAACGGCTATGATTGTTTAAAGTAGAGCGCAAAAAAGCTACACGCTCAACGGCATTGTGTTGAATCGTTCCTTTTTTACCTTCCAACGTAGATAATAACGAATTTTCTTTTTGAATTGCTCATCAGTGACAGTGAACAAACGGTGAGCGGACAATTATTATTTCCGCTTTCTTATCTTCATTTTCTTTGCTTTCCTCAAAGTTGATGTCGGGGGAAAAAAACCCACTTCACAAAAGGCTATAATGCACAGCAGTTGCTTTTGTTAGTGTTCTTCTAGGCTGCCATTTGTTGTTGTTGTTGTTTTGTGGCAAATGAAATGCGCTTTAGCTTCCCAGAAAAAAAAACCAAGACAATGTTTTGTTAAGCAAGCGAAGGCCTGTGGATTCTTTTATTGACACTGTGACTGTAATGCTCTGCTATATGTGAACTACTAAATAGTCGCATTTCGACTTGGCTAAGTGTCCCTGAAGCAAAAGCTGGACCACAGAAAGCAAAACATGCTGCCAACTCTGCTCTTTTATCTTTTAGCATTGCTCACTGGTTTTTTTTTTTGAGCAAAATGACAACATCGGGTCCAACAACCTTTACTTCGCAAGTTTCGTTACATGCAGGGAGAGCATTAGAGAGCCACGCGAACGTATGCTCATGGAAAAAGCTGATGTGAGTGGGATCACGAATGTAGTGCCAGTTTCGAAACCGCTCAATTGTTCCGTCCACTCTTTTTGTCATTATCACAAGTATGCCTCCATTGGATTGCAAGCAACTCCACAACGTCCGAAGAACTGCGAGTGGATCTGCTAAGTGCTCCACCACTTCGGTGGCCGTAATGAAATCGTAATAACCGATGCGTTCGAGAAATCGTGCGTTTTGTGGAAAGTAAAACAAATCATACGAGTCGACGTGGAAATAGTGCGGCGATGCCGATAGCATGTTGGCCAGAACGGTACAGGGTCCGCATCCGAAGTCGAGGCCTCTCCTCACCTTATCATCATTGTGTCCTACGTTTCCTTCCGAAAAGTACTCGATGACGGGGTTGGCCGCCCTGGAGAGAAATCTTTCATAACCGGCGTCCCCAGAAACGTTCTCGTGCAAATCGTACACGGCCTTTTCCTCCTCCTCAGAGATCGCGTATTCAAGCGGAACGAAAACGAGTTGGCACGTTAGACACTGATAGTATTCGCGTGTTTTATCCGTGTGGAAGAGGACTGCGTCCGAGCTGCACATACGACATTTATGAGCAGGCTGTTTTTGTGCAGAAGTCGAGAGAGTCTCCATTTTCCATCATTGATACAGCTGGAAAACTTCTGCTCTTCGCTTTGCGAAACAAAGGGGAAAAAATGGAATCACGATGAATCTCCACTTGGAGCGGTCAATAAGGGCGATAAAGAAAGGCGAGCAGCAGAATAAGTTTGAACCAAAGAGTGAATGGTGGTTTGCATCAGGTGGTTGCGGCTTTCGGGGAGTATAGAGCTCCTCTTCATTGAATCCCCACCTTCGCCAGTGTGTCTACTTACTGCAGTGTCCTTCGTCGGTACCACTCGTTGGTCATCAGTACTTCTCCTTTCACGTTCGATGAAACGTTAGACATCACTTTGATTTCCAGGGTTGTGAACCTGCACTGTCGAGCACAGGAGGAGTGCACACTGGTAGTTGTCAACACACAGCTTTGCACCTCTCTCACGTGCTCGCCCCCGCTCACGGCGGATGGCACTAATATCGCCGTGTAGTTCACGCGCCCTCTACGGTTTCAACGGTGGTGAAACTGCAGAATCCTCCCTGGCGCAGTCGGCAGCGCGTTAGGCTGTTAACCTACAGGTCGTTGGTTCGAATCCAACGGGAGGAGCTTTTCCAAAAACAGTGCAAAAGAAAAACCTACATTTGTTCGCCAGCTCGGCTTTCTCAACGCGCAGTTGGTCTAGTGGTAGAATTCTCGCCTGCCACGCGGGAGGCCCGGGTTCGATTCCCGGACTGCGCAACCTTTTTCGACACCGCGCGCGGCGGTGTTCGGAGACGTCGGAAAAGCGCACTCCGTGGGGATCGAACCCACGACCACACGGTTAAGAGCCGTGCGCTCTACCGACTGAGCTAGGAATGCTACGGCACTGCGAACACGAGCACCTCGCAGTGCCAGTGGTTGGGCGCTGCGCCTTTCAAAAACGGAGGCGCGGGGAGGGGGTTGCCACCAATCAACCTCCTCCGAAAGCCTCGGATGATCGTCCATCACCAGCTGACGCAGATGACGCACAGAAAAAGCACCAGAAACGGAGTGAAAATGCCATGATTGTCCTGATCAGTTCGGCAACACACTGACCTCAGAAACGTCGATTTTCAACAGAGACGAACACACAATGATTTCCTTCTGACTCTCATCGATTTGTAAAAAAGGCATCCGTGCGAATACTGGAACGAAGAAGAGAAGAGCTCAAAATAGAAAATTCAGTTGGCGAAATGCTTTTCTTTCGTAACTCAGAAAGGGAAACAATTTATCGTCAAACGATTCACCTTTACTGGCACCTGGTACCGTTTAGATGATGTGCTGGACACACAACTGCTGCGGAAAATGAAAGTATTTCAGCAAAACAAGCACAAAAACTGAAGTAATGGACTGCTTTTACTGTCACGTCTTTCTCCTCATTTTTCTTCTCACCACCATATTCGAAATAAGCGCAAGCTTCACCCACAGCGACCGCATTCCTCAAGTTTCTATCATTTTGATGTGTGGATTCAAAAACTAGACTTATAGATGGTGTTGCGATTCTATAGATGGCTCCCTCTCGAACTGGAGCCCGATTACAAAGATGGCTATACATGTGACCATTGTCATAAGGAGTTTCTCGATGCACCTTTTTATCACGAAGAATCAACGGGCACGGATTACTGCGTTTCCTGCGGTGCGGCAGCTGGCTACACTCCATACACCGGTCTTGTGGGGTCTTTGCTGTTTAGTAGTGGGGAAGCCGTTCTCCGCGATTCGGAATCAAACGCCGTAATCTCTTTCGCCTATAAAATGGATGCGCAAACCGTAGGTGTTTTCTTTGTCAATAATGTCAACATAGTGCTTCACTTGCAGATGAACGGCTCCATCCGCGACGCTCTGATCTACACTGTAGAAGAAGGACAAATCAACACCAAGTCGCGGCTAACTGCCGCAGAAGTGAACCGCCGACTTCCGTGGCTCTCGACGGGCTCATCGCTCATCTTTGACATAGAAATAAAATTGCATTCTCTACCATCTGTTCCAGTTCCGTTGGACGACGTGTCTCTTATTTCTTACAGCGTCAATGAGGAATATATTTGCATACGTCACTTGGACGATTACGCACAAACTTTTGAAGTGGATCACGGAAGAGAAATTGTGTCAAAAGCCACCATGCCTATTTGCGTGTTTATCGCGGACACTGTCGATGACTGCTCGAAAAACGCAGCAGGAGCTTTTCTGCGTGAGAGTGCTGACGCGTTAAAATAAAAGCGGTTAAGAGCCACTACGATTTTGAGCTCTGCATAGATTTTTTTCTCCTTCTTTTCTTCCATCTGCTACTGTACTAATAAAGAGAAACTTAGACACACGAGGTGCAGCTGCTCGACTCAGAATTGGGCTCGGTAACTCAGGAGTCTATCTAAAAATTCAACGAGAGGTTTCACATCACAAATAAAAAGCAACTGTCAATCAACCATGGTTCTTTCTCTACCTGGATGACTGTCGATCTTTCCATGCGAAACATTCAACTGACCGTTAAGTATTCCCTCCGTTGCTTTGGTGGGGATGCGAGAATTAGGTGCCGCACTAAATTCACTGCAGTTACATGTTCTTTTTGTTCTTCTTCCTCTAATACGTGCAGCGGCTCCTTTTCTTACCTAATAAATCAACACCATGAATGTGTTGTACAACCAGCTTTTTGTTGGTTGTGAACGTGTCTTTCCAGCTTTACATACCGTAAAACGCTAGTGTGACGGGGAGTTCACTCATCTCTCTCTGATTACAATGAATCTTTGACGTACAGCACTTTCACTTTCTGTTCTTCTTTTATTGTTATTCCATCTCTTTTTGATGTTGTTGTTGTTGACTACACACAACTAGTTCATCAATATAATTCCAATTCTCCGGAAGTTGCCTCATTTCCGTAACCCGGGACTGTCAGCTTCTCACCTTTGCGCTTCTTGTTCGGGCCTTTAGGAAAGGAAGAAAGTATCAGAAATGGGGCAAATCAAGAAGGTGATTTCCCTTCTCGTGATTGCGGTGCTTGCCATCGCGGCAAGCGCAAGTGTCACTCTCCGCCATTGCGATACGGCTCAAAAAGTAATCGACGTGGTGACAGACGGCAACGCTAGCCATTTACTGTTCTTCTACGATTCTCTTGATGTGAGCAGCATGCGAGTGTACAACACTCTGACCTCCCTCAAAACTCAAAAGAAACACGTCGTGGAAGTTCTTGACATTCGCAACACGCAAACGGGATGGCTAATGTCTACCTTTGAGGTGTTTTATGTTCCAACACTGCGACTTGTCAAGTGGACCGCGAGCGGGAGGAAAATTCTGGATGGTACTCAGGGAATGGATTTTTCTCCGATGAGCCTTGCACAGTTTTTAGACCGGTATTAAGCGAAAGAGATTACGTGTTGTATCTGTTTCTTTCCAGGAACCACTTCAAGTTTGTTGCCGTTCCTGTGACTCCGGTCTGTTGCGTACTGAAATGGAGTGTTCTATGTGTGTTGCCTTCATGTGACTTTTTTTCTTAGAGGAGCTGCTCACCGATGCGCAAATAAACAGAAACGTCACATTTATCAGATTAGCTGCAGTCGAAAAAATAGATGAGTGTGTCTGCGATGTATCCCTTGCTATTTGTCGTTTACAGTCTTACAGCAACCACTTTGATTTGTGGATACAACGAGAAAATCGTACCTGGCTTCTAGTCGTTCAAACAAATTTGTGAATTGTGTGGGGAAACTGGAGAAGAGCGCTTATTGCGTTTCTGTTTGCTTTTTTCTTTTCCCCTCTACTCTCTCTCTCTCTCTCTCTCTCTCTCTCTCTCCTTTATTTGTCTCTCCCTCTCTCTCCAAGATGCCGCGGCACATTAATGTCCTTTGACAAATACGTTGTATTCGAGCGTCTTCGGGAAAATGGTCTATAGGAGAAGCTGTCGTTTTCAACTAGCGTAACTTCTTGTTTGAAAAGTCTATAGATCCGCGGAAACCAGCGAGGCTGAGAACCTTAGTGGGTGCCACGGACGCTCGTCTTTGGCACGATGAGGAGGTGTCTAGCGTTTAGGCGTCATCCGTACGCAATCGATCCCAAGATCCTGCAAGAGAAGCAGCAGCAAGAGCAGCTTCCACGGAAACTTTCTTTACGAGAAATAGGTGCAAATAGCGCAAGGCAGGCATGGCGAAAAACAAGGAGCGTATACGATTTTTTTGTACTGGATGGTCCAAGAGGAGGTCCAGGAAAGTAGAGACGTGATGGCACCAGCTACGGTAAAAGAGCCGAAAAGAAAAACCAACAACATTTTTTCCCTAATATCTAACTCTTATCCACGTCGTAGGCATCCATTGCGGCACTTTCTCAACTGCCGAAACAAGTGTAAGTTCTGTTGAGTGCTAACCGGAAATTATCTTCACATTGAGAGCTGAACGTGCAGCGCAATTTATTTTATTGCCCAATCAACTTCATCAAAAGGTTTTGCACCGGTTATACAGAAGAGTAAAGCATGCAATAGTATTGAAAGTCAATCTCGAGTAGCCAAACACACATTTTGTTTTCCTACGGGCAAACGAAGTTTCAAGGCCTCGAATTCCGTCGCACTTTGCAAACGATGGATCCTTCAGCAACTTTTTTCTCTGTCGTTTTATTTACTGTCGTATTGCAGGCTTTAAAGTTGAAGCAAGGTTTTGTTCAACATTGACTTTTCTGCTATTATTTATCTTGAACAGTAACTCTCATCGATTTTCTTAATTCCTTCTCTTCTCTTTTCAATGAAGAGTACCGTACTCACTATATTCTGACGTTGCGAAGCAACAAACTCGTGCTTTTCAGCAGTCGACACGATCCCCATATAGGAGCCGATCAATGGTTCTCATTGACAAGTTTAAGACACTTGTTGGACGCAATGTCGGCTCGCGCGCTGGGAGCGCACTTACAACATCGTCAAAGGCAGCTCCCCCCACATTTGTGGAAGCGTGGAATCAGGCCAAAGCAATGACCAGCAAACTCTTCGAGGAGCGAGAATGGCAGTGTCCGTGCGGACACAAGTTTCGCGCGGCTGGAGAATGGGTTGCCTGCGCACCCATCTATTGTGAAGTTCCCTCGTGCCCCAACCCGAAGTACTACATTGATGGCCCTGGCCGTGCACTCCTGGAAGCCAACCCATCTGGGGTCAAACTTGAGGAAGTTAACAGCTCTAATAGTTCTGGTGTCACTGGTGCGTCGAGCGGTAAGAAGACGGGCGGGGTGGGGTCTCGTTTCCGATAAGCAGATAGAAAGATTACTGCCTGACAGCGACTTAGTTTGCGATCGCTTTTTCCTTAAACCTCACAATACTTCAAAACCCCAGTATCTCTTCCTTTTTATGGTCTCACATTGTAAGCGCTCACATGTTAATCGGTGGTTCGAAAAGAAAGCTAAACGTTCAGTTCCTGAGCCATGCGCTTGTCGACGCTGCGCGAGAGGTTTTTTATTTATTATTAACGCAGACGTAGGAAACTACGGTGTTATGCCACGTTCCAAATGAAGCGGGAAGAATTCTGCGTACTTGTGAGAACGGGCTGTGGCAAGCGATGAATATTGCATTACATTGTCGAAATCTATGAAAGGAACGTTTTTCCTTTTCCAGACGTCGATTAATTTATTCAAAACATCACTTTTATAAATCTCCTCTTTTCTGCTTGGCTACTTGCTGGTTTTCTCCACATTAATTTTTCTCTCTCTCTCTCCTCTTTCTCTCTTTCCATTTCTCAACATTTACTGTTGTGGTTGCTGTCCCTTACAATCGTGATATTCTACTTCTGAGGTATGGTCTTCTTCTCAACACCGAAGGGAAAGGTATTCTTGCGACTTATTCGGAGCTTCCTGTACGTATCTATCATTCTCATTCCATTGCGTAAAAAGTCTCTTGTACTTGCTAAAGGTAAAAATCCTGTTATTGTTATTTGTTTTACTTCACTTCTCCGCTAAAGAATTTGATGCATTACATTTTCTGTTAGCTTCATTGGTTTTATTGCAATTTGTGTACGAGCAGGTTTACGAAGTAAGCTATGGCATCCACAACAAGCGGTCGAATCTCCGACGTCAATAAGGAGGAGCTAGGCAAAATAGGGTCGAAGATTGACGATATTCTGGCAATTTGTTTAGCCAGTTTTGATAATTTGCGAGATCTCGGGTTCAAATTTCAGTATGAACAGGCCGCGGAAAAAGCAGCGCACCAAAGTGGCGAAACTAAACCCGACCCAATGGTGCAGCTCGCGCACGTGCTGTACCGGATGGTTGACCTGACATTAGGCACTGCTAAAACGGTTTACGATCAAACGTTAGCGGAGTGGAGGCGACGAAAATGCGAAAGTGAGAGAAAATCGCCTACGTCTCCCCTGGCGTCCTCGCAATCATTGACTTCTCCCGAAGCGCTGCGTAACAGCAGCGTGGCGGACTTCAACGAAGGCTCGTCAGCATGGGTCGAACGCGGCGCTCATCTGTCCCTTCTCTCTCTGGAAGTTCTCTCGTCCATATTGCTTGCGCATGCCGCACTGCGCAAAAGCATTCAGAAGTACATGCTTGATTATGACATTCTAGACTATCTGGAGAAGATTTTTGGGATGGAGCGTGACCATGAACTGTCTTTCTTTCCCGAAGGGTTCAAGACGGAGTGCATGCGCCTCGTCGCAAACCTGACATACGAAAATAACGACGTTAGCCTTGCCCTTGCGGGCCGTGACGCGTTCCTGTTCAGCATCCTTTCCGCCACGCGCATTGACGAGGAAAATCCTGGAATGGTCGAGTGGGCCGAATTTGCCATCCGAAACATTTGCGAATCGTCAGCCGCCGCGAGGGAAAAGATACGCAAGCTGTCACCTCAAGGATTGACTGAGGACAGCCGTGCGATGCTTGGTGGGCGATACAACTGCTCTTTTTCAAACAGCGGCAAATTCCAGGCTCAAGCGTCAAAATGAATCCCAGAAACGATTATTAGTGTGCCACAAGACAAAACGCAATCAGTCGTTACCTTTTTTCTTTTTGTGTGTGTTTGTGTGTATGTGTGTTAAAACCTAAATGCGCATGGTTTTGTTTTTACGGAACCTTTTCTAGCTCCTTTAAAGTTATAACTACTTGTAGGAGAATCGTTTTATGGCAGTGCTTCTCTCAAGCGTTCCTGTCTCTTTTCCTTTTTTTTTTTCTCGGCTGTTCGCTTTCGTCCTTGTGTGTGTGTTCGTGAGTTTTTCCTTCGGTTCAATCTCAAATGGCAATTGTGCTTGTGTCTTTTCGTTTTCATCTGTACGATTTGTGGCTTGTGCTTGAGAGACCCAGAAGCCGTTCCTCAACACTTCAACAAGAGCACAGATTTTTGCATTCCTCTCCTTTCTGCGGGGCGGAAGTGCAGAAGTGTTTTATAAAAGTTGGGCAGCGGTGCAACGTATCCGCATCCCTTTGTCGCGGCCGCCATTTCTATTGAACTCTGTGGGTTTTTTTTTTGCTCTTCTTTCGACCCTCACCTTTTTCCTATCTCATTCTTTCTCTACCTCTTACTCACCCCTACGTCGATGCCAACAACCCAAGTAACTTCAAGAAGAGGCGTTCATGCATGGACTCAAAAAGCCGTCCCAGTGCTTTTGCGGACGCCAGCACACAGACGGCAGCCGTGAAGGAATGGAGACAGAGGAACGCAAAGCACAAGGAGACGGCCAGTTCACTGCTACGAAAAGTCAAACAGCTGAAAAGTGATTCTGAAGCCGTGCAGAAAACAACTCTATGGCTTCAGGAGCGAGACGCTCTCAATCGCGAGCAAGAAATCTGCGAAGAGAATCTGGAAGTCCTGCGTGCCGACCTTGGAAAGCTAGTGCAGGATGTCGAGCACGAAGAGCGGCAAACTGAACTCGCCGCGCTAAAGTCTCTCATCCTTCAGCAACTGAAAGACTTGGGCGCGTTGACTCGTGGTACATCCCTTCCTTGCACCGCCCGTAACGAAGCGGCGGAGAAGGCGGAACGTGTGACTCGTCTTCGTGAGTGGATCAAATCGGAAAGGGGAAATGCGCAAGCCCTTGCGCGCACACTCTCTTCCAGCTCCGCAAGCGGCACATCCTCCTTCTTCGCAGTTGACTTCGACACCGCTACGCACGAGGCAAATGAAGCCTTTGCACGGCTGTGCCACACGTATCAGCCGTCTGAAGAACTGCGGCAGATCTTTGCGTCCACGCTGAGCAGCACCGAGGACGAGGTGCGCGGGCGACTTGAAAGCTCGCAGTACGCGGATGCAGCGACGTGTGAGGAGGATGTGCTGCGTACCGTGTGCCTCATCATTAAGATGGGCCATCAAGCAAGGCAGTTCAACCTGTCTGCCGCCACACGAGCTGCCCTGGCCGATCGAGTGTCGGCAGTGTTCCCCAGCATGACTGCCGCCCAGGTGCAGCACGCCGTCGACGAGGGCCTTTCATTGCGACGGGCACAGGCAGCGGGCAAGGCGGCACTGTCGGACTACCACCGCAGCATCGCGTCTCTGCTCTCTTCGTGCGAGTCGGCGTTCGTGGTGGCAAAAGAAGCACAAGACGATCGACTGGAAAAGGAGGCGGCGGCGCAGCAGCGCAGTACAGAGCAGGCAAGTCGGCATGCCCGGCTGGCGGAAAAGCGGGCCGCACACGAGGCGGTGCTGCGCCGTCGCCGCAGCGTGGAGGAGCAGCGGCAAAGCGCAGCGGCCGCCAAGGCCGACGCCCTTCGCGCAAAGCGTGCAGAGGAGTTCCAAGAACGGCTGCGGCTTCTGCAAGCGTACGAGACGCAGCGAGCACTTTTGCGCGAAAAGGAGCAGCAACTGCGGGAGATGAAGGCGCGCGCCATCGAGGAGGAGAAGGCCGCGCGGATGAAGCGCAATGAGGCTCGTGTGGACTTCCGCCGTAGGCAAGAGGAGCAGCGCCTGAAAGAGCAGAAGGAGCAGGAGGAAGAAGTGCAAGCCTTGCAACTCAAGAAACAGCAGGCCCTTGAGCGCTTCTTTGCATCCGTTGATAAGCAACTTGGTGTCGAGGTGGATCCCCAGCGAGTATTGAAGGCAACTTCGTCCAGTGCACAGACGGAGAGCTATGAGACCCTGGCGCAGACTACCCGCCCCTCCATTACGGGTTTTTCAGACGACCAAATAATGAAAGATCCGCGCGTCCGACTGTATCATGCGCTGCTAGCTGCTGGCCTGCACACGACTCCGTATGGCCGCGAGGTGGTGACGCGCGGCTACCACGTGGCGCCCTCGCAAATGAGCAGCGAAAACAATCCTTTGAGGGGACCGTTTTCGTGAACTGACGGGAGTCTGTGCAGTCGCGCTGTCACCATATAAATACATCTTCTTTATTTCCATACACACACCCACTTCAGTGTGAGCAGCGAGTTTTCTGTCGCCGTGCTTCACGTTGAGATAAAACTGCATCAACCAAATCTGCTTTCGAACTCGCAAAGATATGCAATCCACCCACAAATATACGATGAGGAAATCGAGCCGAGAGCGATGTAAAGCAGCACATTCTGCCTCCCCTTCGGCGTGCGCTGCTCGTCGGAGGGTGCGCGCAACAAACGAATGAAGACGCCCAAACGGCACTTAAGAGGAAGCGGTGCGTAAATAGCAAGCGGCCGAAGCCCAGCGGTGATGTTGAGACGAACTTGGCGATTTTTCTATTGGTGTCTCAAAAGGATCGCTGTGGAGTGGATGTGGACGCGTAAGCGGTGCTCCATCGGCATCTCATGCTCTCTCCTCACCGTTGTTCGCTTCCTTTCTCGCCTCATTTCTTACCTTGTCTCTTTTTGTCGCGCTGATGCGTACACGCAGATAGCGGAGAGACAGAAGGCCCTCTTATCCATTTGTTTTCTCTTCCCTTTGGAAGGTTTTTGTTTCTTTCGCTTCCACCCCCTCCTTTGCTTGGAGGGAGTTCACAGGCACCCGTTTATATATATATATATATATATAATACTTTTCTTTTAAATAGATGTCAGAGTTTACTAGAATAGAAGACGTAGATGCATTCTGCTTGAAGCTGTACTCCGGTGACAAGAAGGCCACGCTGAAGGTGACCTTGGAGGGTTGGCGGCGAATAATCGATGAGATAGGGCTTGGGCTGCTGCTGGCGGTGCTGCAGCACTCTACAAGCGCCTACTCCATAATGTTTGTGTCACGGGCTGCCTCGGAGTGCCTCGAGACGATTTTTAGCGACGTCGAGCAGCTCACGCAGTTCACGACGAGTGTGTACGACCTGCTGTGCGCGCGCGACCCCGAGCTCAACGCGGCGGCGAAGCTAGCGCTACGGCAGCTGGTGTGTGTGGCCGTCCAGCGTGGGTATCGATATTCTCCTACCTTGGCACAAATGGCCTCCAGCGTCTGCACATCTTGCTTTAGTTTTATCCGCCACGAGGCGCAGTGGGATCGACTACGTGTTGGGTGTGAAGTCCTGGCTGACCTCGTCGTGACGTTGAATGAGCACCGCATGTCAACATTTGCGAGCGACGTGAGCATCGCAAAGTCGTTTCGCGACGAGCATCTGCTGGACGTGTACCGGCTTGCGGTGGAGATCGTGAAGCAGGTGCCGCCAAGCTGCCGGATCGGCGTGGCAGCGGCGCTTCGGTTGGCGCAGCGCGTGCTGGACTTCGACTTCACATGCGACGCGGGTCTCGTGGACGCTGAGGAAAACCCGGTCACGCGCACCTACCCGGAGAGCTGGACACCATACCTTGTTGATGTATCCTTTGTGGACCGACTGTGGAGTCTCTACCGTATTGCAGACTGGGAGGCGGAAGTCGCGCAGAGCGTGCTCGAGGTGCTGGCCGCGTTGGTGTCGCTGCGCAAAACGGTCTTTGTTGACGCGGCGGTGCGTCAGCAGTGGTACGGCGTGCTGCTGCTGCAGTCGCAACTTGTAATGAAGCGCTACACCCACCTTGAGGAAGAGGACACCCTCAGCGTGTTCAGCCGTCTTCTCAATCGCGTTAAGCCGAACTGCGAGATGAACGAGTTGATGCAGCACGATGTGTTCCCGCGATGGATCGAGTCCCTGCGCGACTTTACGAAGCAGTGCTTCACCAACTGGCGTCACGCCTCCACCTCGCTGCTCTCGTTGCTCAGCACGTGGGCGTGCCTCATCGAGGCCAGATCGTACGCGTCATACGACACAGCCGCCATGGCGCAGGCCGCACTGGAGGTAGTGAAGAACTACTTGGATTGTATTCACAGCCGCGTCCACGTGTTTACGACAGAGTTCGGCAGAGTGATGGCCGTCGACGATGCCCAGGCCGGTGGGCTGCGGCTGCCGACGCACAACACGCACGTGGTTTACATGTTGGACGACGACAGGGAGGGCGTGCGACTGGAGACGGAGTTTGTGCTCAAGATTGTCACCGGGTGTGGCGAGGAGGCGTGGGACGTGGTAGAGGCGTACGCGGAAGGGGTCGGGCAGGCCGTCCTGTCGCTGCTGCGAGGTGCCTCGCCGAATCTTTCTGCTGATCACGTCGTGGTCATCGAGGAAGGGGCGTGGTCGCTTCACCTGTTGAATGCGGCCCTCCTCTCCGCCGGGGCGGTCGACCAAGGAGCTCCGCACGTGCTGTTGATGCTCCTACACAGCTTAATGCAACTGACGCAGTACGCGTCGGGCGCCGACTCGCTTGATCGCCTGCCCGGTCTCGTCCACGGCCACTTTGCCTCCAGCGCCGTCCAGGCACTCGGCACCGTACTCGCCAAGACGGTGTCGGTGTACGTGCACTCCAACCGAAAGACCTCCGCCTTTGTCGAGCAGCTCAACGCGCGGCTGCGCCAGTGTGAGGAGATGGACGCCGCCGGCACCTTTGGGGTGTACTTTGTGAACCTCGCCGTGTACACCCTGTGGGCGATGCTGAACGCCACGAACATGCCGAGCGAGGTGCGCATCGAGGCGCTGGAGCTGCTGAATGAATGGACCTCGACCCCCAGCGTGCTGCGACTGCTGAAGGAGACGCAGTCGTACAAGCTAGTGATGAACCTCTCGGCCGAGTCCTTCCCCGCACCGCTGCGTCAGGCCGACGCCTTTGCGCCGCGCTACTTGTTTGTGCGCTGCGTCGCACAGGTCCTCTTCTTCGACACCGCCACCTTGACCGACAGCGCCGTGAATGCGTTGATGGAGCCGCTGCTGGCGCGCATCACAGAGGTGCTCTCGTACACCACACCGCAGCCAGCGGCGAGCCATCAGGCAACCCTCGCTCTGACACTGTGCGATGTGCGGGGAGTGCTGAGCTGCACGGAGCGCCGGCCCTACCGCATCATTATGGACATGATTGAGCCATCGCTCTACCCCCTCGCCGATGCGGCGCTGCGCGAAGACAGCGGCAATCAGCTGGCCGTCGTGCAGCTTTTGAAGCTGGTCAACGAGCTCGCCGTGAACAAGAGTCAACGTATCGTTTACGGGGTGCAGAGCGCCCGACCGGTGCTCATCTTCCGCTACGCCAGCCACGTCCTGGTGCGTGCGGCGAGGTTGGCCCAGTTAGCGTTGGGGAGCACGGGCGGCGCCGCCGCGCTGCACCGAGACGCCCAGGCGCCGCTAACGGAATGGGGGTGGAAGGTGATGCGGCTGAGCCTCGCGGTGGCGTGCAGCATTATGCAGGGCGGGTGGTGCAACCTCGGTGTGCTCCAGCTCTACTCAGATCCGGCGCTCACCAACGTGCTGGAGAGCGTGTGGCAGCTGCTCACCACCCCGCCCCACAGCGAGTTGGCAGTGCGTCCAAAGGTGTGTACGGCGGTGGTGAAGACGGTGAACGCCCTGTCGTCTCGATTTTTCCACTGGTTTTGGGTGAAGCAGCCGCCGTCGGCCGTGTCGGCGGTTGTCGGATTTGTCGAAGCGCTCGCCTTCCCTGCCTCTGCCGGTACGGTGGAGAGCGCGCAGCAGAACGACGCCCTCCAGACCCTCGACCGCCTCATCAACTGCTGCTGGGTTCGGACGATGTTTCCGACGGAGGAGGCGCAGCAGGCAGCGGCCATGAAGGCGATGCTGCTGCAGGCCGATGCGTTAATCTTCCATCGCATCGCCACCTGCGCGCTGGAGCGCTCCGTCGCGGTGGACAACCACACCGTGCGAAAGATGCTTCCTAGTCTCTTCTACGTCGAGGGCGACGCGCTGACGGAGGTGGCGAATTACTTCTGCACGCGTGGCACCTCGCCAGAGGCGTCGCAGGCGCTGCGTGCGCAGTTCGCTGAGATCCAGCGCCAAGTCGCGGCCTCGCCGGACATTACGAATGAAACGATCAACGAGCTGCAGAACTCGCTGCACACCCTCATGGACACGCTAAAGGTATCTTTGTAGAAGTTTGGAAAGATTGGGTGGAGGGACAAGCGTACGATGCCTGCTTGTTGTGACGGTGGTCTATTCGTGAGTACGCATTTTTGCATGCTAATGTCTTCCTTTGGCGTACGCTCATCCTCGAACTGCACGACAGCGTGCGGTGCGGCTGCTTCTCTGGATTAGCGCCGTTGACAGCTATCTTCTATCATTTATTGACCTCCTTGCATTATTTTATTACAATCCTAAGAAAGTAAAGGAAAAACGGAAAAGGCCTGACAGCTTGAACCTTCACGCGGGCGTGGCAGGCCGTGTGCAGTCCTCCATCCCTCGTGCAGTCGCGACGTCTCTGGATGCTTGTCAGCGCTTTCCCTGCGTATGTGCACGACTGCAGCGGCTGAACAACGTCCGCGCCAACGCAGAGCTATTCTCTGGCAGCGTTTGCCTTTCAAACACTCGGCCCCGGCAACGTCCTCACCAACTTGCTCGTACTCCTTTGAAAGTGCGCACCCCCTTGTCTTTTGCGCGTTATCGCAACAACGCCGAGGTGCGCTTCGGTGCTGTTCCCTCACCTCAGCATTTGAATAGTCGTTACAGCCCTTCTCTTTTTGCTTTAAACCCCCACCACTACCACCCTCTCCTGGGGTGTGATTTAGTACCACAGGCGTTGCTTCTTGTTGGAAGGGTTCTCTGGTGTGCTGGATGCGACGGACGAAGCTAATCGACGCTTCAACGCTGTGTTCCCCACAATAAACATTGTACCGTCACCTTTGTGCCTATTCTCCCTTTTCCTATTAGTATGCTGTGCTGCCGACGTCAGCTGTGTGGGTGGTTGAGGAGGGCACCGTGTGCAGCTCTGGCTGCCACCTGCACCTCCCTACCCTTCAAGGAAGGTTTTCCAGCAGCACATCAACAGACACGTCGCGTGTGCAGCGCGACCCCCTGCTGCCTCGCACGGCGCATCCGCGGCAATCTTCGGCGTGCGCGCGTCCGCGAGGCGGCCCCGGGCGATTGGCTCTGCCAGTGTGGGGAGACGAACTACCGCGCCAAGCGGGAGTGCTTCAAGTGTGGCGCGCCTGCCCCGCCACTTCCGCCGGGTGTCCGTCGGCCATGCCTGCCGGGGGAGGACCCGCACGACTGGGCGTGCCCGTGTGGTCAAATGAACTTCCGCGCCAGTGTTTGCTGTCACCGGTGTCAGCAGCCGAAGCCGGAGCCGCCGCCGGTGCTGGGCAAAGAGCTGTCCCTCTGGACCTGTCCGAAGTGCAAAGGAATTAATCGAAGCACACGCAAGTTCTGCTTCAAGTGCTCCACGCCATCTCCACTGATTGAGTTCAAGCCGCTGCAGTGAGGGGCGCGTGCGCAAAGAATGGGGTTTTCCCCTTGTTTACCTGTTGTGTATGGTGGTGTCGCCAGCCGAAAAGCAGCGCAATGCCGCTCGCTGCGATGTTGCTTGATCGACACTACGTTGGTTTCTCACAGATTATGGATACACATCTATTTATTAATGTCCTCCCAGGAGGTGCAAGGTGCTTCAGACGTCGCTGAAAACGCAAAGAAATAATTCTGCTCTGTTTGTATTTTCCATCCGCAACGTGTGGAAGCCGGATTTGCCACTTTGCCGGGCATTGCCTTCTCTTACAAATGGAAAAGAAAAGAAACGTTGGTGGTACAGACGTCTCTTACCAACGCGAGTGTACGCGTTAAAACGAATGGGGTGAAGATGTGTGCCTCGGTATCGTTTGTGTCGCGTTGCTACGGTCGCCTCTCTGCTCTCCCTTCTATTCGTGGTGCAGTAAATCAACGGAGGAAAGCCCATCGCAGCACAGCGTTGACGCTTCGCCCGCTTACGAGTCCATCAACAACTCCCCTTCTTTTTAATTTGTGTATCTTTGAGTTCTCCGTTTTCGCGGCACTTCAAAGAGGTACCTGTACTACTAAACGATCTTAAAGACGCAACTTCACCTCCTACGCCAGCATTCTTAAAACAAAAGCCCAGACAATCAAATGGAGTCCGCTGCGCAATCGAAGAACGGGTTTGACGCCGCAAGCAGCCGTGGTGCGGCGGTCAGCAGCCCCAACGGCACCGGCCCCGTGACCACGCAGGTCAAGAAGCAGCTCTTCATGTCCCAACGTGCGGAGCGGCTGAAGGACCCCAAGGTGCGCAAGATGGGCATCGACCGCGAGGCCCTGGACGCGCAGGTGCGGGAGATGGAGGCACTGCGGCGTCTGGAGAAGGAGCGCAACGACTACTACGACCGCCAGGCTTTATTAATGGATCGGCACGCGTGTGCTCTGCAGCAGGAGGTGAATGCGATCCGCTCCGCCCGCGAAAAGGAAATGCAGGATTACCGCAAGACCTTCCAGAAGAAGGAGCTGGGACGCGAGTGGGACCTCAACGACCCGGAGGCGAAGCGCAAGGATCTGCCGGCGCGTGTCGGCGACGATGACCCCCGCAACGGCCCGTCGTCGCTGCAGAAGTTCGAGGGCGAGGATCTCGACTACGCCGCCCGGCGGGCCGCCCAGCAGCGGCAGCAGCGGGAGTGGGCTCAGCAGCAGGTGAATGAGAAGCTGGCGAAGAAGTGGATGGAGCAGGAGCGCGACCGCGCCTACGACGACCGCAACGAGGAGACGAACAACCGCCTGCACGAGACGGAGCGGAATATTGCGGAGCAGCGCCGGCTGATGGAGAAGAACGCGGCGGACTTCAACCGGGCGCTGGCGGAGCAGCAGCGACGCGAGGCTGTGCGTGCCAAGGAGGAGAACGACCGCCTCGGCCTGGAGGAGATTGCGTACCAGATGGACAGCGACTTTCTTAACGAGCGCGAGACCGTCGTCGGCGAGCTCGGCGCCACCGTGAAGGCGGAGCGCTACAAGGGCTTGACGGACAAGCAGAAGTCTCAGTTCCGGGAGGACCAGGACGAGCAGCTAAGCGAACTGCGCCGTCGTCGTTTGTTAGAGGTTGAGGAGAAGAAGCAGTGGGCGCAGCAGGAGCACATGCAGCTGCGCATGGCCAACGCGCTGGACCGCCAACGCGAGCGGGAGCGCCGTGCAGAACGGGAAAAGCTTGCCGAGACGCACAAGATGCAGGCGGAGGCCAGTGCGCAGCGAAAGGCTGACTTAGACAAGCTCTACACCAACCAGGTGGACGAGGACTACTTCAAGTACTGGGACCGTGCTCTGTAGATCAGGTCTGCGCCTCTTCTACACGGCCTCTCGTGGCGCAGGAAACGGAAAGGAAAGCGGCCGCTCTTCCCGGAATTCCTGTGGCAGCTGCGGTGATCTTCCCCTTTTTTTCTTTTGAGGTTGTTGGTGTGGCGAAACACGCTTTTTGCGGCGCCCTCACCACGGCAAACTTAGAGATGTACAGTTAAGGAGGCGGCAAATGTATAGTATTGGTGTCTTTGCGTTGGTGTACATATATCTTCTCCGTCTCTTTTCTTTGGTGCTTTCAAGTCGTGTACGCCAATGCAGCTGTGTTGACTTATCCGTGTTTTCTTCGTCTCCATTCTTTTTTGATTATATTTTTTTTTTTGCAGCGTCACTGCAGAGGACCTCTCTCCGTCATCTGCGCTAGTTCTCCGTTTGTTTTGCGCTGCAGTTTAATGAACACGGAAGCACTGAAGGAAGATAAAAAACGTGTCCCGGCGTCGAGGTGCAGCGAGGCGGTGAGCGATTTCGCGTGGTGCCGCTCCGTATTGCTGCACATCGGAAGATGTTACTCGCTTGACTGGCTGTTCTCAGCTCCGCATGTGTTAGAGCCTCGTCCGCAACGGAGGAAGGAAGTCGTCACGGCGCCTCCTTGACGGCGGCTTTGATGCCGTTGTTTTCGTCTCATTTCCCAACGAGCTGTTAGCGGGACGCAGCCCCTTGATCGAAGCATCGAGACAGCGCTGAAATCTGCAGAGGAGTACGAATGCCGCCAGCACGCTCCGCAACGCGAGACGCAGATGCACCACTTACATCTCCTCGTCCTCCTTTTACCTTCACGCCTGAATCTTGTTTTTGTCTCTCACTTTGCTGGACTCCTTCTGGACCGGCTTCACGGCGTTGTTGAGGGGTTCATGGTCTCTTGCTTGCCCACACAGCACAGAACTATCAGAGATCGACTTATAAAACATATATATATATACTCCTTTCAAACCCTCCATAGATATCACAGAGAGAAGAAAATGACGATGGTGTTGGGGGTCGGCGCGGGCACCTTCGCTGTGTTGCTCACGATTGGGGTCTGCGTCTTCTTTGGGCTTCTTGGCGCCTACTTCGCACCGCAGGCGGCGTTGTACATTTTGCTGGGGTGCGTTCTTCTCCCTCTCATCGTGTACGGCTGCATCCTGACGGCGCCCCACGGGCCTGCAGCGGACACGGGCACCACCGCCGCAGTGTACTACTATCGAGAACGGCAGCTGCCCGCCAACACGGACGTGATCGACAAGTACCTGCCCGTGCGCATCGTCGTGTTTATTGTCCTTGCGCTGGGCACTCTCGCTGCGATTGTCTTTCAAATCTTGCTGCTCTGCAGCTCGCCACCCTACGAGACACCACGCGTGCGTTGCCTGCGCGAACAGTTAGAGGAGGCACACCCAACATGGTACAGGTGACGCCGCGAGGGCGGATTCCTTTCCTCGGCGGGTCGGCGGTGTGCTTCCGCAAAGCGCCAAAAGCATCTTCTAATAAATAAATAAAAACCGCAGAATGTTGAAGGCACGCAGCACACGCCACATTACGGTGATTGAAAATAGGAATAATAATAGTAGGAATAAAACAGCTGCACTACCTTCCCCTTCATTTGTCTCCTTGGCGGTAGTTGTTCAATGCGACCTCCCTTCTCAAGTCGGAGAACAACGCCGTTTGTATTGCGCGCGCACACAAGCACACACACGTACACCCTTGTGAATACCTCTCCCATCACCTCCTTCTCCTTTGCGTTCTCTGCACATCGCTTTCTTATTAGCCACGTTGATCGCCAGTGTACAATACACTCTCAGCAGAGGGGCATGCATCGCAACACACACGCTTGCACGCACAACATCCGAATTTGTTTTGAGCAGCTGGCACAGGCTCAGCACGGGCACGAAGGGGAAATAGACGAAAGCACTTGCGACTCCACTCACTACATTTTGTGAGCTCTTCGTGAGCGATTGCGTGTGCTGGGGTGTTAAACATACACATTTCTTGTTGCTCTTCCTGAATCTTCTCTTTGTCTGTTTTACTCGCTTTGCAGTGGAAGTTTAGGTGCGGCATTCCCGTTTTCCGTGAGTCCTCCGCGGCTTATTTCGATTAGTGCCACCGTCGTGTTTTCTTCTGGTTTTTTTTTTTGCAAAAGAGGATTTTTTCTCTAGAAGTTTTTTCGCCCGACAGCGCACAACCGGAGCGTTGCACCGTCCCTGTTTGCATTTCGTGTCGCTTCTCCCCGCGACAGAAGGTAAGGAAATAAAGAGTATACGCGCTGCTGCTTTGTAGCGGCAGAGTCTGTGGTGGAGGAAGATTGCCGCAGTGTTTCGTAGCGGGTCGCCATCATGGAGGAGGATTTGGCCTACAAAATAATTGTCATCGGAAGCGTGAGTGTGGGCAAGAGCAACATCACCTCCCGCTTCTGCGACAACGCTTTTTACCCTGATTTGGTCCCCACGCTGGGGATGGACTTCAAGTATAGCACCTGCAAGACCCTCGAGAAGAAGCCGCGGTGTGTGCGACTGCAGGTGTGGGACACGAGCGGGCAGGACGACTTCGTGACACTCACCACTGCCTTCTACCGCAACTGCCAGGGAGCGCTGCTCTGCTTTGACCTCACAAATAGGCCCTCCTTCGAGGACTTGGATCAGTGGTACGAGCGGTTAGAGCGGTACTCGCCGTCCGTGCCGCCACTGATTCTCGTGGGCTGCAAGTTAGATCTGGTGGAGAGCCGGTTAGATGAGCAAGGCGAGGGTATCGTCCTTGGCAGCCACCGCCAAATTGCGAAGAGCGAGGCCGACGCGTGGGCGCGGCACCACGGCTGTCTGTGCTACATCGAGACCAGCGCCAAGGAGAACACGAACGTGTCACAGGCGTTTCAGCAGCTCGCCACGTACGTCGCCTCGGCGGCCAACCCGGGGGCCAAAAATGCAGGACGCACCATAGGTCCCGGCGGTCGCCCCCTGAAGGAAAGCAGCGCGAATCCCGCGGCGAAGAAGTCGTGCTGCTCCAGTTGAAATGACCCCCCACCCCATCCCCACCCCACCCCCGAGAGGGAAAGAAGAGGCTGAGGGAGGTTCTGTTATGCTGTTGGGGTTCAAAGCTCCTTATTTCTTGTACTTTGTGCCTTCATATTTCTGCACCCGAGTGCAGGCGAGCCATCGTGTAAAGTGCACACAACTTTCTTTGTTTGGCCATCTCTCTCCTCCTCGCGTCTGGCGATCCTCAGGGGGGTGGGGTGGGGAGGGTAGAAGGAGATGAATTGCGTCTGAGAGGGAAGGCGTGACGAGTGCGTGCCGCTGTCGTCGTTGCTATGCGTCTCCCGTTTTTGCTATGAGCACTTTTTTCTTTTCTTTATTCCAGGTTCTGCGCACCGTTGTGTAACGCCGTGGCGGTGATTTCTCCCCTTGCCGTCTGTTGTCTTTGTCGTTGCTCCGTTGTCTGTTGGAACATATGCTTGACCTCATTTTAAAACACCGTCTTTCAGCGAAACGAACGGCAACAGGTTGTCTAGCCGGTGCGACGTACTACGGTAAAAGAAAGTCATTATTCGTAGCTCTGCATCTCGCGTGCAGTAGCAGCACGAAGGTGGTGGCGTATGATGCGATGCCGCGACTGCGTAGCGGTGCCAGCACACTCCCTTTGCACCGCAAGCATAGAGAACAATAAAGTTCGTATGTACGCGCCGACACAGCAGTGTTTCGCGCACGTGAGAGAAAGTGGTATCCGCATCCTTTCTATTCTTCTTCGCGTCCCTCACGGCTCTCCTTCGTCGATGCACCCATCAACAAAAAATAAAATTTTTCTCTCCATCCATATTTCGTCATCGTTCACGTGAAACACAAACGCCGCCTTTTCCAGTCTGCATTTCCAACTCCATCGGCCCACAAGCGTAGCTCGCCTCATTCGCCGTGAACAGCAGCTGTTTTGCAGTCGGACTAAGATTATTGCTTCAGCGAGTTCACTGCCATACAAAACCGAATTTGTTCTCTTTCTTCTTTCTCATATACACCGCAGCTAGATAAAGTAGAGGAGCGCAATCATTCGTTTGGGCCAACGGCTTCTCACCTTTTCCGTTCCTTACCTGTCTACCCCTGCACGCACAGGCCGAGCAGGCAGAAAAGCACGCGACTCGACTGCAACGACTTAGTTCTTCATTACTGCAACCATGACCAACCCGAGCGCCCCCGGCGGTGATTGCGACTACATCTTCAAGATCATCGTGATTGGTGACAGCGGTGTGGGCAAGTCCTCGTTGACGGTGCGCCTCTCTGAAGATGTCTTCTACAAGGACTACGCCTCCACGATCGCCATCGACTTCCGCATGCATCAGATGAGCTACATGGACAAGCGGGTCCGTCTACAGATCTGGGACACGGCAGGACAGGAGCGCTTTCAGTCTGTGGCAACGGCGTTCTATCGCGGCGCCAATGGTGTGTTGCTGTGCTTTGACCTGACGCACCGGCCCTCCTTTGTGCACTTAGAGCAGTGGATGGACCGCGTGAAGCAGCAGGCCTTGCCGGGCATCCCTTGTCTGTTGGTGGGCTGCAAGAGCGATGAGGCGCGCTCCAGCCGGCAGGTGACGCGCGAGGAGGCCGTCGCCTGGGCGCAGCAGCACAACATGCCCTTCATCGAGACGAGCGCGAAGGAAAAGGAAAACGTGCAGACGGCCTTCCAGCAGATCACGAAGTCCATTTTTGAGGACATGAAGGAGCGCAACGGCAAGTCACCGGCGGCGGGCAACAACGCGGCTGGACGCGCGCAGAGCGTCAACCTTGATCAGAAGACCTCCTCTGGAAAGAAGGAGAGCAAGTGCTGCTAAGTTGGAGATGGTGCAGTTGTGCTTCTTGTTCTACTGTTAGTTTGGCAAGGACCCCCTCATCTTGGTTGGCCTTCCCTCCGCGCGCATGTGAATCGCTGGAGTGAGGCCTCCGTTTTGCGGGCGTGTTTGCGTCTTGATCTCTTTTATCATTTATTTAACACGTTGGCGGCGGCAGTCGTACCGCACGGTGCGAGGTGATTGTCGCTCGTAGCACGCGCTCTTCTTTGGCAGGTGTGTACGGCACCATGTCTCGCCTCAACGGGCAGCGCGTTGTATCCCCGCCTCTCCACAGCTCTTCCGCCTTTCCACGATTAGACTTTGTGCAGAGAAGAGCAGCGCCGTACCGGGCGAACGAAACGCTGGAATGAAGTGAAAGACAGAAAAAGAAAGAAGGGGGAGACAACAAACCGCAAAAGTCATTGTCGCACGACGACGACGGCACACGTATTTTTAACTGTTTTCGTCACTCTTCGGGGTGGCACGGTGCGTTTAAGCCGACACTTTCATTTCAGTTTCTGTGTTGTTATCCTGTGAATGCTGCACTGACGGTGGTGAAAGGCTTTTTCCCGTAGAGCCTTTGGGGCCAACGAATGCACACTGGAAAAGGAAGCGCCACAAGCAAGAAACAACTGACCGGCGTGGGGTAAAGAGACAATTGATCGAGTTTAGATGTTTCTTCTTTGTTTTCTCCTTTTCGTTTTAGATACGTCGTCGTGCTGTCCACGACGGTGTGCTCCCCGATTTGCCCCGGACTACGCACGACCACCCACAGCTATTTTCCCTTTGTACCTTTGCTTTTCGGTGAGGCCACCGCGTTGGGTCCCGGCGCGGCACCGTCGTCGTGCGTCTCCCTCTGAAGGGTTCAGCCAACGATTTTTGTTTGAATGGCTGTCTCAACTGCTTGTTTGCCAGCGGAATGGTGTCTTCTCTTCCCTTAAAAAAAAAAAACCCCCAGCAACGGAAATAGCATGTATTATCACGTTTTTGGTGTTTAGAGGGCGTTTCAGTTTATACAGTTTGCTGCTGCGATTCTCCGGTTTTTCCTTTTCTCTTTTGCTTTGCTTCAACCTTATTCCATCCGTTGTTCTATAACTTGCTATTACCTGTACGTCGATGATGCCGTGTGTTTGTGTTCGTGTGTGGTCCTTGGGGTGCGATGCCCCTTCCGTGCGTGTGTCACGGCGGGGACCTCATGTGTGTGCGTTCTTCTTTGTTTTCCTCCTCAGTGTCTTTTTGTGCTATACAGTAAAACGAACGGATTAAAGGTGGAGCGTCTCTGCACCGCCACGCAACAGCGTCGGTGTGCTTGTCAGGTGGCGTGAATAGGCACATCAAGCAAACTCTATGCCGCGTATGGCGAGGCCTTATCATGAAAATAACAGGCGAAGGAGGTCTTGCATTTGATCACTGGCGGCAGGCAGGCGTTGTCACATCCATTGAGTTGTAGATGCAGCTCCTGCAGACCAAGTAGTGTGTCTCGAGAGATGCAACGCAGAGCTTCCATCGACACGCTCGCGCGTTCGCCGGTTATCGCAAAGGGAAGTTTATCTTCGTCACCTTTTCGTTTCTCTTCTTCCTTCCCCCCCCCCCTTATCGCTATCTTGTGTCGATCCACCACCTCTATATCAACTTCACCCATCCGTCCACACATCCATCTCAAACGGGGGCTTTTTAATTTATTTCTTGTGTAGTCAACGCAGCAGCACAGAATAATCTCAAAAGGGCGAAACGTAGGTGAAGCAGCTCCGTACTCCTCTCTTTTTCGCCATCATCTAGACAGTCGCCTTCAGGAAGGCGTCATTCTTCGCTCCTTCTCTGTTTGCGCCTGTGGCACCCGCCGTTGGCCGGCAGCTCTACGGAGTTAATTGGGTGTGCAGCCTTCGTCGCAACAGCAACCGTCGTTGTCGTGGATCCATCCGATCCACTGAACACTTAGATTCCTATCAAACCCCTAACAGCACCTCCTTTTCTCCAACGGTCGCCATGACGTTCTTCTCCAACAAGTCGTGCGACGTCTTCCCCCCGCGCCGCAAGGGACAGTCCGACGGTGCCTTGCGCAGCGAACTGAAGGCGCGCGGTGCTCCTCGCGACGCGGCCATCATCACCGCCACCGAACTCGATATCATCCGCGGAATGATCGAGGGCATCTTCCCGGGAGCGCTGCGCAGCCCTGCCGCGACCGCTGCGGCACCGCGCACGCACAACGAAGCCGCAGAGGAGCGACGGCGGAAGATGCTAGAGTTCGACGCCGAGCGGGCCCGCAGCGGCGGGGCACCGAAGACGGCCGAAGAAATCGAACTCGCGCAGGAGCGCCTGTTAAATCTGGAGAAGGCGCGGCTGAAGCTCGACGAGGAGTACGATGAGGTGAAGGCCATGAACCGCGTCATCGCCGAAGCGAAGTGCGTTGCCACCCGCGAGGCGCAGCTGCAAGAGAAGCAGAAGAGGGCCGAGGAGGAGGCCACGTACAACCGACAGATGGACACGCTCATGGCGCAGGAGGCGGAGAAGGCGCAGCAGGTCTACCTGGAGCGGGAACGGCAGCGGCTGGAGGAGCAGCGGCGCAACGCGGCCACCATCAAGGTGCAGCTGAAGGAGCAGGATGTGGAGCGCATTCGGCGACTCGAGCGCCACCAGCAAGAGCAGGAGGCGATGAACCGGCACATGGAGCGGCTGCAGGAGGAAGAGAAGGCCACGAAGCTGCGCAAGATTGAGGCGGCGCGTCGCATGATGGAGGAGGCCGCCATCGCCAACGCCGAGCAAATCGCGCTGAAGCAGAAGGAGCGGGACGCGCAGGTGGAGGAGGAGCGAAAAATGGCGGAGTACATCAAGCAGAAGGAAGCCCGCGAAGAGGCCTACGCGCAGGAGCAGGCACGCATCCGGCACGAGAAGGAACTGGAGGTGGCGCGACTGCGGGCCAACCAGCAGCGTGTGCAGGACAAACAGGCGGAGTTGGAAGAGCTGCGCGCACGGCGGGTGCAGGAGGCGTACGCGCGTGAAGCACGCCGCAAGGAGAAGGAGGCGGCGGAGAGGGAGTCCACCATGCAGGCGGAGCTCCAGCAGGCACGATTAGCGCAGGTGGAGGAGCGTCAGCGGGCCAAAGCACTCGAAAAGGCGCAGGATCAGGAGGAGGTGGACCGCATGCTGGCGGTGCAGAAGGTGAGTCGTGAGCAGGACTTGGAGCGGCAGGCCCGCGTCCGCCGAATGCAGGAGGAGAACTCCCTCGCTTTGTTGAAGCAGATGATGGAGGTGGAAGAGCGGCGGCGACGGGAGCGGCAGGAGGAGATCGAGGAGGGCAACCAAGTTCGCAAAGACGCACGTGAGCGCCAGGCCGCGCTGGAGGCCATTCGAGACCGCAAGTTGGACGAGTTAGAGGAGATTGAAGCGCCCGATCAGTACCGCCGTGCCCTGCTGCGCACCGGCAAGTAGATGGCTGGGTAGTGCGTGCGGCTCCGTGTCGGCAGCCGCGCAAAGCGGATGCATTACAATACCGCCGCGATGAAGGCCGTTGTGTCGCACCCTGATGTATATACCCGGTGCCTCTGTGCATTTCATTTAATTTGCTTGTACTCCTTCGTTGCTGTGAAGCTGGGGGCTTTATTGATGTTGTTGACGCAGCCGCGGGATTGCCGGGTTTTTTCTTTCTTGATTGCTCCTTCAGCTGTTTATACTCATGTACAATTAGTGTTGTTTGTTTGTTGAGTTCTCCTACAATGAAAGAACCTGGTTCAGAAGGGGGTGCAAGCGTCTTTTGTAGAGCGGCGTTTCAGGCATGCGACGCCCACCGCAGTGGGGTGTGCCGTTCTATCGACGCTGTTGGGCGGCAGACCGCGCGTGCGCTCCCGCTTTTTTTTTGGAGGGGGGGGGGGCAGGTCGCTGCTGTTCGGTAGGTGGAGTGGGGCTTTGTGATGGCTCCTCGCAGCAGCTCACCGTTGTCAGCGCTTCCAAGCGCATTACGTCGCGAATGCATAACGGTGTTTCCGCCGAGTGTCTCCCCCCCCCCCCCCCACGGCAAATCAGGTAAGTTCGGCGACGGCCAATGTGACGCTCTCACCGGAGCCTGGAAACGTCCCGCGGGCATCGCACTTCATTCAAAGCTGTTTCTCTGAGCTCGTTTTCCTCCTCTTGTAATCCTCTCTCCTCCCCCTCCCCTGTTGTACTCTCTTGTCTTCTCTCTTCTCTCTGCACGGTGGAACTGCAGCGAGCTGGACCATAAAATCGTCGCTTTTACGTCTCTTTTCTTCTCTTATTGTTATTATTATTATTATTTGTAAACTACGAATGCCGGCTACGGAGAGTCGGCAAGCAACCGAAAAGGGCAAAACACACTCGAATCGATCAACGGTAACGATAGCAGGCAACAAAACAAAATGGGCAACAAACCGAGCCAAGTCACCAATTACCCCGTGAGCGAGGAGGAGCTGCGCCACGCACCACACAACTTTTACCTCGTCTTCGGCAAGCCTTCTATTCGATTCGCACGCGATCGCATGCGCGGACCGCTCATCTATGATGTGCAGGTGGAGTACGACGCTGACGATGATGCCCTAGAACGGGCCACCACGCTGGACTTGAGCTGCGCTGTCCCTCGTAGACAAAAGTTCCAACTCATCTCCATCGCACAGCAGCCGCCACCGCCCACACCATCGACGGTAGGGGATGGCTGCAGCAGAAGCAGAAGCAGCGGCGGCGGCGGTGGCGGTGGCCCGTCTCCTCCCATCGCAACTGCACAGGGCACGGGACTTGCTTTAACGTTCCGTGTCGCCGCCTCCGCCCCTCCATCACGGGTGCGGGTGCTGACCGGGGTGTCGGTGGAGTACCGCTCAGGGTATGGTATTCACCTTGCCTCCGGCGATTCGTCTCCCGCACACCCCCGCTGCATCTACGACACCGACGCGACCGATGGACTGGACACCGTGGTCACGAGAGCGGAGGTCTTCCCGCAGCACCTGCTGCCCGTGAAGTTTGAAGAGGCCCCGCTCGTAACAAGCACGATCACCGCGGAGCGGGTCACGTATGCCCCGCTGGTGATAGAGGTGGACGTGGGGGAGACGGAAGACCCGATGCGCAACGCGCGTCAGCCAGCATCCGCGCAGAAGACGGAGGCGAGGGCAGAGGAGCGCGCGGCGCATCCGTCCCTCGCATACTCCCTTCCTGCATCCCCCAGCATCCCTTCCACACCGCCACCGCCGTCGCGAAAGCGCATTCTGCAGTACACGCTGCTGGAGCTTCCAGAGGAAGCCAAGGAGGCTCTTTCCTCTACCGGAGAGACCGACGCAGCGCCGGTGCGACTTAGCTGCAGAGTGTGTAAGCAGCTGCTGCAGGTCGGAAGCGAAGTGTACGACCTGGAAGACGTGTTTGATGTGGGGCGTGACGATGAGGAGGCGCCAAACCCGTTGGCAGTCCCAGACGAGGACGAGGACCTCTGTGTGGTCTGCTTAACAAACCCGAAGAACACGACGATTCTGCCGTGTCGTCACATGTGTCTGTGCACTGAGTGTGCGACGCACCTGCGGCTGTCGAATAATCGCTGCCCGATGTGCCGAGGTAACATCGATCGTTTAATGACGATCTGAGAGCGTGTGTAGGCCGTTTTACATCTGTTTTTCCTCTTTCTCTTCTTTCGCGTCCTTTGTTTCCATTGCCAAGTGCCGCGCATCCAACGTGTGTGTTCGTGTACTGTGTGAGTTTCGCTGCCGTTCTTTTTTCTTTTGCTGCCCGCCTCTCGAAAAGCAGGTATCGTCCTTGAGTTGTGCGGATGCCGGCGCATGTGCGAACGCACGCAGAGCACTTTGTAGAGTAATGTTTATACCGCAGAGTCGTTTTTCCCTCCCCGCTCTTCCATCTTGCTGCGAACCACTTTCGACTGCTTTCCAGTTTTTTTTTTTTGGTTCCTCTCTTCGTGCTTTCTCTTTCGATGCTGCACCCCGTGCACATCTGCGATCTGCGTCGCCACGGCAAAGAACGGGAAAGAAAGAGCGATAAGCGATAGTCGATGTCGTGCAAAGCTCTCAACATCGATGCTTCGCCTTCGCTTACGATTTGGTGCGAGAAGACCAGCGTTGATGGTGTCGCCCCCCTCGGAGAACTGCAATTTAATCTCGCTGTAGCCGCCTCCGCTGCACGCCCACTGTTGGGGTGCCACCTTCTTCTATTTCCGCATTCCCTTTGGCTGTATTGTACCGCGTCCTCCTCACTGCCTTCTCACTTGCCTCTCTTGTTTATATTAGTTGCCGCCCACACACCGCATCTCCTTGAAAGCATACACACAAGCATCTAGGATTGCTCTTACAGAGTGGAGGTTGTGTTTGCCGAGAATCGTCTAACCCCCTTTTTAATCCGTTCTGCCTCAGCCGTACCGCTGACCCGCTTCTCCTGCTCCTCTAACGCTTCCGTGTCTGGGACTGAACTCGCTCCCTGGGTAAGTTTAGGAGAGTCTCCTCTGCTGTTTTTCTCGGTTTGCGGCTGCGTAGCTTACGACTTCATACACCCACACCCAAATAAAAAGAGAAAGGCACCCGAGCCGAAGTACAAACTGTGACGGCGGAGTCTTAAGCACCTCAACGCCCGTCAACGACTTCTCCACTTCTCACATCCAGGCCACGACGGTGGTTCGGCAAATAAATTATTTCTAAAGGAAAGACCAAAAGAAACCCAAAAGTTTCAGTGGCCTCTTTTTGCTTCTTCTTCTAATTGTTTTTTTTTTTTTTTCGAACGACATTGAGTGGTGTGAAAGAGCTCCTTGTTCACTCCCACATTAGTCTTGTTAGCGCCTTCGCCGTATTTAAAGCTGACGCGCCTTCGGCACCTTTTCAGAGTAGTGGGGAAGGAACCAATATCAAGGGGTCGTTGATTCCCGCTCGTTTCCGCCCCTCGTGAGCGTTTTGTGCTGTCTATAAGAGTTTGCTGCCGCAGCGTCGCACCCATCGGAGGTGAATCCTCGCCGTTCCTGCTGTTGCGCCGTTGCCTGTTGGTTTGATTCGTAATGTCCACCGACGCACCCATCACTGTCGACTCACGCAGCGGCGACGCGGCGCTGCGGCCCGTCACGCACCGCACGAAGCACCGCAAGGAGGTAAAGCGGTACCACCAGCGCCAGCAAAACAAAAAGCTTCGTGAGGAGGCAAAGGCACGCGACGCGCAGCTTTTCCTCTTCGAGCGCAACGCCAACGCCGAGGTCGACAGCGCCGGTGCGACGGCCGGCAAGGAGACGAGCACCGCAGCAGCAGCAAAAAACGAAGCGTCGCAGCCTCGTGCGGTGAAGGGCACGGACACCGTGAAAACTATTACGCAGCGCAGCGATGCCTCCGGTACGAGGGGGGAAGCCGCACCTGTGGCATCGCCACAGGCAAATCAAGTAGCCGCCCCGCTGCTGCCACTCGCGACGAGCAGCTGGGACTTTGAGTTTGCGCTGCGCAAGTCGACGTTCGTAGAGCCTGCCGGTGCCAATGACGACACTGCAGCGGCGAAGGCATCTGTGAATTTGGCGCCAAATGAGACAGCGGAGGGCAAGGAGGCAGCGGCGGCGCAGCACGCACTCGTGAGCGCCAACACCCGCAGCCTCACCGCCTTTCCCACCCCACCGCCCCATCAAACCTCTCTTGTCACCGCCGCACGTTGCCCCCCGCGCAGCTTCGCCGACCACGCCGCGGAGCAGCGCAACCGACCGAGTGGAAACTCCGAGCCGATCAGCGTGCTGCCCGTTGACACCGCCGTGGTGGGATCGATCAATAAGCTGCTCAGCAACGCACACGTGCAGCGGGTGGACGGGGTGGCGGCGGTGCCGATGGAGGCCCCGCTGAGCGCCGGCACCGATCTGAACCGCCCGCCGCGCACGTATTTGACGCTCGACCCGATTTTCAACGTTCATCAACACGCGCCGGGCTTCGTGCGAGATCAGCGTGTGGCCCTGCAGCACATGTTGGCCACTTCGATGGCGAACTGGAAGGACATGCAGCAGAACGCGCTGATTGTGACGAGTGCGGAGGCGGTGCGGACCATCTTCGAGCAAGTATACGTTCCATCCCGGCCGCTGGCGATGCGAGTGCGACGTCTGGGCCCCACGATCGTCATCGACTCCCGCGCGTCGCAGCCGTCGCAGGTGCTCGAGATGCGCCAACAAGCTCTCTTCAGCAAAGCGCTGTACCTCATGAAGGAGACGCACGGTCGTGACACGGCGGCTGAGGATGCGGCCACGACTGCTCAGATGGCCCTCGCCGTGCCGGAGCGGCGGCTGTGCAGCGTCTCCGCCTCCGACCCGTCACACTTTGGCGCCAACCTGCACCGCTACTCGCAGCTGCTACGCTGGCGCATCGACTCGACGGAGCTGCTGGTGGGGAATGACGCGCCGGTGGTGCTGGACCAGCGCACGGGCACGGAGCAGCTGGTGCGCATCAAAGCCGCCGATCAGTCCGACTCCACCGACACGGAGCAACGCGAGACGCTGCAGTGCTGGTTTGATGCGACGCTGGCCAACGTGTCGCACGTCGGCACCTACCTGCACTGCGACGGCGTGCTGCTGAACTACCAGGTACGGAAGACAAACGATCTGCTTGGGTACGTGGAGGCGCGCCTGGCAGGGGCGGCGCTTAACTTCACGAGCACGACGCTGCAGTGGCTCGTGAAGCACTGCCAGCGGGACGGCGGCACGTACGCGATGTTCCGCGACTTCACCGAGGACTGCCTGAAACTGTACGAGTTGCCGGAGATGGACGACACGAAGGCCTTCATGGAGGAGACGGAGAAACATTTTTCTGCCTCGCCGGCCCAAGCAGATCCACAAGGCCGGGGCGGCGCAACGAGTCACATCGGGGGCACGGAGAGCCCCTTCGCACGCTACCCGAGCAACGCCCCGCACCTCAATCGGTTTAGTTTGAACTTTGGCCGCACCTGCCTCAACATCGGACAGCACCTGTATCGCGAGGGTGGTGTGGGCAGGGCGAAGGACGCCCTAACGCTGCTGCATCGCTGTCTGCGCGTTTTCCTGCCGTGCTGCGTGACGGAGACGGTTGCGCGGGAGGCGGTGGTGGACGTGGTTCAGATGCTGCCCGCCCTCGTTGCACGCAAGATGCAGGCGGATGCGAACTCGACCGCCACCGCAGCTGCGTCGTCGTGCAGTGGGGCAAACAATAGCAATGGCAGCAGCAATGGCAGCTGTGTTCCGTGCAACAACAGTGCGAATAACAGTCTCGGCAACGCAGGCGCGGAGAAAACCCCGGCCGGCTTCGTGACGGCGTCGTGTTCGTCACCCGAGCTGTACCGCGATGCGCTGCTGCTGTGCGGCAAGTTTGATATTCCCCTTCGGCGTGCCTTTGTGGAGACGGGAGGGAGCGCGGGAGACCCGCTCATGCAGGCGTTTTACGCGCGCTGCTTGGTGGCGTCGAGCGCGGCGGTGTGCACGGTGGTGGCCGCATCGCTTGAGGCGTACTACTGCGGCTGCCACCACCTGCGTGTGATGCGGAAGGCGCGCAGTGAGGCGAAGTCCAAGGACGGCAAGAGCACCGCCCTGCGGGGGGTCGATCACCGCGAAGACGTCATGGTGGTGCTCGCCTCCATGATTCAGGATTTGCTGCAGGTGGTAGTGGAGGGTTTGGTCCGCTTGGAGGAGACGAGCGCACTCATCAGCCCGCTGCACGCAGCAGAGGCAGCATCAACCACCACTACCACAACAACAACAACCACAGCGGCAGCAGATAGCCCTTCGACGTTGAAAGTCCCCCAGAGCACAACGAACACATGGGCAGTGCCAGCGTCAGCGCTGCAAACATTGATTGCCGCACCGCCTTCATCGACTGAGAGAGCGATTACACGGAATGCAAAGGGCGCCAAGGAAGAAGCGGGCTCGGTGGGGGACTCCTCGTCGTCGACCGCCTCTTTGGAATCCGTTCTGTCCCCCGCCAGCTCCGCTTCTGAGGGGGAGGAGGGCACCACGAACACCGCGACCACAAATGGCAGCAGCAAACACCATGCGCGTCAGTTGCGCACTTCGTCGCCAGCGCGTGTCGCCGTGACGGCAGCACAAAGCGGCGCCATCGCAGTCGACGGCAGCACCGTCAGGACGGCACCGTGCGGCACCGTAGTTGACCCTCGCACGCAGGTGGACACAACGCCGCTGCGGTCTGCCCTGTGCGAGCTCTACGGTGATGTGGTGATGCTGGCCATGGCGGACGCAGCAAGCGGTTTTACAACCCGCGCACTGGGCGAGCTCGGGGCTCGTCTGGAGGCCCGGGCGCAGGCGCAGTCCCAGCGACTGCCCACCACCTTGCTGTGGCTAACCGCGTTGAAGCCGGATGTCGTGAGCCTGTCCTTTACAGCCCTGCGCTTCTACGGCCGTGTCGCGACACACACGCGGCGCCACCTCCTCAAGCTGGCGCAGGTGTACTACCTGGTGGGCAAGGAGCACCACCGCACGGCGCGCTACACAAAGGCGCTGGAGGTGCTGCACCGTGCCAAGTCGCTGCTGCAGGCGTCGCACAAGGCGCCGGAGGATGTTGTGTTTGGTGACGCCTTCGGCTCGCACGGCTTGATGCAGTGGGCAGATGTTATGCTGCTGCTAGGTGATGTGTACCGAAGCGTGGTGGAGCGGAAGCTGGAGACGGCACTGGGCGTGGCAGCCATCACCGTCGCCCAGCCGCTGTTGGTGGGCCCGCTGCATAACTTACCAGAGGAGGCCGACACCTTCTTCGCCCAGGCGCTAAACGCGTACAAGCAGGGTGGGTCGGACGAAGGCTGCAAGTCGGCCAAGGCCTGCACGCTGCTGCTCTACGCATCCGTGCTTATGGAGCGGGTTGCCTTGTCCGGTGAGCCTGCCTCACACGCCGCCTCGCAGCGCATCGCCGAGCTGCTGCGCGATTCGGAAGCGTTGGCACCGTCGCTCTATGTGGCGGAGCGCGAGTGGCAGACGGTGCGCCTCTTCACGGTCACGAGTCCCACCGCGGCCGACGGCGCCCTCACACGGGCTGTGGAGGAAATTCTTCTGCGCTTTGCGTGCTGCACGTTGCAGCAGGTGCGGGCCACCACAGACGACGGCGCGCTCGAGCCGCCGCCGAAGGAGCCGCTGTGGGTCGATGCGGATGTGGTGGACTGCTACGCGCACCGCCGTGAGCGCCACGTTCTGCCACCGCCGTGTTCGATGATGGCCGAGACGCAGAAGGCGCTGGCGTGTTGTGTGATGGTCGAGCGGCTCGCACCGGCGCGTACCGCCGACGTCACGGCGCGTGGCCGGGAAGTGGCGAGGCCCACGGCTCTGGTCACCGCCTCGGAGAGTAAATACCGCAGTCTGCTGCGCTGGATCGGCAGAGCCGCCGCTTGTATGACGACGGCGCTGCAGACCTTCTTGAGAAGCAAAGATGTCTGGCGGACCGCCGCGGCACGGCATCAGTGGATGTCGACGCTGCGGACGTGGGGTGAGCAAACACTCGGGAGCTGTCTGCATCACCTGGTGTGCATGATTACCCTGCGGCTGCTCAATGCGGCGCAGGGGCGGCTGCCAGGTCCGAAGCAGGCGGAAGCACGCGAGGCCTTCAAGCAGGTAACGATGAAGCTCGAGGCGGGGTCAGGTGCGAGCGCCGACAGCGATGAGGCACACGAACTCATTGTCAAATCGCTGAAGGAGCTCAACGAATTGCTGGTGCCCTTCACGGAGTGGTAGCAGCCTTACGTAGACCATTACATGCAAATATATATATATATATATATGAAGCACACTGGCACACACGTATACGCGTTGTACAGCGACACAGTGAGGAGCAACTACTCTTCTTCTTTTCATGGTGGTAGGACAGAGAGACACCGGAATTCGGCGAGTGCACGTAGGGTGTGGTCAGCAGTCGCGCCTCCCGGGTCCTTTGTTCACGACCTCTCCCCCTTCTGCGATGCAGCGGAGGTGAGGTAGGCCTTTCCTCTGTCCTTGCTGTTGTTGATGCTCGACAACCCCTCCACCGTTTTCTTTCCGCCTCTGGTGTCGTTGTCTTCCCGATCGCGCGGCCATGTATCGCTGCTCGTGAATGCACTTCGCGTGCATTCTTTCTTGGTGTTGTCGCTGCCGTTCGCCTGCCTCTTCTTGCCCGTTCCTCCGTGAAGGACTTGTTCCCCCTTCCATTGTGTTTTACTCCTCTCCTGCTTCTGGGCTGCGGTTGCAGCTTCTGGGGCTTTGTGCCGAAGCAGCTGTGTGGGGGTACCATGTTTTCTCCCTCTGATTCTTTTGTTTTCTTGGAGCTGTCCCGCACGCTGACGAGCGTGTTCCCCCCGGCCGCCTGCCGCCCTCCACCTCCGACGCTCTCAGACTTGCCGTTGTTTCTTTCTTCACTTCTTGCTGTTAAGGTCCTTTCCTCACATAACGCGCCAAATCCTTCGCGATAAGCGGCGGATTCGCCGGCGCAGCGAAGCTCCTCTCTCTCGTCATGCTGGTTTCCTTTCTTCGGCTACGCTCTTTGATTTTATCTTTTTGACTAATGAAGCTTTTCCCCTGTGTTCTTCGTTTGAAATATCTAGCAAACCCCGTTGCTCAAACAGGCGAGTTCAACGTCAACAGAACTGTGCACTATCCTTGTCGACGGACGCAGCGATGTCACCGTGGCCGACGCTTCTCACCGTGAATGGTGAAGCAATCGCAACCCTTGATCGTCTAACCGTGGCTGCGTAGAAGGGAAAAAATGGATAGCGGAAGGGAGAGACACGTGTTTGGCTGCTTCACGGACGTTGGTGTTTCATGCTGATCAAGTACGTGGAGTGCCGTCCCATTCACAGCAGCAGCCTCACCTGATCAAAGGCAGCTTCACAGGCGAGGCTGCTGCGACGGCGCATCACGATGTTATCACGCATCTTCAAATCGAAGCCGCATTGACACCCATTTCCTTTCTTCTTGCTTTTTTCCTTTCTTGAGCATCATGATGCTGCGGAGAAGGTCAACAACGACTTCTCTAGAGAAAACAGGCGTTGACGCCCCGGCAGCTGGTTGGTCTTCGTCAGCTCCTCACTGTGTCGGGGAGAAAGATTTGGTCAGCTCCTACTTCGTGTGACTTCAGGCGGCGACCACCTCCTCTTCTACGCCGGAGTTGCTTCTTCTAGCCAGTGAGCTCTTGGCCGGCACACATACATTTTTTATATTCCTCAGCAAATGCAGGGTTTTTGCCAGCGCGGTGTGCGCGGGAGCCGGCCGATGGCAGTCGCCGCCCTCTCCCTCTCCGCCATGCGCCTCTCCTCCGGCCAGTTCACCCATCCCTCGCAGCACTACCGTCGTCAGCACACCTTTAACACGCTGCCCATGCACGACGCCAATCGGTTTGGCGGCCGCAGCGCGTACCTGCGCGAGATCGGTCCGATCGACCACAAGAAGAAAGGTCGCCTCTTCAAGCGCGATCCAGCCACGCTGCAGTTCAACGTGGACGTATGGAGCGCTCAGCAAACCCTGCGCAAGCAGTGGAAGAAGCGCGACTGGGACGTGGTGGAGATGCCGTTTGAACTGGCGCCGAAGGAGCTGCAACGCGTGATACCGGAGAAGTACACGGACGTGCCGATGATGGCGGACCCGGCCCGGCACGACTACATGAATATCCGACGTAAGGTCTACGACCGCGAGGAGCTGCAAGGCGCGCTCTACGCGGGCAGCGGGCCGCCGCCGTACCCCTCGATTCAGCGGGTGGAAAAGCCTGCGATGACGCTGGACAAGTTTATGTAAGGGGAGAATTAGTGGAAGTGAAGGAGAGGTGCGCCTTCTCTGGGTGAGGCAAGATGATCGGTTTGAGGGGGCCAAACGGTGTGTGGCGTCGGTTTCTGTTTGTTTAACTTTTCATAGCGCTTTTGCTTTCTGCGCTTCTTTGATGGACACGTCGAGCTCTTCAGCGTGTTGGGCCCCGTGCGCAACGGCGTTCAACCACCGCACAACGAAAGGCGCCGTGCGTCTCCGCAGCCCTTCCAAAAGAAAGAGGGCGTGGAGGGAGGGGTGGATGGCAGAGAAGACAGCTCATGGTGATAGCGAAGGCAAAAGGAATAGATGTGGCGCCGCGCACGACTCGCAACGGGCAGCGGCGATGAAGGCTCAGCCGACTATCTCGAAAAGGGAACAAAGGAAATATTTCTGATGCTCGTCGCTTCTACACACGCCCTGCTTCTTCTTCCGACCTCGCCGCACCACCACCGCGGATGATCTGGGTCGCGCAACACAGTCCATGCTCCTCCACTCAGCAAAAACCGTAACTAATTAATACAAAAAAAAAACAAAGAAAAAAAAGATATACATCATCGAAGATGATCGGCCCCAACGAGAGCAGCAATGCGGACCGTCTGGACTACCTGTACCTTAACCTGGTGGGCCAGATGGTGCAGATCCACCTTATCGATGGCGCCCTGTGCGAAGGCCTCTTCGTGTCTCGCACGGATGCCGACGGGGCGGCGGATGAAGCGGGCGTTTTCATATCCTATCCTCGTTTCCTTGCCTCAAAGCAGCACGATGCCCTGGAGGCGTCGGAGCTGTCCGATGAGACGCGGTTGTTCCGCTACGAGGACATCATGATGATGGAGGCGAAGGCCATGAAGCTGCGCACGGAGACGCCGGGCTCCGGCCACGTCTACACCTATCGTGGGGATCACGATCTGAAGACGCTCGACTGGGCCGCGGAGGGCGCGGATGATTTGCTTGACACCGACTCGCACGTCACCGGCCAGTGGGACCAGTTTGCGGCCAACGCGAAGTTCGGTGTGCGCACCTCCTACAACGAGGACCTCTACACGACGAAGTTGGATGAGTCGAAGCTGAGCAAGGAGCAGATTGCCTACGCCGAGCGGACGGCGAAGGAGATTGAGAACTCCGGCACCCGCAACCTCCAGCACCGGCTCGAGCGCTCCGACGTGGCGAATGAATACGTCGACGAAGGCGCGCTGTTTTCTGACGTCACGCGGGACGCACGCGGCAGCAAACGGACGGCGCAGGCGACGCGCAAAGAGGCCGCCGCTGCCGCCAGTGCTGTCGCGAATTCCAGCGCGGCCGCCGCGGCGCAGCCGAGCCCGACCCCGCCTGCCAATGTCCGCAGCGCCGCCGCCCGACACGTCTCCCCGCCGGTGGAGGAGCCGGTGGCCCCTCCCCCACCACCGCCGGAGGCAAACCAGCAGAACAAGACGACCTACAGTCCGAACCCGTCCGCGACGCCCTTCGTGCCGCTGCTAAAGAGTTTCCTCGCCAACGTGGCCGCCGTCGTGTCCAGCAACAGCGACTGCTTCCGGTGCCCGACGGACTGGCCGGGCGATGTGGACTTCTATGACCGCGACGTCTCGCACTATTCTCGCCAGCAGCAACCCCCGCCGCAGCAGCAGAATATGCATCACAAGTACCACCAGCAGCCGATGAACCCGATGCCGAACCGCGGCCCCATCAACCACCACCAGCAGCACCACGTGATGCCAAACCCGATGACGTACAACAACTCCCCTGGCCCGATGGGGGGGCCGCACGTCCAGCCGCAGCACATGCAGTACATGGATCCCGGAAACAACGGCATGATGCCTCCGCACGGGCCGGGGCCGATGTCTGGGCCGTCCTCCAACCGCATGCAACCGCAGCGCACAGCGAAGACGTCGCAGCCGCAGCAGCCGGTGCAGACGGCGTCGCAGCCGCTGCCTCCCCCTCCACCACAGCAACAGCAGCAGCAGCAGCAGCAGCCACCTCCACCGCAGCAACAGCAGCAGGCGGTTCCTGCCATCGACAGCACCTCCCCGCAACCGGAGCGCGCGACGACCGGGGCGAAGAAGCTGCGGCGCGGCGGCATGGCCTCTGCGGCTCGGCAAGAGAGTGGAGACAGCGCCCCTGTGGGCAAGAAGGGGGCTAAGTAGGTCGTTCGGAGAGGCGCCTTGTTGTCTTTTCTTTCAATTTAGGAGACGGAGTGGGTGACAGCCAAAAACGCGGAGGAAAACACACACACACACACACACACACGCACGTTCACACATGTGTAGACGGGTCCGTGGTGAAGGGGGGTTGGCGACGCTTGATGGGAGTTGTATCCGTCCTCTCGACGACACATGTATTCTATTCTTTTCACTTTTCTCTTTCTCGCTGGCACCCAAAGCAGCCTTTGGGGGGCGCCAGCGAACGCGAAGAAGTTGTACGCTACGTCATTTATCGGACTTCGTTTTCAGCTCACAAGTTGTGGAGGAACCCGACGGTTTATCGGCATCATCAACTGCATATTATTATTATCACTGTTTGTGTGGTGTGTGTGTGTGTGTGGACGAGACGGCGACGGTGGAAGTATTGTGGAGGCACGTGTTGAGTTAGGTGTTTGGTGTTTAGAGACCGCAGCACATCATAAAGGAAAAGAAGGGAAGAGGCGACACTTTTGTGTTTCAGTTTGACCTGTTCCTCTCTTCATCGTTGGGCACCACCGGGAAGGAGAACGAGAAAGAAAGAACGCTTCGCTGCGGCTTCTGCGGTCGGTGTTCTTTTTTTTTTCTCTGTTGATCGCTTCGTAATAATAATGATAAAGACAGTAGTTTTCACTTCACCAAGAGAAACAGAAATTATTATTACTATCATTATTTGGTGCTTACTCACTAGAATTAATGTTGTTGGGGTGTTGTTGCGGTGAAGGAACGTTCGTGTTTCTTGTAAGTTCATGCCGATGGGGGAAAAATACATAATGTAGCGCAAACTTGATGGCAGTGGAAGGGTTTCTACGCGAGGGGCACGGTCATGTGCGGTGGAAGATGAAGGACTCGAGGGAACTGGCGCTTCTTGCGTCTTCTTTTCCCTACTGAGCACCGGTTCTTTTTGTTCTCGCCTTTTGCAGGTCTGTGGTCCTGTAAACGTTGTGTCAACGAAGGAACCAAAAGAAAAACGCGGAGCTCTTGCTGCTTATCTACTTCAACTGCCAACACAACGCAGGAAGAAGAACTTCGGGTTTGGGTGGAGACACCTCAGCGCATATTTGCCTTGTTTTTCGGCCTGCTCGTCTGCATGTGATATACCTCTTCTTTTTTCTCCTTCCTTCTTACTGCAAACACTTGCGTTTTGAATTCCACAACGGTGCTTTATGCGCTGTTATTTAGTAGTCACGAAAGGAACGGCACCGAGTCGTTCTGATGAATGCAGCACGAATCCCGCGAGGAGCGGCCGACGGTGGCAATAGGAGGGGTACCGATGAGTGCGCCTTCGTCCGATGAAGACACCACCCCCCGCTACATTCCATGCCGCGCACGCTACGCGCTTGCTTCTACTGGAGTACTGGTGGAGTTTCCCGACGAGGTCGACGGATGAGGAGAGTTCAGCCTGCTCAGCGTCTTCATCACTCTGCTGCAGAATTGCCTCTACCTCTACAGGAGGCTCGACCATTACCAGCAGAGAAAGAGACGGAGGAAAATAGATTGGTGGATCGTATATATATATATATTTGGCTTCTCCTTTTATTTGCGTTGCCATCGGCGCAGCTTGCGTATCCGTATTGGTGGTTCTTGCGTGTGGTGCGAAACTTCTTTCTTCTGTGGACATGTTTGCTCTGTCCTTCCCTTTCATGAATGGGCGAAAGACGGAAACAACACACACAGACACGCAAAACGGGGCGGAGTTGTGGCGGTATAGTCGCACTTCCTTGAGGCAGGAAATTCATCTTCAAACGTATATCGATGCCTCCCCCCTTTCCTGTGGAGTTCTCCGCACGTGATGCCATGTTTGTGCGATCCATGAAGAGCTTTTTTTTTCTCCATTTGTCTTTCGCGAGATGTTCACCTTTTTTGTTAGTTTTCTTCCCTCGTTCATCTCCGTAAAGCAGTGCGTCAAAGTCCATCGCTTTCTGTCCTCTTCTTTTTCTCCTCACTCGGTTGCTTCACCGCGACAATAACGTCTGTTATTATTACTATCATTGCTACTGCTTTTGAAGCGTAAAAAGGATCTTGGGCTACTCCCCACTCCTTCACCAGCTGCAATGGAGTTTACGAACCGTTTGGCCAAAATGAAAGGTAAAGTTCATTATGTCACGATTCCAGCGGAGGAGTGGACCGATCTGACAGTTAAAAAATGCAGGAGTTTCTCAAAGAAGTATGGTGTGAGCTGGAAGAGAGTGTGGGAACAGGTACGCAGTGGAAATACCACCAACCGCACCTTTCCACTATTTCATTACATCCCTCATCTGCTATCCAATGAAGAACTTATCGGCGATATTGAAGAGTTGAAGCGCATTGTGCGGGAGAGAGAGTTAAACGGGGTGTCAGTGGCGAGCTTCCGATCTCGCGCGTTTCGTTCTCAAGGGCTAAGTCAACCGGAAGAAACGTCCGACAGCGATGTTGAGCCGTGCGAAGTCCCTCCCGCATTGCCACACCGTACCATTAACGAAGCGCTTGCTCGCGTCTACGACACGCGCGCAACAGCCTGCTTCGGTCTCCATCTTCTCGTCACGGTTCAGAACGAAGATGCTGCGACGCCCAACGACGCCGGCGTGCGTTCGCAGCTGAGCCGCCTCCCCATGTCAGCACTGCACAACATCATCTCTGAGTTGTCGCAGGTGCGGAGTGCGTGGGAACGTGAGCTACTGGCTCCCTGCGCTGCCGCCCTTGCCGAGGAACAGGCACACACGGAGGAGGAAAAGATTAACGCACTGCTCTTCCACATTTGTCTCTGGCAGCGACGATATCCGCTGGAATTGCTGTTGTGCGTCCTCTCGTTCCACTCCGAGCACCGAGATGCTTTCCTCCCTGCCACCCCTGCTGATCAGTGCGAGCCGTATCGCCTGGAGCAGCTGTTAGAGGAGCTGCAACGCCTGCAGTACCCCGACCTCTCGGACGTTCCCGGACTGATCCGGTGCGACGTGCTCATGACACACCCAAAGATGCCGCTGGGGGAGCAAACAGAACTGATGCGGCGGGTGGCGGCTTCGTGTCAGCGTCGTATGCGCGCAGCAGGTGCTTCCGATAACGAGGAAGAGGATGGAGCCGCGCAGGATGCGCTACGGCGTCACTCGCGCAGCGCGCCAGATCCGCAGCTGCTTCTCGCGCGGTTCGTCCCACCAGGTGTGCGCACCCCACGCCGTTTCTGCAGCGGCATGAGCACGGCGGCGTACCGCGAGATGCGAGCCGCCTTCGAGCGCCATAAGCGGGACGGTGTGCGGCGCCTTGCGGTGCAGGACTACGATGGGGAGTCGACGTCTTCAGCCCGACAGGCAGACGATCACCTCTCGCCTCACGGGAAGTGATGGCGCAACGCGGGAAGAGAGGAGAGAAGGGAGCACTACAACGACAGCTGCGAAACCCCAAACGAGTCGTAATGTGGTGAGTTTTATACGCGTTGTGTTGCATGGTGCGGCCTTCCTGCATCTCGGTTTCACGCGGGATGACCAGAGAGTGCCTGGTCTTCCTCGCACCACGGAGCAGCTCACATCGCTGAGGTGATGCACCGGTGTTGGTGGATAGCAACAAGTAAAAGATGAACCACATATGTTCGCTGCTGCTACACGCGTTTTGGGTGTTTTCGATTTCATTCCAACTGCTGTGAAGCGGCGCGACCCTTTCTGCGACCTGGATTGGGAGGTACATGTAGCACTTCTTTTAACTATATTATGAATACAGACTTTTCTCTTCAGATGCACGGCGCGCGTGCCAGATTTTCTTCTTCCGGTAGTGTATTAAACCTCCTTTTGGATTTTTGCTCACGGAAATTTCCAAGGATATTCCTGGGAGTGTTGTGGGGCAGCCTTTTCGATTTTATCTTTGCTTCTTTTACGTCTACGGCTCAAAACTCGCGACCCTTCTTGTTGTTTATATCTAAAGCATAAAGCGGCCGTTCACGACGTTCTCAGAAAGGAGGAGGGAGGGAGAAGAGCTACAGACGTTGCGTCGACCTGCACCAGTGTCGTGCTGATGGCGTGTCGTAGGGCTCACTTTTACTGTGGCCTGCTGCGCTCTCCCCCCCCCCCTCCTCTCTCTCAAATATATATATATATATTCTTCCTTTCGTTTTCATCATCGTCGTTATGTGTTCCCTTCCCCTTCCCCTTCCCCACCTTGTCTCAATCAAGCATCTCCAGAAGATTCCAGAAAGAACGATCTTGAGAAAAGGAAACGTATGTGTGGTGATCTCCAATGGGTATGTTCTTTTCTGGTCGGCTCCTTTCCGACCGTTCGATAAAGAAGGTATCTGCATTCAGTTTGTATCCCTTTTTAGGGGGAGGGAGGGGCATTTGGAATCCGCTTGCATTAAAGAACTCGGTGGAAGTAATTCATCCTTGTGGCAGGCTCACGCGCTTCCTTGCGCAACACCACCGCTGACATCATTGCGAGCACATCCCCTCTTCTTTTTCTTTCTTCTGATGATGCGACACAGCTGGTTTCTCCTACTTCCTCTTCTCTCTCTCTCTCTCTCTCTCAACGTATTCCTCTTCCGCATTCCTCTATTTTATGCAATTTGTATGCTCCCCATATTACTGTATCGTCGGTGCATTCGACCTCCTCCTGCCTCTTCGTGCTTCTTGTGGCGATAATGAAGAGCACCGTCTTCCCTGTCGCTCACCTGCATCTTCGCGTTATTTATTTCTTTAGTTGCCATACCTTTTCTTTAGTTTTCTCTCTTCCTCTTCTGTATTCGAGCGTTGACTTGTGTAGTGGCTGGACAACCGTGTTTTACCGGAGCTTTTCTGATTTTTTTGAAGTACTTCTCGCATATATACACCTATCTGTTTCTCTCTGTGTGTCGTTTGACCCCCTCCCCCCCCCCCCCAGTGATTCTCGTGTTATTCAGTCATGCAGGCCGTACTCACCCAAATTCATAAGGCCAATGTGAAGGCCATCGTGCTGAGCCGCATGAACATCATCATGGTGGCGCTCGATGGCGTTGCTATGCTGATGCTCATCGTCACCTGGGCCGTTTCCGTGTCAAAGGAAAAGAGTGGAGTGATTGCGCGTTACGCGGCAGGCATCATCGCCTTCATCCTGCTCGCCGTTTCGATGGTACTCTCCATCCTTGTGCAACGCCTACAGCCCCGCCTCTCGCTGCTGTACGTCCATCAGGTGTTCGTGGTGCTGACGCTGATTATCAGCGCGGTGAGCATGGGCATGAACAACGTCATCGTGGATCTGTGCAACCGCAAGAAGGAGCAGAAGGGTACGGCGTGTGCCTCGCACGTCGCGGAGACGATTGCGGAAGTAATCGTGGTGCTGACGATGGCCGTCGGCTACGCCCTGACCCAGCAGCGTATAGTCACCTTCATCGACAAGGGCATTCTGGATGGCATTAAGGGTCGCTCCAACGCTGGTGGCATGACGCAGCTGCCTTAAAAAGGAAAAAGAAAGAAAAGAGCCAAAACAGAGGCGCATCATGGCTCTGTGCGTTTCAGCAGGGGGTGCGAAAGAGCGGCAACTAGTTCTCGGGCATGCACTCTGTGAATCGAGTTAAGGCTCCGGGCTGCTCAATGTAGCTGCCGTGCATGCACAAGAGGTATACGTATATTCATACCACGTTTTGGTGGGTCTCGATATTTCTTGCTGAGCCGTCTTATCTGACTCACGTGTCGTTTCATATTTTCTTCTTTTGCCGACACACCCTCCTTCCCCCTCCCCCCTCTGTTTCTCGTAGATCTTTCCGCTGTATCGCTGTCCGACTGCTCTGTAGAGTTTTGCGATGCTTGCACATTTTTGTTTTCACTTCTCCTGGTCTTTTTAGGTGCTTTCCCGCAGACGTCTCTGTCTGGTCTGGAGAGGGGGGGGGGAGCTGCTTCGGCTGCTTCGTCGTGCTGCCGTGCGTCTACCACCGACCTACTCGCTCGCTCGGCCAAAGTCTTACTTTCATTTTCCTTTCTTTCCCTCCGTTCGCTCTCAAGGGCTTCTTTTCGGTTTCTACATTTCTGTTGTTTGTTTGCGTTGGCGCGTGTTTTGCTTCGAAGTTAGTGAGTCTCGGAGGGTTAAACGGATCATTTCAGGTTCTGCTCTCCCTCTGCCTTATCGGTTTTATTATTATTATTATTATGGTTGTGTCCGTGAGTTTGAAGGCTTTTGAATGTGTCTCTGTGTGTGTGTGTGTGTGTGTCTTCCCGTGACATTTGTTATACATACAAAACGGAGACGTGGCGTACACGGGGACACGGTGCATCCATGGCGCCGCTGAAAGCGCAAGAAAGCAAGCGAAGGAGAGAGGGGCGGTCGTAACTCCAGCCTCCGCGTTTTGGCTTCTGTTTGGCGCAACCTCCTTTGGTTTTATCCTCCTCTTGTTGGTGACCCCATGGCGCGCGAAACGGGCGTTGCGGAATGAAAAGTAAGAAGCGAAAAAAAGGTGTTTAACTCTGCAGTAACGTCCACGCCCACACTGGCATGACTCAGCAAAGTTCCAACTGTCAAATGGTGAGCGAGCTCTACGGCTCTTTGTGAACGCTTTCCCTGTTCCGCCTTGTGTCCGTTTAACGGAAGAGAGATGGCAGGATGTGTGTGTGTGTGTGTGTGTGTGTGTGCATCTGCATACCTCCTTCTGCTGTTCGTGGGACGATGAGGCGGCGTGTGCTTCTATGTTGTTGCCGTCTCGTTGAGGTAAGGCCGTTTGCGGTCGAACGCTGCTCAGTGCCCAAAACTGTCCGCCCCCCCCCCTCTCCCTCTCAGACACGTGTGGCGGTTCTCACCGCCGAATTCACTAGGTGTTCTCCTCCATTATTCCTCTCCACCTAACACGACAGCACTTTCTTCTCCCTCCACCTCCTTCGCTTCTTCCCACGGCGTACCCTCTAAGGTGCAACACGACCTGTATATATATATATATATTATTTTTTCTAACTCGGCGTAGAAGAACACCATGATCACAGAGGAAGGGCAGCAAACCGTTCTCCTTTGCAAGCCCAGCTGTCAGCATGCACACAACATCATTGTGCAAGAGCTGCAGGCAGGCGGCCTTGTGGTAGATCGACGCCTCTTCAATATCTCCCCGGAGCAAGTCATCGCCGTCGTTTTGCAGTACCCCGCCGTGAAGGGACGCGTGACGGAGCACTTATCTGCGAAGCCGAGCACCGCGGCGAGTGCTGTGGGGGCTACTGGGGCCGTGACCGCCGTTACCGAGGAGTCCTCAGACAAGGCAGCGGACTTGACAGATACCATCGAAGTGGCACAACGACACCGCCTGCGCCGCTACCTGGCACCGCGACAGGCTGAACTGCCGGATCGACGGCTGCTCTCGCGCATTCAGGAGCTCGCACAGGGAAATCGCGCCCACCCGGCGGCCGCCCCCGCCGCCGCCGCGACCGCAAACGCTGCGGGTGGCTCCACCGCTGCATTTTTGCCCGCGCAGAAGCGGCTCTCCAGCTCGCAGCACTCTGGCTCATCGGCAGAGGATCGGCGGCGGTCAGCGCGATCCGCCGCCGAGCCACTCCAGCATCTCGGCAACAACCGCAGCGGTGCTTCACACAACGCGCGTGCCACAACACTCGCCTACCAGCGCTCTCAGCTGTCCTTCACTGCGGTGGACACGACGCTGGCGGGTCTTGCGCTGGACACCGTGCTCGACCACCCCGCTCTGGAGTTTCATCTCGTGCGCCAGCATGTGGAACACTTGATTCAGGACGGGACGGTGCTCGTGCTGCTCGTCCGCGGCGTCGATGCAGTGGAACGCCTCTCTCAGCTTTGCGGACCCGACAACGTGGAGGAAGCGCGTCGCGTCGCACCGAACAGCTGGACGGCGCGGTTTGGAAGGGACGAGGTGCGCAATGCGGTGTACGCGCCGCGCACGTTAGCGGACGCACAGCCGGTCTTCAACGTGTTGTTTGGGTTCTCGCCGAATGCACGGACGGGGCTGGCTGGCAGCGGCATGAAGCAGCAGCAGCAGCAGCAGCACATCGTCTCCAATTCGACCTTTGCGCTTTCAGACGTAGCAGCGCCGCCCCCGCTAACCTTCGCTGCTCTTCTGCCTGCCCTGCGCTCACAGGTGGATGCGCAGCGGCGCCTTTCGTACTACACTGGTGTGCCAAACGTGGGCACGCCGCCGATGTCCGCCACCTCCGACGCCGCGCAGGTCTCCATGACCTCCTCGATGGGCACGCGGCAGGGCGACGTCTCCTCCACAAGCACGAGCGCGGCGCATCCAACCGCGATGACGCGTTTATCGTGGGCGACGCCGTATCCGGAGCGGCGGGAGCGGCTGGACGAGCTCGACGATCTTCTCCAGCAGCGTACCGTGGGGTGTTGATGCGCAACGACGAGTCGGTGTTACCGACTACGGGAAAAAGAAATCGCTGGCATCGTCCCTCGCTTCATATACATATATATCTTTGTATTTGCTACGGCTGAAGAAGCAACCCGCCTTCCAATGTACACTAACGTTGCTTTTATGCCACTGCTTTATTATTAATAGTAGTAGTACGGTTGTGGTGGTGGTGATTGACGTCTCTGTGCCTTTCTGTGGGCCTTTGCATCTCTCGCCCAGGCTGGTGCGCATGTGCAGTATCTATTTTCCTGTTGTTCTTCTGATTATACATCGTCTGGCGTTGTTCACGCAACTTGAAGAGTGGCTTTGTGACGGCGCCGTCACTTCAACCGAGCAAAGGACCACCAAAAGCGGAATAACAGACGCTTGCATTTTCCTGCTAGGCAAGTTTGGGGCAGGGTGCTCCGCCTGAGCCGTGTTGCACCTCTGTGGCGTTATTGCTGTTGTTATGCATCGCCTCCTATACGACGCATCGCATCGAGCGTGCTGTTCCGTCCTCGGCGCTCCTCTACGAGAAGAGCTCTGCGCTTGCCATGTGCAACTTCACGTTGGTTTGTTACTCTGCCTTTCCTCTCCCTCTTCCTCTCTTCTTTGTTTATCTTGAGCTTTTTTACGATGATCATGATGATTGTTGATAACTCCGTTTCCTAACGATTACGGCCGACTTACTCGCACAACAGCTCTCGCCTCTTTTGTTTTGCATTTAGTTTTTGTCTCAGCTTCTTTGTTTTGTTTAGCTTCCGTGTTCACTATTACGGTAGTGCCGACGGTGTACCATTGTTGAGCAATACAGCTGGCCGCGCATTTCTTATTGGCTCGAGGCGGACGTTGTCGCTCGAGTGTCGCCCTCTCTTCCCCTCGCTGTCCACCTCCTACGTGTAGATATATATATATTTGGCACAGTTCTTACGATTGACGTCAGCTGAGGTCGAAATCACAGCTCAATAAAACCAGAGTTTCGGTCGCCGCGCACTTCCTCTCTTCGTAGGTTTTTTTTATTTCCTCACACAACACTGCGTGTGTGTGCGTGTGCGTGTGCCACTGTTTTCGCTGAGCTGGCGGCTGTGGTGGTTGTTTGGGTAGAAGAGCAGCGCCGAGGAGTGCCCAGCCTTTTCTTTCATCCGCCTTGTTTCTTTCTTTCTCTCTCTCTGTCGGTGTGTGTCGGTGTGCGTTTCGCCCGATACGCGAGCTCATATTTCCGTTCCTCCGAGCACCTGTCTTTCTATATAAATATATATATATATAAGCCTTGTCGTTGGGTCTGTGAACTGCTGCGTCGTGCTGTGGCTGCGGTTTTCAATTGCCCTCTGTCTTTCTCTTTTCAGTTTCTTGCTGAGCGAGTCGTGCGTTTTGCTTTGTTTGTTTTCCAGCGTTTGTCGATAGTTGTATCTCTTCCTCTCCTGTGTGCGTACGCGTGTTGGGCTGTCTGTGCTACGTGGCGCTCCCTCGCCTCCGGCAATCCCATTCACTCCCCCTCTCCCTCCCCCCATCCACAACCACCACCAAAAGGAAAAATACGAGCAGCTGTCCACGACGTGTGCCGTGCGTGCGTTGTATGCTCGTGCAGTGGCCGTGAGGAGGGAGCAAACCAGCGAAGCGAAGACATTTAAGGGGATTCTTGTCCGTGTAGCCTCCCACACAAACACACCCACGCCCACGCAAAGTCAGTCATGGTGAGTCGGAGCTTTTACCCAGGCCGGACCACCTCCGCGCCGCTCGCCCCACCGGCACGCGGCATGCCGTCTTTCCGCACCGCGACGGAGCGGCCTACGGCGTCGCCGCCCGCCGGTGGCGTCCTCCCCCACCACCACAGCGGCCTTCCTCGAGCTCCTCTCCCACGCCAGCCCGCCAGCCCCGCACCGCCGCCGCCAGAGGAGAAGGAGGAGAAGAAGAACAGCAGCAAGGACGTGGCGCCGGTGGATGTGCCGTACCCGGAGGACCACATCTACAACGTGGAGGACTTCATTAAGCTGCGCCGCTGCGTCGCGATGGTGCCGGTTGCCGTGATGGAGTACGCGCGTGCGATGTGGCGCGAGATGCCGGAGAACATGGACGACATGGAGAACAACTCCCTGCGGGACAACCTCTTCCGGGAACAAAACGCGGCTATGATCTCGAAGGTGATGGTTGACCGAAAGATCCAAAATGAGGTGCTCGGCATATTGGGCAAGGTGACGGTGTCAAACCTCGATAAGATGAAGCAGGAGCTCATTGAACTACCGATCCGCCAGTCCACCGATGACGAGATCAACGAGGTGATTAAGGTGTTCTTCAACAAGTCCACAAAGCCGGAGGATAGCTGCTTCACCGACCTGTACGTCCAGCTCATCGCGCACTTGATCTCCACGATTGGTGAGAAGGAGCAGGCCGGTCGTACGATCCGCAAGGAAGTGCTCCGGCAGTGCCAAAGCACTTTCATGAACTCGAACGTGAAGCAGGCCGAGATGGAGGCCAACTCAGCCCAGCTGACGCCCGAGGAGGCGGAGTTCGAGCGTCTTCAGTTCTCGGGCAAGCAAAAGGCCAACATCCACTTCCTTGGTCTGATGTTCACCAATGGGCTCGTGCACCCGAGGGTGGTCCGTGCCGTCCTCGACTCCCTGCTCTACGGCGGGGGCCAGCGCCGGCATGTGCCGACCGACTACAACTTAATCCACTTCATGGAACTGCTGCAGGTGTGCGGCCCTCACCTGGACAAGGCCTTCTACGAAGACCCGCTGCCCCGTTACATCGAGACGATCACCGACCTCAGCCGCACCCACCCACAGAAACGCATCCAGTTTCTGCTCCTCAACTTCATGGAGATGATGAACAACAACTGGGTGCCGCTGCACGGGCCGACAGCGCCACGCGGTGCCGATGGCAGCCCCGAGCCGGCGAGCAACAGCAGCCACCGCGGCGCCAACGGCCGCAGCACGAACGCGTCGCCCATCGTGCCCATTCCGATGCCAATCCCGGAGGCGCAGCCGAAAATCCCGGACTACGAGGAGTTCTCAAAGGTGATGGATGACTTCTTCGTCAGCAGCTCCGTCGATGAGATCGTGCTGCTGATGGGGTCCATCCCGCCAGAGTCGGTGGTGGCCTACTGTACGAAGTGGCTGGGCCGCTACATCAACACGTACAAGTACACGGCGGAGCGCACGCGGCTCGGCGAGCTCTTCGAGACACTCATGAAGAAGAACGCGATGACGGTGGAGCAGGCGCAGGAGGCGCTGCTGCAGCACGTGCAGAAGTCTGCCGATGAGGAGCTGTTCGCGGACATCCCCAAGTACTTTGTGCATTGGGCCTCCCTCATCAAGCACGGCCACAGCGTGTTTCCGTACTCGCTGCACACGAGGGTGCTAAACATGCTCGTGGAGAGCCATGTAGACATGAAGGTCATCGCGACGATGGTGCGCCACGTCGAGGCCGAATCGAAGCCGGAGCAGCTGAAGGACTTGAAGCCGCAGGATCGCTTCCGCGTGCTGCAGGCGGTGCTGCGATACACACCGCCGCTGTTCACAGATCGCTCGAACATCGACCCCCAGGCCCCACTTATCTTAGAGCTGGTCGGCGTCGAGGACCCCGAAGTGGCCTACTTTGTGGAGCTGTGCCAGTCTTACGACGCAAATGAGCTGCACTCGAACCCGAAGCTGAGCGACATGCAGAAGCAGTCACCCGTGCTCGCCGCCTCCGCCTTTTTTACATTTGTCCGCTACGACGTGAACTACCTGTGCACGCAGTACAAGGAGATCCTTCGCAAGATCTTCACCGCACGCCCGGCAGACTCGCTGTTGGTGGAGGTGTACCTGCAGTGGAAGACGCTGGACTGCTCCCACCGCTTCCTCTTCGCGTTTGTGCGGAAGGTGCTGGATGTGGTGAACAACCGGATGGATGTGCTGAACAAGCTTCTCACGCAGCTGCGTACCACCTACAAGGAGGAGCAGCTGGTGTCGCTGCTGGAGGAGGCGATCAAGGAGCGCAAGTAACAGTGCGCGTGGAAGGCGGTTTTGGCCAACCCGCGAGGGTGCGAGTAGATCGACGTGTTTCTGTGCCGGGCTTGGGGCCTTCTCGTTGCGCGTGTGTGTGCTTGTTGACAATGATTTGTGGACGCGATGTGCGCTCATCTTCCTTCCGTCTCATTCGGCTCACCCTCTCTCGCACAGCGGGGTGAAGGGTGGAGCGGTGGGATCTTCACGTGTGCTGTTCCTGTCGCCCTTGCTGCTTTGGCGCGAGTGAACCGCACGGACACGCAACGTGCTGGCTGGGGCACGCTGCTGATGTGAAAACTATTTTTTTTTTTGTATTTCTTCAGGGGAGTTTTGCCCCTTTTTCTTTCAGGGAGGATAGGGGAGGGTTGCGTGTGGAGTTAATGCTTTGGTCCTCCGTCATTCTCCCCGTGTTGCTGTGTAGCGCCGTTGGCTCCCACGCAGGAGAGGCGACTCAGAAGCCGCGCGTTTGCGGGTCGGTGCGCTCGGCCCACCGCCGTCTTTCCCCACGCCGTTGCACATCTGGCTTTCTTTTTTGTTGTTGGTTCTTAGCTTTGATGGAGGCGTGTTTTCTGTCCCGTGAAGAAGACCGCCGAGGAGGCCGCGACGGTTGCCGCCGGCGAAAAGCGCGTGTTTCTTTCTTTTGAATTCACGCCCAAGTGACGTAGCAACTGTAGAAGAGAGAGAAGGGAGGGAGGGAGGGGGGCGGCACGACGTTGGAAGCGACAGCGTTGCCGCAGGCTGGGCAGGCGCTGCGCAGCGCAGGTGAGAAGGGTATAGCGTTTCTTTTCTTTCCTATTATTATCATTATTTGGTGTTATGCGTGATTTGCATGTATACTAACAGCTTTCTGAGCTGAGGACTTCGATGCGAACTCGACGGCTTACGTTCACTCTTTGCGTCACCGCATCGATGTATGTGGGTGGGTGGGCACGTGCTGACCTCCACGCGGTTGCGCTCCGCTGTTTTTTTTTTGACTCCCTGTGTGTGTGTGTGTGTGTGTATGTGTTTAAATTGGCAGGTGGTTTTCTTGTTGTTGTTGTCGTTTCACGTCACTCCTGTCTTACGTTATCTCAACGTGTTACCCCTCAGCAAACCAATGCATGCAACCAGCGAAAGGAGATGAAATACGCGCCGTTGTGTTCTGGTGAAGAGTGATCCCGCACCGCCGCACCTCAGCCACGTTGCGCTCACCGAGTTGCGCATGCTGTTTTCTGTGAAGGGGAAGGAGGGCGGGGTGAAGATGATCGATGGTGTGGCCGAACGTCTGCGCACGTGCTACATCAGCGGAAGATGAAGTAAGGAAGGAGATGTCTTGCTGCTTAGATGGCTCGGCCGTTTTTGGTACGGATCTCTCATCAAGTAGAACCTCCCCCAAAAAGGGACTGCTGTCGTGTGCATTCGCGAAGCGTTCTCTACTACTGAGGTATATATTTTTTTTCCCTTTAGTCACGTTCCACCTTCTCCTGCTCCCTTTGCTTTACTTTGTTTTCCGCATGTCATTTGTTCGTTGAGCAGTGTCAGCTGGATGCCCTCGCGCTCCTCGGACGCTTCGACGCTTCCCCTCAGCGAGGACGTCTCTAGTCTGCTTCGTTTGGGGCGGCACGTGCTGCAGCAGCAGCGGGAGCAGCGCCGACTGCCGTCCCTCATGCACTCCCGTTCCACCGCTGTCGTCACGCCTGTTCGCGGCAGACCTCTCTCGATCTCGAGCCACCGTCCTCCACACTTGAATGCCTCGGCCACGCGGTTATCTCCCTCTGCGCGCCCTACCGTGTCATCTTTCCTCACCCCAGCGCCTCTCCACACGCAGCAGTCCGTTCGCGAACTCCGCACACGGCTCGCCCAGCTCGCCGCGGTGGAGGCAGATAATGCCCGTGCCTTTGAGCAGCACTGGTCACTGCTGCAGCGGGGTCGAGATCGGCTGGCGCGCAGGCACGACCCGTCAGCGGCGGCGCAGCGGGAGCGCTACATCGAGAAGCTCATGTCGACGGTGCAGGCCATCGTGGAAGGGGAGGACATTGTACGCGACGCTCTGCGCGAGGTGGCGGATCGGCTCGCGCAGCTTCAGCGTCGTCAGGAACACAACGGTGGAGAAGGGACGTCAAGTTCTTCCGTAGTGGCGATCGGTGAAGGCGGAAAGGACGCAGAGGAGCGCGAGGAGGGTGCGGAGCTGACGAAGTTGGTGCCACGCATTAGGCAGCTCGCACAGCAAATCGTGGACACCTACGCACGCCAGCAGGAAGACGCGGCCGCGAAAAGAAAAGGCGCTGAAGCGCTGCTGCGACAACGCGCAGAGGCGGTAGAAACCCAGACAAGACGCCTGCAGGCTCTACAAACTGAAGTGGCGCGCCTCACGGACGTGGAGGAGCAGCTGCAAAAGGAGGTGGAGGACAAGATGGCACGAAGGGCGGCACGCGCACACGCCATTGCCCTTCAACGCGCAACGGCAACTTGTCGACACGCAACGCACGAAGCGCTGCGCGGGCTGACACGGTTGCAGGAAGCGGCAGCGCAGCGCAATGCCGTGGTGCGACAGGAGTGCGCCGCCAGCGATGCCGGCTGCAAAGAGGCACAAGCAGCCTACGATGTGGTGCTGTGTGAGCACACGGCGGTGGAGGCGGCGCTGCAGGACGCACAGACGCAGCACCGTCATGCGCAGCGACGCCAGGAGGAAGCCACAGCGGAGGTGCATCAGCTATCTCAGGCTGTAGCGGCGGTGGAGCAGCAGTGCGCTGATCTGCGTGCTCGGCAGCTTGCCTGTGAGGAGGACCGTGAGGCTCTTGTGGAGATGATGGCGCATCGCCGGCTGCGGCACACGCATTATGTGGGTTTGTCCTCCTTTTCCTCACCTCTCCAGGCAGCGGAGGCGAGCGCCAGTGCCTTGTACCAACCCGAGGAGCGTCTTGCTGCTTTGCAGCGCGAGCTGCCGTTGCTGAAGGAGCAGCTGAGGGCCCACGAAGAAGAGGTGGCGGATCTTCAGCGCGAAAGTGCGAGCCTTCAGGAGAGACTTCGCCACGAAAAGGCCGAAGTTGCGGCTCTGCAGGAGCAGAAGACAGCGTTGGAAGTGCATCTGGTCAACGAAGCGCCGCCAACGCTGACGTGAAGACCTCCCTTTTTAAAACTTCTTCTTTATTTCGAGGCCGTACGCCACATTTCATTGCGTTTCTGAGCCACTTCTTGCGACCGCATGGACGCTCTGCCTTCGTTGTCGCTGTTGTTGACTTTTTCTCTCCCGCTGACCTCCGCCGTGTGCATGCCGTCGCGGCTGTTCGTCATAGAGGACGTGAACGCTGCGGCGCATCACCTCGTCGAGAATGGTGAAGACACCGAGAGAGACGCACCTCCAACTGCGACAATAAAATCCCTAGAAAGAAAGGTGAAAAACAAAAACCCGGCAACGTGTTCGCACTGTGAGAAAGCACGGGATGAAGCAGTCGACTGACGCTACATGGAAACGTCAACATCCACTGCAATGAAAGATGTGGGTGAAGAGCGCTCGAAGCCACGAGCATCTTCTTTGGTTATTATTATTATTATTATTTCCTCTACACCCTTTTGTTACATCATCCGGCAGTCTCATTTATTTAGGAGGAGTACTCCTCCTTCAGCGCATTTCACTCGAACCCTGACATATCACAAATGATGAAGTTTCACTTACACGTTGTAGACGGCAATGCAGTCTCCACCAGCGCCTCTGCCGCCTCCACCTCTGCCTCTGCAGACACCTCCGAGAGCAGTGCGGTGCTCCTCTTCGCTCACATGACACTCCGCTGCGGCCATCTCGCTGATGTGGTCGCGGTGAGCGCGAGCACCACGCCTGCCGCGGTGCGTCTGGCACAGCTGCAGCAGCAGCAGCAGCAGCACGGGGCATCCGCCTCATCAGGGAGTGCTTCCGCAACGGTTGCGATAGGGGGCGCCGCGGCTCTCGCCAATCCAAACTCGGCCGACGCTACGGAGAGCGAGGACACGAAGGTGCTGCAGGCGGCGGGGGCTGTGCTGATGGGTGCGGTGGGTGTGGACAGCGACGAGGCGTACGCCCTGCCCTATGCACCGCTCGCAGATGGCGGGCACGTGCCCATCGAGCCCTACGCGTACTTCTCCACCCCGTTTGCGGCGGCGGAGCGGTCGCTGCGCCACACGATCGCCGCTGCCGCAGCGCAGGCTCAGCGACCTGCAACATCGGTGACTCCTCCCTATTATGACCTCATCGCGACGACAGACATGACCACCTTCGAGTACGTCTTGGATTACTATCAGCAGCTGCGTGTGCGGTACGGTGGCTCCGTCGTGGGCAGCTGTGGAGGAAGCGGTGGAACGAAGCCGGTGGGCGTCCTGCACATCGTCGCGGAGGACCCATCGAGGGCCGCGCGGGTGCTGCAGCGAGTGCTAGAAATGGTCCTCCAGCGTAGTGGGTGGGCGCTCGCCGTAGACGCAAACGCAGAAGAGGGCGAGCAGGCGCAGGCGGACGACGACGACGATGCCCTCGCTGCACAGCAGCAACACAACGGCGGCGGGGAGATGGATCGGTTGGACGGTGAAGAGGGAAACGGTGGTGCTGCTGCTGCGGCTGCTGGTGCGGGGAGTCGCGCCGCGAAGGTGGATAGCTGGGTAAACCATATTGACGAGGCGGTGCACGTGTTTGCGCAGCTGTTTGGCGTAGACGTGCTCGTGGCGCTTGTGTGAAACTCCAGCTTGAAAAGAAAAGAGGGGCCAAAAAGTGTTGTGGATGTGTGAGAAGGGAATAACGCATCGGCGGTGACATGCGATACGTCTCTGATTATGTCTGACGCTGTAAAGATCGAGGTGTGCTTCTTCTCATCTGCCTGCGATTTGTTTTTTTCTCGGGGTAATACCTCCTGCCGCGGAGGCGTGGTACTTAAACGCAGCAACAACGGGCATTGTATCTTTATAAGTCCAGTCACTCCTTGTCGTGATTGGGGACGCACTGATCAACGTAACCGAGAAGTCAATTGCACTGTGAACTCGCGTAAGAGCTGAGAGGAGGAAAATGAAAAAACTCTGAGGCGCGTTTGGAGAAGCGTGCCATCGTTAACGCAGCTTCTTCCTCTTTTTTCCTACTTTCTTCACGCTCTCTCCGTCTGCGCTCTTCCCCTCATCGACGGCATCGGTGGCCAGCGTGTGCCGCCTTCGCCTGCATAGCGCAGTTCCAGTATTTTAGTTGTTGTGGCGGTGGTGACGGTGTGTGGGGCGTAGCAATCACATGCGCTTTTGAGACACACCGCACAAGGATAAAGATCAAGAGGAAAATACATCGAAAGCGGCTGTGTTTATCCCCCCCCCCCCTCCTCTATATCTCTTGTTGACTGCATCGAGTGGGGCGCTCCTCTTGGTTTCTTGGTGGGTTTTTTTAGTTCCTCTTGTGCACAGACACCCGTGACGATGCTGCGACGGTGTCTGCTGCGGCGGTGCATGCCCATCGGCGTTGCCTGCCGCACCCTCGGCTTTCAGACCCCGCCGACTAACAACCGCGATCTCAAGAAGCGCTTCATCCAACTCACGAAGGAGCACCACCCCGATCTCCACGCAGACGACGCGGAGGCGGCGACAGAGCGAATGGTGCGGCTCACGCAGGCCTACACGTGCCTCAAGAAGCTGTTGGAGCACGGCGTGCACTATCAGAGGAACGCCGGCGCCGGTGCAGGTCCGCAGCAGAAAAGCGGTGAGCGATCTTCGAGTCGTGCGGAGGAGGTGGAGTGGGCGGAGGCGGCAGCCAGCTTTCGTGCTCCCGGCTCCTCCATCAGTCTTCGCGGTTTCACACTGCCGTGGCAACGCGCCACCACCACGACAGCGACGGCGTCGATGGAGTCGATGATGAGCGAGCCGAATGTTTCCTTTCACGACTTCGTTCGGTTTGCGCGGCAGCTCGAGCACGACCGCCAGCGCAGAGAAGAGCGAAGGAGGAGCGATGCAGCGACGGCGGACGGCACGCACGGCTTCACGGCGGAGTACTTTGAAAGCACAGAAAGAAGCCGCACCGCCTGTCGCGGTCCTAAAGTGGGCCCTGCGTCGACGCATGTGGTGCGCCTGTGGGCCTTTTACTATGGCCGTCGGCTGCGTGCGTTTGCCGTCGCGGCGCCGCGTAACGCGTGGCACACGATCCGCTACATCCTCCTGGGGCACTGACCCGAATGGTTAAGGGTAGAGAGACAGCGGCGGTTGCGAGGTCGCCCTCCTCGCCACGGCGCGCCTCGTATAGTTGGAGTAGGCGCGAGAGGACAAACGAGGCCTCTCATTGTTTTTCTTCTCATCCCCCTCGCTTGTTGCGCCTGGCATTTATCTTGTTGCTGCTCTTTTGATGACAGATGATTCAACCTACGAGAGCACATCAGCATAGCGCACGGCGAAACGGCGTTTTCAGCTTTCCACGCACGTGGAGGCACAAAACAGCAGAATAAGAGTCATTAATGTTTGATGACGCACGTCACGTCACGATGGAACTTACGCGTGCAGCCGTTCTCACCTTCGTTTCTCACTGCTTCATCGACCACCTCCGTCTCCGCTCCCCCCCCCCCCCCCCCCCCCCCCCCCCCCCCCCCCCCCCCCTACCCCCCACCCACACACACACCTCCTTCAACTCTTCCGCTCACGGCCACAGGGAATTCCTGAAGAATCACACTCTCTTCACCACCATCAAACACACACACGCACACACACCTTCAATGGCGAGTCGCGTCCCTCCTCTCGCACGAGCACCGTCGCCTGCCGGCACGCCAGACGGGCCGCCGCACGCCTCGCCTACGACGACTGGCGCACTGCCGCGGGAGGTCCTGATGTGGCTGCAGTCTCTCCCACTCAGCAGCCCCGTAAGGAATCCACGGCGTGACCTGGCCAACGGCTACATCATTGCACAGATCTGTGCCAACTACTGGTCACAGGTGCCGCTGCACAGCTTCGCGAATGGCGTGAGCACGGCGAGCAAGCAGAGCGACTGGTACGTCCTCCAGAAGGTGATGCGCAAGAACGGCATTGCGGTCAGCACGGCGATGGTGGAGGGGATGATGAAGGGCAGCGACGGCTGCGCGGAGGCCTTTCTAAAGCAGCTGTACACCGTGTTCACGGGCAAGACGGTGGAGGAAGTGCCGCTGCCGCTGCCGGAGCCGCTCACGGAGGTGCCGAGAAAAGACATCCCAGCCTTCACGCCGTCCACCGCAGCCAACGCCGCGGTCCGGGCACGGCAGGCAGCAGCAGCAAATGCCTCCATGACCGGCATGTCGTCCTTCTCCGCCGCTCCTCTCCCCTCCACCTCCTCGACCTCCCCGTTCAATGCAATGAAGAAGGGGGATGCGTCGCTTACCTTCGGTGCCGCTGGGGTGAGTGAGGCGTATCTCAACAGCAGCAACAGGCCAGCAGCAGGAGCGTCGTCGTCCGCCGCACGCACCGTCACCGCCGTCGCCACCACGCTGCCCTCCATCGTCTCACCCCCGCCGACGCAGGCGACCTTCTCGGCGGACGCCGTGGCTTCCGGCAAGCCGGCCTTAAACATTTCGGTACGGCCGGCGGGGCAGGTGTCGACGGTGCTGCCCTCCACCTCCTCCTCCTCCTCCGCGGCCGCGGGCGTGGCCAACGCCGACTCCGCGGCTGCCACGTCGACAGGAAGGGCTGGGGGGCAAGGGCACCCGCCGGACACGTCGCTCGCCGCGGTGTGGTTCTGGGCGAAGGTGCGCGACGCCCTCCCCGCGGAGGCGCTGGAGGCGTTCATCATCACCAACAACCAGAGCAAGGCTGTCGACGCCCCCTCCCCGCTGACTGCGACGCTCGTGTGGCTGTCCGCTCCGGAGGGCGTGTTCGAGGTAGACTTCGTGTACAGCGGGGCGGGCGAGGAGGCGGTCAAGGAGAGTCAAGCCGTCCTGCGGCAACGCGTGTGGCAGTCGCTGCTCTCGCATGTGCATGAGTTGGCAGAGGTGGTGGAGCACTGCGCGGCGCACGGTCTCGACGTCGTGGTGGATGAGTTGCTTGCGGCGGTGGGTCGCACCGCCGTCTACGATGGCGCCGCCGGTGAACTCCGCAGTGGCGTTCTCTTTGTGCGCAACGCGCTGCAGCTCTGCTCGTCGCTGCTCGCCCACATCAGCGGCGCCGACTGCCACTACGCCATACGGTGCTTCCACGCGTACTTCGTCGCCTCCGATGCCTTTGCGAATGCGGTGCGGCAGGTGCAGTGGTGCGTGGCGAGCGACTACGCGAGGTTGATCATGGCGGTGCTGCCGCCGAACCGGGGCGTTGCGGCCGGCGTGTTGGAGTCGCTGTGGAGCTCCATCGAAGACGTCGTGCGCGATGCCGCCGTCGCAGGAGGCGAAGCGGAGAGCCGTGACGACAACGCCGCGGACAAGGACAGCGTATCAACTCCCCCGTCAACGCAGTCGGAGGTAAGTTTAGCGACGCTGCTGCGTGCACTCGTGGAGACGCTCCTGCCGTATCACTCAGGAGCCACCGTCTTGCACATATCCGCCTCCCCCTCGCCGCCGCCGCCGTCGGCCGCTGCGGTGAACGCGAATGCGAATGCCAGCGGCGGGCAGTCCGCTGCATCGGACGGCAATCCACGGCGCACATCACAGCGCATACGCGGGGTGTACGCCGCCTCCACCGCAACCGCCGCAGTGGAGGAGGACGTCTTTGGCAGCTGTGTGGCGCGCATGGCGCATCAGCGCTGCATTGATTCCCTTCGCCAGCTCTATCAACAGCATGGCGGTCGCGCCCTCCTGCTCGATCCGCGTGAGGCGGCCCTGGCGGAGACGGCGGTGGCGCTCGCGGTGGACCTCCTGCGGGTGGAGTTGAAGTCGCCCTTCACAGCGGAGTTGGTGGTTGGGGAATCCTTCTTCGATGTCTTCCGCATCCTCTTTCCTTCTGTGGAGAGCCAGGGTGGCGACGAGGCGGAAGCCGCATCCCTGTCGCCACCGTCGCTACCACAGCAACCGGAGCAGTTATTGTTGTTAGCAAAGTACCCGACGCTCGCCGTACTGCGCGCACGTTGGCTGCGGTGGTGTCTGCAGCGGCGGCGGCAGTACGGGCTGTTGAGGAGCCGTCCCGCCACCTCGCCACGGCACGCGTCGCAGCATCGCACCCCCTCGCTCGGCGGCTCCACCGGTGGGCTGTCCGATGGCGACGGCGCACCGTGGGCCGACAGTGACGAGGTGCGTGCCCTGAGTGATGGACTGCAGGTGGTGTGCACAGAGCTGTTCTCGCCGTTGGAGGAGACGGAAGCGGCGGAGAAGAACGAGAACAGAAGTCAGAAGGCGAAGGTGCTGATGGCGTGCGCCATGGCGGAGTCGCTGCCGTTTCTACCGCCGCAGTACAGAGCAGCGGAGGCCGACGTTGCCGGGAGTTCGCTCCGAGACGAAGAGGAGGAGGCAGCGAAGCCGGTGTACGCGGAGGCCGTCGCTGAGGCCGTCCTGCACGTCCTCGTGCGGGAGACGACGCCGGCGCAGATGCATTCGCTGCTCCGTGCAGCCCCGCTCGACGACGCGACAGCGGTGGCCCTCGTCGACCCACGCGTCGGGGCTCTGTCGCCGTACGGTCCGCTGGTGCTACGCAGCGACGTGCTGCTGCTGGTGAAGGCGATGCTCTGCGTGCTGGAGAGCGCGAATGGCTCTACCGGGAAGGTCGTAGCAACGGCAACCGACAGGGGCGTTGCGGCTGTGGCGCGTCGACTCGGCGCTCGCGCGGCTATCGTAGCACGGGAAGGGCAGGTGGAGGCGAGCTTCGTGGCCCGCATCGCGTGGATGCACGCGCTCTTGGTCGAGGGGCGACGACCACTGACACTTGCGTCCACCACAGCCATGGCAGCCCCATCGTCCGCATCCACAGCCGCAGCAGCAGTAGCCGAAGCGACGCCGCCGCCGCTGTTAGCTCCTCCCGCGATGGAAGCGCAGGCCCACCGCTCGCACACTGCGTTGTTCGACGAGGCGGCCGTCGCTCAGTGGCACAACATCATTCTGGAGTCCTGGGACGCCTTCATGATGGTGCTGCAGGCGGCAACGCTGCGTCTGCGTCAGCGCGGAGGGGCCTCGACCAATACTGCCGCCGCCGCCGACACCGCAGTGCTGCGTGAAGCCCTCGGCGAAAGTTTGCTGGGGTGCGCCCAGCAAGCGCAGGAGGTGGTGTGCTGCTTGGAGCACGAACTCTCGGTTGCGCTGCCGGGACGTGGAGCAGAAGCAGCGGCGGCGGCCACCGCAGACCCGAGCGAGGCCACGCCTGGGCGCGGCACCGGTGTGACGCTGAACTCGGCGCTGCTCAGCGGCCCGGTGGCGTCCTTCGACGTTGGCACCGCGGCCGAGACGCTGCAGGCGGCGGTGGGCTGGATGTGGGCCGTCGTGGGTGGGTCGTAGAGCGCGACCCTACAAGACGGAAGGAGGCTTCCTCTGCTGTCGGAGGAGCGCGGATGATGCATGTAAAAAGCTGTTAGAAACTTTTCTCTTTATTATTATTTGCACCCTCAGACACGATGAGGCTGGCGCGCCGTGTCATGTACAGCTACCTGCCGATAGAGGCGATTGGGGCGATGAAAGCTGTTGCCGCCAAGAGTACCTCCTTTATACTACGTTGCTACCTGATGTACAGCACTCGTCGAAACTACTGTATTTTGCGCAAACACACACACACACCAAGTGGAGCTCGCATGGAGTGGTCTTGGTGTGCGTCCCATACGTAGGTGATACGGCATGCGCACGAGCCGATCAGCCGATCGAGAAGCACTCGCATTACTGCAGCTTTGAGCTCCTCCCCCCCCCCCCTCCCCCCCTTCCACCCTCGCCGCTGTTCTCTCGAAGCAAAGAAAGCTCGAAGAGTCTTGAGCGCACCCTCACGGCTTGCTGTCAACCTCCGGGTATTGTGATCCTCCCGATTTTCTTTCTCCCTCATTGACGCTCTTCTTCATCTCTTTCGTTCGTTCAACTTCGTTGTATTGACTGTCATTTACATTCCTGTTCTTCTTCTTTTAGAAGGTAAACCGAACTATCGGTAGGAGGACAGACCACACAATGCCACCTAAGCGCACCCCATCGCAGGCGAAGAAGTCGCCGTCCGCCGCCGCCAGCGGGGCTGCCGGCAAGCGCAAGAAGCTTTCTTTCAGCGAGTCCACGCTGAAGGCGGCGTCGAGCGCGATTCAAACCACTCACATCGACACCGCCGTGTCCGCCGCGAAGCACGCGGCAGCCCCGGAAGCAGCGGCAGCGGCATCATCGAGGAAGCAGCAGCAGCAGCAGCAGAGCAAGGCCGCCCCCAAGCCTGCCCAGACTACAGGAACGAAGAAGCGTGCGGTTGCGGATATGCACGGGAGTGGGATTGTGAAGGCGAAGCAGACAAAGAAGCGCGCCGCAGCAGCCGATCTCGTAGAGGAAGACGCGGAGGTGGTGGCCGCCCCTGTCCACAGCGACGATGACGACAACTCCAGCAATGACGAGGCGGACATGCTGAACGGTGTTGTGACGGCCTCAGCGGAGGAGGAAGAAAATCTTAGCGACGTGGCGGATGGCGCCTCTTCCAGCGACGATGACAACGACGAGGCCGCGGCTGTGGCGACGAAGAAGAAGGGCCGGGGACGCCTCACCGCGCCGTACCGGGCAGTCCGTCTCAGCTTCCTGCCGGCGGAGTTCCAGGAGCCGCAGCTGTACAAGTTCCTCAACCAGTTCGGGGCGACGGTGCTCAACTGCTTCTGCGTGCGCAGCAAGCGCACCCACCGCTCCAAAGGCATCGCCTACGTGGAGTTCGATAAGGAGTCTGTCATCCCCCTCGTGGTGGAGGAGTGCAACGGTATGGCGCTCGGTGGTATGTCGGTTCAGGCGCGTGCGGTGACGCTGCGCCAGCCGATGCCGTCGCGCAAGCTGGTCACGCGTCGTCGCGCGCTCGCCTACGCCTATCGCACGAAGGGTGCTCCGCTGAAGCAGCACGACGTGCATAAGAAGAATGCCGTGGGACTTCTCATTAAGGCGGCGCGGACGGAGAAGGTGAACAACGCGCATCTGAGGCAGCTCGGGATTGACTTCCAAACCGACTTCTATCAGTCGCAGCTAAAGTCGCTGCCGGCGGGTGTCTTTCGCAAGCCGGCGAAGAAGACGACGCCGAAGGCGATGCCCCGGCCGGCAGCAAAGAAGGCGGCGCCGAAGAAGACGGCGCCCAATATGAAGAAGTGAACGGCACGGCCGACCATAACAGAGAAGGGTGGCCATTGCCCCCACGGGCTCGTCACGACGGTCATCGAAGGGTTGAGGTGAGGGATCCCTTTGAAAGATGAACCTGCTCTTCACCGGTGTTGTCTGTGTGTGTGTGTGATGGTTTCTTCCTCTCCACGTGTGACAGTAAAGCATCTATTTATATAGAGATATATTAAAGCGCATCTTACTCTCTGCCTGCGCTAGGCTACTCGTTTAAATGACGAATAAACACTGTTTTTGTTTTTGTTTTAGCTATAACTCCTAAACGGCTATCACTCTTGTGTTGTTGTTGGCGATGGTGGTGGTGGTGGTGTGCCTGCGCCTGTGTGTGTGTCGTGTGCGCGCAGCTTGTTTAACCGTAAAAGTAAGCTATTTTTTTCTTTTCAATGCCAACCCTTCAACGCTCTGGTATTCGCATGCATCGCTTCCCGTTTCAAGGGAACACAGAGTTCGGCGTCAACGTGTTTTTGGTTCCCTTGGGGCTTTTCTCGTGGGTAAATTCTTGTCTCCAGTTTTCACGAAAGGCCGCGGTGGTGTGAAGGTGAATGGAGGAATAGAGAGAGGAGTGGGAAGGGCATGCAGGCCGAGTTGGCTTGTCACTTGTATCGCCTTCTCGCGTTGCAGCAGCACTGCTCGTGTTCACCGGGCGGGGACGCATCGTACGGGGAGGAGGGGGAGAGAGATTCCTTTTATCATGACTAGCATTATTATTTCGCGGAGATCTTCTCTGCCAACGTCAAGCATGTACGCGACCATCACACCACGTCCCTCTCGCCGTTTCCTTTCTCCCTCTCTCCACTTTTGTAGATCCGGCCCATTTCGAACACAAAAGTGCCGCGCCGGCAGTTTTGGTGTTCGCCCTCATCCAACTCGTCGAAAGAAGAAGTTACGAAGAAGGGATAAAGAACGCATCTCTTCTTTCTTTCTATCGACTTCTACGACGACCCACTGTATGTGTGTGTGTGTGTGTGCACGCGGAGGCTGCGTGCGCATTAATCGCATTCATTCCTATTCAAAAGGACGCCAGCAACACACACACGCAACTACTGCTCCTCTCACTTTCTTGTATTTTTCTTTTCTGGGGGGAGCCAATTATTAAAGTATTTCTATTCCTTCAGAAGAATTGACGCAATGCTTGTCGAGACGTCTTTAATTCAATCCGATGGGGTGCTTCACGACCCGGCCCTCCACGCCCCGATGAATATGGCGGCGGGGGCGGCGGTGATGCCGCACAGCACCGCCCACGCCCCAAAGCACGTCCCCCACCTCGCCTCACCGTCACCCATCGACTTCCTTACACACGACGTCGATGAACTGCCGCCCCTGCACGAGCACACCACCAGCGTGAATCGCAGCTATTCCGATTTGCACCAGTGCAAGTTCTTGGCCTACGCCTTTGGCCTCTGTGCGCTGCGCACGGCCCTGCAGCAGCCCATGAACGTCGCCCTTGCCCGCAAGCAGACGAGCGCGGCGGCGAATCGAAAATCAACGTGGGCCGTCCTGCGGCATCTTTACGCGCATGAAGGTCGATGGCGAGGCGTGGCGCAGGGCATGACCGCCCTCTCCATCGGCTGCGCATTGAGCGAAGTCATCTATCTCGGCATCTTTGAGTGGGGTCGCGAGCAGCTGCCTGTGGAAAGCAGCGTGACGCGTGACGCGGTGTCCGGCTACGTGGCGGACGGCGCCTGTCGCACGGTGCACATCCCTCTCAGCATCATCGCGTTTCGCCAGATGACCGCCGCGCCGGCTCGCCGGTTAAGCGCGTGGCGCACGTTAGAGCGGATGTACGCCGAGCAAGGCCTTCGCACTGTCTTCGCCGGCTTCGGCACGACGCTCGTGGTGGGGTGCCAGTGGACCGCACTGTGGTGGACGCTCTACGGGCAAATGAAGGATGAACTCTACCGCACCGTCGGGCCGCGTCTACGGCAGCTCGGTGAGCCGCCTGCTGCATCGGCACCGGCCGGCACAGGGGGGAAGGAGGGGCTTCATAGAAGTAGCGGTAAACACGGCGACGCCGCCACGCGCCGCTCCAGCTGGCGGCTGCCGGAGTGGTGCACGTCCAAGGAGGACAACATGATTTTGAACTCCGTGGCCTCTGTCGCCGCGAGTGCGTCCACCGCGGTGCTCTTCAATCCATACTTAGTGATCCGCACGAACTTGCAGGTGACCCCCGGTGCCACGCTGTGGTCCGCCACGCGCCGGCTCTACCGCACAAGGGGTTTTAGAGGCTTCTACAGCGGTCTGCTGTTGAGCGTGAACGCCTGTGTGGTGGATGGGGCGTTGGCCTCCACGAGCTACGAGTATGCGAAGCTCTGGTCGGACCGCACGCGTGGCGGGTAGAGAAGGTGAATGAAGACATCTCACCGCATTCCAGCCTCTACGTGGAGGAAGACTCATACGCGTGCGACGATTTATCGTCGTGTGTGTGTGTGTGTGTGTGTGTCGGAAAAAGCTTTGATGTTGTTGTTGAACACCCGCGTTTCTTCTGTGTTTCTTCCTCTCCTTCACGGGACTGTGTCGTGCAATCGGCACTCACATCATAATTATACTCTAAATATATATATGAGCTGAGAAGAAGAGGAATAGGAAGATACACATAACTTAGAAAGGAGTGACTTCGTTGGGTTTGCTTCGCGCCTGTCGAGCAACCGCCGACTGGCTCTCCGCAACTGTACAATAGACATGGCGTCTTCCCACCTTCCCCTTCTCTTTCACACATACGCGCATCGAAGATGAAGGTGATGGGCGATATGTTCCACGGTCTGCTGTCTTGTGTTTGTTATATATTTTTTGTATCTTTGCAAACTCCGCCTTTCAGTGCAGCGAGTTAACTCTTTAATTAGCTAAAAAGCCTCGGAAGACGCCGCGGCCTGGTTGTTGTTGCTGTAATGGTAACGCAAGAGACCGTGACGACTGTTCGCGCGGAGCAGTCGCCCTCATCTTTGCTCACCGCTGCTCACACGTGCGTTATTGAATGCTGTTTTGCTCTTCTTCTTTTCAAACTAAAGGAACTATAGATTTTTTTTCCGGCTTTGTCATCTTCTGCGCTCTCTCTGGACCTATATATACACGTAAGGGCCTTCTACGTTGTCCGTCACGTGCGGTCTTGATGCGTGCTCTCTTCCTTGTCTGCTTGCTTCTTCGCTGTTACGATTGTTTTAGAGCGGGCTGCGCCGTCAACCGAGTACCTTCCATCTCTGAAAGTGAAGTTAGAGCGAGCCCGCCACTCCCAACATTACGCCCGATCATCTTTCTTATCTTCAGATCCGTAAAATAATTGCTGCTTTAAGCTGCTATTTTTCTTTTTCTTCTTCTTTTCACTTGCTACTGCTATTGTGGGTGTGTGTGTGTGTGCGTGGGTGCGTGTGTATCGGCAGCTAGCAGCTACCGCGGTGGCAGGCGCAGAGATGGCCGTCCATTCTGCACGCAGCACAAACGTGTTGCCGGCACAGGGAGTCACGCCGGGGCACACACACGCACACACACGCACACACACCTTGTGCGTTTCCTTTTTCTTTCGTTCCCCGTTTTTACGTTTTATCCTCCTCCTTTGTGTGCGGTACGCTGGTGGCGCAGCGGCCTGCTCCTCTACGCTTCGCAGTGCCGCACTCCGGCAACAGCAATCGTCAACGGAAAACATACGCGTCCGTTAAATGTCGCCTTGCGCGCGGCAAACTCCTCTGGGAGTTGTTTGTCCCCCGCTCATGAGCGCTGTGCACGTCGCATTCTCGCCGCGACGCCCCTCCTTGCTTTCATGGGCACGGCTGTGTGTGTGTGTGCCTTTCCCCGGCCGAAAGGCGGCCGTGCAGCCCCCCCCCCCCTCCCTACTCGTCTGTTCCACTCCTCCGCTGTCCTCCTCTCCACCGGCACGCGCGCTGCCCTCTGCCGCAACGCGCCGTCCGACCAGAACGCACATTTGCTGCACCGTCCCTCACCGAGCCCGCACGACCACCCAAAAGAACACGATATTCTTAAACCCTGCAAAAGAGAAAAACAAGTAAACCCACCCTCCCGCATACACACTCACCATGTCCCACACTGGCTTCGGTGCTTCCGGCGACGTCGACCCCGACCTGCCGCTGACCCCGGAGGGTCTGACCTACCACGTCACGTGCACCGCAGAGCACCTGGCGGACCGCATCGTGCTTGTCGGCGACCCGGGCCGCGTGAAGATGGTGGGCACCTTCCTCGACAAGGACAGCATCTGCTACGAGGCGTCGCACCGCGAGATCAACGTGATCACCGGCAAGTACCACGGCGTGCCGGTGACGGTGATGAGCACCGGCATGGGCACGGACAACGTGGAGATCGTGATGAACGAGGTGCACATCCTGAAGGAGTACGACGTGGAGAAGCGGCAGTGGCGCACGCGGGTGGGCGAGACGCCGAAGAACGCCGACGAGAAGCTGTTCGACCCGTCGAAGGTGAAGCTGATCCGCGTGGGTACGTGCGGCTCGCCGAACGACGAGGTCGCGGTGGGCTGCCTCGCCATCACGCAGTACGCCATCGGCATGGACAACACCTGCCAGTACTACGAGGCGCCGGCGGTGAACCACACGGCGGACGTGCAGGAAGTGCTGAAGAAGGTGCAGGCGACCACGCTGGGCAAGGTGCAGGTGTACGCGACGAAGGCGGCGCCCGCCATCACCAACGGCCTGGTGGAGTCGTGCAAGATCCTGAACAGCACCCTGCCCGCGGCGGAGCAGCAGGCCTACTACGTGGGCACGACGTGCAGCGGCAGCGGCTTCTACGGCTGCCAGGGCCGCAGCGTGGGTCGCTTCCGCGGCCACCTGACGGTTCCGCACCTGACCGACGAGCTCGCCGGCCTGCGCTTCAACGTGAGCGAGGGCGTGCAGCGGGTGTCGAACATCGAGATGGAGAACAGCGCGCTGTGCTACCTGAGCAACTTCCTCGGCTACCAGGCGGGCACGGTGTGCGTGGTGATCGCGGGCCGGTCCCACGCCCACCACGCGTTTGCGACGCCCGAGCAGACGGCCAAGGCCCTGTCGAACGGCCTCACGATCGCCCTGGAGACGCTGACGCGCAACTGAGCGCCGCGTCGCCTGAGAGCGGATGGCGAGGGCGGCGGCCGGGACGCGCGCAGCGATAACAAAAGTGTCATTTTAAAACGCGAAAAACATCGACACTCTGGACAAAACGCGCGTGTACTCGGCCCCCTGGAGAACTCTGCGACCCGGCCACGCCATTTCCGTGGAGTGTGAAGCCTCGACCCTTCTGCGTCTTTGTCCTCTGCCACGCAACACGCGGAGCGCACCTCGTTTACACTCCCTTCCTCTCCCGCGGCACGAAGAAGCATTTACACATGTATGTGCCTCTTCGCGTCGCTTTGCGCTTCGCCGGAAACATCAAAAACGCTTTTAATATGTGTGTATGTAAAATACTTCGCGAAGTAGCCGTTTTAATTCTCCTGTAAGTACGCATCTCTTCTTTCCCTGGCAGGCGGCCGAAGTGTGTGTGTGCGTGGGTGCGTGAGTGAGTGGGTGCCTGTGGAGGAATTTCTGTATTTCGGAAGACGACTTCCTCCGCTTCAACGCCCCCCGCACACAACGACACGCAGGCGTTGCGGTGTGGGTCAAAACTGTCAAAAGTAAATCGTTCTTTATTCTTCTCTTATATTTTCGAGATTGTCTCAAAAACGAGTCCGCTGATGCGGACCTTTTATTTATTTGTTTTCGCTGTAACATGGTTTAAGGAAGGACAAATCGATGGCGGTGATGAGAGTTGTGGAGGCACAGGCGGCTCCCATAAACGGGCTTTGTGCACGCTTGTGTGGTTGACGGGTCTTTGTTTCTCTCTTTCGTCCGCATACCTTACCGCTTCAAGTGGTGCGTGCCGCTGGCGTAGCTTGTGGTCAGCGGTTCTTTGTGTATGTGTGTTTGTGTGTGGAGATTGCTTCGAAGCTCAGCAGACTGCCGCACTGTAAAGGAAACGAAAAAGTACTCTTCTTTGAAGTAATACGACGGCAGAAGAAAGAACAATGACAGCAGCTTGTGTGGGTTGGTGCTGTGTGTGCGTGCGTTCGTGGCTGCACGACGGAGAGCGGGACGCAAAGGCGAAGACTACGTATTTGCTACGTGATTCGTAGCTCAGTGTAACGAGGCCAGGGTTTTCTGTTTTCTGCTGTTTTGTCCCCGGCTCGCTGGGTCTTTTCACCTTTGCCATTGAGCGGAGGAACACCCGCGTGAGGGGGTGATGCGATGCCTGCTGCGGCGTTTTCTACCCTCCTCCTTCCCTCTCCTTTATTCTAATCTCCTTCTTTCTCGCTCTGCCTCTCTCCTTTTCCCGCTGTGGTCGGTGGTGCTCTGAAGGGGGACTGCCAGAGAAATCGATCGCGACGGCGCGTGACTCTGCCAGGTGTGTGAGGAGAGCTCAAACGCGTGTATTGAACTTCTCCTCTCTCTTCGTGGAGTCGTAGTGAAACGGCCCGAAATCGGCAAGGTCAAGCTCAGCGCACACGCCGCCGTGTCGCGTGCACTCCATCATCGGTCTGTGCGAGGGAGAGGAGGAAGAGAAAGAAGATGGCGAAGCAGCCGGCAATGTCCGCGCTGCCGGCGTTGAAGGCTGCCGTGGAGGCTTTCCAGCACGCCCAGCGTCGCGGGGAAGCGGCCGTTGCATGGACGCAGACCCTCTTTACCTTCGGTGGGTGCACGTACACGCTGACGTTGGATGTTGCGGCTGCGGTGGTGCTGCCGTCCACAGCGCCGAGCATCAGCAGCGCGGCAGCGGAAGATCAAGTGCACGCGTCGACTTGGCGAGATGACATCCATGCGGGGGCGGAGACGCGTTCGAGCAGCGCAGGCGTTCCCTGCCCCGTGACGATCCGCATCGCCTACGCCCACGCCATCCCTTTCGCTCAGCTGAATCTGTTTCTGAACTGCAGGGACGAACTCTCCAGGAGACTCCTGCAGATTGCTCCTCACTGCAGCATTCTTTCGCATCCTGCCCCGCCCGACGACGCACCGTTGCAGCTAACGATTCCGTCGGACGTCACGCCGGTGGAGCGCGACGCCGCACTTCGTTGGGTGGCGGAGTGGTGGGTAGTGTGTCTTCTTCCGGTATTAGGAGGTTTGCTGTGTCGTTGTCAAGCAGCGGAGGAGCGCCAAACGCTGGTCCTTGTCGCACCATCGAAGTGCGTTGACGAAGGCACGAAAGAGGCGTCTCTTTTGAGTTCCAGCGTCACGCCTTCTCTTCTTTCACCCGCACAGACCGCTGCCGCTGAGACACGTCTCACCCAAGCGTTGATCGTCAGCGCCACCCCTTGCCCTTCCTTGTCGCCGTCTGCCGCACCTCCCTCCGCTTCCACAAGATCCGTTGCAGTTGCGGCGTGTGCTTTCGAAGGCACCGTGTCCTTCACCACGTGCATTACCTCAGCAGATGCGCGAGAGGCGGTGCTCATACGAAGTTACCTGGACACGTTTGCGGAGCCCAACAGTGCGAGCCCCGTGCTGCTGCTCGTCCACGAATCCCCTCAGCCGCCGCCGGAGCTGCATCGCTCGTTGACGTCGTCGTCGTCCGATGCCGCGCTCCCCTCTTCCGATCTCCCACCGTACGTGTGGTGGTGCACGATGGTCATCGGCCCGCATCACGCGCGGCAGGCGGGTGCGCTCGAGGCGGCGATGAAGTTAGCGCTGAGCTTGCGGCACACCATCCTCTTTCACGTGCATCAGGAGAGCGTGTCGCTGCACGCGTTACTTCGACAGCAGCTGACCTCCTACGCCTCTCGCTTTTGAGGGAGGCGAGCCATCCTCCTTCTCTGTCTTATCATTATTATCGGTGATCGATGCTGCTGCCACTTGGTTGTGAACGAGAAATATATATTTAGCATTACCCATCCCCAGCGCAGCAGAGATGATCCTTACTGATGACGGCGGCGCTGTTCATCTCTCTCCCCCCACGCCGCACCCAGCAACTGCACTTCGCCGCTTCAACGGTTGGACCTCCACGACTTCCCCCCGCACGCACATGCGCCAGCGCAACACGGCACAGTATTGATTCCCACTCGCGGTCTTTTGGAAAGGAAATCGCAAACATGACGCTACTGCACTCTCGCCCCTGCCATCACCTCTCTCTCTCTTCGCATCCGCCTTCCTACATCTTCATCTCCCTTCCTTTCATTAAATCGTTTGATTCCACCGTGCAGCTTCCACCGCCACTTCAGTCCAACCCCGCTACACACCCCCATACACCCCACCCCGCCGTCACCATGTCCCGCACCAAGGAGACCGCCCGCGCGAAGCGCAGCATCACGTCGAAGAAGAGCAAGAAGGCGCCGCGCGCCGCGTCGGGCGTGAAGAAGGCGCAGCGCCGCTGGCGCCCGGGCACGTGCGCGATCCGCGAGATCCGCCGCTTCCAGAAGAGCACGGACCTGCTGATCCAGCGCGCACCGTTCCAGCGCCTGGTGCGCGAGGTGTCCAGCGCGCAGAAGGAGGGCCTGCGCTTCCAGAGCAGCGCCATCATGGCCATCCAGGAGGCGACGGAGTCGTACATCGTGTCGGTGCTCGCGGACACGAACCTCGCCTGCATCCACGCGAAGCGCGTGACGATCCAGCCGAAGGACGTGCAGCTGGCCATGCGCCTGCGCGGCGAGCGCCACTAGAGAGGGGTGCGTGCACGTCGTGCAGTGGAACCCGGCGGAGGCGGCGTGAGCGGCGGCGTCGGCACACACCGGCACCGCTGCCCCACCCGCCCCTCCCCCACTCCCACACGGTGACTCGTCATGCATCCGCCTGAGCGCGTGCGTGCGTGTCACGCCATAGATACACTTGTTTTGCTTTCTTATCTCTTTCCTTCTTCTGACTCTCCGGAGGCGATCATCCCAAACGCGCACCCACGTCTCAGTGCGTGGTGCTGAAAACAAGGAAAGCAATGATAAACGCAAGGCGAACGACGGGCAGTTGAGCTGCAGACTCGGTGAAGCGTACAACGTAGCGCATCTGAGCTGATAACTGCAGTCGGCGATGACATGCGCGTACGCAGCCACAGCGCGCACCGGTCCATGCGAATGGGCCATGTGAACTGACTCATGTTGCGGTAGCCGCACAGGGCGCCTTCCTATTCAAGTGTTATTCCTCCCTCCTACCTCTCCTCTCCCTCTCTTACTCTGCGCCTTCACTCTTGCCAACCGTGAATGCCCTCGCCTGCTGCGTACCGCTGTTCATTACACGGCAGATTTCCAGCTTCCCCATCGAGCCCCGCTACCCACACCCACACACCCCCATACACCCCACCCCGCCATCACCATGTCCCGCACCAAGGAGACCGCCCGCGCGAAGCGCAGCATCACGTCGAAGAAGAGCAAGAAGGCGCCGCGCGCCGCGTCGGGCGTGAAGAAGGCGCAGCGCCGCTGGCGCCCGGGCACGTGCGCGATCCGCGAGATCCGCCGCTTCCAGAAGAGCACGGACCTGCTGATCCAGCGCGCACCGTTCCAGCGCCTGGTGCGCGAGGTGTCCAGCGCGCAGAAGGAGGGCCTGCGCTTCCAGAGCAGCGCCATCATGGCCATCCAGGAGGCGACGGAGTCGTACATCGTGTCGGTGCTCGCGGACACGAACCTCGCCTGCATCCACGCGAAGCGCGTGACGATCCAGCCGAAGGACGTGCAGCTGGCCATGCGCCTGCGCGGTGAGCGCCACTAGAGAGGGGTGCGTGCACGTCGTGCAGTGACACCATCATACAGGCACCCAACCGTGCTGCGGCTAACCTGCTTTGGTCAGACAGCGGACACGCTTGTTAGACTGTCCAATAGGGCCCCACAGCTTATAGACACCTTATTTTCTCTTTCCTTCCTCTTCTTCAAATGCGAGGACGAGGCGTTTCGTGTGTGTGTGTGCGCGGCATCGCACCTGCGACCGAGCCCGCAGTGAAGGCGCGACGTGCACGGATGTGAGCGCAACAGAGGGGGTGAATGCGCCGGTTTGTGGCTGCGCGAGCGCGTTAGCGCATCCGTCGCCGTTGCATTGCGTCGTCCGCTACGTTTCTTTCCTCCAATGGAGACGTCTCTTTGTTTCTCCGTCTCCGATGAACGTGTGAGGGCGTTCCCCTCCCCCATTCATTTCTGCGTTAGGCGTTGTACCACAGGCACTCGTTGCATCTGGCTTGGCCCTCGGAGCACGAGAAAGAAGAGGAGAAAACACAAACGATATTGTCATCGATCGGTGTATCAGGGAAGCGGAGGGCCACGAACACGAAGGCTTGTGTCTCTCGTCTCATTCTAGTCCTGATACTGAGGATGTGCGTCCCTCCTCTTTTTCTTTTGCTCGTTTTGCTGCTCTTCCCTCCTCGTAGAAGTGGGTTGAGCCAACTTAGAAGTATCAGTATCAAAGTGCCTGCGTGCTCTTGCGCATGCACGGCGTGCTCTGGCATTTGTTGTTGGAGTCTGCCAACATCCGAATGCATCGGCCGGCACCACCCACGACAGCGTGCATTTGTTTGTTGCCGCTGTTGGGTCACCTCGCCCTTTTCAATGCTCTCCCACGTTGTTTTGCGTGTTTTCCTTCTTCGCTGGTCTTTCGCGATTGCTGCGCTGGTGTTCATTACGCGGTGGTGATTGTGGCCGTTATTGCTGTGCCGTCTGTCATCCGTGTAGCGCACCTGCAAGTCAATGCTATATATATACTGCTTCGTTCTTTGTCGCTCTCTTTAACAACGCGACCGCGAGGGCGGCGCATCATCAACGAACTGCTTGTGCCCTCCTGTTGTTACCTTTCGTCCTTCAAAGGAAGACAAGAAAGAAGGAGAAAACAATGGACCCCAACAGCACTGAGGTCTCCCCCGCAGGGACCGGAGATCACCACCGCTACGACAACGTGAAGTGGTACCACGCCGTCAACTCTCAGCAGCAACTCGTCGAGGCAGCGCAGGAGATCACACGCCTGTTCTACGGTGAAGATCCACCGTTGCGCAGCGGCCTCACGCCAAGCCCGTCGACGTCCTCAGCGAGCGGCGCGCCGGAATTCGTGCGTGGGTCGTCGCCGTCTACTAATTTTACTACCAAATTTACACCGCTGTGTCGCGTCTTCGGCATTGAGGCGGACGTGCAGTGGCACCCGGCCGTAGAGACCGCAGTGATGCGGCATGACTCGGTGGTGCTGCCCCCTGCTGAGGCAGCAGCACACGCCGCCGGCTCCCCGTCCTCCTCCCTTCGCGAGGGCAGCAGCGGCGAAGATTTCTTCTCGCTGGAGGTGTTTCTGTACACGGTAGCGCAGGCGGTGCAAGGGTGGAAGTCGCGTGCCGCCGCCGCTGCCGCCACCGCCCCATCAGGGCCGCTGCGCGTCATCGTCAAGCTCGACTTTAAAGCTGTGAAAGCCGCGCAGCTCTTTCTGACGCAGGCGGAGGGGCACACCTGGGCCGGGTTGGAGGCCTTGTGTACGTCCTCCATGTCCAACCGTAGCCGTCGACGCCCTTCGCTTCGGTCATTCATCTCCCCGCGATTAGACTCGAGCACCAGCGGCTCCGTCACGGCAGCAGCAGCAGCAGCAAGTGCCACGCCAGCGCCTTCGTTTGGTGATCTCGCGCTACCGCCCCCCGCGGTGCACGTGGAGTTGTGGTGGAACGCGGACGTCGTCGCGCAGCCCGGCGCGACCGTCGTATCGACTTCCTTCGCGGCGGCGCCGGCCTGGGCGGTGCAGCAGCTGATGGCCCGCACCGCCCAGGCACTGGGTCATTGTCTCTCCTTCAGCTTCTCCCTTGGCTGGGTGCTGTGCCCGCGCACGGTGCCGGCGGAGGCGCTGGCGGTGGACGCTGCGTCGCACAACAACCGCCGCAGCACCCCCAGTGTGAACATCTCGTACAGTGAAAAGGACGACGTCCCGACGATGCAAGCCTTTTTGGATGGACTGGCGCTGGCACTGGCAGGGGGGCTGGTGAGAGACGCCATCGAGGAGGCGGCGACGCGACCCCATCCGCACGAGCAGCACGGCGGCACGGCGCACCAGGTGGCACGGCCACCACCGGCGCTGACACCGGCGCACCTCTTCGCTGCGTGTGTGCGCTGCGTCACCTTCCCGATGCTCTTTGAGTGTGTCTTTGCGGACTCCTACACGGAGCAGGAGAAGGCGCAGGCCTTCAGGGGGTCTGCCGTCGCAGCAGCGGCAGCAGCAGCACAACGCGACTCTCTGAGTGTCATGCCTCTCGCCTCAGCGACGGCGGCGGCTTTGGCGGCTGCGGAGAGCCGTCGCGTCGCATCGGCGGTGACCGCACACGCGCTGGATCTCTTCTTCCGTCCACATCGGGAGGGCGGCGTCAACGCAGATCTTCGTGAGAGCACGCCAGGGTCCGGCTCAACTGCTGCTACGCCGGACTCGTGCTGCTTTCCCACGTTTTGGAAGGCGCTGCGCCCGCCCACGTCCGCTGCGGGGGAGTGGCAGGGAGAGGTCAACAAAGCAGCGCGTACGTACTTTCCTTACTGTACGATTGACGGATAATGAATATATGAAAGGGTGCGGTCTGTAACGGAGATCATCACCGGAGCTGCTTCATCGCGTATGGCCTACGGTGGCTACGAGAGCGCTTCTTCTCCTGCTGTTGCTCCTTTGTTATTAGAGTTGTTTACTTATATATATGCGCTCGCGTAATTGCGTTCGATTTCCTCTCCTCCATGCAAGCACGTGTGAGTGGAGGGGTGCATGTGCCTCCGCGTCCTTCTCTCTGTGTGTGTCTCTCAGCAATGTGAAACAAAACCAAGGCAACCCTTCCACTCCCCTGCCTCCTCCCCGAATTGCACGTGCGAGGACCGATGCGCGTGACAGCGCAAGTTGAAACTGTGCGCCCCTCGCCCCTCTCACTATCATCGCTGCTCATCGCAACGGTGCGCTACACGTTTTATTATTCATATTTTTATGGACCAAATTCTCGTTCTGTTAGCTTTCCAGACTGAAAGAGCTGTGCGTGCGGTGAGCGCTGTGCAGCACCGCGCCAAAACGTGTCTGCTGGTTTTGGTGGAGCCACCTGTGTAGAATTCTTCTTCCTCTCCCTTTTCCCTTTCATCGAATGGCAGCATTCGTCCGCGCGACGTCCATCCTTTACCGACGCAGCTTCCTCGTTCGTCGTTGTCGAAGCAACGCAAAACTTGCTGCAGTGCTGCTCGCTGACATCAACTGGGGAACAAACGAAGTGGAAGAGAGAGAGAAGGAGGGAGCCGCAAAGGTGCGCCTCTCCGCTTGTGGTGCGGTGCCCGACGCATGCGCGCAAAGCACGTTTCTTTGTTTGCTTCCTTCATCGTCGTCCTCGTGCTCGATGCTTTTCTCTGTCTATGCTCCTCCCCCGCCCCCTTCCTTCACCGCATCTGGCGTGTCCTACCATTTGATTCTCTCTTCACCCGATCTCCTCTTTGCTACGCACCACCCTCTCATTGCCGATTCCACCGTGCAGCTTCCACCGCCACTTCAGTCCAACCCCGCTACACACCCCCATACACCCCACCCCGCCGTCACCATGTCCCGCACCAAGGAGACCGCCCGCGCGAAGCGCAGCATCACGTCGAAGAAGAGCAAGAAGGCGCCGCGCGCCGCGTCGGGCGTGAAGAAGGCGCAGCGCCGCTGGCGCCCGGGCACGTGCGCGATCCGCGAGATCCGCCGCTTCCAGAAGAGCACGGACCTGCTGATCCAGCGCGCACCGTTCCAGCGCCTGGTGCGCGAGGTGTCCAGCGCGCAGAAGGAGGGCCTGCGCTTCCAGAGCAGCGCCATCATGGCCATCCAGGAGGCGACGGAGTCGTACATCGTGTCGGTGCTCGCGGACACGAACCTCGCCTGCATCCACGCGAAGCGCGTGACGATCCAGCCGAAGGACGTGCAGCTGGCCATGCGCCTGCGCGGCGAGCGCCACTAGAGAGGGGTGCGTGCACGTCGTGCAGTGGAACCCGGCGGAGGCGGCGTGAGCGGCGGCGTCGGCACACACCGGCACCGCTGCCCCACCCGCCCCTCCCCCACTCCCACACGGTGACTCGTCATGCATCCGCCTGAGCGCGTGCGTGCGTGTCACGCCATAGATACACTTGTTTTGCTTTCTTATCTCTTTCCTTCTTCTGACTCTCCGGAGGCGATCATCCCAAACGCGCACCCACGTCTCAGTGCGTGGTGCTGAAAACAAGGAAAGCAATGATAAACGCAAGGCGAACGACGGGCAGTTGAGCTGCAGACTCGGTGAAGCGTACAACGTAGCGCATCTGAGCTGATAACTGCAGTCGGCGATGACATGCGCGTACGCAGCCACAGCGCGCACCGGTCCATGCGAATGGGCCATGTGAACTGACTCATGTTGCGGTAGCCGCACAGGGCGCCTTCCTATTCAAGTGTTATTCCTCCCTCCTACCTCTCCTCTCCCTCTCTTACTCTGCGCCTTCACTCTTGCCAACCGTGAATGCCCTCGCCTGCTGCGTACCGCTGTTCATTACACGGCAGATTTCCAGCTTCCCCATCGAGCCCCGCTACCCACACCCACACACCCCCATACACCCCACCCCGCCATCACCATGTCCCGCACCAAGGAGACCGCCCGCGCGAAGCGCAGCATCACGTCGAAGAAGAGCAAGAAGGCGCCGCGCGCCGCGTCGGGCGTGAAGAAGGCGCAGCGCCGCTGGCGCCCGGGCACGTGCGCGATCCGCGAGATCCGCCGCTTCCAGAAGAGCACGGACCTGCTGATCCAGCGCGCACCGTTCCAGCGCCTGGTGCGCGAGGTGTCCAGCGCGCAGAAGGAGGGCCTGCGCTTCCAGAGCAGCGCCATCATGGCCATCCAGGAGGCGACGGAGTCGTACATCGTGTCGGTGCTCGCGGACACGAACCTCGCCTGCATCCACGCGAAGCGCGTGACGATCCAGCCGAAGGACGTGCAGCTGGCCATGCGCCTGCGCGGTGAGCGCCACTAGAGAGGGGTGCGTGCGTGTTGCGTACCAGCACTGGAGATCGCAACTCAGAAAACCGTACGAAGGTGAAAGGCCTTCTCCGGCAATGCGGTGCTCCGGCACCGTTTTTGCATGCTTCCATAGATTCTCTTGTTTGTTCGACTTCTACTACCATTTCTTTTCTTTCTTCTTCAGACTTTCTTCTGTGCCAAAAGTGGTAACCTCGACGATGTGGGGGGGACGCAAAACCAGCAGCGACAGCAATAACAGTAATCCACTCTTGTGCGGTACGTGTGGATGTGTGCGAGGGCACGCCAGCAGAGGTGGTGAGCTGAATTTGTGCCCTTGTCTTTCCTTTCGTAGTGGCCGCCAATTCGAATCGGCCGACTGCCACTTCAGCGTGCGACTGCAGTCGGTGTTGTAAGATGCCACAAGCAAGGAAGGAGAGAACACAAAGAGGCAGGGAGGGGACGAGGCCACCCATGTGTGTCGCAACCCTTCTTATTCCCTGTTCTATTTTTAATTGTTTCTTTCGGCCTCTCTGATCACTCTCGCGACGGCTGATGCCCTGATGTGCTTTCCTTTGCTCACGTTGGCTTTACCACCTCTATACTGTCCTTTCCCTCTCTCATTCAATGTTGGTACTCTTCTTTTAAAAGAAATCTAAAAGACGAAGCTCGTCCGCTGCGGTGCTGCTGTTCTTGCATAGACACCTCCTTCGTACTGGAGGAAGAGCAACCCGCACTCCTGCATATATATGTGTGTGGTGGTGGTGGTGATGGTGTGTGGTGGTGGTTAGAAACACGACCTTCGCTCGATAGACTTGAGCAAGTACAACTGATAGAAGCAAACAGAAAAAAGGAAAATGTATGGCAACGCCGCAACGGCGGGCCTCGGTCCCACCAGCAGTAGTCAGCATGCGGCCAGCAAATCCGCCCACCTCCGCGCTCCATCCGCCGGCAAGCGCAGCGCCAGCGCCGGTGCATGGCGTCGTGCCGCTTCTCCCCTCGCCGCCTCTTCTACGTCGCCGGTGTCTGCCCTTCCGGCTCGGCGCCGCTCCGCTGCCGGGGCGGACGGCAGAGGTAGCCACGTCAGGAATGCGGGCGCCGGCGGTGGTGGTGGTAGTAATACTCGGCCACCTACGCGGCCCGCCTCGGTAGACCCGACCCGGCTGGCGGACGACAGCAGCAACAGCAATCCCGTCTCCGGACACGACGTTGCCTACCTCTATCAGCAGCTGCAGGACGCCCTGCACCAGCAGACCCACATTGAGGACGAGCGACAGCGGCAGCTCGGGCAGTACCGCCGCCAGCTCCGCGCCTACTGCAACGACAATGCGACGCTGCGGAACATCATCCTCGCCGGTGAATCACGCAAGCGCGATGCAGCCGCGTCGGTGTCGGATGAGGTGTGCGTCACCGGGGCACGCGCACACAGCGCCGGCACCCGCAACGGGCCGTCCTCCGTCACGGCAGCGGAGCTGGAGGTGGTGGAGGAGCGCATCCACCTTGCGCGTAAGCGGCACAACCGACTGATGCACGAGGTCCGCGTGAACACCGCTGCGTTGGAGAATGAGACGGAGTTGCGGACGAGTATAACGGAGGAGGCCGGTGCCCCGCTCGATCCGGCGTCGCTGCTGATGGGGGCCAACCGACCCGTCTACCTACGCCTGCTGCGACTGGAGCACCTCTTAAACGAGGTCCTGCGTAAGCAGAGCACCGTCGGTGTGGTGCTCAAGAACTACCGCTACCACCTGGCGACGCTGCGCGAGGAGGCGACGCAGTACGACGTGCAGCAGCACATGCTCGAGAACGAGTACGCGGACCGCCATCGCGATCATCTCCAGCTACTGGAGCTGTACGACACGGCGCGGGCGGCCTATAGCAGCACCGTCGAGGCACGAGTGGCACTGCAGCAAAGCGGCGCGAAGATGCGCCGCGCGAAGGAAAAGGCCCTTCAGCAGAAACGCAAGGAGGTGGAGAAGGAGTTGGCGGCGACGCAGGTGCAGGAGCGGCGGGCAGTGGACCTGCAACTGCAGCTCGAGGAAGAAGCCCAGCTCCTCGAGGCAGCCGAGAACACGAAGGCGCAGCTAGAGAAGCAGCGGTGGAACCTGCGCGCGGCGCTGACGCTGCTCAAGACAACCAACACCTCGCGGGATGGCGCAGAGGGCGATGCGGCCGGCGGTGGGGACGGTGAAATGGAGGACGATGTCGCGGATGAGCGGCTTTCCGCCTTTGAGGCGGCCTTCCGCGATATGATGCAGGTCGCCCACGCTGACACGCTCGACCAGTTGGTGGACATCTACACCGCCGAAATGGAGCAGCAATGCAAGCTGCAAGATGACCTCGACAACCTACGCGAGACGCGGAGGGTGCTGCAGCAGGAGACACGGATGCTGCAGGAGCGGCAGAAGCAGACCCGGTACTGCGTCGGGGCTGGCACACACCACGGTGCTGCGTCCGGCCAGGACGCGTCGTCCTCCTCTCAAAGCGAGGCGTGGAGAGGGACGGCAGCCGGCTCGCCGCTGATGGAGCGCGAGATGGAGACCTTTCTCAGAGAAGAGAAGGACGCCTTGTCGGCGCAGATAAGCGCAAACGCGCAGAACCAGTCGCTGCTGCGCGAGGTGGCGGAGCGCATGAACCGACTCGCGGCGTTGGTAGCCGACTACCGCGCTGATGTGCGTCTACCCGAAATACGTGCCAGCCCGGCTTTGGCGAGGCGCTCCTCGACGCTGCCGCTGCACTCCGTCGTGCTGGCGCAGAAGCTGCTCGCCCTGGCAAGTGACGCAACGTCGCACAACGCATTCATCACCACAGCAACAGCCGCCGCTGCTTCTTCCGCGGCCCATAGTGCTATACAAGACGACGGTGTCGACAGCGGCGCAGTCCCGGTTGTGTCCTCCACGCAACTCGTCATCCCGGCAAATAACCGGCGCGTGCCCCTCGCCCATGAACGCGGCGGCGGCGGCGACAACAGCGGTGGGGCAGCGGGTCCGACACGCCCTGCGGCTGATGTGGCCGGCATCTCGTCGATGGCTGCCCGTGCGCTTTTGAACGCGACGGAGCACCCGGTTACCTCGCTGGCCGGTTCTCCGCAGAAGCATATGAGGGGTGCGGCCGCCGGGAGCGGTGAGGGCTTTAAACGGCAGCGGAAGCGTCGGTCGTCCGCCCACGCGGGGGCTGGCTTCATTGAAGGCCTGGAGGAAGACGACGACGACGACGAGGTGCAGCTTGCGACGGTGGCCGCGTTGCCTCCGCCGGGCGGTCGTGTGCTGGACTTCGATCTCGACTCGTTGAACGACACCGACGGCGGGGCGGTCAGCGAGAGCTCGAGTGTGCCGGCGCGCCACGGCAATACTATCGATGGCGGTGATGCGGCGGCGGCGGCGGCGGAGGGGGACGGCGAGACGAGGGCGACAGCAATGGCACAGCGTCGACGGCGTTCGTCAGCGATGGCGAATCTGGCTGGACCCAGCGGCGGCAGCGCGCGTGGTGCCATTGCAGCGGCAGTGGCTGAGGACGATCAAGACGATCCGCTGCGCCGCGAGGAGGTGAAGAAGATGTCGGAGGTGCTTCAGGAGCGTCGCAAGCGTGATGCGGAGGCGGAGGCGGAGGCGGCGGCGGCGGCGCAGAAGTAAATGGTGGAGTGAAAGAGAAAAGCAGCAGTAGCACGAATAGCAGCTCCCTCCAGGGCCGCTGAGGTCCGTGAGTTCCTCCACGTTTTTCTTTTTCTTTTTCATCCATATTCTGCTCGCTCTCGCATCGTGCGCCGCGCCCGCCGCCTTCTCTTTCCCCTCCAGTGACGGTTGCCCTTGAGCACGTACTGGCGGATATATATTTATTATTATTATTATTCTGATAGAGGCAGCTGTCGCGTCTTGCAGCTGCACCGGCATCACCCACGATGTGTTTTTGGTTTGATCTCCAAGTTGTCCTGTTCTCCATAGAGGCTTTATTTGTATTGTCTACCCTTTCTGTTGAAGTTTCGCGCACTGGCGTGCGTGGGTGCGGTCATTTGTACCGGCAGCTGTTCACCTAAGGTGGGTGTGCATATACATTTATACGTATGTGGGTTTGGGGGTCTTTGTGTTGTGGTGGTGGTTGCTTTCATTACCGTTATCGTCAGCGCTGCGGCGTTCTGCGTACATCTCTCGCCCCCCTCCTCGTTTCTAGAGCCTAATCATTCCTTTGTCTGTTGTTGCTGCGGGGGGGAGGAGGAGGAGGAGGAGGCAGAGTGGGGAACTCCTTTGTGTTCCTCCTGTTCTTCCACGTATTCATTAGACTCTTGTGGCCTCCCCCCCCCCCCTCCCCTCCCTCCCCCTCCCACTTCGTTGCCGTTTGTTGTAGAACGGCGTTGCGCCTCGTCGCACACGTCCACGCCTGAAAAATGCGAAAGAAGATCAACGAGAGACCCTCTTTGTTGTTGTTGTTGTTGTTCTCGAGACGTTGGTAATCTTAACTTGGGATGGGAGGCATATAAAGGGTGTGTTGCGAGCACGAGCTTCACGCGGCTGCTTGTGTGGCTGTTGTTGTCCGCATTCCCTCGACGCTGTTTGCGAGTACGCTTGCGTGTGCAGCTGGATGCGTAGCCTTCCCTGTTCCCTCAACGCGTTATCTACGCGCCATCCAGCAGGAGCGCACCTCGGATCGCCCCTTTCAAACGAAGAACACTCAGCAGGTTGCTGCCCGTTTATACACGCAGGCATCCCCCATCTATCTGCTATTGGCTGCTCCCTCTACTGAGCTTTCTTTTCCCCTCCGTTCTGCTGTTGTGGCACCCCGGCCATAAAAAACTGCTAGTGGTGTACATGTGTGTGTATTTCTTTATTCCAAGCCGAAAGAAAGCGAGAAGTTTTTATAGGAAAGAAAGTAATGGCGAACACGATGTCGGAGGAGTCGGAGGAGCTGCTCGGTAAGGTGAGCAACCTCGCAGAGGCCTTCATCACGGACTTAAAGCGCGGCTGTCTGGCCGGTGCCCGCAGCGGCGAAGAGAGCCTTTCCACCGCAGCGGCTGTCAAGATGGCAGAGATGATGGCCTCGATTGTTCGCCTTTTCCAAAACACAGAGGAGGACCCGCAAAGCAGGACCGTTCAGCTGCTCAAGGCAGGCTACCCGGCAGCAGAGGTGGCCAGCCTTCAGGTCAGTCGACTGTTGATCTTGGTAGCCCGCACCGGCGACTCGCTGCTGCGGGCGCAGTTCGCGACGCTCTTTTTAATGAACGTCACCCGTCGTGTGCTGTCGATCGTGCGCGAGTCCGCGGCGAATAACAAAGCGACAGAAGCGGAGCTGGAGCTGGACGCGAAGGCAATCTTAGAGGATCTCAAGTCGGAAGACGACGAGGAGGAGAACAATCAGAACAGCGCTCGCTCCAGCAGCAGCAGCAGCAGTAACGCTTCGGAAGAGAGTGACGACGATGCAGCAAAGCACACGTTGCCGGCGAAAGGTATGAAGCCCGCCTCGCCGGCGCTGAAAAAGAACGCGTTCTCGGCGGACCCCTACACCCGCCGCGGCCTCTCCGTGCGCTTCGCCGATCGAGGGGAGCCGTCGCCGTACCAGCAGCACAGCGCGTCGATGGCGAACGACTTCGGGAGTCCGCTGCTGCAGCGCGCCGGCTCGATTGTAGCGATGGAGATCCCCGGCCGGCAGGTGCTGAAGCGCGCACCGAGCCGGCGAGAGCAGGTGCAGGAGGAGGAGAGTCCCATCGAGTTCCCGGTGCGCGTGGAGAACTTCTACACCGACGCGCTGGAAGCCATCGACGAGCTGAAGCGGGAGCTGGAGGGGATGACGGAGGAGCTGTGCCGGCGGGCGCCGCGGCAACTGCACTCCTCTGACACGATCATCACCCTCGGCTGCAGTCACTCCATTCGGCGCTACCTGCTCGAGGCGGCCAAGGCGGGTCAGCACTTTAAGGTGCTCATCTTGGAGGGCGCCCCGCAGCCGGCGGAGGCGACGCAGGAGTTCGCGGCGGCGCTCCTGCGAGAGAAAATCCACGCCCAGCTGCTGCCCGACAGCTCGGCGTACGTCGTCATGAGCATGTGCACCAAGGTCCTCGTCGGGGCGGAGAACGTGCTGGCCAACGGGGGGATGCTGACCGCGATCGGCACCCACGTCCTCTGCGCCGCGGCGCGGCACTTCGCGGTGCCCGTGCTGGTCGTGACGACCACGCTGAAGATGTCTCCGTACTACCCAAGCGATCAGCTGTGCACGCGGTTGGTGCGCATTGCACGGTCGGGGGCGCAGGAGATGCCGTGGTCCACCTACGGCTCGCCGGAGGATGTTTGGCCGTCGCCGTTCGGTGTCGCCGTGTCCGACAGCGGGCGTGGCCTGACGATCCATGCCCCGGTGACGGAGTACGTGCCGCCGGAGCTCATCACGCTGTTTGTGACCAATGATAGCGAGCTGATGCCCTCGCAGATCCACCGCATCGTGCGGGCCAACTATAGCGATGCCGACTGAGAAGGTGGAGAAACCAGAGAAGGCAATGAAAACCAGCAAAGTGGCGGCTGTTGATGCGGAGGTGATTGTTCCGTTGTGTTGGTTTATATATATATATATATATATATTTATATATTTCTTAAAGGCGATCGTTGTTGTCGTCTGACTGGCGGAAGGGGTACGTTGGACGCTCTGCTGCATCTTACGAAGTTGTTCTTCGTTGCGGTGTGGTTGGTGGTGTCATTCTCTATATATATCTCCGCCTGCCCCTCCTTCAATTTACGCGCGTGGAAGTCGTCAGCGATAAAATGTTAAAAGAAAGGATCATCCCTAAAAAATAATAGTAGCGAAAACGCACTCTTTTATTTAGGCCGCTCTCTCTCTCTCCCTTTCCCTCCCGGGTTCGTAGCGGTGCCTGCGCCATCACCACAGGCGGTGACCGCGAGCGCAGAAACTCCCCCTCGTCCCCGCCGCGAACGCATCGATATGAGGGAAGAAACGACGAAGACGCGAGGGCAGCCAACACGCGCCTGCGACTTGGTCGCTCTGTTTTTGTGTGTTTTTACGCCGTTTGACCTGTGAAAGCAGGGGATAGCGGGCGTGTTTGCTCCCCTTTCGGTAGTGGCGAGGCAGTGGCGGGCCAACCCGGTGTATCTGCTACGCACAAACGGGCCATTCGCTGGATGCCGTACTTCCTTGACCGCTGCCCTCACCTCTCTCCTTTTCAGTTCTGTGCGCTGAGTCGGCTGAGATACTTCGACCCTGCTGCGCCAAGCTTCTCCACCTGTACTGCTTTAGCATTTACTATTGTTACACATCGACACGCCCAGCAGCTTTCCACTGCCATTATGATGTTTATCAAAGGCAGCGCAGACAAGGAGGCGGACAGCGCCGTGCACCGCCTCTGGGGCTTCACCAAGTCGTACGCCACGCACGTCGGCCAGACCTATCTCGAGTTCCTCGGTCCCTTGTTGCTGCTGGTGGCGGTGAACATGGCGGTGGATGCGCACGACAACGAGCGCTTTGGCCTCGGCTGGCTGTACTGCACGAGCCTGAAGGACGACCGCGTCCGCGAAGAGAAGTTCCCCTCGTACGAGCCTAGCAGTGTCGCGCAGCGCCGCCGCAGCGAGGCAGCGAACGCGATTGAGTACGCGGCCACGACGGTGTAACTGATGACCGTCAGAACGAGCACAGCAGTTCGTCCAGTGGAAAGGGAAAGGAAAGAAAATTCTTTGTGGCTGCGTTGTTTTGGGGGAGGGGTGTTGGGTTGCTCCCCCTGGCCCTCTCGTCACATACCTTTTGATGGCGCGGTTGTTCTACTCTAACTATATATATATATATATATATATATATATATATGTTGATAGTTTGTCATGTTGTTTCTTGCCGCTGTTGGCGTGCGCCGGATGTTGGAGGGGTATCGAATGGTCTTCGTTTTCTGAACTGTGCTTCGCTCTTCTTTGTTTCTCTTCCTTCGCCAAAAGAGAAGGTCTGTCGGCGTGGTGGAGGTGGGGTGGAGCCGGCGTTTGTCGGAGGCAGAAAGCGCGACTCACCCGAAACTTGATTATAGTTTTTATTTTTCCTTCTGCAGCTGTCGCGCAACGGCGTGTGCTGCGCTGCGTGTTGGTTCAGCGCTCACGCATACTCACTCGGATGGGTGGGTGGAGCTGCGAAGGTTCCTTTTCCCTGGTTGGTCGCACCGCATGCCGTCTTTTTATGATCAACGTTGATGTTGTTGTTGTTGTTTTGTAAATAACAGGAAGCAAGAAGCAAATAAGAAAAGGTGTTACAGTGCCATATATATATTTTTTTTTTTGCTCGAGCGCTCGCCAGTGCATTTGGCAGTTCCATCGTTGACCACGCGCACTAGCGCAAAAAGAAGGGGTAAGGATCTCTTCTTGTGTGTGTGTGTGCAGCGCTTCGCTTGCACGTGAGGAAACACGCTACGGTCGTTGTATTATTATTAATATTACTTCAGCGCTTCCTACGAGCGCTTCCGTTTTCGCGCTCGCTCTCAAGACACACACCTCTTCCCCTTGTTGTCAAAGGTCTTTCACGTTTTCCTATACCTATGCCTTCACTTCATCTTCGGCCTACAAACCTCTTTCCTTCTATTATTATTATTGTTGTTGTTTAAACTACACTTCATAAGTGGTTTATGTGAAAGAGCTGAGCGAAGGCAGCGCGCATCGTATTGGCATATCTCCTCCCGCTCTGTTGTGATTAGTGTGGGTGCCTGCGTCACGGTTGTCCAGTCGTCGAACGCCATACCGGCCGCCTCACGCTGGCGCCTTCCCTTCTACCTCCTCAAGTATCCGATTCCTTTCCATCGATATATATACCTACAGTTGTGTTACTCCGGGTGAGTGTCGACGGCTGTTCGAGGGCGGTCTCTGTTCCAGGTACGCATTCGCCACGGTCACCCGACGGTGGCTTCCTCAAAGGCGTGCCGCCTCGCAGCAGTCCAGATCTCTGCTGGCGCACACCGCTGTCGTTTCTTATACATCTAACACGAACGGTGTAGTTGGATTTGTTGTTGCTAAGAAAAGGAAGATAAAACGCACAGCCGAAGTGTGCATCACACTGAGCTCTCATAAGTACTTCACTTCTACGCGCGAAAGAAGCGTCGTATATATTTTTTCTCTTTTGGTAGTTACCTGCTTAGTTAAATACATTTTTGTGAAGGAAAGTAGAAGAGTAGAAGAAGGAGAAGGGAGAAGAAACGCATACCCCTGCGAGCACTCTGCGCGAGAACTGCGTGTTCCTTTAAGGGCGACTGATCAGCCTTGCCGGCGCACGTCACACACACGAGATCCCTCTTCTATTTCGTACTGCGTCCGTCCTTCTTGCATCGAAGGAAAGGGGCGATTCAAAACAAAGCAAGAGAAAGGGAGTGTTATAAAACTCTTAAAAAATGAAAGAAGAGGCAAAGAAGCACGGCCTCGTCATGGACCGTCCTTCTGGCGACCGCACGGTTTCCTTCCGCCCCCACCTCGCAGGACCACTGCCCAGCTACACCACCAGCAACGGCAGCACCCTCGACACGGATGCCTCGCCGCGCATCCCGAGCACCGTCACACAGGGCTATGCCCCGCTGAGCCCTTCTACCAGTGCCCTGCGCACACGGCGTGTGGCGTCGCATCGACGTCTGCAAGGTGGCAGTCCAGGCCGGGGCAGCGGCAGCACACGCTCCGACGTCAGCTTCGAGGCCCCGGCGCAGCTCGCCACACTGCTGCAGCGCAGCGGGTCACCGTCGGTCACGACGATCATACCACCCCAACTGCGCAGCGTGGACTCGATGGCGGACATCGTGTCGGCGGCGCCCCCGATGATGCAAAGCCCTGCCGGTCCTTACTTCGACAGCGCCTCCCCCACCACCGTGGGTCGCGACAACGCCATGATGCAGGAACTCATCGCCCTCCAGCAGCAACAGCAGAGCAATCTGAAAGGGGTCACCGTGATTTACCCGCAAAGGGTCTCGCCCACAGAAGGGCACGGGCGCATGCCGGACTTCCCCAGCCCGCACGACGCCCAGTCCATCGGCGAGGACAGCGCAAATGAAGACCGTGTACAGGTGCGCGTGGAGGGCTACTACGACGGCGCCAATGTGAATGTGCTAATCCCAAACGACCTGCCGCCGAGCACGCTGCTGTACGTCCTTACCGCCTCGGACGGGCGTGACTTAATGTTCAAGCTAACACAGTACAGTCTGCAGCTCGCTATTTGCTTCCTGAAGATGCCCTCGCTGTTCTCGCCCGAGGTGCAGGTCTTCACCGGTCCGTGGGCGGAGCGCCTCTACCGCAACTACAACACCATCCGCCACGGCCGCAGCCTCTTCAAGATGGGGCGGGGGTTGCTAAACGTATTCACGGTGCAGGCGGTGTGCGAGCGAATGTGGATGAGGTACGAGAACGCCATCTCGCGCCAGAGCTGCGGCGTCCTGCTGCCGGTGGTGACGCGAGTGGAGCAAGTGCTGTTGATGCTGGGTGCATCGCCAGTGTGGGGACGTGCCATGTCCCGGCAGCTCTTGCATTGGTCTCAGGCGGCTGAGCTTACGCCGGGGCAGGGCCGGCTGGAGGAATCGCCGGAGGCAATGGCGATGGACCGGCGTATTCAGGAGCGCATGCAGGGCAAGAAGGACAGCATCTACCCCGGTGCGCTGCTGGCGGACGACACCTTCATGCACATCTCAGAGGTAGAGCGTGGGGAGCCGGGCAGCGGTGGTGCAGGTGGCGGCAACAAAGCTGGTACTTCAGGCAAGCAGGAGGACGCCGATCGCAGCGGCCTTCTCCAACGGATGGCGAACGCCAGCTTTACCGACCTCGCCATTCACACGGCAATGAATGCGATCGGCATTTCCGTGCCGCGCGGGGGGCCGTCGGCCGGGCCGAGGAACTTCGCCGCCTCCCCGCCGCCGTCGCAGCCTGTCCTGCCACACAGCCCGGCAGACGAGGAGAGCACGTCGCCAGAGCACTCGAGCAAGGCGTCGCCGCGCAGCTTCCGCGGTGCCTTCCCTTCGCCGACCTCCCCGGCCACCAACGATGCAACCTCCGCCGCGACACCCGCGTCAGATGCGAAGGGCAGCACGGACTCGACAAAGGAGCCAGCGAAGGGCACCGCACCAACGACCTCGAACACGGCGAACGGCCCAGACCCGATCACGGTTGATCAGGCAGGAAGGACGCCAGCGACGACGGAGGCGACGTCGACGGTGGCGTCCACCGGCAAACAGCGCGTTGACACGTCCACCAGCTCCTCGGCGGACGACGGGTCCGGGCCAATAGAGCACGCGGAAGCCCCGCCGTATGTGCAGGGCACCTTGCCGGAGTTCCCGCAGCACGACCACCTGCCTGGCATGACGCCGTCCAAGACGACAACCGCCACCACCGCCACCGCCACCCAACCCATGATGGACTCGTACAACGTCGCCGAGGGAGAGGAGGACGGTGGACGCACGACGCTGCTCCGGCCGCTGACCCGGCCCACCCGTCGCTCCTCCACCACCGACCCAGATGGAAGCATCACGGGCGACGAGGGCCCGTCCTCCATGCCGAATGCCGCCGGGCCCCACTTCGCCGGAGAGCCGATGTCGATGATGGACAACTGGCGGCCCGCGATGGCGCCGACTGTACCGCCGAGTCAGTCGGATGAATACGGCTACGGCACGACACCGGGCTTTGCGGACCACGCCGGCCACCTCTCCCCCACCTCCCCCAGCCCGCCCCCGCAGTCATCAGGGAAGAAGGCAAAGGACTGCAACGGCGTTGCTGCGCGGTCGAAGAAGGCGCCGGTGCGCAGCTCGGACAGGGACACCGCAACTGCTGCTGCCGCCGCTGTTAGTAGTACCAGTAGTATGGATGACGGTGCGGCACTAGACGGAAATCTGGCATCCGCGAAACACGCGCATGAAGAACAGCGCCGCCCCAAGAGGGAGTGCCCGCCCTTCGAAACGGACCCCGCGCTGCAGGCGCCGCCCGCCCCGGGCCCCGCCGGATCCCCCGTCTCCCCCTCGTCCTCCCTCTCTGCGACGCCGAAGCAGGCCGTCAACGAGGAGCTGAACGAGAGCGACATGAGTATTCTCTCCTCCGAGGCAAACAGCAGCTTCCACGTCCGCCCTGGTGGGGTGAGTAGGACGATGACGGCGTGGCTGAACGAGCTGCAGCCGGCCTCCGCGGCCCTGCCGGCACGTCTGCGGAAGGGAATAATGCAGTTCAATCCCGTCCTCATGACGTTGCTCGGTATCCGCAACGTCGCAGCGGGGCTGCGGCGCTTCCTGCGCGACGCCACCCTCATCTCGTCGGAGCGCTTAACGGCCGTCACCTTTATTGAGGTGCACCGCCGCAGCATCACACGATTCATCAACCGCTGCTGGTTTATCATCTCCGTGATCGACCTCCTCCTCAACACGGTTCGCCTGCTGCAGCCGGGCTGGACCAAGTACGCGACGGCGCGGCAGAACATCCGATGCCGCTGCGGCTGCCAGGGCGACGACGACCCGGCCGACACGGTCTTCCGCACCCACGGCTTCATCGCCCGTCGCAAGACCGATCTCTTCTTCCCTCCGCTGAACCTCGACTACGGGGCACCGGTGGTGTCGAGCATCGCCTACGTTGAGGCGGCCGACCCAGCACGACTCATGCCCGCCTGTAGCCGCTGTGGGTGCTTGTACAAGGAGCTGCCCTGCGAGGCGGCCGCGTTTGAGGGGGAGGGGGGAGACGAGGACGAGGCGGCGGCCACGTCCTCCACGGCAGGGGGACCAGCTCCTCTGCCCATCGCCACAGGCGGCAGCGCCGCACATCCCCGCCCCAGTCCCTTCTTGGTGCCGAGTGGACACCCCTCCCGAACCCTCAGCGACACCGGCGACAACTCCTTCGCCATCGGTGCCATGCAGCGCGAGAAGCCGAGGTGGGTGCAGATGTACGAGGCGGAGGTGCACGAGGCGGAGGAGGCGCGGCGCCGCACGGCCGCCAAAACGGCAACGCCGGATGCCGCCGGCGCCGGTGGTAGTGGTGGTGGCCGTGGCAACATGGCGCGTCGTGCAACGCAGAAGCCCAGTAGCGACACCAAAGCCAACGCCGACGCAGACGGGGCAGGTCGCACGACAGCGGCGGAGCTGGTGGATCTGGCGCCGCCGCCCCCCATGGGCAACACCGCAGTGCGTCCCCTCCACCCGCAGCCGAGCCGAGACACGAACGACGCCTTCGTCCCCGGCGAGGCGGCGGCGGCGGCGGAAGGCCCTAGCAAAGGCACCACCGGCATCCTCTTTGTACCGTGGATGATGCGGAAGTTCTTCGACTACGTGTGGCTGCTGCGCGTGCACCCGAACCTGACGGCGACCATTCTGCTTGAGGCGCGCTACCTGGCGGAGTTCTATCTCTCCTACAAGTACTGCTTCACCGATTACGAGTCGTACAAGGGCGATGCCCCGCTGAACGCAATTCTCCACCCGTACTGCGCCATTGCCGGTATGGTGAGCGCCGCCGTGGGTCTGCTGCGGGTGGTGGAGAGCGCACCGACGTCATAAAAAGGTGGAAGACGTGCAGGATGTGAAGAGCTTTGTTTTTTCTCTTTCTTTGCTGTTCTATTGTGTTGTCGCCGTTGTTGTGCTTGTCTGTTGTGTTGAATCAAGAAGAGAACGAAAAATCTACCGAAAAGGAACCGGGAAAGGGAAAATATTTGCTTGACTGATTTGGCGTGCCCCTTCTTCTTTCTTGAGGCGCATCTACGTCTTGAAGCTGAATGCGTGTATCGTGATGGAGCATACGCGATGCTGCTGAATCGTTGTGCTTGTGATAGGGGCGGCTGTTCTACTGACGTTGTGCTCTTATATCTGCGCGCTGATCTCGCACTCAAAGAAACATAGGAGGGGAGTCAAGGCACCATTCGGGATTCGATGTTGCCCAATTCATACGCTTTGTCTAATCGTTTATGTTTTATTTGATCGTTTGTTCGTTGGCACACGTCGCGGCGCGCTTCCTCAACAACAGAGCAACGGCGGATGGTGTTGTTGCTGTTGCTTGTTTGTTTTTCGAGAGGATCACCTTTTTGTTTTTCTTCTGGTCAGCATATTTATCTCAGGTGAGCAGGTAGCGTGTATGTAGTCATTTGGGTAGTTGTTTGTTTTTCTTCCTATTGCTGGTTCAGTCCATGCCATCAAAAGCTTTGTGGAGATCGCATTGAATTGGGCGGCAGGCGACAAGCCCGTGTGCGCAGAGGAGGGGGGGGGAAGTAGTCGTGACAAACAAGAAAGCCATCGTTGCATCGGCAAAAAGGGGGGCGTGGTTGAACTCGAACACCGCCGCAGTCGCCGCGAAAACAGGAATGACATAGTTGGGGGAGGCTCGCCTCATTCTGTAGACGTCAGTGCTTGACATGTCCGCTGATGAAGAGGTGACAAGTGCGCTACCTCTTCCTTCTTTCTTTTGAGGGGAGGGCGCGGAAGTTTTCTATGATGCGTACTCGAGGCGTGTGTGTGGGTGTGTGGGTCTATCAATGGTGCTCGATGTCGCTCTTCTCGTCTACCTCCATCTCTCTCTATACCTACCTCTGGTCTGTCTCTTCGTTGTTGCTGTTTTTCTTTTCGTTTCCTTCACTGGAACCGGCCTGACATCTGCTGCCTCGCACGTTCGATGTCAGCCGGAAGCTCAAAACGAGACCGTAAGACGGGACCTACTCCCCGCGTTGGACTTCGTCACGCCTCTCCCAGATCCACGGTGACGGGCTCCAAATAAAAAAGCCTTGAGGAAGAGGGAGGCCGAAAAGCGAAGCCAGCATCGACGCTTTCTTTTCTTTTGTTTGTTTTCGCGCGTGTGTGCGTGTGTGAGGCGGCTGTCTTTTGCTTCCGTAGAGTTTCGTCTTCAGCGGCAGTGTTTTTTCCCGCCCTCGATCCCGCCGCCGCCGCTTGCGCCGCCACAGCAAAGTTTAGGGGCGAGCAGCGAGCGCAAGTTGTGGTGGTTGTTTCGGCTTGGTTTGGTTTGGTTTTCTTCTCTCTCTCTCTCTCTTTCTCCTTCCTTCGAGCGTATTCGCTGCTGTATGTGCACACCTCGGCTTTCTTCTATGCTTCTTCCTGTTCTGGAATACTCTTATTCCTCCGACAAAGCTTCTGTGGCTGGTTTTTTTTTTTTTGGGGGGGGGCGGGTGTTTGCATTATTTATTATTATTTTTATTTTACTGTTTCCTGTTGCGGTGGAGCGGCGCATACACACAGACATTTAATGTGTATGCGTATTTGTGTACGTGTAGGAGCAACATGTGCCGCCACATCTAAACATCTACCTCGCATTTCACTCTCTTCTTGGCACCCTTCATCCGCTGTTGTGCGTCGTCCTCGTGTCTCTGTCAGTCGGATTCTCCCATCTTTGACATCAGGCTGCTTCGCTTTTATTGCTATTATTATTATTACTTGCGCATTTATTTACATGTGTGTGTGGGTGTGTGTGTGGGTGTTTGTTCCCTCTTGAGTTTCAGCAAAGTGAAGTCGCCGCTGTGTACGACGGCGTAATTGGAGGCAACAGGGTGCGTCACGCCTTCAACAGAAAACTGCCAAGAAGAAAAAAAGAGTGTTTATTGGCAATTTGATGGTGTTGGCCGGTGACTCCGCCTTTGTCCTCTTCACGGTTGTAGGCGTACCGCTGGTATCGCAAACTCTGTTTCTTCGGGTTTCGTTTTTGTCTTTTACAATCTTCTTTTTATTACTATTATTATCATTATTTTTTGAAACGAAGAAGGAAGAGGAGGGGCAATAATGTTTTTCGATCTGCTCGACATGACGCTGTCGTACATCCAGTACCTCGCCCTCCTTCTTCGACTGGACCCCTCCACTGTCCCCAACTTCTACACGAAGCCCTTCAAGGTTCTGCGGTACGCCGCCCTCGACGTCTTCTCGGATGTCAACGAGGGGCAGCGCTACCACAATTATCTGCGCGTGAGCCTGCCGGCGTGGCTGCCGCTGGACATCCGGCTGCAGTATGTCTGCGTCGCCGTCATCGGCCCCATGGTGGTCTCCACCTTCGGCATGCTGTTCGTCTACGGCAAGCTCGCCTACATTTGGTTTGTCTGCGTGCTCGCCACCCTCTTCATGTTCCTGTATGGGTTTATTCTCCTGGCGAACCAGAGCAGCTTTGCTGTGCCCGGCGCGGTGCTGCCGGCGCGCAGCTCCCTCGGCGTACTCGGTGGTGTCGGGCTGCCGTGCTTTCTGTGCCTGCTCGCCGGCGGACTCCTGGGGATGGGCCGAGCCCGTCTGCAGCTGCTGCGGCAGGATGCGATTGAAATGGAGCGCATGGTGGAGGAAGAGCGCCAGCGACGGCGTGGCCAGCGCGTGACACAGCAGATGGTGGACCGCGAGGGGATCGATTTGGTGGCCGTGGCTGCCGAGCAGGTGCACGCCCAACGCGACAAGGACGCCATGGAACACATCGACTGGGGTGACGTGGTGCTGCAGGGCCTGTTTGTGGTGGTGCTCTTCATTGGCAGTTTAGTTCTGCTGAACGCCATCAAGATCCCCGCCATCGCGGACATCCAATCCAGCGCGGTGTTTACGGCGCTGGGTGCGGTGGGGATGGTCGTGTGGGGCTGCGTCGCGTTCTGGTGGGTGCTGGACTTCTTCAAGAAAGGCCGGCAACTGCAGTTCGCCATCAGCGACTTCGTCAGTCGGCGCTGCTTAGGTCTTATCGTGACGGTGTGCAACCTCCTTTACATCAACGTGGTCATCAACTTCATCTCCATTGTGTACTGCGTGACGCTGACGTGCGCCGCGGGCACCCGCACGCCGTTCTCCGCCTCCCTCTTCCCTGCCATGACAGGCACAGCCGGCGCGCCCGCGGATGTGCTGGCCGGTTCAACGGTGGGCTGTCTTGCCTGCAACTACCACGCCCACCCGCAGCGGTGCTCGGCCGACTGGCAACAGCAGCTCTGCTCCTCCGCCGTCCAGCAGCGACGCCTCGTCTACGACCTGCGTGTGCCGTACGCCGACATCGACGCGCTGTACAAGGTCAGCGGCAGCCTCATCTTCGCGGTGTACCTCCTCTTTGTCCCCTACCTGCAGTTCTACATGGCGCAGTACACGGTGCGGGTGCTGAAAGAGTCCTTCCCGCTGGAGCGACGCTACTACGACGTCTTCACACCGGATGAGATTTACTTCCAGAAGGTGCTCGTGTCGCAGAACAACGCCGCCTTTGCCTATCGCGCGTACAAGCCGCAGTTTCGCTTCTACCGCCTGTCCTTCCTACTGCAGAAGGTGATTTTAGGTGTGGTGGGGTGCGTGATGCGGAAGGGCCTGAATCACGACGTGGCATGGGCCGGCATGGTCTTCTTTATCGTGGTGCCGCTCATTGCCCTCAGCTGCGCCCTGTACCTGCGGCCCTTCTCGCGACAGGTCGAGGCCTACTACTTCATCGCCGTGCAGGCGATGGTGAGCCTGTGTGCGATTGTCTGCCTCGCCGCCCAGCAGATTCGCGAGACCGGCATGCCATCGGCGGTGTGGATTGTGTTGCTGGTGCTGCTGATCCTGGTGCCGGTGTGTGTGTTGGTTGTCGGCAACGCGATGACGCTGCGCGAGGAGCGGCGCTGGACGGAGTTGTGGCAGCGGCGTCTAGTGGAAGGCGTGACGGCGGCCTACGACGATGACGGTGACACGACCCACCGGCTGAACCCACTGCGCGGTCCACCGCAGCCAAACACAGACGCGTGTGCGACGGACTGTACGCAGCGTAGCGGCACACGACGCGACGACAAGGGCGAGAACAGCAGCAGCAGCAGCAGCAGCAGTCGAAGCAGAACTAGTAGCTCCAGCTGCTCTGACTCTAGCACGAGCAGCAGCAACAGCGGCGAAGTGGGCAATGAAGGCGGCGGGGTGCAGCTGTCCGCACGAGAGCGAGAAGCACACGGTCAACGAGAGGAGGGCGAGGACGTCGCAGCTAATGCGACACCGCCAAAGGCGTTCATCTGTCCCCTCACCCCGTCATATGAGACGACATCCGCGCCCGCCAGTGCATCATCGCCACCGTCGCCTTCGCGCCACAGGGGCCCGTCATCGGCACTGAGTGACAGCCCCTCGACGCCTCGCACCGCAGCGCCGATGGCAATTTCGAGGTTACGGCTGCTGCGTGCCCTGCCGGGGCTCCTCCAAACGGACTCGTGGGTCGACTGGCTGAAGACGGTGCTCGAGCTTGCTAGGCGCACCGTCGCCGCGCCCTTCTCGCACTCTCACCAGCGAGGCGAAGTTGAGGACTCGCCTTGCGCCGGCGTGCCCTCGCAGGGGCAGAGTGCAGCGGCCCAAGACAACAACGGCGCCGCCGCCCGCACGGGCAACACGCACAGCAGCACAAACGAGAAGGAGACTTGCGGGCAGCGAGGGACCAAGGCGAAGTACAGCGGCTCGAGTGACGAGAGCGGATTCGTGGAGGAGTGCCGGGAGATGCGGCTTCGACACCGCAATGGGCATCGCGTGCGTGGTGCGGCCGACCGTCGCAGCCCGGCAGAGACGGCGGAGATGGAAAGCGCTCGGCTGCTCACCGGCGCGTGCAGCGGGGGCAACAGCCCGCATTCCGCGTCCGACGCTGGAGACATCGTGCCGACCTCTCAGCAGCCGCGACGTCGCCACCCCTCCTCCTCCCTCCCGTCCGCGTCGCTCTCCCTCTCTCAGCTGTACAATTGCCTGCCCGTTGCGCGGCCGCCGAGCGGGGCGCGGCCGCACAGCCGTCGAGTGTCGACGTCGCTGTCGCCCGGCAACTCAATGCTTAGCTCGACGCTTCGCCGTCTCGACCGCGGCAACACTCCCACCCTGACCACCCCACCTGCGTGTGTTCGTGTGCGAAGTGCGCGAGAGCTGACGTCCCCACAGCACCAAGGGCAGCAGCAGCAGCAGCAGCAGCGCGGGGACCCGTTGCACGATGCCTCGGATACGAATAGAGGAGGTCCTCCCCCCGCGAGCAGGGAGGCCTGCGCGAATGCGAGTTCACCCACACACGCAGGTGCGTCCAATGCAGCGCCAGCCGAAGCCGCTGCCTCGGCGGGCGCCGGCGAGTACGCCGATGACGCGACCACAACGTTCATTCCCGCCCTCTACTTTTCTGAACGGGCACGCGGGCGGCAGCAGCGGCTGCAGCACACAGACACCCATCCCCGCCAAGGCAGCGCCAGTCTCACCAGCACCAGCGGGCACGTGCATCGTGGAACGAGGGGCAACCCACTTACTCGACGGAAGCGTTCCTCTGCATCCACCACGCAGGAGCTGGGGGTAGTGCGTCTGCCGTGGCAACGGCAGGAAGAGGACGCCCCGCCTCCGCAGCCGATAGGCAGCGCTCTCTCCACTCAGAGTGCCGGGTGTGGCGCGTCACCGCCCCAGGCGGAGACCCCAGAGGACGGTGCAGCGTCGCGCCTCGTGTCGACAAGCGGCAACGACGTTGCTGTCATGAGCGCGGTGGCCTCCGCCTCCATCTCGTCCTCGGTGCGATCTGCGTGGCGGGCCGCGTGGAAGTGGATCCTCAGCGCAGACGACGATGCAGCGCGGCGACGACGCAACGTGCTGTGCTTCGCGGATGTCTACGTGCGTCGACAGCTGTGCGGGCAGGCGACGGCGGCGGCACAGCGGGAGCAGGGAAACGCCGGCGGCATCGCCGGCGATGACACGCCCGCCCTGACCGCCGCGCAGCTGCGTCACTGTGCGCGGAGGGCTTTCTGGGGCTGTCCGACGGATGCCATGCTGGGCGTGGTGGAGGTGCCAGGGAGCATGCCGCCGTGGGGACTGTACTGTCATGCGCCAGTGCCGAGTTCATCCGTCCACGCAGCCACCGCCGCCGAAGGCGAGCAAACTCGCCTGCCGTCGCATCGATCGATGTTCTCCCTGCAGCGGCAGTACTACGCCCAGCTCGCCGAAGAGCAGCAGCAGCAACAGGCAGCGGGCCAGCGTGGGTCGCCCGTGCCCGACGGTAATACGGACGGCACCTCCCTCACCAACTCGCCGGCGTACACGTCGCTCTCCCAATCCACGAGCTTTCGTCTCGCGCAGCCGATGCACCCGTTGCGCGCCGCAGCCTACGAGCGCCAATTCGCAGCGGCGCGGGCCTACCGCCGCGAGCGGGCCGACAGTTTGCTGCCGCTGGACACGGAGCTGGACACCTACGCGAACGCACTCAGCGATGACGACGACGATGAGAAGGGGAAGGAGAACGATGGCAACGCCGACGAGCGGAGTAGCGGTGGTGGTGTCGCAGGACTGCGAAATACATCGGGCACCCTTCATTGGCTGCAGCGGTGGGGTCCAGTGCTGACGGAGTTGCTGTACGAAGCAGCGACGGATGACCAACAGTGGGCTATGTCTCCGCGAGCAGCTGCACAGCTTCGGGACAGCGCCAGCGACGACGAGGGCCGCCAATCTCCCGCTCACTCCTCCTCTTCTCTGTCACCGCGATCATCATTATCATCTCCGCCGTTATCATCATTGCCGTCCTCCGCCGGCTCTTCTCGCCATCGTCACCGTCACGGCACGAGCAAAGCAACGAAGAAGCCGCCGTCGTGGCTGCGGTGGCTCCCGGTCGTGCGGTGGATTCCGGCGAAGAAGAAGAAAAGGGTAAGGAAGACGCAGCAGCCCGGTGGCCGTTTCGTAAACGACAACGACGAGGAGGCAGCGGCGGCAGCTCCGTCGATGCCCGATTTCACGTCAGACTCTCCGCTATCGCACGTGGCACGGACGCTCAGCAAACGAGGGGAGACGAGTTGCGGTGTGTCGTCGTCCGCTGCTGCCCCGTCGCTCCGCCGCGGTGACTCGCTCCACTCGCTGCGTCGACACCAATCCACGCTGCTCACGCTTATCACCGGCACGCAGACCACACGTGCGCCGTCGGTGCGGAGTGAGGATGAGGTGACAGCGTTGTTGGCAGACCCACCTCGTTTTGATGGCAAGGAGGGGAGTGACACCGCCAGCCTGCACAACAATCGGGAGAGGTCCGTCGTGGATCGCCGTGTCGCACCGGTCGATTCGCTGGATGCACTGTCGCTGGCTCCCGCCTTGTCGGACCACTGGATTGACTCCAGCATGGAACAGCCGCCGGACCCGCTCATTCAGCAGCTGCGCTGCCTGCACCTCGTGCGTCAGCGACTGAAGGAGTCGTACTGGGAACACCGAAATCAGCTGACGGCGGTGCAGGACTACATCGACTACGAAATCAACGAAACAATGCAGCGCGTGTTGACGTTCCTATTCATCGTGGTCGGCACCGTCGCGACCGTCTCCTTCGCCCTCGCCATTTTAGGAATGATGCACACGCTGGACTGGCGCTTCATCAACGGCGTGCGGCGGACCGAGGAGGACGTGCGATACGAGCTGGCCGGCTACACCAGCTGGGCGAACTTCACGGAGCACTGCTGCTGCGTCGCCGCCACCGATGTCGAGGCGCAGTACCCCTTCTTCGCCTTGGATGTAGAGAACTGGATCTGCGCGAATGGCGTGACGAAGGAGCGGGTTCGGCGCGACGGCTACGACGGTGTGGTGGAAGACGGCTACGCGGTGCGGGCCCTGTGTGGGATGGAGTTCGAGAACGGGTGTAGCGTGACGGTGGACAGCGCGGCGCAGACGGCAACGCTGACGGGGTGTAGCGCGACGGCGGTGACTGCGGCCGCCATGCAGCGGTGGTGACGGATAGGGTTTGTCAGCGCGGTGCTTCCTCCCCTCCTTGAGCGTATTACTTTGTCTGTTGTGACTATTATTATTATAGCTGTCGCATTCCACGCACAACTGCCCGGTCTCGCCTTTTCTTTTATTATTATTATTTTCTTCCTTTCTTTATCTTCTCGTGCTTTCCACGCCGTCACGATGTAGCTTCATGCTGACGAAGAATGAAAAACAAATTATAAAGCGCATGCGTATTACAAGTGGACATCTGTGTGTGTGTGTGTGTGTGGTTCTCTCTTTCCGTTTCCGAACAGTGGTTTTCTACCAAGACAGGGCCGCCAAAGGAACTCCCTCGCGTTGTGTGTTCTTTCCCCCTCTCTCTCCTTTCCTCTCCAGCAATCAACACGAAATCGTGCGCCAATGACACTATGGAATGCGTGCCTCAAACATTTTCCCTCTTCTCCTTCCTCTTACTCTCGCCCCTCCTCCCCTTTTTTTTTCTCTGAAACCTCCACCCCCACTCTTTTCTCTTTCGTTTATCCACACATGATTGCCGCGATATGCCATCTCTGTTCAGTTGTCGATTTGCCTTGACAAGCTACCGTGCGTGCCTGTTTGCGTGTGTCTCTCTCTCTGTTCTTCCCTAGACCTCTTATTTTTGGTTGTTGTTGTTTGTGTGTCTGTTTGGGTTTGACAGCAGCGTACCGCTCTCGTCGTCTTCTCCAAGCGCACGCACGCCCGTACGCATACCGTATACGCGTATCGCGACAGAGTTAGTAACGCCCTGAAGCTCCCTCCTGTATCGTCACATCCCCCAGCTGTATTCTCCCTTTTTTGAGTATATATATTATTATTTTTTACAAGTACATACACATTCAGAGAAAGACTCTCTCTCCTCTTGCTATTTCCACGGAAAAAATGGGCTGCCCTGCTTTCTGCGACACGGTGCTGAGCTTCCTACGGAAGTTCTTCTCGCTGATCATCGCCATTCTGATGGCCGTCATCACCGTCCTCTACGTGGTCGGGGTGGGCATTGTCGTCACCGGTGCCAAGAGCTTCGGCAAGTCCGGCTTCGCCCACTTCCTTGGAATCCTGTTTGCGATTGTGACGGTCATTGGGTACATCATCCTGCACTTCGTGCCGCGCAAGGCGTACCGCCTCCTGTACGCCCTCACCTTCATTCTGCTGACGACGATGTTTCTCGTGGCGCACTCGTGGGGTCTGGCCGCGCCAGTCGTGCAGGACTGCCAGAGGAACGGAAATCTGCACATCAACACCACGTGGGGAGGTATCGGCTCCATCGGCACCGTGCTCGGCGAGGACAACGTCACCATTACCATTGGCTCACTGGGTGAGCCGATAGCGCAGTGCAACGGCAATGCCATCCTCTTTGCAGCGGCCTTCTTAAACATGATTCTGTACGTCATCGCACTGTTCGATATTCAGACGGTGCTGCTGGCGCGTGTGAAGTCCAAGACGTACGGCGAGCGCTTCGTGGAAATGGGGATCAGCAACTGAACCGGAAGGGAAAGGCAAGAACAAAAACAAATACTCAACGATCGATGATGTGGCTGACGGATTATATATTTATATATATATATGATTGCTATTTGGCAAAGATGACGCCACTCCCTCTGTCTGTGCGTCTCTTCTCTTCTCTTCGTCGACGCATTGGTTTCTCTTTTTCTTTTTGGATGTTCGCCTCTATCTCTACGCTGTCTACTGTCTCTTTCATAGGCACTTGTGTGCGCGCATCGTTTGGCACCTACCCACCCCTCCTCCTCCTTTTCATCATCCTGCCGATGCTGTGTGGAAGCTGACGATTTATTCCTGTACGAGTTTTTACTGTCGCTGTTGATGTTTCTTTTATTTACTTTATTTTCAGTTGCTTCTTTTTCTTTTCTTCCTCTTTCTGAGTACGCCGGCGTGCGTGCGTGCGTGCGTGCGTGCGTGTGTTCTCTCAGCCTCTTTCGTTGGCTGTTGTTGTTGTTGTTGTCCATTCGACTTCCCTCGCCTCCAAACCACCGTCGTCGCTGCGTGTCTTTAACTCCTACTGATTTTTGCTTCATGACGTTTGTTTTTTTGCGCCTCGGCTGTCTCTCTCTCTCACCCGCTCTGGGTGTGTGTGGGTCGCCGCAATCGGCTCAACGGAGCGTAGACACGAATGAGGGGAGACCGCCGCCTTTGTATTTGGCTCTTCGTTTTTGTTTTCAGCTTTCCAATATCAATGCCTGGCCGCGTCGTGTCTGACTTCATGCTGCCGATTTCTGGTCTCTCCTATTAAAAGAGAGCACAAGATAGATAAAGTCGCCTGAAATCGATGTCACACCGGCATGTGTCGTCCAACACCACTTATATACATCTATATCTATCTCTTTACTCGTTTACCGTATTTTAGTTGCCTGAAGAATAGGTTGGCCTGTTCTTTGTCTGTTATTTTTTTCTTATTACGTCCCCTCTGTTATCATTGTTATTGCTCTCCTGCACGTGTGCTCCACCAGAGGCGCGCTTCGTGTGCTGCGGGGGCACAGAGGGACAGGCGGGGGAGTGCCTCTGTCCACACCCCACACGCATGCACGCGTGCGCCTCGACGCAGTTACACGCGTTCGGTCACACGGATGACGGAAGCTCATTGAGCAGTGAGCAGAAAAGAATGAAAAGAGAGAACGTGAAAATGAAGAAAAAAAGTAGTTACAATACTCGCTCGCTGGTATGGAAAGGGTACGGTGCTGATGCGTGCGCTTCTTGTTCAATTCCTGGTTGTCTCGATGCGCGTGTTCATGCGTGGTTTTTCCTCGTGGTCGTCGTTGATGTTGCTGGCGATGTTCCCTCACAGCGCTGAAACGTCATCCTCGAGCGGCCACGCGTATCGCTAGGTTGGAGGGGGTGGGTTGTCGTCGTTGTCGATTAGTACGTAGAGCTGGAGACACATATTTTTCTACTTTATCTTGTCTGTTTCTTTTGTCAAGTCAACACGCGTCTTTTATTATTATTATTATTTTCCCCCCTCGCTGTGTGTACGTGTCGGCGTGTTGGCGCTTTACGTGTTTGCCTTGTTTTGGTTTCTCCCCCCGGCCAGGAGGCCTCATTATCTCTTGGTTCTTGTGTTCTTGCAGGTGACATGGAGCAAACTATGACTTGAAGAAAACGGGAAAAAAATATTTTTGAAAAAAGGGGGAAGGAGAGCGGGGAGCAGCCAGCCGGTAATGAAACGGGCGATAGAGGCGAAGGCGAGCGAGGGCGGCTCCGTCCGACATCACTCGAAGCTTTCTCGCGTGTTTCCTTCTTTTCCTTCCTGTCCTTATATATATATATATATTTGAAACACGACGATTCGTGGGGGCGCTGCGGTACCTCCGCTTTCAAGAGAGGAGAGCAAAGCAAAAAAACCAAACCGGGTTGGGGGGCGCCCCCTCGACGTGGGTGCAACGATCGGTGATGAGGCGGTAAAGGTTGCCGGGCTCTGACGTGGTCATCATTTTCTTATTCCCCCCCCCCTCTCTCTCTCTCTTCTACTGCACTTCCCCACTCCTGCTTTTTTTTCTTGTGTTGTTGTTCTGCATGAAAACGCGTGCATTCGAACTTCATCCATCCCCTTCGCAGATTGTTGCCGTCTATCGATCCGCACCTACTCACACATACGCGCGCGAGAGAGAGAGAGAGAGTACACCTACACACACCGATACAAAAAAGGTTAACAGGGAAAATACGAAAGACAGCCAAAGGAAGCAAAATGGAAGACACGAACCTCAGCTTCAAGATCGTCCTTATCGGTGATAGCGGCGTCGGTAAGTCGAACCTCATGACCCGCTACACGACGAACGAGTTCAGCCAGGACACCCCCTCCACGATCGGCGTGGAGTTCATGACGAAGAGCGTGAAGATCGAAGGCCGCGACGCGAAGATTCAGATCTGGGACACGGCAGGGCAGGAGCGCTTCCGCGCCATCTCGCGCTCCATATACCACGGCGCCAAGGGTGCAATGCTCGTGTATGACATCACGAACCAAACCTCGTTTGACTCCATCCCGACCTGGCTGCAGGAGCTGCGGGTCTTTGTGCCGGCCACGTGCTGCATCTTTCTCATTGGCAACAAGTGCGATCTCGAGCACCTGCGGGTCGTGAAGAAAGAGACGGCGGATCGCTTCGCCCGCGAGAACGGCCTCTCCTTTCTCGAGACCTCCGCGCTGGAGAAGACAAACGTAGACAAGGCCTTCGAGTGGTTGGCGAAGTCGGTGTACGACGTCGTCGTGACGCCGCAGGTGCGCAGCGATGCTGGGCCGAAGCCGAAGGCGTCGATCGTGCCGGGTCAGACACCGCAGGAGGCGAAGCCGAAGAGCGGCGGCTGCTGCTGATTGGAAGAAGAACAAGAAAACCAAAGATAGCTACGCCAGTGGGTGGAGCATTAACGGAAAAAATGAAAAGAAGAAGAGCCGTCTTTGCTTTGGTTTGGTTGTTGATCGTTTTGCTGAATGCTGTGGTACTGCGTGCGTGTGTCGGAGAGTCAGACCGTTCCACCACACCCACCCACCCACGAGCGAACGAAATCTTTCTCTTGCTTTCTCCTTTTACTTTTTACAGGTGTTGGAAAACTGAAGAGGGGATGGGGTTGGAGAGAGGGGGGAGGGGTGAAAGGGTGGATATACGATACATGTATGCACCTGACATGCGCTAGTAGCAGTACCTGGACCTTTCATTGCGGCTCTTGACTCAACGGACGAAAAGAGAAGGAGAAAAGCACGCGATATGAAGCCGAAAAGAAGGCGGAGGAGCATGCACTGAAGGCCGCCACAGACGACACGCCGGCGTTTGAATTCGCACCTCGTGTTTTTCAGCTCTGTTCTCTTTCCCTTTCTTGGTTTCCTTTTGTTTTTGTTTTTTTTTAAACCTCGTATATGCCGTAATGCGTGATTTGATGTGGTGCTCTGTCGAAGTGAAGACACACAAGCACATCAGCACGCACACACGAGCCTTCTGTGTTGGTCAGTGGTGCTCACTGGGTGTGTTTGTGTTTGTGTTTGTTTGTTTTACTCTTTCCTTTTTCTTCTTCTCTTTTCGTTTTTCTTTGAAAGTGGAAGACGCGTTATCGCAGGTGCGTGCCGTCTCATTGCTGTTGCGTTATCCTTTCTTATTATTATTAATCCGAAGCCCAGGAGAAAAAAAGAGTTATATGCGAAGGAGTCGAAGACGATCATGCGTGAGCTCTCGCGAAACATAGAAAGAAAAGGAAAAAAGGAAAACCAGAGGTACACAGTGGTGACGCAGGCAGCAGGGAAGCAGGTCATGTGTGTGAGAAAGCAGCTGAACTGACCAGCAAACGACGCAACAGTCTTGGACACCACAACCGGTTCTACTTGAAAAGTATACATCGACTTTTGTTTGGCTTTTTTTAGTTGCTCTTTGCGAAATGTTCGCGTGGTCCTGCGTGCTTGTGCGATCATCGAGTGCTTTTCTTTTTATTCTATTTTCATCCTTTTCGTTTACACATCTTGTTGTGGGTCGTGCAGCCGCGATCGCGTGTTCTCTTCGTCTCTTCCTTTAATTGCTGTTGGCCTTCGTTGTTTCCTGAAGTCGATTTGCCTCCCTTTTTTTTATCTATGGCCTGTGTTAGCGAGGTATACCGCGTGTGTGTGTGTGTTATGTATTCTCTCTTTGGACTGGATGGCGTGTGTATGTGTGGGCGTGTGCGTGCTGAAGAATGCAATAATTATAAAACACCACAACTCTCTCTCTCTCTACTGCTGAAGAGGAGTGCACGCTGTGGGGACGTTCATCTGCCTCCGTTCGCCTTGTTTCCGTTGCGTCTTGCCAGACCTGACCGCGGCGCAGTGCAGAGGGAGGCAGGTGGAAGTTCTTTATGGCTTTTCTCCTCGCTGCGATTCTTCTGTCTCGCTGAGCTTCTTGGCGATCAGGATGGACCCACATCGCCTCCCATTCTGATAACCACTCCTCGGTCGCGTGATCGCGCCACCACTCTGTGCCGCTTCGACCTGTGTGGATTAAGGAAAGAAAGAGGAGTGGTGAGACTTGCAGCAGCGGAAAGGGCAAATAACGATGTGCGAAGGCGCGGCTGAGGGACGACGCCCCACAGTTCCCGCTCTCCGCGTGTGGTTACTGCTCGCCATGCTCCACAGTGAAGGACAGCTTTGCATACTTGCATTCAACAACCCTGCTGCTTCTTCCGCTCCCTCCTGCGACGCATCAACCCACTATGCTATTATCTTATCTGTTGTTGTCGTTTCTACCCCGCGTGTGCAATGGGCGGTGCATTCATGCGCGCCTGCGTATTATATATCTTCTCTACACCCGCACACGCACACACACGTTGAACTGTTCTCATTAGTGGCGGCACTCCACACTTTTTTTTCTCTCTAATTCTCGTAAACTGCCAGCGGCTGCCGTGCCTCGAAATCGAGAGCCACCGTCCACACAGGCTGGTCCATCTCTGCCGGCGCGCAAGCCTTTCTTTCTTGTGCTCTTCTTGCGAATCGCGTAGAGGCAAGAGCGGTCCAGAAGTCTGTATTTTCATCCCTCCCCCCTTTTTTCTTTATTATTATTATTATTATTATTTTCGCTCATCGGCATGGCGCACGTCGTCTCCACGAAATCGCACGTCGCTGGCGCCGCGCAGCGCGTTGCTGTGCGCGAAGGCGAACCTGAACAACCCCAGCAGAAGCCGCAACAGCAGCAGCTCTACGCCGCCTACGCAACGGTGTACGCCGCCCACTCTACCGCTTTTCAGCTCCTCGCAGAAGGCGTGACCCTCTTCGCAGCCGAGTGCTCTCCGACCGCTGAGGCAGACAAGCCGCTCCCGTCACCTACCCACCCAAGCACCGCAGAGGAGCGACGGTATACCGTGGAGGACTTGCTTCTGCGCTTCACCGACCTGCAAACGGCTCTGTCGCCGGCCAGCTCCATCACTTGTACCACGCAGGAGGGAGCGGAGAGCAGCGATGACGGAAGGAACGACGGTGAGGCGGCGGTGCAGGAGGCCGTTCGGGTCTTAGAGGCTTGCCTGCCTGCAGACTTGCGGGAGTCGATGCGGTTGCCCAACGCGCCGGTATACGCGGCTGCCGCTGCACCGGCGGTGCTCGCCTGCCCCTCCGATGTGGTGCAACTTGCCCTGCTCCTCCGTCGTCACTGGACCTTACAGCGCGACATCTGCCTTTGCATTCCAGCTCTTCTAGATATTTTCTCACGTATGCAGACAGAGCCGGCGGACGCCGCGAGTCGCGCCCAACACACCGAGACGCCGGTGAACGCGCCGCAGCTGAGTGTGGTCCTGGCACTCGCCGTATTGCAGCTGCGCCACGCCGGGGACACCCTCGAGACCCGGCCGTCTTCCCAGGAGAACGAGGCCATTTACACGCCCACCGAGCAGTGTCTTATACACTCCTTCGCCCAGCCGCTGGTCGCCTCCGCCTCCAACACGGTCTTCACGATGCTCCCCCTGTTTCTCTGGCAGGCCTGGGCGGAGTGCGGCGCAGCGAGCAGAAGAAGCAAGCAGCAGCAAATAACCTCGTCTGCGCGACAAACCGAAGTAGCCGGTGACCGCGATGAAGTGACAGCCTCTCTCCTTTCGTCCAGAGAAGCCGCCGCCGCGCACGGCTACGCCACGGCATGTGCGATGACGAAGCAGCTGTGCAGGTGGGAGGCGCATCTAGCCGTGTACGTGCACGCACAGCTGGCGAGCCTTGCCTCCTCTTCGCCAACGCCACCGCCGCCGTCAGAAAGGGAAGGGGGAGAGAAAGAGGGGGACAGCAATCGAAGCCTCTTCACGACGAAAACCGACGCGTCTTTTCTCGCGTCGGTGCAGACGGAGCTGGGTGGGCTGCGGGTGGCGTGCACCGCTACACAGCTTCTGTGGCTCACCATTGCAGCCTCGCTTTACCCGTCACCGTCGTCCTCTCCTCCTCTTATGGAACAGGAGGAGGAGCAGCAGCAGCAGCAGCGTTTGCAGGTGCTGGCAGTTGTTTTGAAGCGTTGCGGGAAGGTCGAGAAGCTGCTCCGCTCATTGTGGTCGAGCGAGGCGACGGCACGCCTGCTGCTGCCTGGTGTGCTTCTGTGGCTCGGCTATGCCACCGATGCGAGGCGTCACGCAGAAGGCGGCAACGACGGTGGAGAGAACAGCAGCAGTAGCAATCACAGCTACACCCCGTCACAGGAATGCCGCTACTACTGGCAAGAAGCGTATACGCTGGGTCAGCAAGTCCTTGGACGCTTGCACCCTTTTGTGGAGAAGCTCGCCAGCTTGCTTCTGCACTCCACCACCGCCGCAGCAGCAACAACTCCATCGCCCACACCCGACGAGAAGCCTTACGAAGCGAAGAAGAGGCTCTCAGCAGATGCGGGGGGCATCCACCGAGCTGCTGCGCTTGCCCCGACGTATCGCGCCACCACTCCGCTGATCCCAACGCAGCTGCCCGCCCGCTCGTCTGCCCTCCCCGCTCTACCACGCGGCACTCCATCGTCCACTTTCCTGCCAAAGCTGCTGCCGCCTGTGTCTTCGCAGCAGCAACAGCAGCAGCCTGTACGCACCGCGACAACACCGAATCCCCGTCTTTCCCCTTCTCCACCCCCTCCCCGTCTGCCGGCCAGCTCGAGCGGCTTCGCGTTCGCCGCTTCCACGATGCCACGCCCGCCCGGCGCCTCGCGTGCCTTCACGACGGCCTCCTCCTCCGCGCCATCACAGCATCAACAGCAGCAACAGGTCGACAAGCCCGCGTCCACCCAACGCGCGCGTCCACTGCACACACTACTGCGTACGATGCATGAGCCGCAGTGGGCCGGCGGGAACGGCGGTGTCGGTGGGGCGCCAGACGCGTTTCGCAATACGTTCCCGCCCCCGCATCCATTCCTGTTCTCCGCGGATGCAGCGACGGCTGCTGATGGGGGCACGGCTGCGGCTGCTGCCACGCTGCCCGGCACAGCCGTCGCAGCTCCGAGGCCGCCACAGCTGCCACGCGGGAAGCAGGCACTCCCCACACGCACGCAGGGCCGCGAGGCGCTCCGCCGCTGCTACCGCCTGCGCAACCCAGAGGACGCGTTTACCCTCTTCAGCAGTGTCCGCGACGCCGTTTTTGGATCGGAAGCAGCGCGCAAGGCGTCGACGGTGCAGGGTAAAGAAAAGAAAAGGATGAAGGAAGAGACAAAAGGAAAGCGGGAGACGATCGCGTCAACGGAGGCGCTGCTACTCTCCGCAGACACCGAGGACTCCGTGTCGTTCCTGAACGACTCCTCCGCCGGACAGGACGCGGGGTCGCCCAGCAACCGACCGCAGCGGCGGCAACGGCCGGATCGGCAGCTGCTGCCCCCGCTGACGGAGGTGCGACGGACCGCCAGCGCGAACAGCAAAAAATCGAAGTCGGGCGACCCCGCGAGCCCGTCCACGAACCCGCCCTCCTCACGTGCGCGCGGACGCGAGGCGCCCTCCTCGCACACCTCCGTGAATGACGACGGCCGATCGGCGGAGACGCCCGCGTCGAACTCTCGAAAGAGTACCGCGTACTTCGCCGGTAGCTCTCGCACGTCGGTGAAGGAACGCGAAGAGAGTGAAGAGCAGCAGGAAGAGGACGAAGAAGAGGACGAAGAAGAGGACGACGACTACAACGCAGAAACGCTGCCGCAGCGCAACGCACGGCTCCAACGGGAAATTCGCACCTACTTTGCCCAGCTAAACGTGCGGCGGGTGCAGGCGGCGGCGGTCATTCAGCGCGCCTGGCGGTGCAGCCGCGCTCGACGAATTCTGCACACCCGACAGCAACTGCTCTACCGCTTCGTTTACATCATCCAGAAAGCGGCCGCACTGGCGATCGAGAGCTTCGTGCTGTGTGTGTGGGAGCAGCAGAAGCGGCGTGCAGCGCTCGCGGCGCGGCACGCGGCCGACGCGCAACGTCGATCGCTCGAGCAGCGTCAGATCGCCGCCGCGGAGGTCTTAACGCGGGCGGCACGGCGGTGGGGTCAGCAGCGGCGTGAGCGGCGGCGCCTGCGTGCGCAGCTCAATCTCGAGCGGGATGCACGGCTTCGGCTGTACGACGTGACCGCCGTGACGGTGCAGCGCTGGTGGCGGACGACGCAGCCGCAGAAGGCGTACTGGCGACGCCGCAATGTGGAAGTGGAGGAGCAGAAGCGTCTGCGGGCGGAGGCGGATCGCCTTGCACGGGCGGCCACCGTCATTCAAAAACGGGTTCGTGGGGCACAGGCGCGAGGTCGTGTCAAGGAGCTGAAGCGCACCCGCGCCGCGGAGGCACTCGCGCTGCGCCTGAAGCGCGATGCCGCGGTGACGGTGTTGCTAATTGTGCTGCAGGAACACGTGTGCCATGAAACTCGTGTCGCCCGCGAGGCACAGGCACGACAAGAGAACGCAGCGCAGTGCATCGCCGATGGCTGGCGCTCGACGGTGGCGCGGCGCCGAATGGAGGTAGCGCTGCAGCGTGCACGTCAGCTCCGCACCGCCGCTACGTGTATGCAGCGGGCGTGGCGACGCTACTTTGCCTGTCGACAGCGCCGCTACCTTCGGCAGATCCGCCGCACCTTGCAAGAGGATCGTCTCGCGCGTGAGCTTCGTCTGTCGATGGCGCTGGTGTCGGTGCAGAGCGCGGCTCGCGGGGCGCTGGCGCAGCTGCTGGCATACAACCTGAAGGCGCGCGTGGGCCGCACCTTCTACGAGTCCGTCCTTCTCCTGCAGGCGGTGTCGCGAGCTGGGCAGGCCCGTCAGGTGCTGCGGCAGGCGCGGCTGGTCGACCACGCACGGCGACTCGCCGCGACGGTCGCACTGGCGCAGCGCCGCCGCCACGCGAGCTGTCTCGTACAAACAATGCTCCGCGCACAGGACGCGTCCTACGCCGTCCAGCAGCGACGTCGGCGCCACCTCGAAGAAAAACTGCACATTTACTCCACCGCCGTGCGCGAGATGCGCCACGACGCCGCCGCCATTGTGGTGCAACGTGCCGTTCGCCGTCACCAGCAACGCCGGCGCACAGCCGCGGCAGAGGCTGAGGCGGCCGCAGCCCAGCAGTACCTTCATCTGACAGCTCGATCTGTGCAGCAGGCGTGGCGGGCACACAGTTCGCGGAAGGAACGTCGCCTCCGTGCCGCCGCGGTGGCGCGCTGTGCGCAGAAGCGGCAAGAACAGGAGGAGGTGGCGGAGCTGATCTGGCGGGATCAGATGCGGGAGCTGGACGTGCTGTGTACGCTCGAGCAGCACTACCTGGCAGAGTCAGAGCACGCCGCGCGAGTGGGCCTCTATCAGCGCTGGATGCACCCAGACGAAGCAGAAACCGATGCGCAAGTCACGGAGAGGTCAACGCGACAGAATTGCGCTGATGTGAACCGGTGGGCGGACCTATATGTAGATTAGTCGTAGCGAACTCGACGACGCGAGTGGAACTCAATCGCAGAAGAAGGAGAAGAAGGGGGGGGAATGGGTGCAGCAGTGCGTGGCGGTGCTGGCAACTGTCGTGCGTACTCCCCACCCCACCCCCTACACCCCGTGTCTTCCGTTCCTTTCCTTGTGTTTTTCTTATTACTGCTGTAGATGTACAGGAACGATATCTCTTTTTCTCTCTTGTTTTCTTTCCTTGATTTCTCGGACGATTCTGTGGGTGCACTGCGCTCGAGCGTTGGCGCGTGCGGCTTCCGCTGTAGTGTGTGTGTGTGTGTGTTTATGTACTTTACCTGTTAATGAGGCTTTTCTGTTGTTGGTGATGTTGTTTGGGAAGGAAAGAAGGAGTCTTGTCTTTGATTGAACGACAGTATTTGGTCCACGACGTACACGAGAGGCGTCCCAAAGCGACTGAAGCGGAAGAAGAAAATCGCGCTGTTGCTAAAACAGAAGCTGCTCTCTCTCTCTCTCAGGCTTCTCTTCAAACGGCTGTGGAGGCTTCCAGAAAGGCGAAGAACTCCCTCTCCGTGGCGCGCCGTCTTGTGGACGGAGCAACTCCCCGTCTCCTTCCCCCCCCCCCACCCCCTCCTCTTCTCCTTGATCTCCTCTCAACGTACATCATTATCTGACAAACACGAATGTAACTCGTCTGCTGCAAGCCCTTCCGATTCACCGTCGTTGTTATTACTCTCCTCTATTCTTCCTTTGCATTTTTTTTTTCTTCTGATCCTTGAATGCCGAAGGGAATGAGCGCTGCCGACCAACAGTTCTGGGCCACCGTGGACGCCACCGCGGGCGTGCACAAGCTGCCTAGCGGGATGCGCTTTAAGATCATCAACAAGGTGACGGACGTCGCCTCGGCCAAGTCACCGAACGTCGGGGACGCGTGCTCCGTGCACTACCATGGCACCCTGCCGAACGGCAAGGTTTTCGACAGCTCCATGGATCGCGGCAAGCCTTCCTCCTTTGCGCCAAACCAGGTAATCAAAGGCTGGACCGAGGCCCTGCAGTACATGGTAGAGGGCGAGGAGTGGGAGGTGTACCTGCCGCCGGAGCTGGCCTACGGCACGCGTGGCGCCGGTGGCGTCATCCCGCCCAACGCGACGCTCATCTTCAAGATTCGCCTGATAAAGGTGATGCAGGGCGGTAAGGCCGGTGCAGAGGGGCACAAGAAGCTGGAGACGGCCCTCTCCACGTCGTACGCGGATTTGTAGACGAAGTAGAGCGAGAGCCGCACACGCACCCACTCACAAGCGTGATGAACTGTGCGATGCTTCGATTGAAGGTTTCTATTATTATTATTTTGGCTCTCTTCTGATTTTCCTATTCGCGGTGGTTTTGTTCTTCCTTTTCTTTTTCCATTTTGTTTTCCTTTTAAAAACACGCTGAGAGCTTTCGTCTGGTCCACTTCTCCTCCTCGCATGTGTGCGCGCCACGCCGCGGATGTGTGCGTGCAGTCTGGCCGACAGGCACGAGTTCTGCTTCGGCCCTCCTCTTCCCCCTGCTCTTCTGGTCCGTACCGCTACCCCAGCGCAGCACGTCGAGGCGGACAGAAGGAAGAGGACAGCACAGGAGACGCAGCGAACTCTTCTTGTAGCGCGCGAAATGCGAAGCCAAGGCACAAAATCAAAATGGGAGAGAATAAAGGAGGATTATTTTTCCTTGTAGGCTCCTTGAAGGGCCGGCGCAACGCAGCGAAGAATGAAAGCGAAGAGCGAAAAGAAAGTATTCTTCCAACTTTGATGGTGCGAAAAGGAAGGGAGATCGAACGATGCCTTCTCGGTCCCCCTCCTAGCTGAGCTCAACAGGGGAAAGAAGCGCGCTCGTTGCCGTCAACGGCGGTGCTTTGTCGCATATCAAATAAATGCAGCCGACACGCTCCTCCTTCTATTAAAGAAAAAGACCAGTATGTTGCGCGCTTAAAGCTCGCCTCTCATCTCTTTCTCTCTCGCTCTCTCTCTCTTCTCCATTTGGATGTCTCGCAGCTTTAGCCACGAGCACCTCGCACTCGTCTCTCTGGGCTCTCCCTCCGCTTATTATCTTGTGCTTCTCCGTGTGCGCTTGTGCGTGTACACGCGTCATCGAGTGGAGTGCTTTGTCGGCCAAACTGCCTTCAGTTCTCTTTTGATTTGTTCCTTCTCAGCGTCTTCTCAGAAAAGAGAAAAGAGAAAGAAAGAGAATCGAACGTATAGTGTGTGCTTGTGTGTGCCTATCGGTGTGGGCAGCCATGCGGGTCGCTTCCCTCTCGTCCCCCGCGGGTCTGGCGGGCAGCACCGCAAAGGTGAGCAGCGCTGTTCATCGCCCTCACAACGGCGCCGACGCTCCCCCACGCACATCGACGGCGGCGGGGTGGTGGGACGCAGCGCAGACCGGCGCGGACGGCGGCCCGTTAAGTCCGGAGTGCAGCGATAACCGCAACGACGAGCCCCGCGATCACCCGGTGCAGCGTGCGAAGCGTCCTCTTGCCACGTGTGAGTCGCAGGAGGTGCCGCCGTTGACGTCCTCGGGGGGTGAAGCGGACAGCGGGCAAAGCCGACCACAGCAGCAGGAGCGGAGGCGACTCGGTGAAGCGAAGGCTCATCCTCACTCGAGCGACAACACCGCCTCACCTCGCAAAAACGTGCCGTCCACCATCGTGCAGTTGCGTCCTCCGCCCCCGTCCTCCTCCTCGTCCAACGCATCTGCGCGCATGCAGAGCAGTCATGCAACGGATGCGAGCAGCGTCACCTCCTCCCAATACCTTTACGCCATTCAACAGGACTTGGAAACGTTGGTCCAGCTGCAGCGGCAGCAGCTGCTCGAGACGATGGAAAGTGCGCTGCCGCCTCAGCAGCCCTCCGTCACGCCGCAGACCGCCCCACCACGCCAGCGCCACTCCAGCCAACCTCAACAGCAGCAGCATTCAAAACGACAGCAGCCGACCGCAGCGCCGAGGTTGAAGGGCTCGGTGCAGCTGCAATCTATTGACGCGGTCAAGCAGGCGTTCATACAAGACGCGGCGCGCCTGCTTCCCCCTCCCCCCATGCCCTCCACACCGCCGTCCAGGGGCGTCGTGATGTCCTCCGTCGTAAACGAGAAGGACGCAGCGGACCTGCTGCAACACGGCATCAGCAACACGAGTATACTACCTCATCCAAGCGCAGATGAGGGTGACGATGACGACGCGCAGGCGGCATCGCGATTTGCGCACGTGCGAGGGGCACTGCCGCTGCCACCGCCGCCGCCGTCGTCGTCGCCCATCCCCGCCTCCCTGGTGGAGTACCATGCCTACTTGATGCAGCTGGAGCGCCAGCAGCGGCAGCACTACGAGGTGCTGCGCCGGCAGCGGAAGTCGCAGTGGATGAAGGCGAAGGAAGAGGAGCAGAAGAACCCACCACCACCGCCGCACCACCACAGCAGCGGGCACGCACGCCGCGCACTGTCGAGAGGCCGAGGCGGAGCAACCGGGAACGCCGCCGCCGCCGTCGACGTCGCCAGCTCGACTCCGCCACGGCAACGGATGGGCGCTGCTTCTGCGGCGGCTGACACGGCAGAAACCCTCGTCCTGCAGGACCGTCGTAACCGCAGCCCACCACTAGCGCCGATGCTACGCACGATGCGGCACCGAGGAGTCAATAAAGGTGGCGTGGAAGCGGTGGACGACGCCTACACAGAGGATGAGGAAGAGGATGGTGCGGAGAGTGATAGCTTTGAGGCGCAGAACACACGGACAGACCCGCCGAGCAGTGCGGTGCCGCCACGCAGCAACAGCGGCACTCCTGGAAGGGACAGGCGCACGACCACGCCGCGGCGGACCTCGCCTGGCATGTCAGCCAACTCTGCGCGTATTCGCAGTGCAGCAGCAGCAGCTGCTAGTGGTGACGGGATGCGGGCGAGCTCTTCGCGGACGGGAGCCAAGTCTTCTCCGCAGCAGTGGCCACGGCACGCTACACCGCATACCTGGTCGGCGGGAAAGGCACGAACGCGATCACCCGAGGGGGCGGAGCAAAGGCCGGATTGCCCACGGAAGTCCTCTCCTGCACAACACCAAACCGCAGTGGGCCCCGCTGCACGACAACCGCGTGTACTTCTTGGTCATGCGCCAGCACGTAACAGCGATAGAAACGATGCTCCGTCACGACCGCACGCCCTACGGCCACGACGAGAACCTGCACAACAACGGCAGGAACGGCCAATCATACCAGAGTCTGACAAACAAGTGGACGACGCTGCGGCTGACCTCCCTGACGTCTCTCCGATCAAACCGACTTCTTCATTACTAGAGCAGGAGCTGGGCGGGCTGAGTTTACTCAACAACGACGATTCACGGCTGCAGGCAGCGTCGCGGTCCTCCGCGTCGTCCTCGGCGGATCGTGGTGGTGGTGGTGCTGCTGCTGCTGCGGCGGTGGCGGCGGCTGGGAACAACGGCAGTTTAGCAGGGGCGACACCATCGTCCTCTCCTGTCGAAGCCTTCGCCGATGCGCTGCTAATGGACACGAGCGGCAGCCCAGGCGGTGGTGGCGGTGGCGGCAACGCGAGCCACCCCGTTACATCAGCCCTTTTAGCCACCGTCTTGCGTGCAGCACCCCCCGCGCAGCATGCGCCGCTGATGCTGCCCTTCGCGACACGGTCAGCGGCCACAGCGGGCACCATGACGACGACCACCACTTTGGTTGGCGGCACGGCGGCGGCAATCGAGCCCATCGCCTTTTCCATTTCACACAGCGGTGTTGTCGTGCCGGCCGGCGTCGATCCACACGGCGGCAGCAGCAGCAGTGGCAGGAGGGGAGAGGACACTACAGCATACTCTGCACCACAGCCGCAGCGGCGAACGCTGAAGCACGAAGGCGCAAGTGGGAGCAACCGAGACACGACTCAAACTCCCGCGTCCCTCCCAAGGTCTCCCGAGCGAGAAATGAACAGAGTTGACACCACAGCCGTCGGTCCAGCGACGACGGCGGCGGCGAGCGCCACCACTCCTCCGTCGATGGGTGTGATGCCGCACCCAACACACGACGACCCACCGCACGGCACGCACGGCGATATCGGCACGGAGGCCCAGTACTACGATCGGTGGAATACAAGCAAAACTGATAAAACGAATACTGCCGGACAGCAGAGGCGTGCGTGGGGCCGTCGCAGCTCTGCGGCGGCGGCGGCTGGCGGAGTCGATCAAGCGCCGGACGAGCACCTTGTTAGTGACGGCCCTGGCTTTTCCTCCTTTCCCGGGCCGGACGCGTTGTACGACCGGCAGCCGGAGCGTCGCTCACGCCATCGCCACCACCACCACCGTCGACGCTCACGTGAGGGCATCAGTAGCATGATACCGGAGCATGGCACGGGTACACCGCGAAGCAGCCGGTACCACAACAACAATAACAGCTCCGGCAATGGAGGTGGGGGTGGAAGCGGCAGTCGGCGACAGCACGTCTTGGGGCGCAGCGGGTTGGCGGAGGAGGTGCAGAACGAGGAGGACGGTAAAGCGAATCGAAGCGAGGAAGGAGCCGCAGCGGAGTGGACGGAGAAGGGAGGAAGAGGCGGACAAGCACAAACGCTGCCGTCGTCGTCGCACGCGCGCCGAGTTCCGCGGCACCGCAACGGTGGGGCGCACAACATGCTGTGGATGGTGACGGACAACGCATCAACCCCCTCGTCATTTCTATTCCTCGAGGACGCAGGCATGAAAGTCAATGAGGCGCGTGCGCAGAGGAATCAGAAAGATAGAAATGTCAACGCTTCCACCCGCAACACGCACGAGACGAAGATTGAGAGAGCATCGAAGCCGCCGTGGCGTTCCCCAGCAGCGCTCATCTCACGCGAGGACGTCGCGCAGAGAAGTCTGAGTCAACAAGACGCGCTGCACACGCCTCAGCGCGGTAAGAGTGTGGAGCGGGGAACAACGGCGAGCGCGACGCACCCTGTGGCCACCGCGACGCCACCAAGTCCGCAGGTTCCGACACACCACCATCATCATCACCCGCCGCCGCCTTCGCCTACTGTAGCGGCGGTGTGGCACGATGTGAAGCGCATGTGGGCCCCCGGCCCGATCCCGCCCGGTCCTTTTGCGACCTCCTATCGCTATCACCCCCAACCGCTTTCGGCGACGATGCCTGACGGAGGAGCGGTGCCGTCCTCCTCCTCGCTGCTGACGCCACATCGGCTGCCGGCCCCGCCTCTTCCATCACCAACTTCTCCATCTTCTCGGGCCCTGCTCGCTCACACAGACCCACAAGCCCGCGTGCATCGACAGCCACCCGTTGATGGCGCTGCTGCTGTGAGGGAGGGCAGAACGGATGAGCTGGTAGAAGAAAAGACGCGTCGCCCCACCGAGGCCCCCGCCGCTCGTGCAGCGGCTGTCCCCAGATCTTCTCCTTCAACAAACACGGCCGACGGCACCTCCGCTGCTGCTCCGGCCTCGTCGAGTCCGCCGCCACCGCCTCCCACTTCCGCCTTTCGAGTGCGCCTTGCACGAGTGCGACGACACACATCGCCAGTGCAGCGCTCCTCCCTACCCGCTGTGGCAGTGCCGCTGTTTTGCATGACAGACTCCCTCATTGGGGCTGCCCTGCAAGACGTGCTGCCGGTGTGCAGAGCCCGGCAGAAGGAGGTGGCGCGGGAGGTGGACCGCCGACGCTACCAGCTCCTGTCCGTAACTCCCCCTTCCACGGCGTAGTCGGGTGCTGGACACGTGTTTTCGGTGTAGAGGAGAAGACAGAAACAAACAAACACACACACGCCGATACACAGAAATGATACGTACGTGAGGGAACTTGGCACGCCCAAGTTGATTTTTGCGGTCGTGTATTTCGCTGAGACGCACGTGTCGACCTTCATTTGCCGCTTCTTTTATTACTGTGCTCTCACGACTCATCCTTTCCATATTGTTGTTGTTCGCCCTTCGCAGCACTTCTGTTGGTTTTCTCACGAGTAGTTTTATGGCTTTCTCTTCCACTGTTTTCTCACTGTATACGCTGCGCAGTGTGCCCCACCTTGCTTGTGTTTTGAGTTTTCACTTTACCTTCTTCCTTTTCTTTTCTCGTCTTTTGTGGGATGAATGCCGCTGCGGTAGGAGCATGGGGGAGAGGTCCTTCTGTTTGTCTTCGCCGATGAACGTCACCGCGCCCCTTCCCACTTGTACCACTACTCCTACGCTTTAAAAAAGCAGCCACGGAAGGTGTCCCTCTGTGTGCGTGGGTGTTGACAGCTGCACGTGCCATCCTTTCCTCATCACCTTGTGCTCTCTCTCTCTCCCTCTCGCATGAGCGCCTTCGTTGTACCCTTACAATGTGTGTATGTGTGTGTGTCTTCCTCTTCTACTCTCTTCTCTTGCCTTTTCCTTTGCTGCAAGCTCCGAGTCCAACGCGGAGCGTGACACCGACGGTTCGGCAAAGGCAGCGCACCAACGCCGCAAGTGTGCCTCCTTTGGCCGTCCCACCTTCGTTTCTAATGCATGAACCGTGAAGAGTCCACTTCACAAGGCAACTTCTTCGCTGCTGTTGCTGTTGTTTTTCTTAACTATTCACCGTCGAACCTCTTCTCTCTCTCCCTCCCTCGTCCTTTACTTTCGCTGTTCATTGCACGGCAGATTTCCAGCTTCCTCATCGAGCCCCGCTACCCACACCCACACACCCCCATACACCCCACCCCGCCGTCACCATGTCCCGCACCAAGGAGACCGCCCGCGCGAAGCGCAGCATCACGTCGAAGAAGAGCAAGAAGGCGCCGCGCGCCGCGTCGGGCGTGAAGAAGGCGCAGCGCCGCTGGCGCCCGGGCACGTGCGCGATCCGCGAGATCCGCCGCTTCCAGAAGAGCACGGACCTGCTGATCCAGCGCGCACCGTTCCAGCGCCTGGTGCGCGAGGTGTCCAGCGCGCAGAAGGAGGGCCTGCGCTTCCAGAGCAGCGCCATCATGGCCATCCAGGAGGCGACGGAGTCGTACATCGTGTCGGTGCTCGCGGACACGAACCTCGCCTGCATCCACGCGAAGCGCGTGACGATCCAGCCGAAGGACGTGCAGCTGGCCATGCGTCTGCGCGGTGAGCGCCACTAGAGAGGGGTGCGTGCACGTCGTGCAGTGGAACCCGGCGGAGGCGGCGTGAGCGGCGGCGTCGGCACACACCGGCACCGCTGCCCCACCCGCCCCTCCCCCACTCCCACACGGTGACTCGTCATGCATCCGCCTGAGCGCGTGCGTGCGGGTCACCCCATAGATGCACTATTTTTCTGGTTTCTTATCTCTTTATATACAACACGTGAAGAATCTGAAGAAATGAACAAACGTGGAGTTCTGCATCGCAGCTGACCAGGTCGAAGCCGTCTCTCGTGGCCGCGTTTGGCGACGAGTGTGGTACTTCGCGTAGATATGGAAGCTGACGTTGATGTCTGCACGCTGTTGTTTGATCGCAAATTGTATTTCAGTTGTTGGCACGCGGCGCTGATGGCCTTTCTTTCATTCTCCTGTTTCGACATTTTGTAGGCGTGAAGGATCTCGTACGTATGACAGGGCGATTGCAAGCTTGAAGGTGCGGTGCCTGATGCAGCTCACTTGCACCGCAAGCCGCATGTAGCGTCTGAGTTTTTTCTTTTCTTCCTTTCCATACTGTTCCTCTCATCTACTCCTTCCTCTCTCTCTCACCCTCTCTCACGCAGTACTGCACCCAGCGGAGAGGCACTTCCCTTCCTAGCACAATTTGGAAGCTCACCACGTAAACCTAAACACGCACGCACGCACGCACGCACGTACGCGTACAGTCCGCAATGGGTCGCCTCAAGGTCACCCCCAAAGGGAAGGTGAAGAAGAACATTCCCATTACCCGCGTCGGCAAGAAGCAGTACCTGAAGCGCCGCTTTGCCCACGTCCGCGCCGTCGACGTCGCAGGTGCCAACAATCGTTTTACGCAGAAGTACTTCGAGGGGAACAACACGGCGGAGCAGACCTTCACCCGACTAGGACTTGCCATCGACCCGAGCGCCGCAAAAACCGCGCGGGAGAAGCGCAAATCGAAAGTTCGCCCGCAAACCCGTCGTGTGTTTGAGGAGCAAGACGAGCTCGCAGCGCACGTGCAGCACGTGAAGGCGACGAAGATCGGCCGCCCCGTCAGCGAGCAGGAAGGCTCGACCATCGCCAACCTTATACAGCGCTACGGCACCGATCTGAAGGGCATGTCCTTAGACCGCAAGCTGAACCCTTTTCAGCTGAACGCGCGGCAGCTGCAGCGGCAAATTGTCAACTATCTGAAGTGGGAGAAGGCGGCATTTCCGGCGCAGTTTGCGGAGGCTGAGAAGAAGGGCTGGTTCGCGGTGGAGCAGTACGCCGATCCGCAGCTCCGCTCTGCGCAGCGGCTGTAGCGAAGTTACTGTTTGGCGTTTTCTCTTTCTTATACGGCGGAGAGGAGCGACACATGTGTGTGTTTGGGCCCCCGCGTTGTGTGGTGTGTGTTTGGGCCTGTCCCTCCTCCCCTCACTCGGGGGGAGGGGCGGGGGACGATCTTGCGAGCGGCGGATGCCGCTTAAGCGCGCTAAAACTCGTGTAATTTCTTTTGGTGACGTATTATTTTCTGTTGTTTGTTTCTAACGTCAGCTTTTAACCTTCACGGAGTAATAGTTAAAATAATAATAATGCGGATGTTACACAGGCGCTGTCGGAGGCGTCACACCACCGGCAAGAATTGCTGCTGTTGCTGCCGCTTCGTGATGGCAACACCACATCCACTGGAGAAGAGAGAAGAGAGAAAAGCGATCGACTTGGGCAACGCAGTTTTTCTTCCTTCGGGGGCGTGGGACGGAGCGTAAAGTAGATTTGTTTCGTCAGTACTGCTGCTCTGGTGGCGAGCAAGTTTCTCTTGTGTACTTGGCAGCAAAGAAAAAATATATATGGTGCACACCCTCACTAACCCCACAGAGCCGGAGAGACATCCAACTACCCTTGCCTTTTCCACCTCGTTTTCTCATCCCTTGTCGCGTGCCTTCGGTGTGTGTGTGTTGGTTCTTCTTGATTGCTAGAGCCCTCTATTTTTTTCTTCTTTTCCCCAAAATAAAAGACACAGCAGATAGCGTATTCCGCTGCTACGTATTCACCCCCGCACTCACCCCTCAAAAGAATATACCGCCCCACTGATACACAGCAACAAATAAACGGCAAAGAAGGCGAACGAGCCCATCATGTCTTTTCAGGAAGTCGGCACGGGCTTCGTGCAGCACTACTACAACTTCTTCTCCACCCAGCGCGCGCAGCTGGCTGGCATCTACCGCCCGTCGACGCTGCTGACGTGGCAGAGTGAGCAGATGCAGGGCGTGGATGCGATTATGGCCCGCTTTGCGAACCTCGGCTTCTCGGAGGCCGCCTTCAAGCAGGACAACGTGGACTGCCAGCCTTCCCTGAGCGGTGGTGTGCTTGTGGTGGTGAACGGCGAGGTCGCCTTGAAGGACGAGCGCCACCCCCTGAAGTTCAACGACGTGTTCCACCTGGCCAGCGACAACGGTCAGTGGTACGTGTCGAACCAGGTCTTCAACATCGTAGGCGGCGGTGGTAACTAAGGAAAGTATAGTAACACTTCTGTTTTGTTATGTAAGAACTCAACAGTCAACGAAGGAGACACCAACGCACGAAGAAGGGCGACGAGGGCGGGAAGTCGAGGATGGTGATCGAGGTGGGTCAAGAGCGGAGCCTTAACAGAATCACCAGCGAGGCCGAAAACTGACCCCTCGTTCTCCTCACCAGCCAGACGCGCGATTCCTTTCTCGCCTCCATTTCGTGTTCTTCTTTTGCTAAAGTGGCGTCGTTCTTGTTTTTTTTCGCAGCAGTTCTCATCGACGTGTAGTGAGGACTGTGCAACAAGGTGGAATGTCTAAAAGTATAGGTTTTAACGGAGGATAAGTCTCATCATCAAGAGAGCAGACGTATATACGTGAAGGCATGCAAGATACTCTCACGAATCGGCGTGTTGTCTGCCGTCGACTTCTTCTGCGTGTTTTTGTTGTTGCTGCGGTGGCTGCAACGTACGGCGTACGATATTTCGTTCCATTTTCCCTTGCCGATAGGAAGACGAAGCCGTTGTCGTGCACAGTATAGATGATAAGCAGAAAAGAGAACTTTTAAGCCCCTTCCTCCTCCTTCCTTTTTTGTTGTTGAAGTGTAGGTAGGTGTGTGTGTGTGTGTTGTGGTGATGCCGCCGCCGCAGCGAAGGGCGAATTTACTTCCATGAGCTTTTTCTTCTATCCACACGTTTTGACTTCTTTGTTCTCCCTCTACTTCTTAGAGCATATTTTGTTGTTGTTGTTGTTGCTCTCTTTCTGAAGACACCGCAGATAACAAATTTTTTTTGGTGCAATACGGGGCTCTTTCCTTCTCTCTCTCTCTCCCTCGCACACACGCACATCAATCTCATTTTCTTTTTCCTCTCTGCTCTTTATACGCCGCCTCCGTTGATAGTCGGGGCATTAACGCGTCGGCCTTCTCTTGTTTGATTTTTTAATAGGAAGAGCAATGGATCAGTTCTATAAGGAACACGTCGCGGCCGTTGTTCTTCAGCAGCAGCAGCAACCTCTTGAAGCGCCGACATCTCCACCGTCGTTGCTGGAGGCGTTGCGACGCATTCCCAAGACGGACCTGCACTGCCATTTGAATGGCAGCATCACGCCTGCGTTGCTGGCGCACATGGAGCGTCTTCTTCTTCAAGAGCACCGCCGCACACACGCCAGCGGCGGCGCAGACAAAGCCGCAGAGAACATGGCGAGCCCTACCGCCGCGGAGGCGGAGGCGGGCCACATCCTTTTCTTCAACTCGCAGGAGAAGCGCATGCGCAACGTGCTGGCGTCGCCCGCCTCACACGACGCCGCCGCCGCACCGGCCGGGGCATCCGCCTCCCATTCCAGCCCAAAGGATCGGATGAACTACTGCTTTACCGTGTTCGATGCCATTTACAAGATCATGACGAACCTCGCCTTCACCCGTCTGGCGGTGCAGGACATGCTACTGTGCAGTGCGGCGGAGAACATCATGGCGATGGAGATCCGCACCTCGTTGCGCGACGGTTTGCGGCGCAGCTTTCGGCATGCCGCTGCCGCTGCCGTGGTGATGGCCGAGGGAGCAAACGAGCCGGTCAGCACGGCAGTGTCCAAGGAAATGTACGTGGACACCGTCATCGAAACCGTCGAGCACGTGCTGGCGGGCGGGCTGGTGGACTTGGAGAGTGGGGAGCTGCTGTCGACGGAGGCCACTGCGCATATTTTGGCCAACCCGCAGTGCGTCATCGACGAGGAAAGGGAGAAAAAGGCAGCGGTAGAGGGAGAGGAGGCGGTGGCGGTGCGGTGGTGGCGGGTGTACGACCGCGTGTACGGGTCGCTGTTCACTGCAGCAGCGCCGCCGCCGCCGCCGCGCGAGTCCCCGGATGTGCCGTCGCACCGGCGCTTCTTTGTGGAGACGGCGCACGCCAATTTGGTGTGTCGCATGCACGTCCGCCTGCTGCTCTCCATCAACCGGGCCGCGACGGAGGAGGCAGCGTGGGAGGCGGCCCGCCTCACCACACGCACCCAACAGCGCCAGGTTCAGCAATTCCACACGTGGTGCTGCGCGGCGGTGACCACGACGCCGGAACGTGTGTGGCGGAAGCTGCGGCAGACGTGCTGGGTCACCGGCGTGGACCTCTCCGGTAACTGCTACCGAGGCCTCTACACCACCTTCAGCGCCGCGCTAGCCGCCGCGCGACGGGGAACGGTGCCAGCCGAGGGGTGCGGCGCGTCCACCGTGCAGACGATGCCCACCACCGCGGCTGCCGTGACGCTACACGGCGGCGAGAAGCAAGACGCGGCGGAGCTGCACGCGATGGTCGCCTTTTTCCCTGATCGGTGGGGCCACCTTGTTTTCACCGATGACGACAACCTGTCCACGATTCTGGCCGCGCAGCAGGGAATTGAGTTGTGCCTGACGAGCAATCTGCTGACGAGCGGGCACGCGAGTGTAGCGGAGCACCACCTGGGTCATCTCTTGGAGCTGTGGGACCGCATGCCACAGAGCCGACACGCAAACGTACACGAAGAGGATGAACTGTCGGCGGCGACATCGCCGTCTGCGCAGTGTGTTGCGGCGACCGAGGCAGCGCGTTTGGCAGCGCGAAGGCGGTCCGTGGAGCGTCGCTATGGCACGGCGTCAGCAGACGCCCTCCCCAGCACGGTGGTGTTCAGCGAGAAGGAGCTGGTGGCGGAGGACGCCAACGGTGCCAGCAGAGCGTACGTTTTGCCGAGCATCTCCTTCCACACCGACGACCGCGGGGTCTTCGGCACGACGCTGTCGGACGAGCTGGTGCTGGCCTCGCAACACCCGTCCGTGCAGCGCCTGTGTCATCGCATGACCGGTGCGGAGGACGTCACGTCCGTCGCCGCGTTGGCCGAGTTCTTCTGGCTCTTGACGCGGCTGTCGCTGACGCAGGTCTTCTGCCTTCCCCTGCCGGTGCAGCTGCTGGCGGTGTGTCTGACAGAAGGGAAGTTCATGGCAGCGGAGGCGCACGAGGGTGCCGCTTCGCGGATGTTGCGGTGCGGCAGTGCAACGGAACCCGCGGCCTGGCGGGACTGGCCGACGTTTGTGCAGGTGTGCGAAGACGTCTCCACCACGCAGGCGGGTGGGCAACTCGCGTCGCAGCTCAGCAGGTGGGAGTACACGTGGCTGAGCCACGAACTCGATCACTACTACGTGTAACAGAGCCATAAAATGTTCTGTTGCTGGTGTTGTTGTTGTTCAACGCCGTATCGCCTATAAAGGAAAAAAATCAAAAGCATTCGAATTGGAATGAGTTGTTGAGACCTCATTTTGACAGCGGTGCAGCAGAGCGCTCTTTGCTTGTTGTTGTTTTTTAGGCGTGCATTGAGGCTTTTGTCGGCGTGGTGAAGGGGATGTGGGGTGTCACGGGCCGTGTGCTGCTGATACAAAAGCCTCGAGCATTTCTTGTTGGGTTTCTTTATTTCGCTGCTGCTGTTGTTGTTTGCCGTATTCCTTCACCTTCGCCCCTTCCTCCGTCTCCGCTCTTTCAACGGCCTTTCCGCATCACCGGCGCTCCTCGATGTATTCGTGTTTCCCCAGGACAGATACAAACGAAAATAAGGTGTCGCACACTCAAGACGCGCACACACACACGCCTTCACACGTGCGGGTACAGACGTGTTTGAAGTAGAGAAGGGGAGCAGTACGGAGACCGATAAATCATCTACATTTAAAAACGAAGAGGTTCGCTTTGTTGCCTCTGCGTCTGTGGTGTCTGAGGTTGTCTGGATGTCCGCGTGAGACTGATATGGGTGGCTTTGAACTCCAGCACATGCAATCTATACAATAACAAAAAAGAATCGAACTACATAGATATTTATACATATACACACTCACACACACGCCTTCACCTGCGCGCCTCCTTTACTCGCCACCGGAGGGAAGTCTTCTCTCTCTCTCTCTCTATATATATATGCAGATTTTCTTTCTTTGCTCTTTAGTCTGTTGCTGTCGTATTTTGGGTTTCCTCATTGTTTCTCATATTTATTTTTGTTTCTTTAGCATCTCAGCCAGTGCTTCTTGCAACGGAGAAAAGACCCGACGGAGCGACATGCCGATAGCGCGCACCATCGTGCCACCTTTCTCTAACGAAGCTCAAGTACATCGGCTTCTCCCTTCGCACGGCTGGGCACCAGAGGTGAGTTAACCCCCAACCCCAACCCCACCCGCCGGGCATTACTGTTCTTTTCCTTCGTTTCCTATCCCTTCAATAGAGCGAGAGACAGTCGCATCCTCATCGCTTTTCCCGTGCGTGTCCGTGTCTGTGTCAGACCTGTCGCCTTTTGGGGGGTGCGGGTGCTTCCAGTTCTGTGTACCGCGCTCTCCCTCCTCCCGTAAACATTTGCTTTGACGTCGCGCATTGGCGCCGTGTGTGTTCCTCTCTCTCGCCGTTTCAAAAAATTGCATCGTCGTCTGTTTTTTGTTTTGGTCTCTTGTCCTTCGCACTCTCTCCCTTCTCTTTTATGCCGCCAAAGCGCAATGCGCGGAAGACGGCTGCAAAGCCAGCGGCTGCGCGCGCGAAGACGTCCTCCGCACCGGCGAAGGCGGCTGCACCGCGCGCCTCAAGGGCCGCATCTTCCTCCTCCGCTTCCACATCAAAAACGGCCGCCACCGCCGCTCGCAGGCGATCAGCAGCCGTGAAGCGTGCTGCGGAGAAAAGCAAGAGGACGGTGTTGTCCACCGGCAAACCACGCAGCAACGCGAATCGTGCGTTAAGCAGCAAACTACCGGTGAAGCCGCAACCGAAGACGGCGGTCTCTCGCGCAAGACCGTCGACGTCGAGAACGCAACGAGGAAGGGGGAGCTCGAGAGCGTCAGGCAAAGACGACGAGCAACAGCATGACGATGACAAAACGAGTAAGAGTGAGAGGGATGACCAGGTCGGTAGCAGCGCCATGAGGACGCCGGTTGACATCAGCGATGTTGAGGGCGGCACGTTCCACGACGACGACGATGTGGTGCTCCTCCATAGCAGCTCCGAGCTCGCAGCAGCGGCAGATGCTGCGCCATCGGCAGCGGTGCTCTTCTCGACGCCTTCAAAAACAGACGCCACCGAAGGTGGGAGACAACAAGGTCGTCATCGGTCGCATCCGCTACGTGGAGGCGAAGATGAAGATGAGCAGCAGAGCAGAGAGACGAGTCCCGCGATGCTCACGGCTGATAGTGAAAGCAAGCGGAGCAGCCACCGCTGGCACAACCATTTTACCTCCAACGCCGCCTCAGCGACGCAGCTGCGGGGAGAAGAAGATAAAGCAGAAGAGGCGGAATGCATGAAGGACGACACAAGCCGAGACGCAGCGGCAACGGAGGGAGAGCAAGAAACGGTGAAGCGACTCTTTGCACGTCCACAGCGATCTATATCCTACTCCCCTCTCTCCTCGCACGCCTCCTCCTTATCGTCCTCGCTCGTCTTTGTAGGCGATGAGGCGGCTGACCACACCCTGCCCATGGATAACGATGAGGAAGGACTTCGAGGCAAGCAGCGAGCGACGACGACGACGACGGCCACCGCCACCACCAAAGCACCCACCTCATCTCGTGCGGAAGCGAGTCTAAGCAGTCTATCATCCAGCTTTGACATGAGTGTGTTTCAGGATGCACAGCCACCGGGGTCAGCGACCGCAGACACGCCGCCACCGCCGCCGTCGTTGGCGCTGCAGGGGCAGGACGACACCGTCGTCTTCTACTCGGCACAGAGCAGAACGGAGGATGACGACTCCTCGCACGTACAACACAGCGCGGATGTTGACCTCTTAGGCGGTCCGACGAAGCTGGACACCGCACTGGCGTGGTCTTCGTCTTCGGCTTCGCTGCTGCCGATGGTCCTGAGCACGAACGATGCCGTAGGAGGCGTAAGTGAGACGCGTGATGCTGATGGTAACGCCGATGCGACGCGGCCTGCACGACACGGCGTGACTGCCTCCCCACAACCCAAAGCAGAAAGGGCAACTGACATCGGCGGCACCACCACCACCGCCCATGTACTGCGGCCCTTTGCGTTCTCCAACGTGTCACCTCGCTCGTCAGCGCAGCAGACGCACTTCACAAGTCCGTATCGTGAACAAGATCGACAGCAGCAGCAGCAGCAGCACGTGCCTTCCTCCACGGGAGGGCACCTGCGCATGGGCGGCAGCGTCGGCCGCACCCGCTCCCCCTCCGCCCCCACCGGCCGCTTCTCTTACGGGTGGTTGAAGAAGGTGAACGCAGGGGTCGAGGTACCGCCATCGGAAGGGGCAGCCGCGGTGAAGAAGTTCCCTGCCCACCCTCTCGCACCGTATCCCCCGCATCGACCACCTCTCTTGCACTCCTCGCCCTTCTCTACTCCGCCCACCGCACGCCTCCCTCTTCCGCTGGAGTGCACAGGGGAGCGGTCGGGCAGCAGCAGCAGCATCAGCCACAGCGGCAGAAGCAGTCCACTGCGCGGGCGTCTGCGTGAGCCGCCGACGTGGCGCTCTCCGCAGCCGCCCCGCTTTGTGACGTCGCTGAACGTCTCCCCTGTGTCTGTGTGGCCATCGATGTGGAACAGTAGCGCCCGCAACAACAGAGACGACCGAGATGGAGAAATACCCTCCAGTTATCCGTTGGCGTCACAAACAAATGTGCTGCCTGCCGTGACGACCATCACACATGCCACCGCCGTCCCGGCACTTGTCGCATCGCAACGTGAGCGAAGCCCTTCTAACTCCTCTGCCTCTACAGCTGTTCTCACGCAGACCTTCACCCAAGCCTCCGCCGGTGCTGCCAGCGCGAACGCGGATGTGCAAGCGATGACGCTGATGTCGCCGCCTCCACAGCCACCGTCCGCCTCCCTCGCCTCACCCACAGCGCGCTTCACGTCTCGTGCGGAGGCGACTCGTCCTGGTCCGAGCGAGGTGGCAAGCCGGTCCTCCACGCAGCTCATCACGAAGGCTGCCGCCACGCGTCCGACAGCGTCTCCAGTGACCATGTGGATCTGCTTAGATGAGGAGGAGGAGGAAGAGGAAGGGGAAGAGGAGGACACGGCGATGGCGGGGCAACGGGGTGTTGCAGCGGCCGCCCCAGCCGACGTTAGAGCAGCAGTATCCACAAGAAGCTATCCACCGCGTACGCAGATGAAGTACGACAACGAGCAGACGCGTGTGGATATCAAGAGGGAAGGGCAGCGGCAGCCTTCGCCGTTGCGTCGCCGTGCCACGGAGAAGAGTCACCCCATCGCGGACATTCTCTCTCCGACGTTTCGCCCACGCCGACGTGCGACGCAGCCGTTTGCTTCACAAACCCGCTCGGTGCGCGTAGACGACTACGCCGCCCGCCCCAACGGTGACGCGCGTCCTCGATTTTCGAGCCAACTCGATGACGACGAGGATGACGAGGGCGACGGTGTCGAGGCGGGAGAGACGCCACCGCGCAAGCGAGCGCGTCTCTCCAGCGTGGCCCCTCCGTTTCCCGGCGCGTCGGTGGATGTTCTCAGCAAAGACGCCGACGGTTCTGCGCCGCGGATCATTGCCGATGGCGACGACGCGGAGGAACAGGCGCACGAACAACTGCCGATGGAGGCGGACGCGTTCGAAAGAAAGGGCGATCTCGCAGCTGCTGCGCAGGCACCTCGCGTGAAACGTGTGCCGGCACGGCGGCTATCTACGCCGCTGCGGAGTGGGTCAGAGGAGAGTGAAGGAAACAGTCCGTTGAAGCCCACGGTGAAGGACCTCTTCTTTCCGGAGCGGCTGGACCCTGAGCTGCGCCCGTGCAGCCCCTTCAACGAGAGCATCCACGCCTATCAGCAACACTACCAGCAGCAGCAGCAACAAGACGCTGAGCTCCATACAAGGAACACCGGTGACTCCGTGGCGGGCGTGAGGGACGCGATGCAGTACGTGCCTGAGGCAGCGGAGGGGACAAAGACGACGACGAAGCGCGGCGCGACGGCGACGATGCATCGACCTGGCCACAAACGTGCTCGTACATCGCCGACGAGACGTGAGAACGGCACCGTCGTCCCCCCTGCCCTGCCCGACTGGGGCCGCCCCGCCGACGCCATCCTGCGCGACTTCTTCCCCATCAAGCCCACGAAGAAGGTTTTCATGGCAGCAGCACAGACGGTCATGTCGCCGCAGCACTTCCTGGAGCCGAAGGACTTCTGGCAGGCTTTCGCTGCGGCGGAGTTCGTCGGGGAAGGCAGCTTCGGCCTCGTCTGGCGCTGCCGCACGGTGGACGGTGACCTCGTCGCCGTGAAGTCCTGCCCCATCAACCTGCACACGAGAGCCAACATCGAGGATTCCTTCTCGACCATCCGCGAAATAGCAACGATGCGCTTTCTAAACGAGATGCAGGTGCCCTACGTCTTGCCGCTGCACAGCGCCTTCTTCGTGAAGGCGGCGGAGGCGTTGCCACCGCTGGCGCAGGAGGCCCTGGCGTGGCGGCAGCAGCTGCGTAAGCAGGCTGAGGCCGCGGTGCTGGAGAAGGAGGTGGTGCGGCTTGGAAAAGGCCACGGTCAACTCTCGCGGCGCGGTGGGGGTCGTGGTGGCTACCAAAAAAGCCGGCGCGGAGGCGTTACAGCAGCACCAGCGTCAGCAGCAGCGCCGTTGACCTTCGAGCAGCAGGTCACCGCGGAAATGGAGTGTCAGGCGGCAGCCGAAACGCGAGCGGAAAGGGCGGTCCGAGCACGTCTGGAGCGGGTGCGGCTGCCGCGCTTCTTATCCATCACCGAGGACGACCTGCGCCAGAGCGACGCGACGGCCTTCTTGGTGATGGAGCTGTGTGACGGGGATGTGGAGGGCATCCCCCGCAGCGACGGGGTGGCGAAGGGTGTGGTGTACTGCGTGAGCTCCGCGCTGGCGGCGATGCACGAGCTGGGTCTGCTGCACCTCGACCTCAAGCCGAGCAACGTTCTCTTTGCCTATGAGCACGGGCCCTCTCAGTCCTCGCCGCCCGCGCCGTCGCACACCAACATGGACGCTGTTAAGTTTTACCTGTCGGACTTCGGCAACTGCCGTCTTGTCGGGCCAGACCCGCTCGACGAGGTGGCGGAGTCCTTCGGCACCTTCGAGTACATGGACCTCCGTGCCCTGCAGGACGCCGTGTGCGGACGGCCGACCGACGCCTTCAGCCTCGGCGCGACGCTGTACGAGTTGCTGTACGGCAAGCGGCTGTACCCCAAGTGCAAGAACCCCAAGTGCGCTGAGGAGGACGACCACTCGAGGGAGTGCTTCGTGGAGATGGCGAAGCGGCCGGTGGTGCTGCCTACGACTATCACTACTGCTACTACTTCCGCTGCGACGACGACGACGGCACTGCCGTTGCTGCAGCCGCGGCCGGCCGCTGCTGGCCCACCTGATCGCCCCGCCGTCGCAGCGGATGCCACGGCCGCCCCCTTCCTCCGTCCATCGCACCCGCGAGGAAAGAAAAGGAAGCCCGCGCCGGCGACACGAAACAAGGACAGTAGCAGCATCAGCAACAACAGCGGTAGTGAGACGCTGCAATCAGCCCGCTCGACTGCCGCGGCGGTGGCCGCCGCCGCGCTGACGCCTTTGCAGTCTCTCACCTTAGCGTTGCTGCGCCAAAAGTGGGCCGATCGGGCAACCGCCGCGGAGTGTCGGCGGTACCTCATCGACACCTTCCACATCACACAGGCGGACGAAGAGGAGGAAGTATGAAGGGAGGGAGGGGGGGGGAATAAAGCTGAAATCGCCACAGCAGCAGCGTTGACCTGCATCGAGGACGGCTCGATGTGTAGACGTCTGTGTGTGTGTGTGTGTGTAGGTGGATGTTGTCAGGGTTTTGCATGACAGCGTGCGTTTTATCTGCGCATCAGCAGCGCGTCTTTCCTTGTGTTTCTTCTCTCTCTCTCTCTGTCACAGCTGCGCAGCACCCCCGCGTTGATTTCTTTAAAAGAAAAGAAAAATGAACTAGCGTTTTCCTTGTTGGTTGTAAGGCTTGGCGAATCGGGATACTATCAACATTTATGAGCGGTGAACCACAACAACATGCGTGATTCTTCTCTCGCTATGCCGTCCATTTTTTTCCTGTTGTGCTCTCTCTCTGTGTGTGTGTGTGTGTGTTCATGTGAAGACGCAGCTGCTCAAGTGTGCGATTCGCGTTCTTTAGAAAAAACAACAGCGCTGCTGCATCTCCCTCTCTCGCCCACTTCCTCGGCGTGGGTGACGGAGCGTCAAAAGCTGAATGCGCTGGTGTGGGCATGCAAACACACCCTCTCATCCCATGTCTCTCCCCTCCACCATTGTATCGTGTCTTCCATTCTCTTTCCTTCACCACCACCGTTTAACAGCGCTGCCCGAGTACGCATACAGAAGAAGAACATCGTGAATGCACCGACGTGCGTGCGTCTCTCTCGCTGCCCCAGCGAGCGCCGCGACGACGGTGCTGTGTCGAGCACTCTGCACCTCCGCCGTTCTCCGCGGCGGCGGCAGCAGCGGCACGACACCGTCCTCCACGACTGCCAAAACATCACCAACATCTTCGTCTCCTCCCTCTGCGTCCTCGCCCGGTGAGAGCGGTGCAGGCGGAAATCCCCGGGCGGCCAGCACGACAACTCGAGTCCCACCCCTCTACGATCCTGCTACGGTGGTGCCGCCCCGCCGCCGCGATGGTCACGTCGCGCCTGGGTACACGCCCGGCGTCTCCCCGCACACCTCCTCCCTCGCCAGTCACACCCCGCCCCCGCGATCAAGCATGACGACGCCCGCTGCGTCACCGGGAGGGGTGCAGTACACCCACATGCGGCAGGAGGCCGCCGACGATGCGGAGTTGCGACGCAGGACGGTACAGCGCGCCACGGCGGAGCAGCGAGCCGGCAGGGAGCCACCGCCACGCAGCAGCAGCAGGGGTAGCGGCGCCGACGACGCGAATAGTGAGCGGGAAAGGTGGTGGCCGGAGGAGAACCAGAACTGGTCGGGGCGCATGTTCTCCTCGCCGTTTGATAAGAACAAGAAGAAGATGGACGGCATGTTCGTGCCGGAGATGAAGGAGGTCTTCAGCCAGGAGACCCCGCTCGAGCTGAGCTACGCCGGCGACAACTTTTTTCTTAACGCGGACTTCCACATGGCAGATGAAACTTTCGAGGAGACGCGCCGCTTCGTGCCACCGCCCAGCTTCGACCCGGCGGTGGACGAAATTGACGATGACGGCTTCACGGACAGTACAGTGATGTTCGACATCCAGGCCGCGTTGGAGGAGGACAAGAAGCGGCTGGAGGCGTTTGGAAACCCGATGACGGTGGAGGACCAGGTGGACTACTTGCTGGCCCCGCAGCGCGACGGCCAGGAGAACATCCAGCAGCGGCAGGAGTTCAACGGGTTCGTGCACTGGGGCCTTCTGCATGGCGCCCACATGGTGCTCGAGGAGAACCACGAGACGAAGCGGGCCCACGAGTTCGTGAACCGCTACATGCGGGACGTTGACCTATTTGAGAAGTGGCTTGAGCATCCGAAAGTGCGTGCACACATCCAGAAGAAGTTCGGCATTGACATGTCCGCCAAGTTCGACAAGTTGATGGCGCTGACGATGGCCATGTACACCCGCTCGAAGATCCAAGTCTACGAGGATGACCCGGCAGGCGCGCTCAAGTCGCTCACCGCCAGTATGAGTTTCATCTCTGAAGGTGCGGACTTAACGAAGGAGCGTCACCGCAAGGCCCTCGGTGCGGTGTTGGTGGCGCGGGGCATGATTTATTGCAAGTTAAAGTCGTTCGAACGCGCCGATGACGACTTGACACGTGCCTTGTCGTTTGTAAAGGCGAATCGCTCGGCAACCCTCTTTCAGCTCCGTGCGGAGGCGCGCGAAGCGCTCGGCTACATCGACGCGGCCCGCGCCGATGAGGAGCGCGCGGCGAAGATATGGGAGGAGGCGGAGGTGATCATGCCTGGCATGGACGGTGCACCACGTAAGTTCGTCACGTGATGCGCTGACCTGTTGTTACTGGTGCTGCTGCTGCTCCGAGTCATGACGAGTTGTGCTTCGGTCGGGGGGGGGGGGGTTCTGTCTCTTGTTACTTCAGCGCCTTCTCTGGTTTGATTGCGATGATGCCGAAGATGAGTCTTCGGCGTTTCGATGGACCGGTGAGAACCATCGGCGCATTTCTGTGGGCGTGTGTTTATCGTATTCACACAGACACACGTATATATATATGATGGGTGTGCCACCGAGCCGCATTCAGTCCTACACGTTCTTTCTTTCCTTTTTTCAATTTGATCATCGAGCTGTGTGTGTTGTTGATTTCTTCTTCTTACAAGGAACGATGCAATGAAGAAGGAGAAGAGAAGGTTCTGCTGCTGGCTAGTTGTTTCGTGCGTTTGCACAGAGCAGACGTCGCAGCAATTTCAGCTGTTTGGGCGAACACACAACTAAGCGTAGGGCCCTTCTCTCTCGTCACGTTGGGTGTGTGTGTCTGTGTGTGTGTGTGTGTGAAGAAGCCCAAAGTAAACGTAGAACGAGGTAAAACAAAGAAGTGGAGGTTTCACCTCATGTGACGCTTTGGCGTCGTGTTGGAAGGGCTTTGGCGGTAGGCTGCGCCTTCTCTCTCGCTCTGTCCTGCATGTTTACTGCACTGCTGCCTTTTTTTTTCCTGTTTTTATTTTCTCTCTTTGCCTTCTCACCTCCCCCAGCAAACATACAACGAGCATTACATAGAAGATCCGCGGGACGGCATAGTTTGGTGGACGCTTTACATCGCTATCGTTCTCCTCTCCTGCTTTTGTTGTCCCTCCCGCTTATAGACGTAAACACACTCACATCCATACACGTACAACACCCGTAGATCCTCGCGGCTCCTGCGCCGACGTCGTTTTACCTTCCTTTCTATCACTAATCAGTCGAGTGCTGATTCTGTTTACTTTCTGCAACGTCGCTTCTTCTTTTTTTTTTTTAGGTGGCTCATTTGAGAGGAGGAGAGAAGCAAGGCCATGCTTCGGCGGCGCGTGGCGGGCCCTCGGCCGCTCCGCCCCACCCTCTCGAGCGGCACCTGTTTTCTTAGCGCTAGCAACGGCCAGGGCTGTGGTTCGTGCGGTGCCTGTGTTGCCTCGTACACGGCGACTCAATGTCCGTCAGCGGCGGCGGCGTGCGGTGGAAGCAGCGGCCTCTTTGGGAGAACGTCTGCTCTGCTGTACATGTACCGACCCCCCGACACGCACAACACGGAAACGAGTCGACTTCCGTGGTACCACCGGGCGTCTCTCCCTGCAGTCACCACTACCACCAACACTAGCACCTCAGCCAGCGCCACCGCGCCAGCTCCGCAAAGCCCTTCGGCTTTACATCTCCAAGAGATTTCCTCCATTTTGCAAAGCACCTCCACTGGAAAGGCACCGCCCGCCGCCGGAGCAGCAGTGACGACCTCTAGCTCAGCGAACTCGTCCGCGCAGAGCAGCCACGACGTCTCTTCTGCCGGAGTACGGACACCAGCGCCAGCCCCACAGCAAGGCACCGCTCCCGGCCCGTATGCGGCCACACCCTCCTTCCCTCTCGCTGCTACTGCCGCGGCTGCAGTAGCGGCGGCGCAAGCGGCGACGATGTCAACAACTGCGGCGGCTGCCCTCCGACGAGGCGATCGTGGGGCACTGCGACTGACGCCCGCGCGGCGCATGTCCGCCCTCAGCGGCCCAACACTAGACGTCCGCGTCGAGGACATCGTGAAAGTGGAGGAAACACTCGCGTCGGAGCTCACGCTTCCCAAAGTGGTGCAACTCCTCATCGACCCTCAGGCCGAGGGCGTCGAGCGGATTACGATGAGTGAGTTTGCCGCCATGCAGCCGAAGCGGCAGCTGCTCGCCGTCGGTGGCAAGAAGGAGTGGCTGCAGTGGATTGAGCAGAGCACCTACTACCAGCAAGCCACCCGTCTGTCGGCCGAGTCGCCGGCGCAGGACCTCGCCGCATTGCAGCAAGCCGGCATTTACGCGCTCCAGCAGTGGCTCGAGCAGCCGCAGCTCGTACGAGTCTCTGCACGGACCCGCAGCGCTCTCGACACCGCCGTGGCGCAGAGCGTCGAGGCTTACATGTCCGAGGTGGCCCAGGTCGTGAACACGAGCAACGCGGTGGAGGATGTCCTAACGCACTGGGTGTCGGACGTGATGGGGAAGTTCATTCTTGACTCCCTGCAGATCCCGCTCGACCGCGCCTCGCAGGCGATGTGGAGCGCGCGGCGGGAGTGGATGCCAGCGGACGTGGTGCGCAACGGCGGTGCGGGTGGTGTAACCGGCAGCAACGGCAGCTCCGCCGCATCGTTAGCGGATGTAGCTGGCGGTGGTGCCCCGCAAAACGCGGAGTCGCGCCTGCTGAATGAGATGCTCAGCAGCAGTAGTAGTAGCAATGGTGCTTCGGGGTCTTCCGCTGCACAGCAACAGCAGCAGCAGCCCGTTCTTCGACCAGGCGAGGCCTGCACCCTCACCCACTACCTCCGCTTCGTGCAGAAGGTGATGTCGAGTGTGCGACAAGACTACGTGGCCAACCACGCCGCCATGGGTCACGGCACTGGCCGCCGCGGTGACGAACAGGCGGAGCAGGAGATCGCCGAGCGCTCACACGGGGTCATCGCGGCCGCCTTGACGCAGCTGCTAGAAAAGGCCGCTCTACATCAGCTTCCACCCGAGCTGCAGACGCTGCAGCAGAACGGTTACCTCGCACTGGATCGTGTGCCCGGTTTGCTGAAGCGTGCGGGCAACCTTCTCCAACTTCGCGCCGTGCCGGTGCGCTTCTTCGTCTTCCACAGCTCCGCCGATGACGACGCCGCAGCCGCGGCCGCGGCAGCATCGGCGGCACGTGGAGGGGGTAGCAGCGGCAGCGGCGGCAGTGCTCGTGCAGATGACGCCGCCACCGGCCTCTCCGTGCCGGCGCCCCCTTTCTACCCACCCGGCACCTTCCTCACCGGATCGAACCAGCTGGATGTGACGTTGGGGGAGTGGACCGGCAGGCCCGACCCGCCCTCCTCCACCGCCCGCGAAGTCGGCGGTGTGGTGGACGACGCAACGGAGCAGGAGTACCTCTCAATGCTGCGCCGCCTGCGTCGCCGCGTCGACACCCTGGCGGTGACCTCCCTCTACGAGGTCGTTGGCCAACCCGACCGCTACGGAGGCCACGGCTTCAGTGCGGTGGAGGCGATCGGGCTGCATCAGCTCTTTGGCCCCGTGAAGCTGCTGGAGGACCGACTGACCACCACGCTGCACTACCCGGTGGCGGCGGCGGACAAGCCGATCCACTTTGTGGAAGCGGGCCCGCTGTCGGGCAAGACAGCCCTGCTCGAGCAGCTCGCGGAGCGGACCGCGCGACCGGGCGACAAGGTGGCGGTGGTGCGCTACAGCGGCTCTGCCACGCCGTACCTGCCCGACGTCGATGACCACCCGGTGGCCTTTGCGTCCCGCTTCTGGTTTCGCGTCGCCCTCGCCTCCTGCCCCTACTTGATCCGCGTCGAGGAGCTCTACTCGCGCGCACCGCGCAGTGTGTACTGGTGGGGCCATGAGAAGAACTGGTCGTGGGAACGCTATCAGAGCCTCTTGCAGTCGGCGCGGAACGCCGGCGCTGGGCACCGCCAGCACCAACAGCAGCGCGGCGGTTTGCCCGCAGCTCCGGCGCAGTTGGCGACTGTTCTCGTGGACGACGTGGATCGGGCGTTGGGCGCGATGCAACTGAAGTGGGGGGACGCTGCCGCCTTGTCCGCCGCCGCCGCTGCACAGACGAGTCAGGGTGTTCTTTTAGGCGGGTCCGGAGCCGCGTCTGGACCCGCCGCGGTGGTAGCCGCGCAGAAGGCCCAGCAGGCACAAGACGACGTGGACGATGAAGAGGAGGAAAACGGAGACGGCAGCAACAGCAGCGGCCACCGTTCATCGGCGTCGCTGCTCGCCGCAGCAGCAGCAGCCGTCCCCTCCCCTTCGCTGGAGCAGCAGCGTCAGCAGGTGATCTCGCTCTGGCGCTCCACCGGCAAGTCCGTGGAGGAGCATCTCGCCTCGTGCTTCACGCAGCTCTCCGCCGCGGTGGGGCAGGTGAACATCGTCTTTACCGGTACCGCCGTGGCACCGCTGCTGCTCACCCATTGCGCCGCACCGTGCCGTCGTTATTACCTGCCCTTATCGGGCGGTGTCGGTCTGCAGTCGCGCCTCCGGGTGCTGCCGCTGCTGGCGACGCTGCATGCGATGCATCTGACGCATCATCTGGACATGCCCGGGCTGCTGTACGAGGTCCTGAAGAACTGCCCGGCGCTGACGGGGAAGGCGCTGGAACTTTTCTGGTCGCACCGCGTGTCGACGATGGACCTGCGCACCGGTCTGCCGCGGCTGACGATGGGCAGTGGGTCTGCGCATCCGCAATTGATACAGAGCTACGTACCACGTGAGCTCTTTGCGGAGCTTCCCCTCTACACGACGCTCTTGCAGAACCCACGCCGTACCCGCCGCCGGCTGGTGGAGCTGCTGCAGCGGCAGCTGAGCAGTCCTACCGGTTACCTCAGCACCGAGCTCGACACCACGCCGCAGGACGTGAAGGACGGACTGGTGCTGCCGCACAACCTCACGAGCTGCCAGGTACACCCCTTTGCACTCTTCGCCATCTTCTCTCGGCAGGACGCGATCGACGCGCGCGTCTTCAACGGCGAGGGTCAGCTGCTGGATGGCAGCGAAGTCGCCGCCGACAAAGGGGACGGGGAGGAGGATGAGACAGAGAACGCCGACAAGACCGACCCTGGCAACAGCAGCAGCGGTAGCAACAACGGCTTGAGCGACGCCGCCGCCGCGGCTCGCGTGCGGAGCAGCACGGGGGTCGGCAGCAACGAACGCAAGGTGGTGCGTGCGTGGGCCGAGGTGTGGGCCGAGTACCGCAGCGTCGTCTCCTCCCTCTCCACCTCGCCCACGAGGAAGCGGGATGCGATGCGGGTGCTCCTGCACGGTGCGCTGCTCCTGCGCTCCGCCGCGGTGGCCGGCGCGCAGCTGGAGCTGAACCTGAAGGTTCCCTCCTACGGCTTCCCGTTGCTGGCGTCCGAGACGCGCGGGCGCAGCAGCAGCAGCGGCGGCGGCAGCAGCAACCATCAACACCACCAGCGTGGTGACGCGCTCATCCGCCCCGCCACCCCAGAGACCGTACGGCGGGCGACGGCGGCATATAAAATGTTCTTCTCCAACGCGGCGCCGAGCCACTTCCCTTTCCGGCCCATGGTGGGCCTGAACGGCGGCTGCGACGTGGTCTTCGTGTGCGGGTCGACGCTGGCCCTGTACGACATTGTCACCACCGCGGCGCAGCTGCGGCACATGGTCGGGCGACTCGCGGAGGCGTTGCTCGGCGTACTGCACGTGCTGGAGCGGCAGGTGTTCCCGCTAGAAAAGGTACGTGCCGTGCAGTGTGTGACGGTCGTCTCCTTGGATGAGCCGCGGCCTGGTGTGGCAGACGTGGGTGGCGCCAACGGCGGCGTATCGGGTGGGAGCAACAGCGGTGGCGTGTACGGGCGTCGACGTGCTGCTGTCTCTCCCTCCTCTGCCGCTTCGACAGCGGGGGGTCTCAGCGTCGATGTCTTCAACAACTCCACCGCCCTGACCGTTCCGTTCTACCTCGACTACGGAGCCGTGTTTGAGGACCACGTCCTGGACCGCCTCCGTGCCCTGCAACAGACCCTCGGCATCACGAAAGACTTCCGCACGCTGAGCGAGCTCATCGATGAGTTAGAGCGCACACACCGGGTGAGGGTGACCCAAGACGTCGTGTCCACGCCGGAAGAGGTCGAGTCTCTCTTCTCGCCGACGCTGCTGCAGCTGGTGCCGGATGCGACGGTGCTGCCGGCGTACACCTCGGCCGTCGTGTCGGCCGAAGAATTGATGATGCAGGCCATGAAGGGCCGCAGCAGCAGCAGTGGCAAGGCGAGCGGCAGTAGTATCGGCAGTGGCAACGGAGGTGTCGGCACGTCGGCTACGGGGGGCGCTGCTGCAGCCGCTCTTGTGAATGGGGCGAGTCGCCACAGCGCCGAGGAGAGCATGTCGTTGAACATCGACGATGACGACGACGACGATGATGACGCTGACTACGTGAACCTCGGTGAGGAGGAGGTGATCCCGGGGGCGGAGTTAGATGACGTGGCGAGCGATGTCCGCCTGTCACGTGATGGGTCCAGCAAGAACGACTTGCGCGTCGCCGATCACGAGCACCTGCACGAATCCGCAGAGCTGCTGGAGGCGATCATGAACGACAATTTGGATATCATGTCGAACAGCACTGCGCGGCTGCAGGAGCAGCGCGAGGAGACGGCGCGCGACCTGCGCCGCGATCTTGTGATGGAGGACCGCATCAACTACAACGCGCCGGCGCCGTCCACCACCGCCGCCGCCACCTCCTCCTCTGATGCTGCGTCGTCGTTTGCCGCGTCTTCGAATTCGCCAGCACAGGCGGCCGCGCAGAAGCGTGCGGTTGGGCCCGGTCGATCTGCCGCGGAGGACGCAGAGGCGGACGCCCTGGCGTGGCTACACGACATCATCTCCCCAGAGAGTCTCATTGCAGGTCTGAAGGGCACTGCACCGGGGGCGGGCACGCCTTTTTCGAATGTGATCAGTACACCGGCTGGCGCGTTGGCTGGTGGGAGCAGCCTTGTGCAAGGGCTCTCGTCCCAAGCAACACAGCAGTATCAGCAGCAGCAGACTTCCTCTCCCACACTACCATCATCCGCACAGCAGCAGCATGCATCTCCGCTAGCGGCAGGTACATCGCCGATGATGCCCAACCCGATGGGCCCGTGGACGCCAAATGTGGCTGCACCGGACGGCACGGAGAACATCTCCGCCGTGTTCCCGCAAACGGCGGCGAAGCGCGAGGATGGTCGTGGTGGCCACCACCACAGCGGCAGCAGCACGAACAGCACTACGAGTAGTAATCCTCATCATCACACGACGGCCCGCAGTGATTTGAAGGGAAAGGAGGCGCCGATCAGCGGGTCGCCGCGCGACGCGGCGGCCGACAAGGACGACGACGTGGTGAGTCCTGCGAAAGACGCAGCAAACGCGGAGGGCGACAGCGAGGAGGAGGAGAAGATCAACCTGCAGCGGCTTTTCGATGCAGTCAGCCAGCAGCGCAGCCGCAACGGAAAGACGACGAGGGCGGCCGCAGCGTCGTCACGCCGGCAGCGTCGCGGCGGCCGTGCCGCGGGGGGACGTCGCCCGGAGGAAGCGAAGCCGAGGCGGGCTGCGTCGGGCAGCAACAGCAACAGCAAAGGTAGGGCAAAGGCGTCGTCGACAGCAGCAGCAGCGAAAGGGCGTAAGACCGCGCGATCGGCCGCCGCCGCCTCGCCGTCGTCGTCGTCCGCCAACAGGAGAAAAGCGAAGACCTCAGCGTCCAGCGGCGGCAAACAGAAGAGCAGCTCGGCGAAAAAGCGAAGGTGAGTAAAGGACTGTTTTTGTTGTCGTTGATGTCGTGTGCAGCGTAGCACCTGCGGTGGCGGATGCCGCCGAGCTGCTGCAGCTCGTTTGTGCTGCTCAACTCCCTTCTGTCCACGCTTTTGTTTTCCTTTTCTTTTCAACTAATTTTTCTTCAGCTTTTCGAGCATAGAGCCGTACTTCTAGATTGATTTCTCTCTTCTATTTTCTCTCTTCTATTTATTTGTTTACTTTGTGGGTTTTCTCTCCCAGCGAATCGAGGGTCGCCGCTGGATTTCGCCGGACTCGCCTTTTCCACCTCGAGAGGAGGGGAGGCGGGGGGAGGGAGGTGTTTTTTTTTGCGGCTGCGACTTCTTCTGTGGGTGAGTGTGTGCGTGTGTGGCCGGGGGGCCGCTGGTGTTTTGTGGTTTTCCTCTCCTCTGGTTTACGGCTGTTGACCGACAGAAGTCGTAGCTTGTGTACTGCACCTTGTCGTCGTCGCCTATTCTGCCATCATCATCATCATCATCATAGAGATGTTATTATTGTCGTTGCTGTTTCCTCACCTCTTCTGTCGAAGAAACCATGGAGAAGGCAACGTCAAAAAGTCTATTTTTAAAAACAAAAAATGATGATGATGATGATGATGATGATGATGATGATGCGTCAACGGACTCGAAGGAGGAGAGAAGAGAGTGACAATGGCGACGTTGCTTGAGAAGAACATTGTCGCTGGTGCTAACGCGGATCTGGGTGTTTGTGGGTTTTCATTGATGTGTGTGTGTGTACGTAGCAGTAGTTTTCTTTTTTTAAGTTTGCGATATCCTTTCCTTGTTTTTTTTTTTCTCTTCCCTCGTCGGTGTGGTGCTACGGACGGCAGTTCTTGGTTCGTCTCTTCCCACCCACCGTCCCCTCTCGTCATAGATGTGTGCGATTTATCATACAAAACACGCCACACCAAGAAGGAAACGGAAAGCAACGAGTGCGATCTTCACGGTGATCGCACGACGCCACCGTCAACGGCGCCTCTTCTCTACTCGTTCCGTCCTAATGGCAGAAGAGAGGCGGAGAGAAGTAAAACGCCTAAAGGGTTCGATGCAAGAGGAGGAAGGGAAAACAGCTAAAAACCTCATTTCATCCGTGCAACGTGGGCAGCGCACGTTATGAGCGTTTGGCCACGATGGACACACCTCTGATTTTCTTTCTCCTCCTTCTGCACCGCAGGGGACATCCTCAGCTGATTCGTTCACTTACAAGGAGCAAAAGGCCTTCCAGATAAGTACTGATGTACCAAGCATTCACCTGGGTGTGTGTGTGTGCCTTACGTGCCTGTTAAACTATTCCCTTCTGCGCTTCAATCTTCAATCTTCTGACTCCTTTATATATTATTTCTTTTCCTTTCAATGATCGCAGCATACATATATATATCTTTTATAAGGCGCATGCGCTGTGCGTGTGTTGGTGCGCACCTATCGGTATTTGCTATCTTTTGCCGCGGCGACGACGCACCCTAACGCGCATAACCACTCATAGAAGGGAACGACTTCTCCCCAAGGACATACAAAGCAAAATTGTAAAACCCCAAACAACATATATTACTTCATAGTGAACCATGTTTAGCCGCCGCTCCATCCATACGGCCGCAGCCGCCCTCGCCGGCGCCTCCGTCGCCACCGCCGTCACCTCCCCCACGTCGCAGACGTGGCTCACCATCACGGGCGACGCCGCCAGCTCACACGTGAATGGCCGTCCATGGACGCTGCGCGTGCCGCTCGAGGTGGGTGTTGGCCCGTCCTCCTCGTCGTCGCCCGCGTCATCGTGGAACGCCGCCGGGTACACGGGGCACGGGGTGCTGCGCCGCTCTCGCACGCTCCTGGCACCGCACGGAGCACCCACGCATGCGTCTGGCACAGCAACGGCAGTCCAAGGCGACGAAGAAACACGCGGTCCCTATGACGTGACGATTGACGAGGCCCTCCTCGGCAAAGAAGGTGGGGGGAGCAGCGCGGCGGCGACGACAACAAAGATATCAACGGTGCGTGATCTTGTCCGACTGCTGGTGGACCCCGACGTGGGGACGGGGGTCGAGGCGGTCCCCCTCCGCGACTTTGCGGCCATGGCGCCAAAGCGGCAGCTCCGTGCGGTGAACAACGACCACGATTGTCTCAGCATTTTACTGAACAGTGAACGCTATCAGAGCGAGAAGGACGCGCGTGCGCTGCGTCTGATCGGCGTGACGACGGTGGGGCAGTGGCGGGAGCAGCCGGATCGCGTCTCGCTTAGCGCCTACGGTCGCGGTCTGCTGGACACGGCGTACAGCGCCCTCGCACGCACGCGGCAGCAGTCGCAGAAAGATTTGGTCGTGGCGTGGCTGACGCGCACAATCCAGCGCGCCGTCGCCGAGGAGCTGATGGCTCCGAAGATGCTCCCCTCCGGCGTGGACGATGGTCGTGCCGCCGGCACCGCACAGATCCAGACTCCGTCCGTGGCAGGCGCGGAAAAACGAGCGTCGCCGCTGTTGATGCACGTGGACGCGGGCGGGAGCACCGAGGCGGATACCGCTTACACGACCACCTTCTCGACGCCTGACAAGGAGGTAAGTGGAGGAGAGAAGAAGAAGGCGGAAGCGCATGAGGATGAAGATGAAGATGATGCCCCTGCGGCTACTGCATCACGTCGCCGCAGTCCTCGTCAGCGCACGGCCCCTGCGCCGGCAGACGACGTCCACGAGGAGTCAGCGGCAACAGCGGCGCAAGATGAGGAAGACGAGGAAGCGGCGGACGACGCTGTCGAAGAGATTCTTGAAGAGGTGGAGGCGGAGCGGGGAGAAGAGGTGGATGCGGAAATGGCTGGCCTGATGACGGAGGCGGAAGCTATTCTGCAAGGAGGCGGAGCAACACCCACCACCACCACCGCAAAGTCTACGCCCCCTGCGAAGGCGGCGCCGGTGGCGACAGCAGCCGCCGGTACGAGCGCCGCGCAGACGTATTCGAAAGGAGCACCTGCGGAAGAAGACGCTGCAGCAACCGGCGAAGAGGAAGAAGAGGTGGAAGAGGTCGTCGAGGAGGAGGTGGAGGAAGAGGAGGAGGAGGGGCACGACGAGGCGGAGCCGGCGCCCGCACTGCCACAGCCTGCAGCATCCGCAACCGCAATCACGGCTACGACCGCCCAGCAGAAGGAGAAGCTGGCACGCCTCGCCGAGCTCATGCTTAAGCAGTTCAACACCGCGGACGGATACCTGCACCCCACCAACAAGGCCGAGCGCACGGAGCAGGAGCAGCGCGGCGACATTCTCGTGCTGGACGAGGACACCGCCCAGGTGGATCCGCTGAGTATGTTCAGCGCCTACCACGCAGCCACTGTGACGGAGGCCGATCCGATTGGGGTGCGGGCGCTGAAGACGATTTGGACGTCGTACAACAGGCATCAGGTGGCGCTCGAGGAGGCGGGCGACGCGGCCGCCGCAGACTTCTACAAGCACGCGAGCGTTAACGCGCTGCTGTACGGCTCGGTGCTGATGCGTGCCCTGGCGCGGGAGGAGCCGGTGGTGGTGCTGGAGGGCACCGCACTGCCGCGCTACGGCTTCCCGCTGGTGTCCTCCGACACACGACCCTTTTACTCCTCCCCCACCACCACCGCAGGACAAGCGGCAGCGGCAGCAGCGTCTTCTGCATCGTCTACGGTGACGGACATGACGCCGGGGAAGGTGCCGACTGCGATGCAGGCGTACAAGGCCCTCTTCAACGATAAAGCGAAGCGCTACTCCCCCTTCCGCCCCGCCGTGGACCAGAACGCTGGCTGCAGCGTTGTGCGGCTGTCCGGCACCACGTTGCACCTCTACTTCACCTCCACGAAAGACCACGTCATGGAGGAGGAGGTGCGGCTGCCGTTTGCGGAGGTGATGCTGGGCATGCTGCACCTGCTGCGGCAGAAGGTGCTGCCCCGCATCAACGTGGTGCACTACCACCTCATCGCGACGAAGCTGGCGGATGCGACCGCCGACACAAACTTCATGCTGCGCTCGACGGCTACCCTGGACTTGACGAACCCCTTCACAAAGGAGGAGCACACACGGCTGAAGGCGCTGGCCGCCCCGCTCGGTATGTCGGAGGAGATGGACGAGTTCCGCTGCATCGATGATTTAGTGATGGAGATTGAGGACAACTCCGGTGCCTCCGTGGTGCACAGTCTGCTGCACAACCGCGAAGATTTGGAGGCGACGCTGACGGCCACGCTGGCGCAGCTGCTGCCCGAGGACGTGGAGGCCGAGGCGAGGGGCGAGAAGGCGACGACGTCCGCAGCGACGGAAGGGGAGGAGGAAGCCGGGGAAGAAGAGGAAATGGAGGAGGAGGAGGAAGCGTCCCCACCTCCTCCTCCCGCACCACCAGCAGCTGCGGTCTCACGGAAGGAAAAGGCGGCTGTGGGTTATGGAACGCACGCCGCCTCCGCGCGTCGCACCGTCGCACCGTCCGTGACAGCAGCAGCGGCAGAGGCAGAGGAGGACGACGCGATCGAAGAGGAAGACGAAGATGCGGATGAAGGGACAATGCAGGTTCGCGACGAAGAAGAAGACGTGAAAGCAGCGGAGGACGATGATGAAGAGCTGGAGGTGGTGGAAGAGGAAGAGGACGATGGCGAAGACAGCGTAGCACCGCAGCCCGTTGCACGCGGCCCATCCCGTGGGAAGCAAAGTCAGGTGCATCACCCTGCACCTCCAGTGGCGCCGACAACTCGACGCTCCGCGGCTCGTCCCACAGGTCCCTCCTCCGCGTCAACATCTGCCGTACGGGGAGACCTGGAAGACGAAGAAGCGGAGCTGGAGGAGGCCATCTACTCCCAGTGGCAGAAGCACAAGGCGCAGCAGCAACGGCGACACACTCCTGTTGGTGGTAGCAGCGGTCCTGCCAGAGGCATCAAGGCAACTTCAGCCGCTCGCGCTGCGGTGGCGCCCGAAGTGGACGAAGGCGTGGAAGCGGAAGAGGAAGTGGAAGGGGAGGAAGAGGAGGTGGAAGAGGCGAAGGTGCCTTCACCGCCGGCAGGGGCGCGCATGACACGATCCTCCGCGTACCAGCATCCTCCTCCACCAGCTGCCGCTTCCCCGGCGAATTCTTCACGACGCGGCATCGCCCCTCACACACGCGCGGCGACGACTGCCGTTGAAGAGGAGGAAGAGGAAGTGGAAGAGGAAGAAGAAGTGGAAGAGGAGGTGGAAGAGGAAGAGGAAGAGGAAGAGGAGATGGAAGTGGTGACGGCGCCGGTGCTCCCGCGCAGCCCTGCCGGTCGTCGTGCCGTCCCAGTGGAGGAGGTGGCAGCAGTGACAACCCCACCGCGTCGCTCTCCACCGTCACCACCGCAGCAGCAGCAGCCCATCTCACCGGTTAGTGCGTCCACCGCCGCGCCTGGACGAGCACGCGGACCGCCGTTGGTTCCTCCTCGAGCACCCGCAGCAGCAACACGGAAGACGCTGGAGGAAGACGCCGGGGTAGAGCAGCAGGACGAGGATGTCCCTCCGTCACTTCCGCAAGTGCGCACGCGTCGCGGGGCGGCACGGCGGCACTCCGCCCGCGCTCGCCTGGCGGTGCAGATGGACGAGGAAGCCACCCACCGCGCCAGCGTCAGCGAGGACGGCGGCAGCGAGCCCAACAGCGCGACTGCGGATGACGATCAATGGTTCCGAAAGAAGCCGAAGCGGCGTTACTTCGAGTAAGGGAGGAGCAAGGAGAAGGAGGTGTTGACGATCTGTCTCGCAGGAGACCGACGAGGTGTAACACTAGACGTGCAGGTGGGTGGATGTGTGTTGTCGGAGGTGCGCACCTGGTTTATATACAGCGTTGTGGTAGCGTCAAAGCAAGGTGCGTGTTTTCTGTTGTTTGTATGATTGGGCGAGAGCAGTGTGTTGCATAGAGCTGTAGATTGCTTCCCCTGTACGTGCCTGTGTTGGTGTGTTTGTCGGCAGAGGAGGACGCTGCCGCATTATTGCTGTTGTTGTTCGGTTTGCGTGCTCACGGGTGTCGTACGAAAACTCCGCTTATGTGGAGTGTTTGTGGTGTGTTGGCGTGTGCACTGCTGTGGTTGTTATTCCCGTATGTTGTTGTGTTGCGTACGTTTGCGGACACACAGATACATACATCGTTTCTCATTGCAAATCCAAAAGGGTATTGATATACATATATATATATATATATATATATATATATATATATATATATATATATATATATATATATATATATATATATATATATATATATATATATATATGCGTGTTGACGATGGAATTTACAGGAAAGCGCTCCGTCTGCAGCGGGTTTTTTTTTTTTGCCTGCTGTGCGCCACGCGCAACGGACCGTGGCTGGAGCACCAGTGAGGCCGCTTCTTTACCTGCTCGTATTCATTTTTTTGTTTTCTGATTTCTTTCAGGTACGCGTGCTCTCCTCCTCTTCATGCTCTCTCCCTCTCCCTCACACACACATACACACACACTCTCCCCTTCGCACGATCGTTCCTGTGTGTGATCCGCCGATCTTTGCAGCCTAAATCGGACGTTTTCTACGCCGCATTGAAGCATCACCTCTGTTGTGTGGTTCGTCTCTTCGCACACACACACACACACACACACACACACACGCACACACACGCGCGCAGGCAAGAGCGACACCGCGGCAGAAAATAATACGTGTATAGGTTGTTTTAGTTACGCCTCGGATATCAGCTCTGTTCTCTCTGCAAAGAGAAAGAAAAGAAAAGGAAAACGAAGCGTGCGTGTGCGTCGGTGAATTCATCCCTCCTGTTTTGTTTTCCCTCTCTCTCTCTTCCTTTGCAATTCTCCGTTGTCTATTCTTTCAATTTGTGATTGCTGCATCGTCGCATTGCTGTGGGTGCGTGTTGGGACTAGTGTATATAAATATATTCCTCCTTCGCTGGCTCGTTGTCCGCACGAACTTCCTTCTCCCCGACCCGGAGTCGTGTAATACAGAAAACTGTGGCAACAGAAGAAGTAAAACACACGGGGATTTATATTGAGAAAATGGGCAAGGCGGATCAGAAGAAGAAGGAGAAAATTGTCGAGGACAAGACCTTCGGCCTCAAGAACAAGAACCGCAGCGCGAAGGTGCAGGCCTTTGTGCAGCAGGTCCGCCAAAGCGTCGACCAGCGCAGCCCGCAGGCCCGCAAGTCGCAGGCCGAGTTGGAAGCGCGCCGCTCCGCAAAGGAGGCGAAGCAGGCACGCGAGGCCGAGCTGGCGAAGCTGTTCAACGACGTCGACACGCAGCAGCGCAAGAAGCGAGAAGAGGCGGCGGCGGCAGCCGGTGGGGACGGCGATGACCAGCTCATGTGCAACCCGGAGGACTACCTCTTCCGTCCAGAGGACTTCGATGAGGTGGATCAGGACGAGACGCGGCTGGAGGAGAAGCTCGAGGCCGAGCGCGAGAAGCTGAAGGAGCGCACCGACCTGACCCCTGTCACGGAGGAGACCTTCCAGGCGTGGAAGCAGCGGAAGCGTGAGGAGGCGGCGGCGGCGGAGGCGGCACGTGTGCGGAAGGCGAAGGCGGGCGAGGGCAAGATGCGTGGGTGGGACCTGTGGCAGATGGACAAGGACCTCTTTGTGGATGACGAGGAGGCCGATGAGTTCTACGAGCGTGAGGAGCAGGACGATGCGGTCGCCGCGGAGGAGGAAGAAGAGGCGGCGTATGACCTTTCGTAGCAGCTTTTTTTTTTCCCCACTGTGCTTGTCTTGTTTAAAATATACATATAAAGGAGTGAACGCGGGATGTGCTTCTTTCGTTTGAGGGAGGCGCTCGCAGGCTGTCTGAGCACGGAAGTAAAGGAAAGCAGCAACAGCGATGGGTGATGAGAGTGCATCACAGGCCGCTACTCTGGTGTGGTGTGTCTATTATTATTATTGTTACTATTAATTATTGCTAAACTCCCTCGCCTGTTTTGCTGCGTCCTGCTGCTGCTGGTGCTTCCTCCTCCGCCTTTCTTTTCTTTCTCTCTGGGTGTTTCGGCATTCCAGCGATTTCTTTTCCCCTTTCTTCTCTTTTTCACTCCTATGTGAATGCTGAAGATGGAATTTAACGCACGTGTAGGTCTGTGTGTAGTCGTCCAGAGTCACGAGCGAGAGTGCGGTGGGTGGGTGTTGTGCCTTTTCATTGGTCTGTTTGTCAGTCTGTGTCCGTCGGTGTTTGAATTCTGTAAAGGGTAGTGCGTTATGGCTTCGAGTATTAAAAGAAAAAGGAAACGACGAATCAGGTCGCTCTGTTGAAGGTTTTTTGAAGGAATTTTCTTTTGTCAGCGGAGACGAAACAATCGTGGAGGAGGGAGCAGCGAAAGTACCAGATCAATTTTGCTGCACGGCAACAAGGAAAAGAGGAAATGCGTACACCACTGGTGTGTGTGTGTGTGTTGTTTCACGTCCTCTTCATAGCGCTGGACTCTTCTCTTCTCACGTCTTCTCCATCTCGCCCTTTTTTGTGACCTCTCACACTGCACGGCGCACCAACGTTGTATGCATTCCCTTCGCCGAACTCTGCACACGGTTTTCGCTCCGTGGGTAGCCTTACACGTTGATTGACATTGCTATTGCCGTTGAGATCCCTTCTGTTTTTTGTTTGTTTTCGCTGTCGTGCGCTATTATTTTCGCCCTTACAGGTTAGGCTTAATCTTCCGTGTACTTGCTTTTGCTGTTGTCTGCCTCGGAGCACGCCGACGCACACGCACACGCGCATCGACAGCGATTACGGTGGTTTCGGCTGCGTCCCTTTGCTTTCCCTGGGGCCATAAATAGTAGGACTGTTGTTGTTTTCGGTGGGTCCTTCCTAAATATATATTTATAAACTCAACTTCTATTTTTAAAGAGAATCTAAACATGAAACTCCGTTGCTTTCTCCTGCGGTACTACCCGCCCGGGATCACCCTCGAGTATGAGACCTCGGCTGGTCAGGTTGGCCAGAAGACGATCGACCTGCTTCTCCTTACCCCAAGCACGTCGTTAGAGCCGTTAGCGGACAAGATTGTGGCGAGCGAGCCGCTGCTGGGCCACAAGTACCGCGACCAAATCCTCACGTATCTGCAGCGCCTCGTGGAGAAGCTGGTCGCCGGCAACCGGCCGAATCAAACCTTCACGCTCTTCAAGAGCCTGCGGGCGCACATGCTGCCGCTGACGAACTGCGCCTTCAACAAGAACGGCACGAAGTTTGTGACGGGCTCGTACGACCGCACCTGCAAGGTGTGGGAGACGGCGACGGGCAACGAGCTCGTCTCGCTGGAAGGGCATCGCAACGTGGTGTACTGCGTGGGCTTCAACAACCCGTATGGTAACCGCGTCGCCACCGGCAGCTTCGACAAGACGTGTAAGATCTGGGACGCGGAGTCAGGGCAGTGCTTCCACACCCTCACCGGGCACGTCACGGAAATCGTCTGCATGTCCTTCAACCCCCAAAGCACACTGATCGGGACCGGCTCAATGGACAACACCGCTAAGGTGTGGGACGTGGAGACGGGGCAGGAGCTGCACACCTTGATGAGCCACACGGCGGAGATCGTCGCCATGAACTTTAACACCTACGGCGACCTCATCGTGACAGGCTCCTTCGACCACACGGCGAAGTTGTGGGACGTGCGCACCGGCAGCGTCGTGCACACGCTGCGCGAGCACCGCGGCGAGATATCGTCCGTGCAGTTCAACTTCGCCTCTAATTTAGTCGTCACGGGCAGCATTGACCGCACGTGTAAGCTGTGGGATGTCGCGTCGGGGCACGCCGTGTCCACGCTGCGCGGCCACAGCGACGAGGTGCTCGATGTGGCGTTCAGCGTTTCAGGCAACATGGTCGCCAGCGCGAGCGCCGACACCACGGCGCGCGTCTACAACACCTCGACGTGCCACTGCGTGGCCAGCCTGAACGACCACGAGGGCGAGATCTCAAAGCTGGAGTTCAACCCGCAGGGCACGAAGATCATCACGGCCTCGGGGGACAAGCGGTGTAATATTTGGAGCGTGGAGACGGGACAGGTGCTGCAGTCGCTGGTCGGGCACACGGACGAGATCTTCTCCTGCTCGTTTAATTATGAAGGAGATACAATCCTGACGGGGAGCAAGGACAACACCTGCCGTATCTGGAAGAGCTAGGAAGCGAGGAAAGAAAAAGAAGAGGTGCACAAGAACAACAAGCGTGTCCATTACCGTTAGCGAAGGAGAAGATATAAATATATCTTTGCTGTTTTTTGTTTTGCTAGCGCAATGCAACGACGATGGCGATATGTTGAGACGCCGCCCTCCAAAGCTGCCCGCGGGGGGCGCGCGTAGTGCGTGTTTCTTCTTCCACCATGTTCTTTGTGTGTTTGTTTGTTTCTTCGTTCTCCTCCTCCTCCGTCATCGTCGCAGCGCCATCGACGGCTGCGTGCAACGGGAGAAGAAGAAAGGGAAAAGCATAGTTGATTATTATTACTATTTGTGTGCTTTCCTCGCTGTCACACAAGCTGGTGTGTGTGTGTGTGTTGGATGGTGGTTGGTCATGTTGACGTTGATGATGTGCGTTGAAGCTGCTGACTGAGTTTCTCTTTTGTATCCCTCTATTAATACCTTTTCTTTCCTCTTTATTATCATTGTTTTTCCACGACCCATTTCTTTCTTTCATGTTTTTTTTTTTCTCTTAGTTTTTGTATAATCCCCGGATGTGTATTAGCAACTATCGGCCCTGAATTCCGACGTAGGTGTTCGCGTCGCTCTCTCTATCGCTCGTGAAGAGAAGTAGGGGGAGGCCGATTTGTGTGTTTGTGCGGCTTCATGTGGGTGTGCTGCGCTCTTGGGAAGGTGGAAGAGGAGGTGACGGAGCCAAACAGGGCGGAAGGTGGGGAGGCGCACTGGGAGGCCAGAAGGCAGCTGTTGTTGTTGTTTGGGTTTTTCTCTAGAGAGATGCGTTACCACATGTTCGGTTTACACCTGTGTTGACGCCACAGCGTCTTCACACGACTTTATGAGTGAGGTCCCGATGGAAGCTACCTAACACAAACAAAAAGAACTGGTATTCGATAAAAGGATATGTATAGATACGAAGAAGACCGTTGTGGCAGCTCTTTGTCGAACCCTCTCGTGTCGATGGCAACGGCGATGAGGACGAAGAAGCTGATGCGTGCGCCGTGTGTCGCGCAGCGTCAACGGACCTTCAACTCCTTCTCTTTCGATTTCTCTCTTTCTCACTTTCCTTTTGTTATCTCCCTCTCCTTATTATCATGTATTTGTTGTTGTTGTTTTCGAAAGCAAACATCTCGCACTACGTGTCGCTTTACGTAGCGGTGCGTGGAGGTACATTTGCCTCTGTTTGTATTTTGTTGTTTTACACGCGCATTTCCTCATCAAAGCAGCCCCCTCTCTCTCTCTCTCTCTCTCATCCACACACCTCCTTCCATTTCCTTTCCCCACCGCATAACTCGCCATTTCTCGTTGTTGTCTGTGTGCGTGTGTGTGCGGCCACCGCTGACTTCTCTCCCACCCGCTCGCCCGATTTGCCTCAGCTTTTTCTCAACGTTTTTTGTTGTTTGGTGTCCCTCCCCTCTTCTTCTTCGCGAGCTATTCTTTCTTACCTTTGCCAACCATCTCTGCAACACACACCTATCCGGATATATATATATATTGTTTCTCTCTTTCTACAAGTATCGGCGTTTCTCCCCTCTCGCACGTGCACCGCATCTCAAAACAAAGGAGAGGTGTGGCAACATCAAAACAATAATAATCTTCTTTATTCATTTCTTTATTTGTATATATATCCGGCGAGCGCCGCCGCACACACAGGGTGTAAATGCTCCGACTACGTCTCTCCCCCGCACCGCAGCAGCTGGTGCCTCTTCGGCACTTCGCGTACTGCTCCTCTGCATGGGGAGCCTTCACCTCCGCCTCCCTCAGCCGCTACTTCCACTGCACCTTAAAAGAAACACTGCAGGGCGAAAGTGAGGGCGTGAGTGCGGTGGCGCCGTCGCCGTCGGCGTCGTTGTCGTCTTCCGCGGCGCGGCACGGAAACGCAGACGCGGGCACGGTCGTCTCAACACGTGCATCACCGCAGGCAAAAGCACCTTCAGCGCTGCATTACTCATTAGAGCTGTCCCTCCCGCACCTGCCGCACCGCAGTCCCTTCACCAATGGAAGTCTGAAGGACACTGGGCGTGTGGGGACTGCGGCACGCAACAGCGAGCTCATGGAGGTGCTGCTGGCACCCTTGAAGGGTACTGCGGAGGTCGCCTCACGAGAGGCGGCGCAAACACAGCTGTTGCATCCCCGCTGGAGCGCCTTCCTGCGGCTGTGCGATGACGTCGTCGCCGCCGCGGCCGCACGTCGTGCTACGCCGTCTGCACCCTCCTGCCTGATGGGCGTGACTATCCCTTGCAAGGAGCCGTACTTTTGCGCTGCCGAGCCGGTCCGCAAAGAAGAGAGGAATGCAGCAGCCGCAGCAACGACCACCACCCCCACCGCGTCCCCCCTCTCCACCATCCAGGCGGCGATCCTACTCTTTCATCAGCACTGGCGCGTGCCCGTGATGCTGGCGCTCAACACCACGGTGGCGAACACACATGCGGTGCAGCGCCACACGGGCGACGAGTCAGACGCGGCCGGGGAGGCCGATGCAGCCGGTGCGTCCACGTCGGGTGTGGAGGCGGTGGTGCATGACTTCGTGTCGCACCTGCACGGTCGCCGGATGTTCCTCGTACGCGGCGACTCCCCCGCCACGCGGTACGGCGCTGCTCGTCGTGGCTCGTCTGCGGTCGCGTCGGAGCTACACACCGCCGGCGATCTGATTCGTTGTGTCAGCAGTGCGATCAAGCGCCTCGCTCTCCCGGTGTCGTTGTCGTCGTCGTCGGCATCGCAGACCGGCGAGACCGCCACATCGGTGCAGATTGCAGTGGCCGGCTACGCGCAAGGGCACCCGCTGGACCGGAGGTGGGCCGCCTCCCCCGCCGCCGCTGCCGCCGCCACGACGGCAAACGCCGCGTTCTTCCACAACTTCGAGCGCGACTTTAACGCTGCCGACGGCCTCTTTGAGCGGATCGTGCTGTCGCACGTGGCGCCGTCGAGGTCAACGTCGACGAGCACAACAGCAGCGAACGGTGGTGCCACCGCAGCTCTGCTGCCCGCCGTGCATCATCTCTTTCACACCCTGGGCCGTCTACACGCCGTTCGACAGCTGTGGCTGACCCCTTCGCACTACTCCGCCGAGGCACGTGCGGCCTGCACGCGGCAGCTGATCGAAGAGAAGGTGTTGTTGTGGAAAGGGTCGGAGGCGCTGAATGGTGGCAGCGGTGGCGGTGGTGGTGCTCGTGTGATTGTGACGCAGATGCTGACCTCTGCGGATGAATTTGCGGGCTACGTCGACGACGTGCAGCGTGCGTTGCGGATGGCGTCTCCTTCCTCGCCGTCCTCATCCCCCATTTCTGTAACCGTCATCCCCGGTATTCTCCTGCCGCACCCCACCGACGCACACGTTCTGCTGCGCGCGCTCTACTACGCAAAGGTGATCCCGAGCGTGCGGATGCAGCGGGCACTGGAGACGTACCGCACCGACTTGAAAGGCGTGTGGCGGAGCATCGCGACACACCGCGGCACCACGGAAGACAACAACAAGGAAGGGGCGACCGCCGCCACCACCGCAACGGCAGCAACAGCACAAGTGTCCTACCCCCAGGATGTGGCGAACGGCTACATGTCCACCTGGCCCGGCGCCGTCGTGGTACGCAGCGACGCAGACGTGGCGGCGATGGAGGCCTTTGTGGACGACGCCCACCGTCGTGCCGGTGCCCGCTTTGCCGCGGCCTGGATGGCAGAAACGGTGGACCTGTTAACGGACTTGCAGCAGCGCATCGGCGGTGCGCACGTGCCGGTGCATTTCTTTACTATGTTCAACGACGCCGTCGATGTGCGGCTGGCGCAGCTGCTGGATGCCTATGCGGCGGCGCAGCAGCAGCAGCAACAGAAGGCGACGTTCTGCCTGTGTAGAAGAGAGAAGGAAAGCAAAGCGGCCTCTGACGCTGCTGAAGCCACATCCTAAGAAGGCGTTTCTCCACTGTAAAATAATGAAAATGATGGCACCGCCACCTCTTGCTGTTGTTGCTGTTATGGATGTTGATTTCTTCTTCTCTTCCCCTCTTGCTTTGAGTGTTGTTGTTTTTGGTCTCGTTTTCATTTTTGCAAGCGGGCGTCGGGGTCGTGTGGTGGTGCGCGCGGCTCACACGCCACCGCACACGCACACGCACCCCGTCCCTCTCTTCCTTTCTCATTTATTCATTTACTACCTATTTTGGTGCTTCAAACAGTGTCTTTTCCTTGAGCTTATATAGGCATACTACAGTGTACTTCAACCGTTCAAGAAAAAGAGAACGTACGGCAACACAACGGGTGGCAAGAGGTGCTCCTCCGCAGCGCGTTGCCGCAGTAGGCAACAGGGAAACAGCTCTGGGTAACGAGCAATAAAACGGAGTTCGCCTTCCGCCGGTTTTTCATAAGCTTCTTTCCCTCTTTCCCTCTTTGTAATTCAGAGTTTTTCACGGTAACAACTTTGTTGTTGATCTTATCTATTCTATTTCTTTCCGACGACGAACTTCTCTTCCTCGTTTTTCGCCCTTTTCGCTGCTCTGCATGCACCCGCGCGACACTCGTCGCAGCGGACGACACATCTCTCTTGACATCACCGTTCACGACCACTGTCTTATGCGTAATAAGTATTGGTGTTACTATTACGGCTGCTGCAACGGATCGCTCAGCATATAGCCTTCATCACAACTTCTTTTTTTTTTTACTTTGTCCAACGCTGTTCATCCCCCCTCCCTCTCCCCTCTCTATCTAGCCATCTATCGAAATACATATGTGAATATGCAGGCATCCACGCGTGGCAGCGCCTCCTCCGCCTCTGTGGCGGGAGCCAACGGCAGCTCCCTATGGCGCCGCCTACAAGCCTTGCAGCCTACGCTTGACCTCACCACGGCCCACATCCTCCACCCCACTCCTACACCCTCTTCGATGACATACAGCTTTGTCGTCGTGCCCCCGCCAGTCCCGGCCGCCACGTCGACCTTCGAGCGGCACGTCGCGTCGTTGTTGTCTCACGTACCGCATCCGGCATTCATGACGTGCACGAGCTACAGTCCGTACTTCAGCAGCGCAGCAGCAGCGGCGGCGGCGGCAGCGGGCTCGATACACCCCGCCGACGCGTCGGACGTTGCGGAGGTCTCGGCGACGCAGCAAGCCCTTGCATTCTTGAACGCGCAGTTACCGGTTGATGCGGGGCTTGTACTGACGATCACCGCCACGCGAACCACCACCACACCGAATGCAGCGGACGAGTACACGCGCCACCTCGTAAGAACCGGCGGCGGCGGCGGGCCCCCCTCCACGTTGACCGGGGCCTCAGAAGATGGCATTCGAGCTGTGATGCGCGACTTCACGCATCGCACCGTGACCTTGTCTCCCACCAACGCCACGACCGCCCCGGCGAGTTGTCGCAATGCGGGTCTGATGGTGCTGCGTGGCGACGATGGTGGTTACACCCGTCGTCGGCATCCGGCGGCGGCGACGGCGGCGGCGCACGGCAGCGGCGCGCAGCAACTCCCCTTGTTTTACCCCACCACCGCTGCCTCTGCTGATGCTGACTCCGCCTTCTCCCATTTGCCGAACCCGTACTCGACGTTTGCCGATGGTGCGGCGCTGCTGCGCTTTGTGGTCAGCGAGCAGGCGGCACCACCCGGTGATGCCACCGTAGCGGATCTGTGCCTCTTTACAGGTGGCTATGCGCAGGGCCACGTGCTGGATCGGGTGTGGGACGACACGGAGGCGGCACCGAAGGCGAGAGGCGACGTCTCCGCGCAGCACGCGAGCACCACCGGCGTGCCGCTGTCGCATCAAACGGATTCCTCCTTGGCATTTCTGGCGCGACTGGAGAAGCTGTACGCAGACACGGAAGCGACGCTGCGCTTGGCGCAGGGGCCACCGCACGCCCCGCATGCAGCCACCGTGGAAACCTGCCGGGCGATTGCAGACGCCCTTCTCGTCCGACTCGACGCCGTTCGACAGCTGTGGCTGACCCCTTCGCACTACTCCGCCGAGGCACGTGCGGCCTGCACGCGGCAGCTGATCGAAGAGAAGGTGTTGTTGTGGAAAGGGTCGGAGGCGCTGAATGGTGGCAGCGGTGGCGGTGGTGGTGCTCGTGTGATTGTGACGCAGATGCTGACCTCTGCGGATGAATTTGCGGGCTACGTCGACGACGTGCAGCGTGCGTTGCACGACGTCATTTGCAATGGAAAGAGCGCGAGACAAGAGGACGGCGCGGCGTTGGTGCTGGTGCCGGGATTGATGGCCCCCCTCCGCGGCGAGCAGTTCGTGCGCGCCACGCTGCTGCTGAAGGTGATTCCGAGCGCGCCGGTGCGGGACGCGTTAGACGTCTACGAGGCGGCGCTCAAGTCTGCGTGCTCTCATCTGGACGACGCGTCGGACCGCGTTGCACCCGACGCGGAAAGCGCTGCTGTGCGCCTTTTCCAGCAGGCGAAAGAGGCAGCAGAGGTGGCGTTTCAGCGCGCCGTGGAGGACTTCACGGTGGCGGTGGCGCGCAGCCTCTACGCGCGTGGCTACACGCATGTCAACTTCTCCGCCTTCCAGTACGGGTGCGGAGAGGCGGTGGGTCGGGTAGTGGCGAGGTTGCCTCATTGAGCAGCTCCCCGCGTGGCGGCGTTGTTCCTCTTCTCGCCCCCTCACATAATGCGTGCGTTGATGATGAGGGAACGTTCTTTGTCCCTCCTCTCCTCTTCTGCATGTACACGGTCATGTATCGTCCGTTGCAAGAATGAGGTCTATTTGGTTTTCTTCGGTTTTACTGGTGCGATGTGTAAGTGAATGCACCCCTTCAACTGTGCAGAGGGAAAGAAAAACAAGAGAGAGAGAGAGAAAAGGCCAACAACTGAACGTGTTGTTGACGACGCCTCTCGGATTGTGTGACCGCGCGTGTGCATTTGTGCCTTGCCTTTTGCGGACACCGCGTAAACGTACACAACAACAACAACAAAGGGGAAAAGAATGGGCGCGTCGATACCCCTCTCGGCTCCCTTATCCTCTCCTCTGCTACTCCCCTTTTCTTCTACATCTTTTTGGGTGTAAAAACGAACTTCTTCGTCTCCTTGGTGATGATGATGATGGAAACGGTTAAACACTCTGGCGAAGACCGTTCTTTTTATTTTCTTCCATATCTAAACTTAGTAATACAACTCAAATTAAGCCCCTGTTATCTCCGTTGTCGCACTGCAGCGTCTTCGCGTGTTTCCCTCGTGTGTGTATTTTTTTTTTCCCTTGTTCTCTGGTACTCGCACGACTCTTCTTACTCACCTCTCGAGCGCACACGCACGCACGCGGGATAACCTCTCCTCGCCTTTCGTCACAGTATCGTCTTCTACTTGTTGTCTTGACCTCCTGGTCGTTCTGCCTGGACACCCTCCCTCACCTGTGACGTCTACACCCTCTTGTAGATAGATCGTCACAGCTAAATACATATATATATATACATACCCACCAAAGAAGGAAAGAAGAGGGAGGCAGAAAACGGAAGCGTCTACGTCGTTTACGGCTAACGCAGCTCGCTCCTTCTCTTCTATTATTCTTCTTGTGTGTGTGAGTGTGTGTGTGTGGATATGTGAACTCGAAAAAAGAAGTACATATTAGTATATATATCTAGTAGATTATCCCTAACTGTCTCACCTTTAATATATATATGTATATATATATATAGTCTTGTTGATTTATTCAAAAGTACTCCAAAAGGAAAGAAGAGTATAACACTTAGCAGTATTCGAGGAGGAAGTGGTACTACGGTAACACCTCTGCGCCTTCTTCTTCTTTTCGCTCTCTCCTCGCGTCGCCTTTTCTTCTTAATTTCAATTTTGTTTGTTTGTTTCTGTTTGATCGTTTTAATTGCGTTTTCTCTTAGGCTTCTCTTTCTTCTTTATTACTTCGCACACAACAACTTCTTTTGTTCGCTTCCCATATCTTTTTATTATTATTATTACTTTGTTGTTGATCCGTTTGTTTGTTTTACTTCTTCTTTGGTTGGTTGCTTCAGCGCTTCTTCAACTTAAAAATTATTTCTTCTTGGAGACCTTCATCATCATTTTGTCGTCGGCGTTTCGCTTGTTGTTTTTGTTGTTGTTGTTTTGTTTTCGCACGATCCATCGCAGCGCAGCCGCACCCTTTCCTCTTCCTTTCCCTCTTCCTTTATCCTCCCACGTCTCCACATCGTGTTGGACGCCTTACTGGCTGCTCTTCAAGTTTTTCCCACATATTTTGTTGTGGTGGTTTACGATTCTTCGAGTGCATTTTTCCTGGAGGGGCAGCAGCGGTACAGCGTGTCGATTCTCACCTCTCCTTATCTTCTTTTCTTTGTCTTGTTGCTCTTCTTCCTCACCTACCCGCGCCACCTGCCGCCCCCCACACACACATAGCCTTTCTTTCTTCTTTCCTTTTTTCTTCTTTTCTCACTCTTCCGTTGTTTACTAACTGGTACCTCTTTTCACTGAAGGAGGCAAATAAAAAAAACCCGAAGGGATTCGTCCGCTGTCCATCATTCGGCAGCATTGACGGCGTTGGATTGTTCTTGTCAGAGGACGCTCTCCCTCCTCTCCTTCTTGATTTTTTTCTTCCTCTTTGCATCTTCATTCCTTTTGTTTGTATTACGACTACTACTCTCACCTCACTGCGGCCACTCATCACCGACTTACTTAAAAGGGAAATTTGAAAAAGGAGAAAAGAGAGGAGCGCTCGCTGCCGTCACGCAAGTTACACACTTTTTTTTTAATACACATTGCTAACGAACTGGACGCTTGTCGTTACTTCCCACTCTTCTGGGCTTTCTTTTCCCTTTTCGCTTTTCTCTTCTTCCTTCTGTGCACTTCTCCGTATTCGCGTAACAGACTATCTAGCGTCTGCAGAGAGAAGATCTGATAGCGGTTGAAAAAGGCGGGAAAAGATTTTTTTAAAGGAAATCGTCGTCAACGACTCGATACAGGAAACCCAAAATCAAGAAAAAGAGAAAGAAAGAACGGTGGACAGAGTTTCTTTTGATTGTTTTCTTCTCTTGTGGGTGTGAGTGTGAGTGTGAGTGTTTTGTAATCTTCTCCGTTTCTCTACACAAGCGCGCTCACCACTCGTGGCGTACTTACCGATTTTTTCCCCTATTACTATTACCTCTCTTCACAAACTGTGTACGTTACTTCATCTTCTGCCGTACGTGAGCTCGGACAAACGGAGCGCGCGCAGTGCAGAGAGAGAGTTGTGTGCGCGGTTGCCAACGCAACGTACGTCATTCAAGGACTCTATTATTATTATTTAAAAAAAAAAACTTAATTCATCAAGACGTTGTCTTTCTTCTCTCTATCTTTTCTTTTCTTTTTTGGATATATTTTCGCATACTTTGCTTTCCACTTAAAGAGCGGTGATATACGCCGTTTTATCTCGTACCATTCAGTTCTTCTTTGCCCTTTTTGTGTGTTTATTTGTCTTCTATCGCTTCTGTACTGTCATTTATTATTTTTGGTGTTGTTGCTGTGTTTTTTTTGTTGGTTTGTTTCCTGTTTGGGGGGCTTCTCATTTGAATACTATTTTCTCCAATTTTTTCTGTTTCTTCTCCACCTTCTTGTAAAACCCCGAATTTCTCAGTGGGCGCACCCCTAACTACTTATTCTCCTTCTTTAAATACAAAGACGAAGAACGGTTTTATTTTGTGTGGGTTTTTTTGCATTCCTTTGCTGTTTTTTCCCCGTACAGTTGCGTAGAGGAGGAAGGGAGGAGGACACCGCCACCGCAGCACCAATAACATCTCCCTTTCTTTTGTTCTTGCGTTGATTTGTTCCTTCTCGCCAACAACCGTTTTGCTCCAACGCTGCGCTTCTGCGGCCTCTTCTTTCGTTCCTACTTTTTTTTCCGCAGATTAAATATAATAACAATAACAATAATAATAGTACTAATACTCGTAACGGAACTTCCCTCGAATTCTCTTCTTGAATCCGAGTTGCTGTGGCGCACGGTCTCTCGCACCACCGCAACAGACGGAAGAGAGAGAGCGCGTGGAAAACTCCCTTGGGCGCAATTTTTCCTCAAGGAGCAAACCAAAAAGAAAAGGGAAAGGGAAAAAGAAAAACGACAGATAATTCCTTTGTTTTGCTTCTTCTTCATAAAAAAAAAAACTTCGAATAGCGCTGCCTTTGTGTGTGTCTGTGTGTGTGTGTGTGCATTACTCGTTTTCCTGTGTGAGTGTTTTTTCTTGGCCCTCCGTGTGTTCGTATCGGCCGGATTATTCTGCTTCTTTTTTCTTTTCAAACGGTTTCAGGGATCCCCTCTGGTGCACGAAGGCTGCATCAGAGCTCCTGACAACGCAGACCACTGTGTTGTCGTGTGTTTGCGTGTGTGTGTGTGTGGAGCTACGGCACCGTTTTGCATTCGAAGAGAGAGAACATACTTAAAAAAGAGACAGCAAACAGAAAAGACCGCAGAGTGGAGACTTTATCGGGCGATTAAACACCCTTTTTTCTCTTGTTCGTCGCATTGACAGTGCTACTTTTCGTGTGTCGGTGTGTGTGTGTTTCTCTCCTGATATCAGCGCTGTTGATCATCACGAAATAGTCACGTCTCCCCGAATTCGAGCTCTTTGTGTGTTTTGTGGGTCCTATCGTGTCTGCGCTTTCCTTTTTTGTTGTTTGTGCTGACTGTTTTTTTTTATTTATTTTACTTTTCTTTTTAACTAGCTCCTCTCTCTCTCTCCACCTCTCTGACCCGCCCAACCCCCTCTTCACTGTTTCTTGTGTTTCTCACCCCGCTGCTTCACTCCCGGCTCTCGTTGCGGCCAGCGGACACCTTCACACACACGCGCCTTACACAACACGATCGTGTGTTTGGTTTTGCTTTGGGGTTTCTTCTTTTTTTTTCTCGCCTCCCCGCGTGCGTTTGCGGAATATCTTTTGTTTTATTCTTTCTCTCTCTCCTCGTATCGTTCGGTCCGTTGATCCTGACCTGCGTCGTTGTGGTAGGAAGGCCACCATCAACATCCGCACCGGCAACCACGCCCGCACGTACGCACCGACCTTGCGGCACAGACAGACAGAAAAGGAGGAGCTGAGACGTCTCCGGGGGTTTAAAAAAAGATCAGAGGCAGAAGACCAGTAAAACAGGAAAAGGTCAGTTGGAGTAACATAAACATATTTTTCGTTTTCACTTTTTTGGCTGACCACCGGACTCTCGCGCGCGCGTCAGCTTTTGGGGTGTGTTTTGTGTCTGTTCCGGGTTTTTCCCCTCTTTGCATGAGTCACCCTCTTCTATCCGACCTAGCACGGCGCATCAGCCTCCACCCGGGCTGTCGGGTTGAACTTCGCCACCACTGGCCCGCCCCACACTACCACAAAACACCGCAGGATGTAGCCGAGGAAGCGGAGGAGGTGCAGCGGCGCCAAGCCGCCAGGGCCTCCGCCTCTACCTCCGCCTCTGCCCCCTCCCCCCTCCACACCACGGCCGCAGCAGCAGCGGCAGCGGCAATGGCGTCGGGTGCCAACGCAGGGGAGCCCTTCAACCCCTTCGATCATTTTCGGGTCCGCAGAAGCCCCGTCGCGGCGCGGAAGTCATCACGGCATCACAAAAACCATGGCGGTAGCGATGCGCACCACACGAAGGGGACCTCCACGAATCGCCCCTCTGAACCTTTCAGCGACGCTTCGTTGGCACCCGCTGCGGCGGAGGCGAGGAGGCGTAGTCGCACTGGCAGCGGCAGCGGCCAATGCGCGGCGACGACAGCGTCCTCTGCGACAAAGAAGAAGAAGCGAAAAAAAGGTGTTGCCGCGACGGAGGTGTGCAACCCAACCTCCATGTCCACGACGACGCTTCCCCCATCACCGCTCGTGGCGTCTGCGGCGGCGCCCTCTGCGGTGCTGGCCACGACCACCACCACCTCCTCCTCTGGCTCCCCGCTGTCACAACAGCACGGTGGGCAGGGAGGCAAGAGTGGCCAATCACCGTGCAGCACCAGCCATCATAACAGCAACGGCGCCCCCTCATCCATTAAGAAACGAACAGCGAAGGAAGCGCACGAGGAAGGACTCCACGGCACACCAGCATCAACAAAAGCATTGAATAGGAAGAAGAAGCTCGATGCATCGAAGCCAGCTCAAAGCAGTTCAGCGAATCGCAGTAGTAGTAGTAGTAGCAGCAGCAGCTGTGTCAATGACGCCCATTCTTCTCGGACCAGCAGCAGCAACAGCAACGGCAGCGGCGACGGCTACCGCGACACCCGCTGTGACAGCGATCTAGACAGCGATGAACTCGTTCCCTGTCGCGACCCTCTCCACGTACGCCTCCCTCGCAATCCGGTCCACCGAGCCACCACGAGCGGCGTTCCCCGCCCCTTGCACGTCACGGTGCGCTGGAGCGGTGTGCTGCAGCGCAGACGGCGATACAACCGGCAACTGCGGAAACGACTGGAGGTGCAGGAGGGGATGACCGCGTTGCCGCTGCGGCAGGCCACTGTGTCGTCTTCCTGTGAGGAAGCCGCGGGGTCCGAAGCGTCTCCGACCCCCGGCGATCCGCATCCACACACGTCAAGCACCGCATGCAAGCTGCACTTCTCTGCTCGACGTACCAGCAGAGGTGAGACGGGCGGGGAGGGCGAGGAAGGAGGGGCAGAGGACGACAACCTCGACAGCCCCGACCAGCGCGGCCGCGGCAACGATGAAAGGATGCAGGACGATGCGGCAACCGCCACGGCGCCCGCTTTGCAGCCGCCCAGCACCGTCGATGCGGTGTCCCCGTCTGGCCGCGATGGGACGAGTGTCGAAGCTCGTCCACATCAAGAGCATCCGCAGCAGCGATCCGCAACGTCGCAACTCTCGCAAAAAGCTTCGGATGGGCACCGAGATGCAAAAACCGGACTCGGAGCGGGCGGCACGCGCAGCAGGGCCGACGCCCACGTTGGCACCCACGCACCACCGCCACGCGCCGCGGATGACGAAGAATCGTCCTACACAACCTATACCGTACCGACTACTGCCGCGGCACAACAACAACAGCAGCAGTACTACGCCCGTCAGCCCCCTTGCAAGTCGATGACGATGTTCTCGCAGAGCACGGGCACCGTCCCGGGGCGCACCTCCGTCCTGGGCATGACCTACTCCGATCTCCCTACCCCGTCCAGCTCCGCCGACCCCTGCGGCGCCACGTCCTCGCAGCGCGGCCACCGCCGTCGGCACAACTCCCTCCTTATCATCCGCTCGCCCCCGCAGGACAGCAACTCGGAGACGATCATGACCGCCGCCGGGGGGACGTGCTATTACTACTCCCGCCCGGGCGTGTACAGCCGTGTGAACACCGGCAGCGGCAGCACCAACCTCCGCGTCACCTACGTCACGAACAACAACAACGGCAGCAGCAGTATCAACACCGGCACGGCGGAAGGGGCAGCCAACTCGCAACAGCAGCAGCAACAGCCTCTGCCGCGGTTGCGTGGGCTAGCGCACGTCCCACGACCCCGCGCCCTCACCATCAGCGCACAGGGCTACACGGAGATGGGCAGCCACGGCCAGATCCGCTCCAGCTCCGGCAGTCCGACCACTGTCGTGGTGCCGGACAGCAGCACGTACGGCGGCGTGCCCGGCGCGAACTTCTCCGCGACCACGCCGCCTGGCTCCCTCCCGTCTACCCCGCTTCAGATCTCGCCTGGACAGGGTGTCTCCGTGTACACGCACAACACCAACAGCAGCAACAACGTGAGTAGCGCAGCGGGTGTGCGCGGTGCCGCCCCTACCGTAGTCTCACCCGCCGGTCGGCAGTCACCGCCGCCGCTGACGATGAAGACGGTGATGCGGCAGCGTCGCCGCTCCTCCCTTCTGCGGCAACAGCAGCTGCAGCAACGAGCACAGCAGCAGCGGCAGCAGAAACAGGAGTCGCCCTTCCTCAGCTTCTTTCCCTCGCCAGAGGCCGTCGCAGCCCACATGCTGGCGAAGAAGTCGTCCAGCACCACCACCGGAGGACGGGTAACACCGCCGCAGCAGCCGCGGGCGCAATCCACGGCCGCCTCCTCCACGGCAGGCACCGTCGCTTTCAGCCCTTTGAACGTTCACGTTGCGGCCAACACGCATTCCTCTTCTCCATCACCGCGGCCCTCGCGCGGGCCGCTGTCGGTCGACGTGTTGGAAGGAAGTCCACTGCCCTGCGATTCCGTGCAGCACGACAAGTCCAGCCCACCCTCCGAGGGGAATGCGGATCGGTCGCGGCTGACGGACCCGCTCAGCGCACGGCTGACCAAATCCTACTCTAACGTGACCTTGCATGAGGACCCGATGTTGCTCAGCGGCCCGGCGGTACACAACTACCTCGCCATGCACCCCCAGCGCGACCGCTCGTGGCTCTCCACGCTGGACCGCAGCAGCAGCCTGCAGCTGATGCGCGTCTCGCAGCCCTACACCTCCCACCCGGATGTCCCGTCCCTCGCTCCGTACGGCGCGACGGGGGGTCGGGGTGGGAGTCCCTCCGCCACGGCCAACGTGCCCTACGGAGGCGGCCAGGGAGACGAGAGCGTCAGCGGCGGCGGCGGCACGAATTATCTGAACTACACGTCCGGCAACCCGTCCGCCACACCGCAGCCGTACGGCGCCACCTTCCGCTCTCCGTCCTTCCCCGCCACGATGTGGGTCGGCACCGGCGATACCGAAGCCCATGACTCCTCCTTGCAGCAGCAACAGCCGTGCATGCATCCGCAGCAGCACCAGCCGGGGTCGCCGTTAGGGGTGTGGGCGTACAATGCGCGGCCCTGCTTCTGCACCCCCAGCGTGAGCAGCGCGTGGGTGGAGCAGACCGGGCTAGGGGCGACGACGACGGCACACGCCGGCCGCACTCCGATGATGCCGCACCCGGGCAGTTACCTCGGCTTCACCACGAATAACCTCTCCTCTGAGCCGGCCACGCCCATGTTTTTTCCGCAGCAGCAGCGACTCCGCTCGCTCTCCCCACAGCAGCAGCAACCGGGTGCGAGCTACTCCGCTATGTCCACCCCGCATCTGACGCAGCTGCCACCGCCTTTCCTGCCATCCTGCTCGTCGTCTCCAGGCACCGTAGCTGCCTACGGCGCGGCGCGGCGCTCGAACTCACTTCTGCAGTCACTCCCCTTCCCCACCTCGCCCCATTCCCCCCACGTGCCGGAGATCTTCTGCAAGCTGCAGCGCTCCGACAGGCAGCGGCTGCGTCGGCGCGGTCCGGTGCTGCCGCCGGGCACGAAATGCCCTGGCATGGCCGGCCGTCTCGCCTACGATGCCTACCGCGAAGCCGTCCGCCGTGGGCTGGTGACGGAGGAGGAAGAGTGCAGCTACTACCTCAGTCATCACCGCTACTCCGCGACGGCGCCGTCGGCCGGCAAGAAGGAGGAAAGTCTGACCTCGTCGACCACGTCGTCCCCGCAGCCGCGGTCACCAAGGAGGGTGTCCGAGTCGTCGCCGAGTCCACCGGCGGCGCAGCGCAGCCGGCATCACAGCCTGTTGGCCCCCGCCGCTCGCCCCCTCTGTGTCGTCTCCTTAGCGGACCTCCGCACCACGTCGCCGACACGGCAAAGCAAGCGCAAGAACAAGAAACATAGCGACAACAACGCGGCACAGACAACGAACGCGACGGCGACGGCTGCCTCGGGAAGCGTCGATGCATCAGACAGTGATGAGCAGCGCAGCAGCAGTCGCAGCAGCAGTGGTAGTCCGGTGTGGCACGGCAGCGACTTGGACGGCTCATGGAGCAGCCCGCGGTTTCTCTATCACATCCCGCGCTGCGGCGACGACCCGTACCACCGCGATGAGGAGGCGCTGGAGATGATCAGCGTGACAACGGCGTCGTCGTGCGCCTTTGGTGCGGGTCTCGAGGGGCTCTCGTGGCGCGAGTGGATGCCGTCCTCACCGCTGGAGGCGAGGGAGGAGGTGCTGCGCAGTCTCGCGGCGACGAGCGCGTCCTCGTCGGCAACCACCGCGCACACCCTACACAACTCAAGTCACGCCTCGGCCGGGATGGCCGCCGGCAGCGCACACGGAGCGCAGCTGACCTCCACGATGGGCGGCAGCTTCAGCAGACGTCTCTCGCGGACCCAGGGGGGTTTCAGCGGGAGTACCAGCTTCATCGTGCCGCCTGCCGCCGCTGTGGTAGCCGCCGCCGCATCCAGCTTTTGTGCGGCGCCTGCTCCCACCAGCCCTGACATGGCAGCCCCGCGCAATGCGGACGACATCGAGCTGACGCACACCACCGACAACAACAACAACGGACAGCCGCTACCGCCGCAGCAGCGCACGCAGACCGGGGCGTCGAGCGGAAATGCCGGTGGCGACCGCAGCACCCCCACCGCTGGCTCGAAGCGCCCATTTATTGCGGAGTGGATCGTGTCGAAGCTGCAGAAGCACATCGAGAAGAAGCGGCAGAAGAAGTTGCTGAAGCAGAAGAAGCGTGAGGTGGCCGCGATGGGAGGCGGAGGCGCAGGAGCCGTTCTGCCTCTGCACGCGGAGGAGCACCCACCGCTTCCCAGGGACGCGGCACACGCTCGAGGGGAGAGTGGTGCCCTGCGCGCCCGCAGCGCGACATCGTCGCTGTCCGAGCACACCGAGGCCTCGTCGCCGCTGAGTGGCAGTCTGGCGCTGCAGCACCGCCACAACACCCCGTCCACGCCGGAGACAATAGCGTTGGAGCAGCTGCACCGCCGCACGGCCTACCTCGCCGCCGCTTACCAGACGGAGCTCGTCATCTACGAGCAGAAACGGCGGGAGCTGCTGGCAAACCGGGGCGACATCAGCGCATTGGTGGAGCGCAGCCGCAGCCGCATGACGCCGGAAGCCGCAGCCGCTGGGTACTTCTACGAAGCGCAGGGCGGGGGTGGCGGTGTCGGTGGCGGCCATGGCGATGCCCCTCATCGTCTTGTGCGCCCGCTGCACTCGCCGGAGAAGGACGCCGTCTATCCACGTATCACGACCTCCTCCTCCTCCTCGCCGCCGTTTGCCGCCAAAGTAGCCGCCACCGCACGGTTGGAAGACGCAGCAGAAAAGGAGAATAAGGAAACACAAAAGGGTCCGCGCGGTAGAAAGGGAGGGGTGCGCTACGGCAGCGGAGGTGCGGCCGGCATCGGCAACTCCGCCTCCTCTTCCTCCACCACCACCTACAGCACCAGCAGCGGCAGCAGCAGCGGATATCTTCAGGCGGTCGTCAGCGTCGCCTCACCCGTGCGAACCGAAATCCCTTCTGCCAACGCACCGTCAAAACCACCTCCAGTTGCGCGGATGACAGCGAAAAGAGGTGAACACACGGCGGTGGTTGCGTTGGAGAACAGGAATGTCGCACCGCTACAAGATCAGCAGAAGCAGAAGCAGCCGCAGAAGCAGTCGAAGGGTGCGCTCACGAGTGCGGAGCAGCGCAAGACGTCGATGCCGCTGCAGGAGCGGCGACCGCAAACAAAGACGCAGCACCCGCGTGCGGGGGCGGAGAAGGCCGAAACGGAACAGATGCGCGTGGCGCTGGACACGGTGCGCATGAAGCAGAAGTCAATTGAGAGTTGGATACACGCGATTCGGCGTCAGTGGTAAGAAGAAGGAAAGAGAGAAAAAAACAGGGGAAAATATTCCAAAAAGGAAAACCGTTGTGTGGAAGGCTTTGGGTGAAGCCGCGTACACCCCCACAGGTGTATTACATACACAGTCGAAATAAACTGCTGTCAACGCTGACGCACGCTTCATGGCGAGACGGTTTATTCGCGACAACTAGACAATACATATATATAGATAGATTTTAAGATCGTAATGAGAGAAGCTAAGAGCGCGGATGTGACGTATATTCACGTCTTCTTGTCTAGTTGTGTGGGGATACATATATATATATATATATATATATTTCTTCCCCTGCTGCTGCATGCGTTCTGCGTCTCGCCTCCTCATCGATTTCCCACGAGAAGACGGTTGGGGCGGGGCGGGACACAGGACACAGAACGGTTCATGCTGATCTTTTTTTTCTTCTTCTACCTCCCCTGATTTCCTTTTATTATTATTATTTTGTATAGTTCGTCTTCTTCTTTTCCTTTTCTTCGGTAGTTTCGTTTCGATTAATACGACGTCTGTCTGTCTGCTTTTATGACTATAACTATTACTTTCTGCAAGGTTCTGCACTTTGTTTTGGTTTTCTGGTTTATATATCTTTTTTTTTCCGTGTCTCTGTAGTGATGATAAATGCGAATCATTTTCTGCTTGACCATTTAGTGTGTTAGCTTCTTTTTCCTGTAGATTTCGCTTGTGTGTGGGTGTTAATGTGTGTGTTTTTGGAATAGGTGGGGGGAGATGGAAAAGGTGTGTGCGCGTTCTTTCGTAGGAGTTGCCACCCCTTGTTGGCGTTTGGCTACCGTCCGTCTCTCCCTCTCCCCCCTCTCATTCGTCTCCGTCGAATACCTTTTTTTATTTACTTTATTTTTTTTTCTTCTTCTTCTTCGCCTTGCGCCTCTCTTCTCCCCCTTCCTCGCGAAATCTGCCCTTCCCTCGCTGCCTCTACCCTCTCCCCCCCCCCCTCGCCGCCGCTTCGGTTTACCATCGTTGTTGTGCCTCCTCGTGTTTTCCCGCAACTGCTCCCCGTGAGCAGCGCGTGAGAGGTCGTACACGCACACGCGCCCTCAACGGTTCTCCTTCGTGCGCTTCCATTATTACTGGTGGAACTCAACAGAAGAGAGCCGCTGCAGAGAAGGGGAGGTACGGAGGGAGGGGAGGGGGCCGAACATCCGACGTGGACTTCACTTCACACTCACACTTGTCGGGTCAACCCAATAATAACAATGATAAATAAAGAAATAAATATAAGAAGAAAAAAGACATCGATTTATCTCGTGTGACTTTCGATGTGCGTTGGAGGTTGTGCCGGCTGCTCGTGGCATTCTAAAGGAAAGAAAAAAGGGAGGAATGTCACAACTTTTCTTTCGTTCATTTTCTCACCTGCTGCTCCTGCTAGACGCACCCATCACCACGTGCAACGATCGTCGCTCCGGTTTTTTATTCATTACTTTTGAGGAGGGAGAAAAGAAGGGGAGGGAGGGAGGGGCTGGAGCGGAGGGACGGCTGCGTGAGGCGCCTGTTGCCTCACCCGTTTCTCCTTTTGTTGTTGTTGTTGCTTTGATTTTTGGTTTATTATCTTTGCTTTCTTTTTTTCTGCTGGCCGCGTGTAATTCAATAATAATAATAACTGTCTAAACCTTCAGGTGGGGGGAGGAGGGCGTACGAGCGTCTTCGAGCGAACTTCTTTCGTCTCGATTTTTTTTTTCGTGCTCTCTTTCTCTGTCTTTCTGTATTATTCTTTTCTTCCTGTTGTTGATTCTCACGGTTTGCGCCGCGCGCGCGGTTCTCTCAAGACACGGGCGTGAAGCGCGACCTGGGGAGGCGAAGAGGAAGGTATGACGAAGCGCACAGCTCACCGCAGTGTGGCCAATAGATTTAACTGTAAGTGCCTCGAAGCGCAGCCCTGTTGCGCTCGTGATCACAATGGGAAAAACTTCATAGGGAACGAACTCCTTTGTTTGCTTGTGTGTGGAAGGGGGAGGAGGCGGGGGGTGAAGGATTTAGCTAACAAGCACGCTTCTTTCGCTCTGCGCGTGTCGGTACGCTGGCAGAGGACCTGCCTTCGAATCTTGACTGTTCAAATTATTCTTTCTGTGGGTGTAAGCTGCAGTCGTTTGACAATATATAGAAAAGAGGGAGGCGATAAAGAGAGGACGGCAACGAAGGGCGCGTTCGTTTTTTTCCTTCTTTCTTTCTTCACAGAGCGCCGCTGTTGTGACCGATGCTCCTTCTCACGTCCTCCTCCTCCTCTCGTTTGACGTTTGTTTTGAAGGGGGGTTGTTGCTGCTGTTTGCGTGTTGCTTCATGTCGAGCCTGTGTGCGTGCGTGTGTGCGTGTGTCTCGTAGGGTTTTGACGGGTTGTGGGTGGAATGTGCATCCTGAAGACGCTCACAAGTGTCAAACAGCGTTGCCTCCCTCCACTCTCTCCTCATTCCGCTCTCTTGCACGCAAGTGTACCTCCTCACAGTCGTGGGGATGACTGCCTCGTGTGGCGAGTGAATCTTTCACGTAACGGCAGTCGACAGCACAATTTGTGCGCTTGGTCTTTTTATTACTATTATTATTCACGTAGTTTTTATTATCACTATTACCATTATTACTAGTTGTATACAAGACGAGCTGACTTTAGTATAAGGCTATTTCTTTTCCTTTTCTTTTTTTTTTTACTAGTCTGTATCTTTGTCATTGGGCCGGTGCTCCCACTTTATACGGGTATGAAGGGGGACGCGGTGCCACCGTCGATCGAGCACGACTCTCAGCAACTCTGCTTTTTTTTCCATTCTTAACTTTGTGTTTCTTTCGGGGTGTTGTTGTGTGTGTGAGAGTTTGTTTGTTTTTTTGAAGCCACCTCTGCCGCCTGATGATTGTTGCGTACATGTGTGTGTGTGTGTGGCGATACGGTCGGCACGTCTCTCCCTCTGTGTGTGTGTGTGTGTGTCTTCTTCCTGCCAGTTCGACCAAATCGCACGACTTGCCGGGGTAGGCCCCTTCTTTAACACACTGTGGGTATGTGGGATGTACGCGGCAACGCATCGTCGCCGATGATGCACTTTCTGTTTTTCTTTTTCTCTGGTTTGTGTTGCACGCGTTGTATGTCCCGCATACGGAGTCTGCTACGGCCCATCACCTGATATATGTTTCTTTCCGAACTGTTTTGATTACTTTATTGGCTTTGATTTGCAACCGGAACGAACGCACAACCTCAAGAAAAGAAAAGCGATAAAAGATGAACCTCCTTGTGTACATGCGCGCTGATGCACGCGTGTATGTGTGTGTTTGTTCTTGCTACCCAAAATGGTGTGCATGTGTCTCTCGTTGTTACTTGAATATCGCCTCCGTAGTTCCAAAGCCACCGACTTCGCGGTGTTATTGTTGTTGTTTTCCTCGGGATTCGCCCGGCCTTCAGCAGTGAAAAAAGTGATTCTGATTTCTCTCCCCTTCGCACACGTGTCTCCCCTCCGCGCGTCGCCGCCTTCGTTGTTTATCTTGCTTCTTACCCCACCCCACCCCCTCGCCCTCTCCCTGCATTCCACTGGTTTATCGAAAACACACACATACAAACGTGCCACGCACAACCGTAGCATCACCATTTGTCACTGCACTCTCTGCACTCACACACACGCACCAGTACAAATCATCTCTTTTCTCTGTTTTACTCTCTCTCTCTCTCAACTGCTGTTGTCTGTTGCTTGTTTGTTTGTTTGGCGATTTCCTGTTTCTCCCTTCATTGAAATCGCCCTATATCCCAACGCTCTGACACCGCTACGCTATTCGAGCCTGCCGTTTTCTGTCCTTCTCTTCATCTCTCCCGAGCTTAGCGACTTCATCGACATTTTATTTACCCACCGAGGCAGACACAGACGCACACACGGAGAAGAATCCGATCCATCATGTCCGGCCACCACCACACCAACGATCCGAACCTCACCCAGAACCAGGGCAACATGCTCGGTGACCGCCCGTGCGTCCGCCAGAGTCGTCTCTACCGAGAAGGCTGCAGCGGCAACGCCATGAAGGAGTTGATGGGGCAGCCCGAGCTGGCCTGGAAGACGGACCAGACGGAGGGCTGCTACGGCGGCGGTAACGTGTACGACCACAACTCCGCGGACCACAAGGCGGTGCGCAATGGATCCGCGAACAACGCCTACGGGCAGGGTCCGCAGAACCAACGCCAGTCCTTCCAGCAGGATTCTCCCCAGCAGCAGCAGCAGCAGCAGCAGCAGCAGAGGCCTCAACAACAACAGCAACAGAGCTTCCCTCCCCAGCAGCAACAGCAGCAGAGGGCTCAGCAGCAACAGAACTATCCTCCCCAACAACAGCAGCAGAGCTTTCCTCCTCAGCAACAGCAGCAGCAGCAGCAGCAATCACCGACGGTCTCTGCAAGCACCGGCCGCGGTTTCCGCCCGGGTGCGGGTTACGCCAACCGACAGACATACAACATCTTCACCGGCGAGTAAGCCGGAAAGCGCGTGTGCACGCACGTTACTGTTGCGTACACCGCTTTCAAGGTCTACGTACGACGGTTATTATTGTTATTGTTTGTTTTCTCTCGGTAGTCGTTTTCAGTCGAAACGACGCCCGACGACACATTTCGTATATATACATTAATATCAAGTCTGCTCCCTCTTGAGCTGTGCTCTCGTATAACAAAGCCGCGCAGAGATCTTTTTTTTGGTTGTTGCTGCTGCTGCCGCTCGCGTGTACTGGGACTGCTTGGCGCGTGCGTGCGTGCGCGCTTGTGTGTGTATGTGTGTGTTTGTGCTGGTGTTTTGGAAAGGACCTCCAGCCCTCTTTTCATGGAGCTGAGGAAGAATCTTGTTCATCTGCACCCTCTCACCGGATAACTATGTGGTGGTGGTGGTGGTGGCGGTTGCTCTTCTTCGTCTTTTCATTATTATTATTATTATGCTGACCCCCTTAGACGTAGTGGTACGGTGTGCTTTCATTCGTGGACGGAAGAGTTCTTGGAGAGGCCGAGAGGAGGCACGGGGAAATCCAAAAGCGCGTCTTTGCATTTTTCCAAGAAGTCTGCTTTCTTTTTTGTGGGCGGGGAACGTTCTGTGTGAAGGGAGAAGGCAAGCACGCGAAGGAGGCAAGAGAGAGGTGTGGAGCAGGGGAAAAAACAATAAGAAGAACCTGCGCACCGCATACCAATGAGGGTTTACATAGTACTCGTTGACCCCTGCAGCTGCCCGCCTCCATCTCCACCTCCTCAAGCCCACGTCGTCTCTTTCCTCTTTACACTGTGTGTGTGTGTGTGTGTTTGTTTTGGTTTGGTTTGTTTGGGATCGAATTCACCTCTTTCTCCGTTGTTAAACTCTTACACCACCAAATACGTATCTATTTATATATTTATATAACGATTGTTTCTTAGAGACTCCTGTACAAAGCCATGTTTTACGTTTTACTACTTGTGAAGGCGACCTCAACGAAGCGAGTCGACACGTGCTACCCGAAGCGTCCCTCTACCCATCTAGTCCTCTTTTTTTTCTTCCTTGGATATCTCTCTCTCTATCTGTGTTTATCAGAAGGCACTGAAACCGAAGGAGAAAGAGAAAGAGAGAAATAGAACGAAGAAAGACGCGATGTTGCTGGCGCAGGAAAGACAGTGGTAAACGCAGGTGTTCACTAGCACGTGGTCCTCTTCGGATTTGTTTGTGTTTGTTTGTTTTTTTTTCTCTCAGTTCTTGCTGACTATCACCGTTATTTTAAAGAGTAGAGCAGACCAAATAGAAAAGTTAAATTTAGAATAAAAAAGTTTGATTCTGCTTCGTTGTGCGGCGTGGAAGGAAAGACAACGTCATCGCACGGTCGGCACCGTCGTACAAGTGTGTGGGTGTGTGTGTGTCTCCGCACGCAGGCCCCCTAAAAGGACGAGGTGTAGTGAGTGCACTGCCGATTGAGGCGAAGTGTAGTTCTATATTTTTTTTTTCTTAACCCCTTTCCACCACCGTTATCAAGGCTGTTCCTGACGCTCGGAGTGAGCACGACGCAGTGCCTCCTCTCTTCCCAACTCACAAGCGTCTATTTAGGTTGTCTTCTTTCATCTTCCGTTCACTCTCTCTCTCTCCATCTACTGTTCCCTCAAGCCTCCGTTTCATGCACCAACAGCAGGTCCACAGCGTTCAGCCATGTCGGTACACTATGTGGATGCTTTCATGCAAATCGCCCTGCGCGAGGGCGAGCGTGCGCTGCGCGAGGGCGAAGTCCCCGTCGGCTGCGTCTTCGTCTCCTTCGATGCCAACGAAGAGGTGCACCGGCGACTCACCCGGGCGTCTACTTCGTCGTCGGCGTGTTCGTCCTCCCCGCCCGCAATAGCGGTAGCGGAGGTGGAGACGTGTGTGGCGGCGCGCGGTCGAAACCAGACGAACGCGCTCCACCACGCGCTGGCCCACGCAGAGTTCATCGCCGTGGAGGCGCTGCTGCGGCTGGACGACGGCACCGCGTCCGTCAACGCACGCACACACGTACAGGTGACAAAGCATCCGGCACACAACCAGCACTCCGGTTCTCTGGCAAGTTTCACCGCCGCCTCCTCCTCCTGTCTAACTTCTCCTCTCGGAAAGTGTCTTCGTAGTCTCGCCTCCTACGTGCTGTACGTCACGGTCGAGCCGTGCATCATGTGCGGGGCGATGCTGCTCTACAACGAAGTCCGGCACGTCTTCTTCGGGTGCCGCAACCCACGCTTCGGTGGCAACGGCACGATCCTGGCGCTGCAGGGACCCTCGCAAGGACTCAAGAAGAAGAGCCACGGTGACAGTACGTGCACTGGAAGCACGTTGCGCACCTCTGCGTTGTCGTCAGCGACGGGACTGGCAACAAGTGGAGTGCCACCGCAGCAAAAACCAAAGCTGGAAGATGCCCCAACGCTGCCGCCGCTGTCGGTTACCGCCATCACAGCCGCCGCCTCCTCATCCCCTCCGAAAGATGATGAACAACAACAGCGTGTCAGCAAAGCAGGCGGAAAAGAGGAGATGGCAACCTCGTATGGCAGTCAGAGGTGGTGGCCCGGCTACGAGAGCGAGGGCGGGCATCGCGATGCGGAGGCCATCGCCCTTCTACAGGCCTTTTACGAGCGCGAGAACCCGAATGCGCCGGGGCACAAGCGGCGACAGAAACCAGCCGTGGCGTAACGCGCGCAGCCGTTTGCTCCCGCTGACGTTTGTACAGCAGGTCCCTCTTTTGTCTTTGCTCTCGATCACATCTTACCCCTCTGTCGCTTTCGCTCACTCACTTGCTCATTCATATATATTGTTTGACTCTCTTGTCCTGGGAAGGAGGGATAGACGTCGTCTAAGAATAACAGACCCAATAATGCAGGATGTCGTGTAAGCTGTCTTTGCCGTTTTGAAAAATGCAGCGGTCGCGCAGGTGACCTGCACGAGATGCTCCTGGGCATTGTTGTGTCGCAGCCTCACGGTTGTGATGACGAGAACTATGATTGCTGCGTTCGTCGGGTTACGAACATATGCTTACAGTACTGTTCTCCCTCCCCTCTCTCTCCTCCCTGCTCCTCCCTTGTCCTGCTCGTTCACGGCCGTCTCCACACACACACACACACGCCACAGCTGTCCACACGCCACAAAGGGGAGAAACAGAAAACTTTACGCGCGCTGTGTTTGCCAATTAGAAAACAAAGGAAACACGCGCATTTAAAGGCCTTCGAGTACACCCGTGTTGTATCAGTTCATGCGGGCCCTCATACGCAAACCCACCACCTTTCTCTTTTTCCTCTTTCTCTTTCCTTTCAGGCGAGCTAGCTGGTGCCCTCCTGCGCTTTCACAAAAGAGATTTGTTATTTGTGTGTAACTGATTCTACCATCATCTCCGATACCGCCATGCTCCCCGCAGCATCGAACTTCTTCGCTAAGGTAGTGTTCCTGGTGTGCCTTTTAGCCTTCTTCTTTTACACGGTTCGATTCACCTGCTGTGCCACCTTCACGGCGGTGACGCCCATGTCGCCAGAAGTCCGCCTGTTCAACACCGCTTATGTGCAGGAGGTGAAGACGTGCCTGCACCGCTACTGAGCTCGTCCCGGGATGGAAGAGATGCCAGCTACACGCACGACACGCAGACGTCGCACACTGGCGATGACGGACGTTATATGTGTGTAGAGAAAGATCGGATGAGGGTTCTTTTGTTATTTCTTTCTATCTGTTTGTTTTTTTCTGAATTGTTTGTTTGCTGGTACAGCACTGTTGACTTTGTACCTGTCACGATGCTGGTTCACTGTTCAGGACAGCAGTCTCAAAAGTAGTAGAAGAAAACAAAAGCATCACAGCAAAAATAAACTATTTATAAGTGTATTGCGTGAACTATAAAATTCTCCTCGTTAATGAGTTCCAGTTCACTTCAATCCCGCGATTTCTCGAACGAAAGAACTGGAAAAAGGGCGAGTAAGACGTCATTGACGCTGTATGCTCTTCCATATATATATATATTATCCGGTGTTGTTCACCACAGACGCTTACGCAGTGCGATCGTACTCCCCCCTTCTCTCTCTCTCCTCTCCTTGTCATACATATCTATCCACTGGCTTAAGAAAAAAACATCAAGCGTGTTTCACACAAACGACTGCTATTGCACATCGCCCTCTGCTTTTCATTTGTTGTTGTTGTTTTTCGTGGTCCTCTCGCCCCCACTGCATCACTGGACGGAAGCACACACGCGACAGGGGGAAAGGAACGTCGCTGAAGCCAAGAGTCGCAACGGCGTAAAGGAGAAGGAAACGATAAAACCGCTGTTTGCTTTCCAGCAAATCGAAGAAGCCCCTTCCTTTTACTCGTAGTAGACGTAGACGACGCAGTACTGCCATCGTACAACTGACCGTGTCGGGTCGATCCGTACCAGCGACACACGCACGGTCTGAGATTGTGATACTTTACGAGACAAAAAAGCGGGTTGCGCAGTACATCGCACAGGATGGACAAGACAGAGTCGGATCGTCAGCGCCAGGCCCTCATCGAGGGCTTCGTAAACATGTCCGAGGTGGACGGCATGGACACCGGCAAGGGCGAGGACTTCCTCTTCACGGGTCAGTCCGGCAAAGGTCAGGACTACGTGGACATGGATGCAGAGGACGACAGTGGTATCCGGCTTGGCAACGCTGAGCTGAAGGAGAACACAAACATTTATAAATCGGCCTTCCACATCTTCAAGGCGAACGTCGGCACGGGTGTCTTCATGCTCCCTACCTTCTACCCCGATGCGGGGTACGTCGTTGGTGTGATCTTAGGTATCTTCATCGGCTCCGTGGTGATCGATTGCACACAGCTGCTTATTCACGTGAAGGTGACGATCAACCGCCGCGACGTGACGACGTACTCGCAGGTGTGCCGCTACGTCTGCGGCAAAGGTCTTGGCTGGTTCCTCTTCGTGGCGATGTGCCTCACGCAGTTCGGTTTCTGCCTCATGTACTCGCAGCTCTTCGCTGAGACGATGGGCGAGCTCGTCACCTTCAACGGTTCCAAGTACCTGTGGGTATCGCTGATCTTGATGATGGCCTTCCCGATGACGTGCTTCTCCGACAACCTGTCTCTGCTCGCCATGGCCTCCGTCATCGCCACTGTCGGCGTCTTCTACGCGCTCATCTGCTGTCTAGTTGAGACGTGCAAGGTACTCGCGCAGAAGGGCATTCACCCCTCCATCAATCCCGCGGGTAACCGCATCCCGGTAGGCTGGTTCAACAACCTCGCGAACAACATGATGGTGCTGGAGGGGATTGCGATTGTCCTGCCGGTGCACGCCGCGTGCACGCAGAAGAAACTCGTGCCTATGATGGTGACCTGCGTGATTATCTGTGTCATCGTGTGGTACCTGATCTTCGGTCTGACCGGCTACCTGGCGCACGGCACGACCATGACGACGTCGCTGATCGCCGCGGTGGAGCACTCCCCGTGGGGGACGAGCATCCGTGCCTTCTTCCTCGTGAACGTCATCTTCACCTACCCGCTGCAGTTCATGTCCGCCATGCAGCTGATCGATCAACTAGTCGGCTGCAAGCCGCGCAGCTGGATCGGCATGGGCCTTCGCCTCCTCATCAATTTGATCGTCTGGGCCCTCGCCATGGCGATGCCGACCTCTGCGGTGAACGTCGTTGTCGGCTTGATCGGCGCGCTGCCGTCCGCCTGCATGGTGATGATCATCCCCTCTCTTCTCGCCCTCCACGTCGACTACGCCGTGGAGCACCCAGATGAGAACCGCAACACCGCCGCCTACTGGAAGCGCATCTTCGTGAAGAAGCCGTGCTTCACGCTGGTCCGCGTTCGGGCCTTCATTTATTTCGTGATCGCGCTGTTGATCATGGTCATCGGTACGTACAGCATCTTCTCGGGTTTGTGATAGTGAGAAAAGAGATGAAAAGGGCGAGAGAGGGAAAACTGATATTTTCCGTCAAAGCCGTAGGAAACGAACAGAGAAAAAAGAATGCTCTCTTATCGATCGCATGTGTGTGTGTGTGTGTGTGCGCGCGTCGACGACGGCAGAAGATGATGTCCACCTCGTACTGGAATGCAGCATCGTAACTTCTGTGATTTATTCGGTTCAGAGGCAGCTGGTTTGGCAACAAAGGAAAGAGAGAAGGCATCTTCAAAGGGAGGGGGGAGGCAGAAGGATGCGTTCCATATCTGTACATGTTGAGCAGTGCAGCAAAGTTCTTTTACAGTTGTTGTTGTTTACCCCTTCCCCTCTGTTTCCTCTTGATGGCGAGGTGGGTTCTTCGTGTGGCAGATCAGAAGGGCATGTCGGCAATATCAAGGACGATACATATACGGCCCTCGCTGTGTTTTTTTTTTTCTTTCTCTTTCTCCTCCTCTGCTCGCCCAACGTGACTCGTTCCGACGCTTTTCTGTGTTGTTTGTTTTGTTTTGTTTTTACGCGTGCTCTCCAATGTCGTCGCGGCCCCCTTTTATATTTGATATATATAATACAAGAAATTCGTCCTAACGCGATCGGAGCCTCCGCTACAACGGTTGAGATGAGCGCTTGATTGTTTGCTTGCCTGGCCTTTTGCTCTGTCTTTTCTCTTTTCGTTCTCTCAAAACTTTCTTTTTTTCTTTCTTCTTTACATACACCGATGTGCTGTGCGATGGCGTGAGCACGTCATCACGCAGCCGAACAATGGAGAAACACAAGGTGAACACGCAGGGGCATGTACAGACATGCGGATGGGCGAGAAATCATCTACTAAGCGCTCTTCGAAGAAGGTTCTTTTACCGTTGCTGATGGCGACCAAACCGACGTTACTTACATAGAGATAAAGAGAGAGAGAGGGCAACGGAATCGAACACCTTCTTTTCTGTGGCTCATTTGCTAGTGTATTCAGCCTTGCTTTCTCTTTTGTTTTTATATCTCTTCCACATCCAGGTTTGGGCTTTCTTTACAAAGAATTGTGGAATGGGAAAAGGACTCGGCGTTGAAGTTTCTAGATGCATCTCGCCCCTTCCTCCTCCTTTATGTTTGTTTTTGTTTTTTGTTTTTTTGCTGTTTGCGTTTCAGAAGATGCTGGTTCGACCTGCGACCCCTTCGTCTCGCTTCATCGTGACGAAGAGGGGCAACAACGGTTGTTGTTTTCTTTTTTTTTTTTGAAGAGAGCCACGAGCAACACTGATGGACGAAAAAGTGAAGAGAAAAAACATGCGTGTGTGTGCGAAGAGATCCACGGACGGTGCCACGCGTCACCGTCCGTCGCCTCTCTTACTCGCCCTCTCTCTCTCTCTCTCTCTTGGTTTCTTTTTTTTTAGTTGCTTTCGCTGCATGTTTTAATTTGAAATTTTTTCTGGGATTTATACGCATTGATCCCTTTATATGTTTTTTCCTTTTTCCACCACTTCTCTCTCTGCGTGTGAGTGGGTGAGATTGTGTGTGTGTTTGTGTGCGTGGCAAACATGGCTGTTGGTTTATTGGATAGTTTCTTCGTATTTTGTGTCTCTGTCTGCGTGTGTTCCAAGTACGACAAGCAACAAACTCGTTGTCAGCGGGAGAAAGTAATCACATATTTTTATTTAGTAGTATATTCCTTTTTTAAAGGGAAAAGCTCCATATGAACTTAACGCGCCTTCAAACAGTGCTTTCAGATCGAAAGCGTAGATGTAATGGCCAGATTCCGTGCTTCGACGGCTGCGTGTGTGTGCGTCGGCGGGTTCTGCCCCATCCTCTGTTGTTTTTTTTTGTTGTTGTTCTCCCCGAATATAAATGGAATTGTGTGTATATGTGTTGTTCGCGAAGACGAGAGAAGGCGCAGACGACGTCTATCAATCTGGAAAGTTGGTGCTGTTGCTTCGACTCGATGGCGAAGCCGGAACGTATTCCCTTTTTTGTTCCGGATTCTGTGTGAGGTGGTGCGTGTGCGGGTACCAATGCAGGCGATAAAGATGACGGAGGAAGAGGACCTGCCCCGCTACGGCGTTGACCCGCTCCTCTTCCGTTACGTCTCGTGGTCTGCAGGATAGCCCAGCCTCCCCTCACCGCTATGCCAACTTCGATGCTGATCGTCGCCTGCTGTCGGTTGGAAGCCTCCCAAAAGAGAAGAATAGTTTTCAGAAAGAGCGCGCCAGTGCACGCGAGCTGCTTTATCCAATCGCCAAGCGACCCTTCCTCTCTGTCTCTCTTGAACACTATCCCCCATCCGTTTTCCTCACCCACACACACGCACACGCACACACACGTCCTCCTCTGTTCCACAACGCCTTCCACTTTCCTTTGATGGGCAGCCTGAACTGCAATTCTTCTTTTGCCAAAAAACAATATAATTCCTGCAAAAGGTGGTCTACGCCTCCTTCAAAAGAAGACCAAAGAAAGACATCTATACCCAACGCCTTACACCTATACACACCCATACGCACCCACACGCATACATCGTCGACCTCTGTCGCCGTTGTTGTTGCTGGTTTCAATATAAGCTCAAACGCTTCCTCTCTCACTCATTCTCCTGACTTTTCTATATCACTCAGCGTATATACAAAACGTGCTTTCTCAAAAAAAAAATAACTTCTTTTTGAAAACCCCCGAGCGACACAGTCATGGATGACGAGCGCCGCCGCAAGGCCCTCATCGAGGGCTTCGTAAACATGTCCGAGGTGGACGACGCCGACGCTGGCAAGCCACTCTTCAAGGGCGACGACCCCACCGGCGGCATCACCGTCGGCACCGACTACGTGGACATGGACGCTGATGACCTCCCGGAAGACGGCCACATAAGAGCGGGTGAGCTGAGGGAGAACACAAACATTTATAAATCGGCCTTCCACATCTTCAAGGCGAACGTCGGCACGGGTGTCTTCATGCTCCCTACCTTCTACCCCGATGCGGGGTACGTCGTTGGTGTGATCTTAGGTATCTTCATCGGCTCCGTGGTGATCGATTGCACACAGCTGCTTATTCACGTGAAGGTGACGATCAACCGCCGCGACGTGACGACGTACTCGCAGGTGTGCCGCTACGTCTGCGGCAAAGGTCTTGGCTGGTTCCTCTTCGTGGCGATGTGCCTCACGCAGTTCGGTTTCTGCCTCATGTACTCGCAGCTCTTCGCTGAGACGATGGGCGAGCTCGTCACCTTCAACGGTTCCAAGTACCTGTGGGTATCGCTGATCTTGATGATGGCCTTCCCGATGACGTGCTTCTCCGACAACCTGTCTCTGCTCGCCATGGCCTCCGTCATCGCCACTGTCGGCGTCTTCTACGCGCTCATCTGCTGTCTAGTTGAGACGTGCAAGGTACTCGCGCAGAAGGGCATTCACCCCTCCATCAATCCCGCGGGTAACCGCATCCCGGTAGGCTGGTTCAACAACCTCGCGAACAACATGATGGTGCTGGAGGGGATTGCGATTGTCCTGCCGGTGCACGCCGCGTGCACGCAGAAGAAACTCGTGCCTATGATGGTGACCTGCGTGATTATCTGTGTCATCGTGTGGTACCTGATCTTCGGTCTGACCGGCTACCTGGCGCACGGCACGACCATGACGACGTCGCTGATCGCCGCGGTGGAGCACTCCCCGTGGGGGACGAGCATCCGTGCCTTCTTCCTCGTGAACGTCATCTTCACCTACCCGCTGCAGTTCATGTCCGCCATGCAGCTGATCGATCAACTAGTCGGCTGCAAGCCGCGCAGCTGGATCGGCATGGGCCTTCGCCTCCTCATCAATTTGATCGTCTGGGCCCTCGCCATGGCGATGCCGACCTCTGCGGTGAACGTCGTTGTCGGCTTGATCGGCGCGCTGCCGTCCGCCTGCATGGTGATGATCATCCCCTCTCCTGGCGATGCAGGTGCGCTACGCCGTGGAGCACCCAGATGCAGATCGCAACAGCTGGCCGTACTGGAAGAAGCTGTTCGTGGCCACCCCGTGCCTGACGTTCCGGCGCATTCGCTGCTACGTGTACCTGGTCGTCGCCCTTCTGGTGATGGTCATTGGCACCTACAGCATCGTGACGAACCTGTAGCACGGTGGCCGCGTCTCTGTGCAAAGGAAGCAGAACAAAGCGCGGAAAGGGTGCGCATACGTACTGCATGAACGGACTCGCATGTCAATCAATTATTTCTTTCATTGTATCATTCCTTTGCATGTGTGTATGTGTGTGTGTTTGCGGTTTCATAGTGTGACTCGGTGCGGCTCAATTCCTTGTAAATTGCTAATTTCTTCTCCCTCCCCCTTCCCTCTCTCTTCTTTTAAAAAACAGTGAAATGACGGGCAGTACATGTTGCTTGCCTGTGTATGTCCTTCTTTTTCCTTTCTGTTTTGGTTTTCTCTTGCCTTTTTAAACTAGTAGTGCGCGGAAGACTTGCGTGCAGGAGGGTGTTCTTCATTTCGAACACACGCACACATACCGTCAAGGTTATCTGAGTCAGGAGCGACGGTTTGTTGATGATCTTTTTTATTATTTTGGTAGAGAAGGTTGTCCACTCGTCTCTAATTCGCGCCCCCCCCCCCCCCTTCCTCCCATGTGTGCGCATGCACTCAGCCTTTCCACGCCGCTGAACTGTTTTCCTTTCTATATATCTACATCTATATGTATGTATGGTTTCTTCTGGTGTGTGTCTGTTTGTGTCTTTGTTTCTTCGTTTCCCCCCACCACTGCTCGCATCGTTCAAGGGAGATATATGTATATCCTCCTCCCTCCCCCCGCCCCTTCCTTTCTTTACTGCTGTGTGTGTGTGTGAAGTATTTTCTTCTGGGGGTTTCTTTGTTATGGTTCTTTTCCTCCTCCTTTGTGCATCCTGCATTGGAAACGCCGCTCGTGTGCTGAAACTGTTGTTTCCAGAGCATACCTATACACGTGTTCTTCCTCCAAAAATAAAAGGGAAAGCGACGTCGCTGCCTTGTTCTCCCTTCCTCTCCCTCTCTCTCCCTCTATCTCGCCGCGGCAATAGCAACCGCATTAAAAACAAAAAGGCAGGCGTGCAGGTCATTCTCCCTCTTTCTCATTTTGGTGCTCCCCCGCATCGTACGCAGCGGGCGTTCTCTTCGTCGTCGTTTTGTTTTGTTATTGTTGCTGTTACTTTAGGGGGCTTGTCTTTGTATTCGTTTTAAATGCCCCGCTCTGGTGAAGCAGCGGAGAGGCACGCTCATTTTCTCAGGAGAAAAGGTCCTTTATACATACATATGTGTGTGTAGGAGGCGCAGGAGGGTGTGAAGGCTACGAGGCAGTCCACTCGTGTTGGTAGGTGAGTGGGACTCACTGACCACCGCGCCTTCTCTGTGGACTCCCAATTCGTCACGCTTCGCAAAGTATATATATATATTTTAAAGGAACAATTTTCAGAACCATCATTGGAATGGAGAAGTACCTGTAGCGACTCCGGTAGTCCTACGGTTTGCAGCTGGTAATAATAATCCCATGAGCTCATATATATATGTGTATATATATTGTTTTCCCAAACGGTTGTTTCAGTGAGTATATTCTCTTTTTCTTTTTCTTTTTTGAAAATAAGAAACGCAAAGTGCTATGAGTGCGTGTCAGCAGAAATACACCCCTCCCGTCTTGCATCCCCCAGCATTACCTCATGGGTTGTTGTACGATGTATCTTGTCGATGCGCTGCGGTGCATTCTAGGGGGGCTGCGTCTTCGAGCACAACGGGTATCCTTCGACAGAAGAAGAAAAAGTCAATAGCCTTCTTTCATTCTCTTTGTGGTCTTTGCATCTCGCGCGCTGTCGTGTCCCAACCCCAATCGAACCGCCTTCCGCGAACCTCCATGTTCTCCTCTGTCTGCTCTCCCCCGTGTGGTTATACCTTTTGTTTTTCTTTTCCCCTCTTCACCGCAACTTCATCAACGCGCCTCTCTCACGTCAACATCTGTCGTATTCAAGCAAGAGCGACTTTGGCGCATCTCTACATCTTTTCGAGTGCGTGTGTCTGTGTGACGCGCACACGGTATTGCATTCCTTTCTGTTTTCACACCTTTAAGACCCTTCTTCGCCCTCTCTCTGTCTGTGTGCGGCTATTCGCTGCGCTATCCTCCCACCTTCATCATGTCACGCGTGCGCATCCTGAACCTGCCCAACGACTGCACGGAGGAGCAGCTGAAGCAGCACCTGATCCGCACCGCACCGCGCGACGCCCCGCTTCTCGAGATCACCGATGTTCAGTTTATTCGGCGGCCGACCAACGCGAGAGATCGCGAGCACCGCAAAAGACACCAGCAGCAGCAGCAGCAGCGCGGCAGTCGCAGCACGACGCCGACGCTCCTTCTGCGTATGGCCTTTGTTGGGTTCCGCACCTCCGCGGCCGGCCACTTCGTCGCCGCGTACTTCAACGACTCGTACTTCCGCAGCGCCCGACTGCGGGTGGAGTTGGCGAAAGGTCTGAATGACGTCGGCGTGACGGTAAACCAACTGCGCAAGCAGCAGCAGGCGGAGAAAAAATCGGCGCTGCGAGCCGAAAGGAAGGATGCAGAGGAACAGGGGCAGAAGGACGCGTCACGGAAGCGGGGCCGCGACGGGGATGCCGCTGATCACAAAGCCGATGCAGCGGACGCGGTGGCCGATGGACTGACGCGGCGTCAGCGCGAGTTCGTGGACCTGCGCAGTAAAGCCACCGAAGGCCCTACCTGGGCTTCAGAGGTGCTGCTGGCCCCTGAAGCTCCGACAAGCTCGTCCTCTCTGCACGCGGCCATGGGCGAGGAAGGCTCGGGGGGAAGCGGTGCGTCATCCTCCTCCTCTTCCGCAGCGCCTCCCGACGTCGATGTGAAAGCTGACAGCAGCGCGGCGGTGGACAATGAAGAGACGGAGCGTCGGGCGCTAGCCCGCCAGCAGGAACTAGGCGAGGTGAACGATATGGATTTCTTGGCTGGGCTGGGTGGTGGTGGTGGTGGTGACAAGGACGTTGTTGCGACAGCAGCGGTGGGTTCTTCAGGTGATTTGGAGGATGTCGAGCGCGATGCAGACCGGACAGCAGAAGACAACGACGGAGGGGAGAAGGAAGGCGCGAACAGAAAAATGCACGAGAAGCGTGACGAGGCAGCCGGAGACGACGCCTCCGCAGCGTCGCAGGAGGACATCGCCCGTCTCTCCCGCCGCATTCGTCTGGGCAACATCGCGTACATCGCAACGGAGGAGCATGTCAAGCAGTTCGCCGCGTCCCTTGTGGGACCGGTGGAGGCGGTGCACATCCCCCTCACGAAGGACACTCGACAGAACAAAGGCGCCGCCTTCGTCTCGTTCGTGTCCGCCGACGACGCGGTGCGTGCGTTGCAGCTGTGTCGTGGTGCCATCCTCATGGGCCGTCTGTTGAGGGTCAGCGCCGCAGAGGAGGACCCGCACAGCCGGCGAGTGCTGGAACGCGAAGCCGCCCTCGCCTCTGCAGCCGGTGGAGCAGGAGGCGGCGGCAACGGCGGCAATCTCGCTGGCTCCTCGCAGTTCAAGAAGCAGCGCGAGTCCGATCGACGCGGCGAGGGCGCGGCTGGGAAGGATGGCACAGGTGGCCGCATGACGTGGAACACCATGTACATGAACAGTCACGCAGCGGTGGACACGGTGGCGCAGCGGCTCGGCGTGCGCTCCGATGACGTGGTTGGGGTAGGCGCAAAGGGTGCCGCGGTGCGGGCGGCCATCGCGGAGGCGTACTTAACCAGCGAGGTGCAGCAGGTTCTGAGTGACGAGGGCATCGCCTTCGACCTGCTGGAGGGGGCAACGCAGAACTTCCTGAAGGCGCGCTCGAACACGACAATTCTGGTGAAGAATCTGCAGCTGAAGGACGGGAACGACGCGGCGGCCGTGACGAAGATGTTCGTGCGCTTCGGTGTGTTAGAGACGTCCGCGTTTCCCTCCGCCGGCACATTTGCGCTCTTCCGCTTTACGCACCCGCAGGACGCACGGGTCGCCTTTACCCGGCTGTCATACAAGCTCTTCAACAACGCGCCGTTGTTTTTGGAGTGGGCCCCCGTCGGTGCCTTGACGGAGGAGGGCGATGCCATCGCCGCAGCCGCTGCGGCATCCGATCTAGGCATCACCGCACCCAACGCCGATAGCGGCACCACCGCGAAGGATGCCTCGGCCGCCGACTCGATGGTGTGCACCCTCTACCTCACCAACCTGTCCTTCCAGACAACGGAAGATGAGCTGCACGCCTTCCTGTTAGACGCCTGCCCACGCCTCGCCCGCTCCCCCGACACCCTCATCACTCGTCTCGTCTTACAGCAGGAGCAGGGTCGCGCCTTCCTCACGGTGGCGGATGAAAGCACTCTCGCCTACTGCGTCGCGAAGATCAACGGCAAGACGCTGGCCGGCCGGGCTCTGTCCTGCGTCGTCAGCAAGCAAACAGCGCAGATGCAACAGCACAAGCAGGCGCTTGCGGCCGAGGGCGACGGCACGGGCAGGGACGTGCAGGCGAGAGCTCACTACAGCCGTCACGCAGAGGCGGACGACGATGATGATCCGACCAAGACGGCCGTCATTGCACGCCGTCGCAACGACGAGGGCGGCGCGAACCCGCAGTCGAAGGTGCCGCCAGGCGGTGACCCGCTGAAGCTGATTGTGAAGAACCTGCCCTTCGAGGCGACGGAGAAGGACGTCCGCGAGCTCTTCGCCGCCTTTAGTGAGATTCGCACCGTGCGTGTACCGCGTAAGAGCCACACCTTCTCCTCGCACCGCGAGAACAACCACCGTGGCTTTGCGTTTGTGGAGTTCCTCTCCGAGGCCGAAGCGGCGCGGGCGCTGGAGGCGCTCAAGGCAACGCATCTGTACGGGCGTCACTTGGTGCTGCAGTACGCCAAGTTGGATGGCTAGCACACTTGTCGCCGGCCTTTACATATATATATATGTGTGTGTGTGTGTATTTCATCTGCAAACGGCAACTTCCATTTTTTCCTGTTTTTCTTAATACCCCTTTAACACATGCAACGTTAACTGCGTGTGGTGGTGGTGCGGCGAGGTGAGCATCGTAAGTACTAATTCCGGCTAATCGAAGCGTGCCCTGGAGCACCCATAAACACACGTAGGTGTGTGTACACGAGTACCAGAAAATACTTTTAAAAAAGAAAAGCCTCTTTCACACCTTCTATTGCACCAACGGAAAGGACTGCACAAAGACGCTGCTCACAGCGCTCGAGCAAGGCAGGCGTAAGCGTTCCACCATTCGCGCTCTCTCACCCCGACCGATCGCTCCGGCAAGCAGCCGTGCCTCCGACGCTACGTAACTGGCCTCTTTCGTAGGCCGGAAGTTGCTCGTTGCAAGTACATTCAATCTTGGGAGTGTTGAAGGAAAAGTAAGAGCGCACCTCAGAGGACCTCCTCCGTTTCCTCGACGCCTCCACGTCGTTTTGTTCCGCCCCCCCCCCCCCCTCCCCCTCCACCCAACAGTCGTACAGCGGCAAGGCATCGCCGTCTGCATACCCTTCCGAAGCGCCAATAACTCGTCTTGGGCGAACATTGTGTTTCCCCGATATCGTTTTTAGACAACTCTGTTCTGAATTTATATATGTATACGAAAGCATTCGGTAGTATCATCGGTTATTACTATTATTATTATTGTTCGTTCCGCGTCGCTTACTGATAGTCGGTCAGCGTCAATGGAGAATCGTGTGGTGGCCCTCGCTGTGCTGGAGAACCTGATCCATTGGCCGTTGCCGCACCGCAGCGGTTACGTGGCCCCGAGCAGCGTGTCCGACGACGGAGGAGAAGAAGACACCTTCAACGCCAACGCCATCTCCGCCGGAGATGTCGATGACCTCCTGCGTGAGCCGCGGCAGCGAAAGCTGGACCGCTACCGCGCTGTCCTGCTTCTACCGCTCCTGTGTCACAAGCTCGGCAGCCGCTGGGTGGAGTCGGAGGTAGTGCCTTATCTTCTCCGCTGTCTCGAGGAGGAGGATGCGCAGCTATCGCTGGTGACGGGGTTGGCGTTGCTGGGCGTGACGCTGCCACGGCGTGGTCCTCTCGGCCCGTCTGCCACCGCCGCGACCGCGAGCCCGACGTCCACGATGGTCAAGACAACGCGCACCGCTGCGTCTACGCCTGCGCCGGCAGGGGTGACGACTCCTCCGCCCACGACAGCAGGAGGAGGTAGCGGTCACAGCAGTCCGACAACACCAACCGCAACGGTCAGCAGCTCCAACGCGTACCTCAGCCTCAACGACGTCCAGCCGGTCTGTGCCCTCCTCGCCGCCAGCAGCACAGAGGAGACGCGTGCCTTTGCCGCGCAGGTCGTCCTTCCGCACCTGTACTTCGGCACGAGTCTCGAGCGTGATATCACGCTCGAGAGCTGGGATTTGAAGTTTGTGCCGCTGTCGGTGCTGCACGCTGACATGATCGCCTCGAACAGCGGTGAGGCGGGCGAGGACGATGGCAGCCCTGCCGCAGCAGCAGCAGCCGCGCGGGCGGAGGCGGGGGACGACGGAACCGCCACACTGCGGTTTGTAGCCGCGGTCCGCCAGCAACTCGCGCGTCAACGTCAGCAGGACGACGTTCGCAAAGGGCAGTGGCAGCAGAGGTCGAAGAACACCAGCAGCGCCACTACTAGTAATAGTAACACAGGGGAGAGCGGCGCAAGCTCGTCGAACGACGTCGGCTCGAACAGCGCGTCGTTTCCGAAGCTGAAAGTGGAAGACGTGGCGGCCACATCAGCGGGCGGGTCCCTGCGATTGCTGCCGGCGATTCCCACCGACGAGGAGGTGCGGAGGCGCTGTCAGGCCCTCGCAGCAGAGGACGAGAGCATGCAGTTCTTGTTCAACGGGACCTACGACACCCTCACCGGTCCGTGGGGCTTCAGCGGATGTCGTCTTGCCGTTCTTGGTCACGGTGCTACACCTCTTCACCCCTCCTCCGACAATCGCAGGAACAGCACAAACGGCGGTGGCAGTAGCAGCAGAGAACGCGGAGCAGCGACATTGATAAGTGCTGGCGGTGGTTTTCGCAGCTTCCGTCCCCATGAACGCCGGGTCAGCGGGAGTCAGAGCCTCCGCGGTGCCCCACCCCGCTCTCAGCGCCCTCTGTCCGAAGCGGACTGGGAGCTCTACGGTGCCTGCTACGCCGCGGATACCGGCAACAACGGCGCCAACAGCAACGGCTCCGGAATCGCGGATCCCGGCGATGACTTCTTCTCGGTTAACGTACGGGCCCGTGCGTTGGTCGGAGACCTCACGCGGTGGATGGAGGCGCTGACGCCGCCGGAGCAGGAGGAGGCCGACGCGTCGCCGGCAACTCCCACCACTCCGTCGTCACAGCTGTTTTTCTCCGGGCAGACGATACTGTCCCTCTACGATTACGTCGCCCACGACGCCCGTCGCGAGGTTTTGCGGAGTCGCTGGCGGGCGCTGCTGCGGCTTCTGCAGAGCCTGCTAGAGTCTCCGTATCCGGGGCCGGTGGCCGTGGCAGTGGAGCTCATCAGTGCGCTACTGCACGCGCTGCAGTTCGTCGCGGCAGAAGTGGCGTCCTACCTTCAGCGCGGACTGAACGACAAGGGGCCGGCACCCTTTGTGAATGCCGAGGCAACCGCCGTTTCGACTACGACGACCAGTGAAGCGAGCTTCTTTGAGAAGGGCGACGCAGATTCCTTGCTGTGGGGCATTGCTGTCCCCGCCAGTCCCCTTCTCACCACCGCCCAGCTGCAGTCCTTCCTGTATCGCACCACACGGCGCCACATCGCGTACTGCGTCGCAGCTGCCTTGACGGTGCGCAAGATCAGTGTGCCGCCGTCGTTGCAGTCCAACTCTGTGAGAGCTAGTAATAGTGCTGCGGGTGCAGCGTCATGGCGAGCACCAACAGAAGCCCTTGCCCGGCTGCTCCGTGCGACCCTCCCTGTTGCCCAGAATACCCTGACAGAGCTGCTTCTGCGTCATCACCTCATAATGAAGCTGAGCGCACCGCCGGAGGCAAGTCTGAGTGCGAGGGAGGCACGTAGCAGCAGCGGTGCCTGTGAGGTGTTGCAGATGGGTCCGGGTCCGTGCGAGTCGAGGGCGGCCGCGCTGCGTGCGTGGGACCTTAGTTTTTCGCCCTCCTCCGCGCACGCCGGGCCGTGCGCCATGCCGGACGACGCCTCGTTTCTGTTGAGCACCGCCGCGGCGGCGGGGGATGCGTCCTCCTCCACCCCGACGCGGACGGAGAGTGCTGTGTTGGATCGCTCGCTGTGGCTGCCCGGCACCCTCAACTCCTTTTCCATCTTTCGCTTGCATCGCGTAATTCGGCGGGCGGTGCTGCTGGCCCTGCCGCTCTGTGTGGACCTCCTCTCCCTGTTCAGCCCAACGGCCTCTCCCCGCACTGCCGCAGGTGCCGCCACCACGCCGACGGTCTTTTCTCTCCGTGCGGTGTGTCCCATGCTTCTTCAGGTGTTGGTCCCGCCCGGTGCCCTGCCCGCACTTCTGCGTGTCCTGCACGCAGCCGCGACGCTACCCGACGAGGCGGCGCCGCGTCCGCAGCACGTCGACCCCTCGATGGATTCGGCGCCGGCCCTCGCAGCGGCCTTCCCGTTGCTCTGGTCCGCCATGACCGCCCCGCAGAGCGTCTTCGGCGCCGCAGCGGCGGAGCAGGCGCAGGAGACGCCCGCGTCGGTGGACTTTGAGCTGCTGGAGGCAGCCTTGGATTCCGTGCAGCGCCTCGTCGCAGAGGTGGCGGTGCAGCTCTCCTCCACCTCCACCGCTTTCTCTGTGTCCGCCGCCGCCGCCGTAGCGGCTTTACCAGTGGCGGCAATGCACTCTGTCTGCGCACAGCTCTTCACCCTTGTGGCCGCCTGTGTGCGGTGGGTGCCGCGGTACACCCACTGGAAGGCGCGGTGGCTGATGGCGCAGAAGCTGCCAAGGCTGACCTCCACTTTCTGTTTCGTGTTGACTTCAGTGGCAGACCTGGTGAAGGAGAAGGTGGCGGATGCGACCGGCCGTGACGACGGCTCTGCTGCGACTTCTTTTCAGGAGGTGGCGGTTGTGTGGATGCACTGCGCCCTGCAGCTGCTCGCCTCTGTTTGGTCCTGCGCAGAGACGTTCGGTGCGGCCCCGCTGAACGACCTGACCGACGACGAAGAAATGGAGGTGCGCTGCGTCGCCGTTCGTAGTGCCGCCTTCACCTTCCGGCGGGTGGTGGAGGCCGTCCTGCGCATCAGCGCGAACAGGCACCTGTCCTCTTCAGCTGACGCTGCGTCCGCTTCGGTGTTGCTGGTGCTGCTGCCCTCGTTGAAGACGCCGCTCACGCAGCTGCTCGATGCGACAGCACAGTGCGCTCTCGTCGGGGCGAACGATGCCGATCCGCGTGTGCGGTGTGGCGCGGCAGAGGCACTCGCGGTGCTGTCACGCACACTAAGCATGCTTGTCGCCGCGGCGGACGAGCGGGGGGCCGCCCTTGTGGTGCCGCGCTGCACGACCGACGACGGCCGAAGCAGCGAGGAGGCGTTGTGGACGCGTTACCTCCGCACCAACACGGAGGCCCTCCTGCGTTTGATGAGTGATGAGAAGCCCACGGTGCAGCTGGCCCTCGTCTCGCAGCTGACGGATCTCCTGCTCCTGCGCATGCGGCAGCAGCAGCAGCCCTCTCATGGGACCACGGCTGCGAACGGAGGCACCACAAACACCAACAGTCTCACAGGCAGCTGTGGTGGTGTGGACGGCCACGGTGGCAACGACAGCGACAATGGAGAACTGCAGCGCAGCACTGATCAGGTGCAACACGAGGCCCTCCTGCAGTGCCTTCGCCAACTCGCTCACCACGAGCTGTGGCGTCTGCGGGAGCAGTACGCCGTCTTGCTGGCGCATTTGTGCGAACGACTTCTGCAGGCAGCCATGACGATTCAGCCACGAAAAGTCTGGGGGCGACGACTGTCTGTCGATGATACGGCGGCTGCTGTGTCGACGACGGGTAGAGCCGCAGGAAGGGATGCGATTACAGCAGCCTCAACAAATGGGGATGGGAGTGCGTCAGCGGAGGCGGAGACCTCTCCGTACGGCCACACCCACCCCCTCTACCAACTCGCCCGCACGGAGCTGTTAACGCTGCTGGTGGCTGTCTTGTTTGACAAGGTAAAGGCGGTGCGCGACGCTGCCCTCGACGCGGTGGAAGGGATGTGCCTGCAGCTGGCCGCGGCGACCCGACAGAGCAACACGTTCCTTCAGCAAGATGCGCGATCGTCGCCTTCCGGACTGGCGAGTCACGTGAACGGCGGGGCAGCGGGCATGGGACGCAACCTCGGATCCGCCATCGGCGCCACCGCCTCCCCCACCGCCGCCGCCGCGACCTTCCAGAACAGGGGCAGCAGCAGCGGTAATAACAACAGCGGCGGCGGCGCCTACGACCTCAACACCTTTGTGGACAACGTGCTGTGGCCGCGTATCAACGCGTACGCGAAGGCGTGGGAAACCTACCTGAGTCGGAGTGCGCTGCTGCACATCGCGCTGCGGCTGCGCGTGGAGAAGACGTCGGTGTTCATTCCCCTCCTCGATCAACTGGCGCGAGATCCGGTCCTTAACGTGCGCTTGGTGGTGGCGAAAATTATTCTAGAGGTGCTACTGCGCAGTGGCAGCAGTGGCGCCCCCGACGTGTACGCAAGGACGACGACGTCGGTGCCGGGCAGAGATGGGGAGGCGGCAGAGGATGGTAGTGGCGGGGCGGCGGGTACGGACGAGGCCGCCACCGCTGCTTCTCTCACGCCGGAGCTGCCCTCTGGCACCGTCGCCTATCGCATCCTCATGAACAAGACGGCGTTGTCTGGGTCCGGTGTAGGGGCGGTGCTGCCGCCTCTGCAGTTCACGGAGGAGGAGCGGACAGGGGTGATCTTGCAGATTCTGCGGCAGTTGTTGAAGGACGCGAGCTCCGACGTGCGCGACGAGGCGGCGAAGGCGCTGAAGGTGTGCTTTTAATGTGGGTATGGGTGGCCGTGGTGGACACGGTTGTTGGAATGCGGAAACCTCTCCCGATGGAGGCGGTGAGGAATAGACTTTCTATAGAGCGAGAGAGCGAGAGGGAGCGCACACAGCAATAGTCAAGAAACCGAAATGGTTGCCGCCACTCAATCTGCCGCACTGCCGTCAGCAACTCCACTGCTGCAAGACGCTCAAAGGGCAGCGAAACGCCTCCACGAGTCACACACCGCTGAAGAGGGGCGGTGGAGGCGGGAGAGAGCGAGCGATATCGGTCACGATGACCGTCGTGACATGTTCAAACACCACATTTCTCCCTCCTTTCTTTCTCTTTTCGTTCTTGTCTTCTTCTGCTAGAGCGAAACACAAAAGTCGAGTGCGTTTACATCTTTATATATATTTGCAGCTGCACATTCAACGCAGCAGCAGCGCAGCGTTGCCTCCGCAAAGGACCTCGATCTAGTACCAGATAGAACGTCAGCGTGGCGTTGTTGTTGTTGCTGCTGTTTCTTTCTTTCTGTGAAATCAGCGATGGCCACATCGGACAGCCAGGCCGACTTCACATCGTGGAGTCAAGAAAGCACTGTTCGGCCCCTGCTACGCATGCCGCTGAAGACAGTCCCCGTCTCCACACCTAACAACGCACCTCTCGAGGCGACGAAGACGCAGGTCTATCTTCCGCCAAAGACTTCTTCGTCAGCGGCGCCGCCTCCTTCTTCTCCCTCTACGTCAGACAGCTCCCCCGTGCCCATCCCGTCCTTGGACAGGTGGAAGACGGCAACGAGGAAGCCGTCGGCCGCACAAGGCGTCGATGTCGTGCCGCAAGATGTAGTCGATGGGCTGCCGCCGCCGGAGTCGTCGCCTGCCGCCGCGAAGGAGCAGCTCCTGCTGGAGCAGCGGCGCCTGTTAGAGGCAGAGCACGATGCGAGAGACCGCGACCTGCGCGCACGGATGACGCAGCCAACGGGACGTGCGCCATCGGCCTCTCGGCTCTCTCGCAACTCCTGTGCCGCATCGTCGTCTTCTGCCTCCTCCTCCTCTGCATTGTCTGCGAACACTTGTGACCGTGACAGCGCCGTGGCGAGCGCGGAGGGCGACGCTCACCACCATCATCATCATCATCACCATCACCACCAGACCTCCTCGTCTCTCCCCGATCACAATGATCCACCGCGCCAGGCCCCTCTACCCCCCACGCATGGTGGCGCTCCTGCACCTGCCGAACAAGAGGAGCCCTCTCCGTCTTCTGCGAAGAAGCCCATTGCGGCTTCCACCGCTATCGATTCCCCCGCCACTGCGCAGCCTGCGGAGGCAGCTCGACCTCCTTTTCCTCCCTCGCCGTCGCTACTGCGAGCCGAGCAACAGCAGCGGCAACGCAGTACGGACCTTCCCGATCCGCACAGCCACCATTCGCTGTCGTTGCAAGAGCTACGCCACGATGTGCAGAGCTGCGCCCGCGAGATTGAGCGGCTGGTGGAGGACCAGTACGACCTCCGCCGCTCGGTGCGTGACATCCTCGCTGAGATGGCGGGTGCGAAGGCACCGGCCGCTCCTGCTCTTGCTCCTGCCAGCCCGTCGCCCTCTGCTTCTCCAGCCAGTCCAAGCCTCAACGACGCTACACCGCAACAACAGCAGCAGCAGCAGCAGCCGGCACCACGCAACAGCAGCGACGGCAGCGCCGACCGCCTCCTTTCTGATTCTTCTGCGGACTCGGAGTTCCCATCCGCATCTCAGCCGCCGCCTCCGTGGCTCCTGTCGTGGATGCAGCAGCAGCGCACTGAGCAAGCCAAAAGCTTCCAGCACCTGCGTGAAGAAGTGGTGGTGATGATTTGCAATGCCGTTGCCGAGGTGCGGCACGCCTCTCGACGCTTGGCTGAGGGAAGCGGCGACGAGCACGGGAGTCAACGACGCGGTGGTGCACCGCCGCACGCGGTGGGGCCTTCGATCGCGAATCATGTCATGGAAGCAGACACTTTGTCGGTGAGGCAGCGAGGAGAGAGGGAGGAGGAGGAGCAGCAGCGTAATGAAGTCGATGAAGAATCCCTGACGCCGCTGCTGATGCGGCGGCGGCAGCGGAACCGACGGCTGATGTCACCGACTCCACCAAACCGCTCCGATCTGGTCTCTTCCGTTGCCTCCACCTCCGAGTCGTCTCTCTCCTCGGTGCAGCGACACGACGCTCTTTGGTCGGCGTTGCTTCGCATTCAGCGAGTGGTGGACAAGCAGTCGGCGCAGATCGCGCAACTGACGGCATGTGTGTGTCCACCGACAACCCCGTTTCCGCAACTGCAGGCAGCTTCTCTAGAGCACCGACAACCGCATCAACATCAACATAAACATCGAGAGCCTTCCACTGCGTCATCCATCACGTCAGCGACCGCCTCTACCGCCACCACAGCAACGGCTACGACGGCGCGAAGCGACCACCACCACCACCACCATCACGCGCCGCACCGCAAACCGACGCGCACGTCATCCAAAGTGCAGACGACACACCGCCCTCTTCACCGGAAAGCCGGTCGACTCGATGACATCCAGGATGGCGTGAGTGACCTGCGTCATCTTCTGCGAGAGACGTTGCAGCGGGATCGGCAGTTGGCGCAGCGGACACCAGACACGCCCATCAGCGAACGCGCACATTCATATCAGCAACACCCATATCAACAGCAGGATCGAGGGCCAAGCAGTGCCAGCAGCAGCGATGTTCGCAGCTCCAAGTACGCGCAGCGACGGTACGTGCCAGCCAACCAGCAACTGCCGCCGTCAGCACCTGTGGGCAGTCGCTACGCGGACCCGCACCCCTCCGCAGCACGTCCAGCCACGCGTGGAAATGGAAACATGGAGGGCCGGTTCTTACCGGGAGAAGACACGCGACACGCACACGGCGTGGTGCCTCAGCGACAGCAGCGCACCTCGGACCCGCGTTCGGTGCCCTCGCGGGACCGCACCCCCTCACTTAGCGCATCACCGGTCCACGAGGAGCGGGTGGACGTGAACGTTTACCGCGATGATGTAGCAGCCGATGCAGGCGGGCGGCGAGAGGAAGACGTACTAGAGACACCGCCGCAGCTGCCACGACAACGGGTGCGCACGGTGCTGACGTCCTCTCTTGTTTACCCCCACGCATAGCTGCGTCGATGAGCGATGTGGGTTTGAGTGTTTGTGCTTCGTTGTACAGTTTTTTCTCTCTTTCAATCGATTTAGCAGCGTGGCGGGACTCGCCCGTTTTTATAGCACAAGCGTCAGCGCTTCGGGTTTCAGCAAAAATACAAAAGAAGCACACAGACACTGGAGAGCGAGAGAGAGAGAGGGTGTTGTACGGCAGCATAATTATTTGTTGTTGTGTACGACACCGAAAGCTCTCAAATAAAACCTTATGAACGTCTCAACGATTCCTTTCAGTATTATTATTTTTCAGGGGCAGTGCCTTCCCACACCGCACACCCAACCTAACCTGTCCTGTCCTGGTCTCTCGTTCCACCTCTTCAGCTGTCCTCTCCCTTTATCCACGTTCTTCTCAGCACAACCCCCCTTTGCTGGAACCCGCCGGTACTGCGATTGTTTTCACACGCCGCACAGAAGCGAGGAGGTTCGATTGTTTGTTTGTTTTTCTAAGGGAAAAGGTGTCTTCATTTGCTCTCTTTCCCTTACCCCAACAAGGCCACCACCCGCTGCTTTCGGAGGTAATCTTGAAGGTACGATCTTTTCTTTTAGAAAGACGACAGTAGACGTAAAACCTAATGCTGCGTCTGCACAGCGCGCGTGTCGCGGTGGTGGCCACGACGCTGGCACTCCGCCGCACCTCCGCTGCCTGCGGTGCCCCGCGGGCGTCGCTGCGCTCTCTCACAGCCGATGCGGCGGTGTCCCCTGCGATCCTCTCTGCGTCGACGGCTGCGCGGCGCTTCTTCGTCGCCCGCGGGCCGTCGCAGATCCAAGCGGCGCGACACTCTCTCTCTAGCCCTCCCACCGCCTTCCCATCCGCCGTCACCGATGCGTCGTCAGCGGGTTTCCTGCGCGGTGCTCGCGTCTCCGCTGCGGGCATCACGATGCCTGTCTTTGCCACGCAGGGCTTGCAGCGTCGCGCGTTTCGGGTGAAGGGGAAGGACAGGGCGTCTGCGCCGGAGCAAGAGGGAGAGGCGGACGCCACGCAGCAGCAGCAGCAGAAGAGCGGCGAGGAGGCCAAGAAGGAGCAGCCGGAGCAGGAAGAAAGCGGAGACGAGAAGGCCAAGACAGAAGGCGAGAGCACCGCGGAGGAAAACGGTGGCAAAGGCGGTGCCAACGGCAAAAAAGGTAAGGCGGCCCCCAAGAAGAAGAAGAGCTTCATGGACCACATCAACGGCCTGCGCGAGGACTACGCGAAATTCCCAGATATCTACAACAGCGCCAACGCGATCAACTTCGTCGTCTTCACCGTCTTCTGCCTCTGCAGCACGGGCAGCACGACGGAGGAGAACTGGTGGATGACGCAGTGGGGTCTCGACAACTCCTTCCGCCCCTGGACGTGGTTCCTTCACTCCTTCCTCACGAACAACTTTCTGTCCATGACCTATGCGATGATGCTGCTGCACACCATGTGCCACCACGTCCTGCCGACGCTCGGCTCGCGCGGGTTGATGATGTACGTGGGTAGCACGGCGGTGATCTCGGGAGCCATTATGTGGCTGGGCAACTACCTGTACTACGGCGGCGCCGCCGCACCAGAGAAGCAGTTCGGGCCGTGGGACGTGGTTGGCGCCCTCTTCGTGATGGAGTACTTCTACTACGGACTGACTCCCCTTACCATCCTCAATAGCTTCAGCGGCTGGATCAAGTACGCGGTGTGGGTGGGTGAGGTTTGCATCTTGTACTTTGACTGGCAGCCAACGGTGGTGGGCACGGTGGTCGGTCTCGCGCTGTGCCGCGGTGTGCCGCGCTTCAGGGCAATGAAGCCGGCCGCTACTGGTGCGATGTAAGCACGAGACAGAATGGGAAACGGTAAGGGGGTAAGGGGTACGGTGCATGGTTACGCAGGAACGCACTGTCCTCCTATTGTTTTCGTTTGGCCTTTCCCCCCCCCCCCCCTCCCCCTTGTACGATGTCGGCGGCTTTTCATGGCGTCTTTCTCTTCTTCTTCTTTTTTAATTTAAGAACTCTTCTTCACATGGTACAGTAAATTCTGAATAAGCCGTTTTAACTGTCGATGCGCTTCTGTGTATGTACGTGTGTGTGTGTGTGTGTGTAGTGGTGGTTGTTGGTGCTTGTTTTGGGTGTTCGAGTATCGTTGTATGGTGGTGCTAGTGCCGCTGGGTTGCCAAAGCAGCGCGTTTCCACGTGCGTCTTGGAGAGCGTTTTTCATGTTGCGTGTGTTTGCGTTCTCTGGGAAGAGACGGCACGGAGGAGTGCCTACGCGGTACCGAAGCAGGGAGAAAGCACGCTGGCTTTTCCTTTTGTTCACCCTGTCCTTCTTAACCTCTCTTTGTTGTAGTGATTGCTGGGCGTTGTTCGGGTTCTATTATTATTACTATTATTATTATCCGTATTGTGCGTCGATGTTTGTTGTGTTTGGCGTTGCGTCACGCCGTACCTCTCCGTGTATTCTTATACTTTCAATTAGTGGAGATGCAGCAGAAGACAGCTGGAAAGCTGTCACCGTCCCCCGCCTCGCCTTGACTTTTGTAGCTTTCCCGGCTTTCTTGTTGGTTTTTTCTCTTTTCCCCTTTTCTTCTCTCCTCTTCCTCCCCTCATCGGTCTCCCGTTGAGAGCAAACGTTAAACCAAAAGCACATACACATGTATTCGACTGAAAGCAGACTATTGTTTGTCTGCTGCCGTGTTCCGCCGCAACTCTGTTGTTGTTGTTTTCCATGTGGAGTGGATCCGCGACAGCGTTGCGTTAAGGGCGAACGCGCTCATGTGGCCTAACCAGCGGTGATGCAACGTCGTCCTTGAGAGCCGTAACCGGCACTCATTCGTGTCCACAAGGAAGGTAATTTTCAAAAGGCGAGAAAGGGAAAAGCGAAGAAGAAACTATCGCCTCTCCTCCGTGCAGCGCGGTGTGCTCTGACGCGGGATATCCCTTCCTGATGAACGTGCACAGCCGTAGTACTTTCCCTGTACCCACACACTTTATCTCTCCTGTTCTCCTTCTCTCGCCCGATGGAGGCTCTACACCCCGCAACGCACGTGAAGATCACCGCACATTCTAAAAATTGGAGAAAGCGCAAGAGGAAAAGAAAGGCCTTTCGTCGTGCTTCGTTACTGTGGGGCGCTAACAAAACAAAAGAAAACGTTCAAGTGCACATCAACTGGGCCTTCGTTGTCTGATTGTTGTCGTTGTTGTTATTATTTTTGACTCAGACGTGCGCAGCTGTTTCGTGGAAGGACTTCGCCTTCGCCTCTACATCTTAGCCTTTTTCACTCGTGTTTCTGAACACACACACTCACGCATAATACACTCTTTGCGTACTTCTCTCTCTCACGTACTCTCAAGCACTCATCGGAGCTGCAGCCGGTTCTACCCCGTTACGGTTATTACCACTTTCTTCTTCTTTTTGATCTTAGATTCACCACTTTCGTGTCCTTGGTTTTACGTTCACTGGGTCCCAACATCGTCGCTCCTTTGTTGTTGTTGTTGTTGTTGTTGTTTTAGATTTCACTAGACGAGTTGTAATCAAAAAAAAGCGTTGATTGAAAGCCTAAATACAGCTTTGTTTTGGTGTTGTTCTTCCTTCTATATTTTGTACACTTTCTTTTCACAGTTCTTTCGTTTTATTATTATTATTGTTTGTTTCCTCTTCGTTTGTTGTTTGCTGCCTGTATCGGTTGTTGTTTTTTCTGCTGGCCGTCAGCACCACGCTGGCCCGCTCTTCCCGTTGTCGCCCGTCGTCGTCTCTTCATCTTCGAGTTGTCTCGTGTGCAGAAGCGGTGCCGCGCGCTTCTTCGTTTCGTCTCGTTTCTCCTTTTCTCCTCCTTCAGCCGCGTTCTCTTTTGTCTTTGTTTTGTGTTTTTCCTCTTCCCCGTTTTCGTTTGTAAATGAATCCCCTCGACTACGCCGCCACCGATGCCTTTGTTCAAACCTGGGCACCCCCCACCCACGTCGGGCGCTCTCTCGGCCCGCACGTCTGCATCGTCCAGCCGCACTTCGCACGAGTCGCGGCCTCCCCCGCTGATCCCGTCGTTGCCTCGCAGACGTCGTTAAGCCAGCGGGTTATTTGCACGGGGCGCACACGCACACACCTGCCCACCCCACACGCTGGCAGCTGCCCCCTCGATTACACCGCCCTCTTCGTGACGTTGCACCGATGTCGGAAAGAAAAGCTGCTGCGCCGCCACGCCAGCAGCGTTGTCCCTCTGCTCGGTCGATCATGCACTTCAAAGATGTCGCAGCCGGCGCTCGACGACAAGCATCGCGCGGTGCGGTGGTCATCGTCCGTTGTCGGTGCAAGCACAGGTCGAGTTGCACCGCCCTCCCAGAACGTTCGTGTAACCTCAGCCGGTGATGCAGCGCGTGTCTCGCGGGCATCCACCTCGGCACATCGCGCCGTTATTCCGGAAGGCCTGACGGTGGTGGAGCAGGCGGTACCGGCGACGGTCGCGGCGGTGATGGCGCAGGTGGCAGCCTCCATGACACCCCCGACGGCGACAACAACAGCGGTAGCAGGAACAGCACCCACGGCAGGGGGAGTAGCCTCACCACGGGTGAGCCATCCCTCTCCGCCTCATCACCATCACCACCATCATCATAATAGTCGCCGTCTCTCGACAGAGACCCGTGTGCCATCTACGCAGCAGAGCCCGCTTACCCCGCAGCCGCAGCAGCATCACCACCACCACCACCACGTGGGACGACGGGCACAACAACAGGTGCAAACCCAAGAGCGACAAGTTACGCCGCAGCACCCCTCTCCTGTGAGCGATGGCGCTCCGCAGACAGCCGCGGCGCCATTCCCGCAGCACATGCGATATCGCGTAGGGCGCAGCGGCAGCACGCAGCTGCAGACCTTACCTGTCACCAACGGCGAGGCAACGCTTGGCGTCGGGGCTGCCGGCGCGGTGGTGGCCGCTGCTCCCGCGACTGCTACAGCGGGCGCAGAGGCGAGAGAAGTTGCCGCGTCGATGTGGAGAGCCACTGCATATCGTCGCAGCGCATCGCCGTTTTCTTCGCTTTCCTCCTCCGTCTCCGTCTCCACCTCCACCTCACTGCCACGTGAAGCCTCCGCCACACCGCTCTCGCTGACCCTCAGCTCCATTCCCCGCTCCGGCACACGTGGGTCGTCCTCTGCTGTTGCTGCTGCTGCGAGCACCTTTGCGCGACTGCCTCGCCCCACGACTCGGGCTTCGCACCGGCGCAGTCTTCGTCCTTCTGGGTCACATGAGCAGCTCAGCGAGGGCATGGAGGACGGAGACACTGCCTTGTTGGTGAGCACCACCATGTCAGCCTCCGCACCAGCAGCGGCGGATGCGGCGACACCAAACGGGCTGGCCGACACACGCATGTTTCTCCGACCGCCTCCGTACTCGCTGCGCGGAGAAGAAAGACTCTACGCGAGTGCCAACTCGTGGAACGCCGGCGTACTCCTCGCCGGATCTCCCCTCGCCGGCAGTAGCACCGCAGCATCCTCCACGTTGTACCGAAGCGCGAGGGTGATGATGGACAGGCCGGACGGCGCAGAGCGCGCAGGCGCCGGCGCAGCCTCGGCGGAGCGGCAGCGCGAACTGCAGCAGCAGTTGCAGCGTGCCCTGGCGCGTCAACGACGGTTAGAGCGGCTGATGTTCCACGACGGCGATGACAACGCGGTGGGCGAGGCGGCGGACGAGGAGGAGAGCACGGAGGGCTTTAACGACGAGGACGATGACGTGGATGTCGAGCCGCTCTGGCAATCGTCCCCGCTCACGCAGGTCCTTCTCCCTGGAACCATTGCCACGGCGGCTGCCCAGCCGTCATCATCGCTGCCACAGCAGCCATCACAAGAGGACCCGCCACCGTATCGTGTGTCGAGTGTGCACCCTCACGTGCACGTCTCACTGAGTCGCTTTCGGGAAGCGCGTGAAGACGAGGGCGACCTTGGAATCCGCGCTGACTCGGTGTTGGACGTACCGCGGGAGTGGCGGGTTGTGGGAAGGGTGCGGAACACCACCACGTCGCCCTCCCCGCAGCCCGATCCCTCGTGGGTACGCCGGCAGCGACGGCAGCAGCGGCGAGGAGGCGGCCGAGGCCCTCATCAACCCAGTCGGCATCAACCGTCTGGCTCCGCAGCCACGACGGCGGAGGGCTCCCCCGCACCCACACCGGCATCCACGACCTCAACGCGAGCCGCAGCAGCAGCGGCGGCAGCAACAGCAAGAGAAGCATCAATGACGGCTGCCCATCGGCACACAGCCTCCACCTCCAACTCCGCTGCGACCGTTTCGCGGTCCGCCGCGATGGCCCCGACGTCGTCCCAGCGGGGCGGCAGCGGCACCAGCGAGGCGGACACCGACGCCGCTCGCATGCCGACCGCAACTTCTACCTCCCCCATCACGACTGCGATGTCTCCCTCGATGCTGTCGGTCATGACCGCGGCACTGCGGGGGCCGTCGTCGATGTCGCTCTTCGCTCCGTCGCTGCCGCGACACACGGAGAGGGCACAGGAAGCAGAAGGAAGGACGAGACCAGCAGCTGTTGCAGAAGGTGATGCCGACACGGCTGCGGCGCACGACGCGTCGGTCTCGCCGGTGCTGCCCTCCCCGATTCGGGCGGTCGCGGTCCGTCGCCCCTCAATGCCGAGTGCCGCGCTCACGGATATCGTGTGGGACATGACGGTGTGGAAGGGCGACAGCGCGGCGGTGGCGGATCCAGCGGCTGCTACGGCGGTGGTCTTGCACTGTCCGCGGCTCGCCTCCGCCGCCGCCTCGTCTTTCTCTTCTTCGGCTTCCTCCTCGTCCCCTTCGTGGCGGCGCAGCAGTCCGCAGGTGAACGGGGCGGGTCGTTGCGCGGGTGGACGACGGGTGGTGAGGGCTGTCGATGACGATGACGACGACGATGATCCACACGTGGGGGTGAAAGAGGCGTCCGCGTGCCGGCAGAGCAGTCCTGCGCCGGCGCAGCTCCCCAACGAAGCCGCCGTGCCACGCCGCCGACGACCAGCGCCGCGGTGGGCTGAGGCGCAAGGCAGTGAAGAAAGGAAAAGGGACGCCGACGGCGAGGAGGTCGCCGATTCCGTCTCCCTTCCGGCGTCTGGTGACTTCGACTCTCCCTCTCCCGCAGCTCGGTGTGGCAGTGGGCAGGGTAGTGCCCCGTCTAGCGGTGCTTTCCGCGCGTTAGATGAGGCTGCAGACAGCGAAGTGCCCACCGTCCGTCGCACCAGCCCAGGCGTCAGCGAGCCCTCGTCCAAATGCACCCGCTCCAGCGCAGGGGAGGACGGAGGCAGCAGTGGTAGCGCGCAAGCCGCCGGTAGCGCCGCCGGGACCGGAGGCGGCGGCGAAGACAGGGAGTCGACCTCGGAGCATAGTGCATCGCTGCGCCGCGCCTCGTCGGCCTCCGCCTCTCCCGCACCTCAGCATCGCTCAACGGACGATGACGCCATCCTTTTCCATGCCACGTCAGTGGGGAAGGAAGCAGTGGACACGCCGCAGGTGACGGCGCCTCGCAGCACGGCAGCAGCAGCGGCGGCAGCTCCAATGTTGTTCCTCTCAGACATGCTCCGCCTCTCCTTCTCGCCGGGACGGGACGACGGCAACGATGGCGATGACAACGCTGCAGGCGAGAGCAACGACGTGGACGGCGCGTCGTCGTCACCCGTATCGGGCACAGCACCAGGCCGACGGTACAACTCGATGAGCGCGGCCACTCCACGAAGCGCAGGCCCCCCCGCGTCACGCTACTTCAGCCGTGTAGAGAGCCACCCATGTGACACTACATGTGAAGGCGACCCCGTCTCTGGTGGTGGGACCGAGCGCTACCCGCCGCCTCCGCCTCCGCCGCCGCGCGCCTCCGATGACGGTGAAAGGACCGTGACAAGAGGAGAGCGCAGCGGCGTGGCGACCACCTCCATCTCCTCGAGCCCGCCGTCGCCGAATCGCACAGCCATTCGGCATGCCGCCAGTCTGATGACAGAAGAAGAGGAGGACGGTTACGCGGAGGGAGGGCCGCCGCACTCCTCACTGATGTCGGCTCGATCGCCCTTCTATCCATCCTCACCATCGAACTCTGCTGCCGCCGCCGCCTCCCACCTCTTCCCCGCCCTCTCCATCACTCCGCGGACGCCGACGGGGGTGTCGAATCGACTGGCCCTGTCGATGGATGAGCGCGGTCTGTACGCGTCCACGGCGAGCACGGTGGCGTGGGACACCATGGCCTCCCTTTCAGTCCTCTCCACAACACCACCACCAGCAGCAGCAGGGGATCGCCCTTCCTTCGCGCAGCCACGCTTTTCGGAGGACTCCCTTGCGTCCTGCACCACGCGCTCGCCTGCTGCGGCCGTCTTCTCGACGCCTGCCGAGACGCGGCTGATGTCGCTGCTGCGGGCCTCCACGTGGGCTGCGTCGACGCACCAAGACGATGACGCTGCGAGTGAGCAACGTGTGGAGGAGGAGGAGGAAGAGATGTGCACACCGCGTCGCTGCGCGGACTTGGAGAACGTCAGCCACAGCAGTGCCTTCAGCAGCCCCGCGCCGCCGTTGCGGACAAGCGATAGCAGCCCCTTCCCCAACGGTACGCGAGAGGCGGATGGTGCTGCGGCTGCGGGTGCATCGACCGCGATGATGCCACCACCGCCGTCCTTTTCGCCTTCTCTTTTTACGGCGATGGCGCCGCCGCAGTCGTCGCCGTTTCGCGGCTCAGGCTCCTTCCTGCACGTGCCGCCGAGCTGGAGTGCGTGCCACAACATCACCACCAACGCAGTGGAGGAGGGACGGCCCTCGGACGGCTTCGAGGCGGACATCCAACTTCTCGCCCGCATGACACGTATGACCGTTGGGGGCAACGGCGCTGCTGCTACTGCCGCTGCTGCGCCGCCCATTCCATCTACACCACCCAAGCACAACGCAGAGGAGCAGCAGCAACAGCAACAGCGGCGAGTCCCGTCCCCCTCCTCCTCACCGGTTCGCTTTTCTACGAACTCCCTCAGCTTCTTTATAACGGCAGCAGGAGGTGTCGCTGCAGTAACAGGAGGAGGGAGGAGTCCTGCGGGAGCGAGACGTGACGACGACGACGATCGATGCCGCATGCGCAGCGGCAGCGGGGTGTACGGCAGCGCCGTGGCCAGTCGACGCTCCTGGGCTCCGCGGAAGGCGCGTCCGGGGCGGCGCGGTAAGCAGCCTCGCACCCGGGCCTCTGTCAGCGGTGGTGGTGGTGATAGTGGGCGTTACGTCTCCTCCTTCGCCTCCGCTGCTGCCTCGTATTCACGCAATCCGTACCACCAGCTTCGCTTCACCTCGGAGCTCACCTCGCCCTCGCCGAGTGCGCGGCCCAGCGGGGGTGATGGAAGCAGCCGCAACAGTGTCAGCGGCGTCGTCCTGCTACCGCAACGACTGACGTTTGGTAGCGCCATCCCCTCCCTGTCATCGCAGCTCGCATCGACGGTGATCACATCAGAGGGAGTCAGCGATAGCGGGGAGCGCTGTTCAACGGCTCTGTCAACGCCCACAGGAAATGTGTTCCCAACGCCTCAGCAGCAACAGCGACAAGAAAGTCACGCCCGTCTCCACCGTCCTATTCCGATGCTGTTCACGCCGAACTCAGCGGCGATGCTGCTCAGTGCCTTCATCTAGACTACTCAGAAGCCGATGAGGCAAGTGGGGAAGGTCTGCGCTCCCCCTCCCTGCCATCCTTGCACGGTCAAGACCCAGAAGACCCACACGAGCAGCAACAGCAGCAGCAGCACGCGCAACGCTCTCAGTGGATGCATGCAACTTCCATGTCACCGTCCGTCGCCCGTACCCCCAGCTGTCGCACATCTCTCTTATCAGCGGACTTCTTACAGGCGCCCCGCCGTGCACTGCGTGACGACTGCCGTCGAAGCTGGACCCCGTCCGTCGACGCGCTACTATCGTGCCCACCGAGTGTGGAGGGACGAGCCGATTCTATCCGTAGCCCCTTCCTTCAAGGCAGCTTCGGCATGAGCGAGGAGAGCGGCGAGTTCAGTACTGCTGCAGCTGCTGGTGCTGGTGGATATGCGCCGCCGCGACGCCCGCGTCGTCCCAGTCGTGCCTCGTCCTTTTCTCTCCTCCGCTCCCCGTCTGCCAGCGGCACACGGCTTACCTGGGGGACCGCGACGTCGGCCGCCGCACCGTCAGAGGCCCGTCCGCGCAGCTCCAGCGGTGGCTTCTACTTCCACGGAGGTGGCGGTGGTGGCAGCGCGACGCCGCTGCGTATGCCGCTGACTCGCACGAGTGGATTGCTAATCGAATCGTTCTTTTCCCCACCACCGCCACCGCCACCACCTGCCGCTTCTCCACACGCCGCAGCGAACCCCACCGCCACCGCCGCAGCAACAACACAGCTTCTCACCCTTGCCGATGAGTTACGCTCCTTCAGCAGCCCCGTCTTTGGGCCGCTTCTCCCGCCCTCCTCCTCGTCGTCTTCGGTTGTCGCGCCTCCTTCAGCTCCTGCCGTCGTCGCTCCTCCTGCCTCTACGTTTCTCGCCTCTCCGCCCCGCCGCTCTGCCGTGCAGCTTCCATCAGGGACCTCCTTCCTTGCCTCCCCACCCGGTTCGGAGTCGGGCAGCAACAACCACAGTGGCGGTCTGCGTCGCAGCGGCGCGGGTCCTTCGCAGGTTTCTCTCCCACCTGCGCTGCAGGCTCTGCTGATGCGTGGATCTAACGCTGCTACTACCGCTCCGACATATGAGGCCGCCGCCGGTGATCGAAGCATGGGTTCTGTGACGCAGACGTTGGTCGATGACGATGGGGTAGAGCAAGGATTCACGACGCCACAGAAGGCTGCGGCACCAACGACGTCGACGGATCAAGGGACGCCGTCGCCTGTCGTCAAGACGCCCTCACACCGTCGCGGCTGCAGCGAGCGTCGTGAGGTGAACGTGGAGCACGGTGCAGCGCGTCTCTCTCCCCCTCGCTAGGCTTCACCCATGATCGGTTGTTGTTCACGTCGTTGCGAACTCTTAATGAATACGTGTGACTGCACCTCGTCTGCAACGCATTCGTTGCTCCGTTATTTTTTCGTTCTCTCTTATATATATATATATATTTCTTTCGCTTGCTAGATCATCGTTGTGTATTCGTGGTTCGAGTTTTTCTGGTCTGTACCTCGTGCATGGCATGCATGTACCCACCCCCACCCCACCCCCTCCTCTCTCCTTGTACTTCGAACCCCCATTGCCGTTGTTGCATTCACTCACTACGAAAAGCAAGAAAAAAAAACAAAAAAGCTGACTGAATGAATGAGGCGGTTGATTGACCCCCCCCCTCCCCCCCACAAACCGCCGACCTTGATGTGTGCGTCCGAGCATTTCCTCTATTCAAAAGAGAAGATGGAACGGGATTGCACCACACACACACACCTGCTTCTTCGCTTGAAAGCGGATCGGTACTTCAGGGGCGTTCCCTGCCTGCAATGCAACGCGTGTGTGTGTGTGTGTGTGTGTGTGTGTCTCCCACAGTGTTGATTCTCTCCCTCTCCCCCTCTCATGCTACCTCGTTTTCCTTTGCGCATCCGTTCTTCTCTTCGTATCTCCTGACTCCTTCCCGAAGCAGCCAGCCTTCACCAACGACGTCGACGTACACACTCCCACAACGGCAACACCTTTTGAACGGAGTGCGTACGCGAAAGCGCAAGGATGAGTCGCGGCTCCTCCTCGTATTCCTCCTCATCGTTCTCCGCGGCGTCTGCGGTCCCCTTGGGCGAAGGCGCCAATGATGCCGCCCAGTACGTGCAGGTGTCCGCGGCAGAGAAGCGGCACGAGTGGAGCTCGACGCAGCCGCATGTTGTCCCCTCTGCTGTCTCGAGCTCTACCTCAACCTCCATGCTGCCTCCCTTGCCCGGTACGTCGCTTCCTCGCCGGCCTCGCACGCTCTCGGAAGCCTCCTCGAACGCCTCCTGGATCTCACGGAGCCCTCGACGAAAAAGAAGCAGAGAAGCCGACGTCGCCTCACAAGAGCAGCTGCAGCAGCTGCAGCAATGGGAGAGGGAGAGTAGTCCTCGCACCATCGTCCGCACGGCAGACATGGAACGGAGCAGAAGAGCTGTACAGGCGTCGCGATCCACCTCTCCTCTCGACTCTTGTCAACTCTCTGCCCCGCGCACGCGCTCCTCTTCGTCTACGAGGGCGACGATGATGATGACGCCGCCACCACAAGCCCCAGCCAGCATCTCTACAACGCCTCTTCAGACGTTGTCCCGCAGCAGCAGCAGCAGCAGCAGCAGCGGATTTTTCGAAATTATGCTGAACCACGCTCGCGTGAACGTCGACCGGCGATACCCCTTCTTAAATCCCACCTCCCTCTTCACGGCGCGTGCGACCCCCAGCGACTCGGTGGTGCCGCCGAACCTGCATCGCTACGGCAACCGCCCTGTCTTACTGCTCGACTCCACGGGGGCCCTGTACCTGCAGATGCAACGACGTGCACGTCGACAGGAAATCCTCACCGGCATAGGCAGACTGTTGGCCGAACGTGCCGATTTGATACAGACGGCGCGGGTGTGGCGGATGCGGCTTCTGCGGTCGACGAGGCGCAACAGCAGCGTGTTTGATGTGGCAACGAGCTCAATTCCCACCGGTGAACAAGCAGAGGAGGAGGAGGGGGAGGGGGTACACACGAAAAGTATCGTGGTCGTCCATGAAGGTGTTCGCCGCAGCGCCGCAGACGTGCAGCACCTCATCCGCTCCACCGGTGCCCGCCGTGCTGCCATCACTCTTGAACTGAAGGCGCTGCGCAGCCAACTCGCACACCTCACGCAAGCCAAGCGCTACGGCGAGGCAACCCGCGAAGGCTGTGTCCTCCTGCTTCCGTCTCCCGTAACGCACGAGGTGCGGCTCTGCTCCGGACACCACTACCGCACCGTCTGTTTTGTTGGGGAGGAGTTGATGGACATTGTGCCGGGCGACGGCCTTGCTCCGCCTCCGCTGTCCGCCCCATCGTCATTAACCACCACAACGGCAGCGGCGGCAGCGAGGCGGTCCCTATCCTCAGAAGCCGGCTCCCGGCCTCCTCACCACAGTCCGCCCACGGTCGTACCACCAACACCACCACTCGAGGCAGAGGACGACCCGGCACAGCGTGCGGCCCAGCCACCGACTCCATCGTGGGTGAACGCAGAGCTGTCGGGCTACACCATCTTTCGCCGTCTGCGTGCGGCAGAGGAGAAGCGACGGAGACACGGCGGGAGGCGTGGACGCGCCGTCAGCGGCGACGGCGACAGCAGTGACGAGGCAACCGCTACGTTAAACGCTTACCTGGCGCTGTCGGCGTGTGAGGCCGCCATGTATCGTGAGTGGGGGATACAGAAGTACGGACTATTCTAGCTCTTTCTCTCTTTCATTAGTGTTTAAGAAGGGAGCACAAGAGCGAAACCTGAGAAGTCTCGGAAATGGTCTCTCCTCCTCCTTTTCAGTCCCTCCCTCCGTCATCGTCATTTGGTGGGCTGCTGACGCCGATCTGTTGAGCAACCTCGTAAGGGGTGAAACGTGTGCTGAATACATACGAATGCATACTGATGTGTGTGTGTGTGTGTGTGTGTGTGCTCACGATTCCGCTGCACCGCGCGCTGCGTGGTGCGGGCTTTCATAGAGAAGGCGAAGGAAAACTGTAGAAGAAATAGGAGAGAAGAGTGAAGAAGGTTTTTTCACAGCCAGCCGTTTCGCATCCTTTGCACCCCTGTGTGTGTGTGTGCGCGTGCTTTGCCATCGCGGTGTCTTCTGCTGTGCGCATCAACACAGCAAGCGCCCTCGTTTTCGATTTTCTTTTCTTATTGCCTCCGCTTTCTTCTGGTGCTGATGCTTGATTGTTTTGTTATGTTTCCCCTCGACAACGCAACGCGATACTCGATGAGTCAGCTCACATACACATACACGCACACACACACAGGGAGAGAGGGAGAAGCTTGACGCAATGTCAGCGTTCGCGTACAAGGAGCCAACGGCCGCACCGGCCACCGCCGCCCGTCACCGCAAGCCTGCACGTGTCAACTACGTCATCGAGGCCTGCACCCCTGCGATGCTCTGCCTCGTCCGCGGTGCCCAGGCGAAGGCTTACACGCCCCTCTCGCTGGAAGACGTCTACGAAGCGGTGCAGCCGCACGACCTTGCCCTTCGGCCCTCGCCATACATCGCCCATCAAGCACTCCTGGACTTTTATAAAATCTGCGACGGCTACAACGGCGTGGAAATGGAAGCGGTGGACCTGCAGCAGCTGACGGTGGGCAGCCACTCGAAGGGGCACCACAGCGGTGCTGCTGCTACTGCCGCTGCCACTGGGGTACCGACGCAGCACGGGAGCAACGCATCTGCATCGACCCCTGCAGGTCCATCTTTTTCCTCCGCCGCCGCCGCCGCGGCTTCGGCTTCCACGTCTGCCCTCCCAGCGCTGCCACCGCTGCCCTCGCCAGACGACCCAAACATCGCGGAGAAGCTGAATGACTACCGCATTGCCCAGCTGCGCCGCAACGCGCAACACGTCGACAACAGCGTCTATCACGCAGGAAGCGCCAGCGCTTCGTCTTCCTCTGCTCCTTCTGCTTCTGCTTCGGCGGGAGGTGGTGGTGGTGGCGCGGGTGTCTGCCACTTCTACCGCACACCAGGTGGGTGCTACCGCGGTGCGCAGTGTCCGTTCCTGCACCTCGACAAGGCCGGACAGCCGCTCCCCAAGGCTCCGTTTGGAATTGGGAAACGATCCTGAACGCGGCGGCGGGGGGAGAGCTCTTCTCTACAAAGAAAGGACACAGAAACGGAAGAAATGCTCTGCGGCAAACTTCTCTGTTGTCACGCCTGTGTGAAGGCGATCGATTCGGGTTGGTGTGCGATGGCACCCAAGGGGTGTGCAGCGAGGATCCTCTGCCAGGATCGTTTAACCGAACTGACGCGCGTTGTTGACTTGATTTATCCTTTTCATATATATATTTCTGCCTCCTGCCTTTGCAAGGACCGATTAGTATGAAAGAACATTCAATAGTCAAACAGGCCGGTATTTGTCGTATGCTGATCAACCTTTGAATGTCGCTGCGCAGCCGCCATGTGTCTCCTTCCACTAGTGTGGCAGTGGGCGGCGATAGCAACCGACGACGTCTCGGTTGCCTCATTGGAGCCCCCTGCACCTTCGCAGCATCTTCCCTCACACACACACATCTCTGCTCTCCTTTCCTGGTTAAATGGGCTTCTACGCACCATCGCCTTCCTCGCCTGCGTTCCTCGCGCGCCCATACTGGAAAGAGCGCGTGCACGCCTCCCTTATTCTGCCTCTTTTATTTCGTGTCATCTTTCTCCTCTCCGTTATTCGTTTACATCACTGCAGTAAACAAATCGAGCTGGGCGTGGAAACGGCTGACTTTTCCAGTTTTCCTTGGATGGTGTCTGAGCGCGCGTGTGTGTGTGTGTTTGTTTGTTCTCCGACGATCCCAACAGTATTTTAGGGAGGAAAAGCTTTTTTTGAGGGGGTAGACAAACCGAGACGTGGTGGGTCTGTACAGCACCGCGGGTACCAGTACCTATTCTTTTTCCTTTCCCTGACACCAGTGAAGGAGGCGGTGCTCTTTGTCCTTCGATACGTCTAGCGCGTGTGTGTGTGTGTGTTTTAGGGGAGGGGTTAGAGAGAGAGCTGGTGCTTCGTTTCACGCGGCAATCCACGCTGAGCAGAGGCCCAAGCAGCAAAAATATTTTTTTTTTAAAGAGAAAGGTAGAGCTTTTTTTTTTCCTTCTAGAATTCTGTTGTTTGTTTGTTCGTTCATTGGTGTTGTTGTGCCCTCATCGTCTCCCCTTTTATTGTTATTCTTATTCTTCCCAAGTTACCTAGCAACTCTCTTCCATTTTCTCTAGACATAAATACTTCTATTATCTTATTTCTCCCCTTCGTTCTCTCTCCAGTACACACGCACACAGAGCTCAACTCATGTCCCGTTGCTGCACTGGTGTGGCACCGCCCCGTCACCGCCGGACGCTCCGCGGCGGCGTCGCCGTCCTCGCCGTCGCTCTCGTGCTCTTCTTCGTCCCCACCGCGGCCTTCGCGCAGAGCGCCGCCGCCGCTGCGTCGTCCAGCTACAGTGAGTACTACTTCGACGGCACCAACTACTACTACAGCCTCTTCCACAACAACCTCTCGAGAAACACGTTCCCGGATGGCGGGAGTGGGGTAGGCCGCTACGGCGCCGTCGGCTTCGGCGGCGCCTTTGATGACTCTGGCGTTGTCTTCTCTGACATGACCCGCGGCTCCCGTGTACGCAAGATCACGAACACCGGTCAGCTCTACACCCTCACCGGCAGCAGCAGTGCGACCGGCTGCATCGACGGCGCGCCGTCCGTGACGCTCTTCGGTGGGGCACTCTCCACCATCTACGTCAACGCCATCATCGCCGCCAGCGGGGGGTACTACATCGCCGACTCGCAGTGCAGCTCGCTGCGCTTCATCAACAGCACGACGCTCGTGACGACGAACATTCGCACCTTCATGGCGTCGCAGACGAGTCGGCCCGCCGCGCTGGCCAAGACGCCCTACGGGGACACGGAGCAGTCAAACATCTACATCACCGATCCTGCGAACAACAACATCCGCTTTCTCACCCTCGACACGCCCATCACCATCATTGACGGTTCGATTCAGAGTGGCGACAACATCTTCCAGCCGATCGGGATTGCCCTCCTGCCGAGCATCCGTCGCATCGTCGCGACAAACCTCGGCAAGGACTTCATTTACCTCGACTACACCACGTTAACAAACTCGGGATCGGCGGAGTGGTTCAAGCTGAGCAGCAACACCACCTCCTCCCCGCTGGTGACCAGCTGGGATGGCCAGCACGTGCTGTACATGTCGGGTAACGATATCATGAGCATGCCAGTGAACACGCCCGAGGCCATCGCCGGCAGAGCCGTTCCAACGGTCGTCTTCACCTTCACTCCGTACCCCGCACCGCGCACCGCTACGGACGATCCGGAGACGATGCTGATCTTTGCCCCCCGTTCGGCGGACAGCTTTTACATCTTGAGCACGGAGCGCTACGTCATTGCCTCCGCGACGCCCATTCCTCCTACGCCTTCTTCCTCCTCTTCGTCCTCGCACCATGGCAGTTCCTCGCATCATGGCAGCTCCTCGCATCATAGCGGTTCCAGCGCCAGCGGTTCCTCGCACCATGGCAGTTCCTCGCATCATGGCAGCTCCTCGCATCATAGCGGTTCCAGCGCCAGCGGTTCCTCGCACCATGGCAGTTCCTCGCATCATGGCAGCTCCTCGCATCATAGCGGTTCCAGCGCCAGCGGTTCCTCGCACCATGGCAGCTCCTCGCACCATGGCAGTTCCTCGCACCATGGCAGTTCCTCGCACCATGGCAGTTCCTCGCACCATGGCGGTTCCAGTAGCAGTGGAATCCCCACCCCGACACCGGTTTCACGCGAGTCCTCGTGCGACGACATCTGCAAAGGTGCCATTGCATCATCGGCGGTGATGGGGTGCGCGGGGGTGGTGCTGATCGTGTTGATGATCGTTGCACCCGCAAACCTCTTCACGGCGATCGTCATGGTGCCGATCATTTAAATATATATTTGAGAGAATTAGACGCCAAATCAATGCGTTCGCCCTCTTCTCTTTTCTCTCGTGCACGTGGGACTTCACTCGTCGTCCGTGGAGTCGCTTGTGTGTGCGTGTGTGTTGCTTCGTTGCGTGAGGAAGAAATCCCGCGAAAGGGCAGACGATGCGACACGCACGCGCATTCAACTCTCCGTCCTTTTCGCGTGGCTTGCGGCTTGTTACCTTCGCCCACAGTGCGTGTGTGCGTGCGTGTGTGTGTGTGGATGCTCCCTTCCCTCTCTCCCTCTCACACACTCTTTACGTTGTTTAGTTTTTCTCTCTTTCTGTAGATGGAAGCGGATTTACGTCTCTACTTTATTTTCTTCTTCTAGAAAATATGTTTTTTTCTCGTTTTCTGAAAGGCTTGACTTCCTGTGGTAAAGATGGTCGGTCCAGGTGGCAGGGCAGCATGCACGGAGGCAGCGCCTGCGCGTCGTCGGGAACACCTTTTCCTTCTTCAGCACTCACAAGTACGTCAGCCGGCGCCGGCCGTCTTGGTGTTCATTGTTTTCTTTTTCTGTTTTTTTCCCAGCTGTGTATCCTCTTGTGTGGTGGTACCTGACGCCTGGCTCCCCGTAGCTCGACGAAGAGTGTCAACGTGTGGTTTAGCGGTGAAGGCATTTTTGTTTGTTTGTTTGTCCTTTTTCTTGTTGACGTCGTCGTCGTCGCGCTCCCCGTGCCGTTCTCGTTCCGTCTGATGTGTGGGTGTGTGAGTGGAGGGGTTGTTTCTACATTCTCACTCTGCCAGATTCCTTTTCATTCCGTCTTCATAGTTTTTCTTCTGTTTCTGTCAAAGAGCACAACAACAGCTAAAGAGGAAGGGTCATTGCACCGCTGCGCCGTCGTTGGAAAGCGGAAGGAAGGAGACAACGGCTCTTTCCTTCGTCGAGCAGCTTCGAGGTGTCTTTGTGGCACGAGTGCAGCCGAAGGAGAAGAAAACTTGCGGCGGGGTGGCTCCTCCAACTGCGCGCACGTTGCCCACTACCGCTCTTCCTGCATTTTCGTTCTTTCTCAGATAGTTGATGTGTAAGCCCGAAGGAAAGAACTGAGTTGTGTGTGTGTATGTGTAAATGCACCCGATAAACACTTTGGTTTTTTATATATTTATTGTTGACAACAGGACGGCAGCACCACGCCGTCAACGCAACACTCTGTGGCGATGGCGCATACAACGCTTCACGTCCAGCAACAATCCTTCTCCCTCTCCTGCCCCTCTGTCCACGTATTATTAATGCTATTATCATCCATTAGTATCCCAGCGCGCCACGCTGTGCAACGTGAGGTACATTGTGTTGGTGTTGGTGTTGTTTTCTAGTCATCCCTCGCTCTCTCGGACACCTGTCCCTCACGCACTCACCCCGCCCTCCACCTACGCAACCACACACGTTCTTCTTTGCGATTGGATCGTCGTAGAACGCTGCGGAGGTGAGAGCGAAAGGATCGAGGCACCGCGTCTATCGTGATCCGCCGCACACGCAGCAAAAACCCGCGTCGCTACTCTCGCTGTTATCGTTCTCAAATCAGCGTACACTCAAGGCGAAGGACAAACACACAAAAGATTCGTAGAACTTTTAAAAAATATATATTTTTTCTTTGATTGTTTTGTTTCTATCATCCCTAGACCGTTCTCTTCCTCCTGTTACTGCAGCATATATATTTGTTGGTTTGCTCTCCTTCTTTCTTCCGCCTCCTCGCACGTAGACGTTTTCGTTGTGGCTCGGAGACAATTCAATCAGTACGGTGCGCATTACACACACACGCGGTGGCCACGCCAAAGCGATGCGGACGAGGTTCTGGCAGGTGTTGGTGCTCGGCGCCGTCGTGGCGGTCACCGCCCTCTCCTGCACTGCACTGGCGGTCACGGATGCCTCCTACACCACCGTCACCCTCGCCGGTCGCATCTCGCAAGATCACGAGGGCGTCTTCGGCGTTAACAGCATCCTCGCACCGAGCTCCCTGTGCGGCGGCTACGACCCCCTCAACGCGGACAGCGTCATCATGGTCGGCGCCGCCAACTACATGTTCACCCTCAACCGCTACTCCACGCAGCTGAACTTCTTCTTTGGCAACCCCAACGCCAGCGGCTCCACGGTAGACTGGACGACGGCGACGAGCGCTCCCTTCGGTACCATCCGCCTGAGCAGCCCCATCTACGCCTGCGTCACGACCCCCCGCACGGCCTCGAACTCAACCATCTTCTACGTGTCGAATGACCGCTACCTGTACCGGGCAGATCCGGACACCCAACTCATCTACGCCACGGCGATCGCAGAGGACCCGGCGACGGAGTACATGTGGGACCTCGCCCTGTACAACAACAAGATTTACGTGCTGACGACGAACCGTGTCGTCTACGCCTGCGACTATGTCAACGCCGTCACGTGCGTGAAGGTGAACATCCGCGGTGACGCCGCCTTCAACGCCATCGTGACCCCGACGCGTCCGAAGCTCGGTATTGCGGTGTCGAGGGACGGCATCTTCATTGCCCCCGAGTCGAACCTGTACTGGTTCAGCCTCAGCGGGGTTATGGTTGCCAAGACACCCGATGCCGTCACGTACGTCGATGTCAGCTTCACGCAAGATCAGAACCCCTTGGCGAGGGCGGCGACGTCGCTCATGGCGGCCTCGACGACGAACCTGTACAGCATCGCGCTCGCCAACAACGCGCTGACGCCGACGCTGCTGACGACCACGGCGTACCCCGATCCCCTCCAGCGCATCTACCCGCTGACGCTCGACAACGTACTCATTTCGCAGCCCACGCCGAACCTCGTGCGGTGGACCACCTACGACAACACGTCGGTGGCGTCGGCTTTTGATCAGACCCCCTACCCGGTTGGCTTCGTCGACCAGTCCACGGTGGTACCGCTTCTCTTGTCGTACATGAACTACGAGCTGGTGCAGGTCGCCGGCACGGTGCCCTACCCAAGCGTCGCCATCAACGCGTCTACCCTGGCCGTCGACCCCCCGACCTGGACGACGGCCTTCGGCGTTGATGTCTCGAATCACTACTACACCCCCGACCTCGGCGCCGCGATTCAGAACGCGTCCGCCAGTGGTGGCTACCCGCTGTCGATGCGAGCCCTCCACAGCTACTACAACCGCACGAACGAAATGATCGGCGGTGACTACAACCTACTCCCCCTGTGCAACGTGACGAAGATGACGAGCATCCGCCACTCCCTCGCGGCCGACGTGCGCACGCTGCTGCGGTACCCGCTCATCTACACCGGCGAGCCGAGGCCGTTCACCGTGAACGGGCAGCCGAATCTGACGCTGATCAAGCTGATCATGCCATCCCCTTTCGGCACGTACCTGAACGAATCCTCCTTTACCGCCAACGCGACAACGCCGCGGCTGCTCGCCACCTACGACGCCGCCACGAGGATGGTCGTCTACACCCGCGTGAACTACCCGACCAGCCGCATCTTCGACGCGCTCTTCCCCCTCTCCAGCTACCCCCGGTTTGCGTCGCTGACGGACGCGGAGAAGCAGACGCTGCGCTGGGCCGTGTACGCGGATGTGATGGCGCAGCTCGCGAAGTGTGCCGCCGCGGCTGGCGGGAGCAACAGCAGTGGCAGTAACGGGGGCGGGGACGGCAGCGGCGGCAACGGCGGCAGCGGCGACGGGGGAGATGACATGGTCCCTGGCTGTGTGCCACGTGTGGGCATTGACAACATGACGCAGTACGCGGTCCCGGGTGTGTCGCCGACACCCTTCAACTTCACCGTCTTCGTGCCGGAGGGGCTGTACAAGAATTTCAACGTGACGAGCTGCCTGGATGGCACGGACTGGACTAACGTGAACGAATACAACAGCACTCTCACGCCCAAGAAGACGAAGTGCGGCACGGGCTGCATTGTCGGGGTGGCCGTGGCGTCTGCCGTGGTGGCTGCGGTTCTCGTTGTCGTGATTGTCATTTTAACCTCGAAGCGGCGGCGCCTTGCGACGGTGATCGTGCCGATGTCGAACACGGAGCCGAAGTTCTCTAGCACGGTAGACGCCGACAGCAACTACGAGAGCGGAAACCCTCTAGCGTATTAGACGTAGAGAAGAGAGGCACGCTTGAGCACGCGTGCGTGCGTGTGCGAAGGAATGTCCATCAATAATTTTCTGGTAGCGGTATCGACCTCGTCTCACCGCACCGCACCAACTGCGTCCCGCTACGTCACTGCGCAGGTTTCGTTGTTGTTATGTTAGAGTATTCAGAGGTGTTTTTAATGTTTTTGTTCTTTGCTTTCTTAGAGTATGGGAAGTGTCTCCTTTCACAGCATTTTTGTTGTTGCTGTTTGGCTCTGCGGAGTGCGCGTGAGAGCGTGTGGGGTGTGTGCGTTCGATGAAGTCGCACAAGCGTGACTCCCCGTTTTGGGCCAGTAAACAACGGAGTACACCAAATCGTCCAGGTGGCTTGTACACACACACGCGCGCAGCCAACAGTGACGTGGTCGCGCCTATTGCTTCTTCTTCGGACTCTGTGCTAGTGTTGTCCTCGTTGAGGTCCGCTATTACACCTCCTGCGGCGGCTCGGTGTTCTACAGTTGGCTTTGGTTCTCTTCCCTCTCCCTCTTAGAATAAAGAAAGGGAAAGAAACAAACAAAAAATTGTCTTCTCACGTTCATCGTTCCTTTCAGTGTCTTTTGCCCTTTTTTCGCCTTTTCTTGTCGATGGCGATTCCTTTTTATTTACTTTCATTATTATTATAGTGTTGTCGGTGTTGTGTGTTATCTCGCTGTTGGTTTGCTGACCTTTCTCTTTACGTGTCTGACGGTGCCACAGCCGCTGGTGTACCGCGGAAAGTTGCATAGAGTTGTGGCACTCGGCATGGGTTTCTGGCTTCTCGCTTCCACTGGTTTGCCGCTCGTGAGGGGGAGTACAGCCAGCCCCTCTTTTTCTTTTTTACGATTGGACTGTTCGTGTGTGCCTTTTGTGTCGTGTGTGCGCGGGAGGAGGGGGAGGAAGAGGGTCTTCTCCTCTCCCTAGCAACCTCCTCTTCACGGTTTATTTGTTTTCTAGTTGCCAGCATCGAGCAGCCCGTTCACACACACACACCGGCTCGGTGCTTCGCTGGTGGCATACGCACGCACACGCACACACCAAGCCAATAGTTAAGAAGAAGAGAAAAGGAAGGAAAAAGACAGTCTCTCCGTCGCATCGTTTATAGCTGTTCTGGTGAGAATGGTCGCTGCCGTTGTTCATTTTCATCTTCTCGTTATCTTTTTCAATCTTCGATACAGTCTGTTTCTCATCTCCAAGATCCAAGTAGGACGACCATCCTCACGGCTCGAAGGCCAGTACGCCGCAGCGCTCTCTCCGCATCGGCGTGCGCCGGTGAAGGCCGAGAACGCATTTTCTGCACTGCTTGTGGCGGTGTCGCACTTCGACAGAAACAGCAGGAGTCGTTGTTGAGGCTTTCCTCTCTGGCGATTGTCAGCATAATTCGAACAGCTCCTCAGTATGATGCTTCTTCGTTTTCAGGTTTTAGAAGAAGAAAAAACGCGAGGCGGTGTTTGTCGAATCGCAGTTGTGCTTCAAGCGCGGATCACACGCACACGCACACACAAACTTTACTGTTGAAGTCTGCCCCTTTCCTCTCCTCTGCTCACTCATCTCTTCTTCGCCTTCTCTAACAGAAAGCGTCACCGATGCGTGGGTGTGGCTCAGCACCCCGCAACACCTCTTTAGCGTCGTACATGGTGCGTTGCTCTGCTGCTCCTACGTACCAGCGTTAGAGCCGCAATCGAGCTCCCTCTTTCTCTTCCTCTTCTCTTTTGCTACCGTAGCTTTCCTTGCAAACGCGCTGCTGCGTGTAGGCCGATGAGCTCGAGCGCCGCGCTGGGTAAGATGTTTGGCGCGGCCTCCGTCGCCCTCTTCACGGTCGCCGCCTACTGGACGTACCGTGGAAAGCCGCACTCGCACACACAGCTGGTCGTCGCCTCCACCGCTGTTTCCACCGCCTCCGCACAGGACGCGGATCTCCCCTTCCCCGTTGTCCTGCCACCGCGCACGCCGTCCAACCAATCAGCGCGGCTCACGGCTGAGTTCGCCGAGCAGTGCGTCGCGGCTGCAAAGTTCGGCCTGCCGTCCACGGCAGAAGTTCGCTGCTACGGCGCCTACCTCGCCAGCCTGAACTACGAGCGGCGCACCCCAAACTGGGTGATGGAGGTCGTCGATCACCGCCGGCTGCGCGGTGGGCCCAGCGGCAGCGGCGGCGGTGCTGATGAGGCCACCTCCCTCGACGACGAGGACGTCAGCGGAGATGACAGCCTCCGTAGGGGCTCTCGACTACGCAGTAAGTTCTACGCGGACGACACCGTCCCTGCGCCATTCCGCGTCGGCCCCCGCAGCTACACCACGCGTGGACTGAGCCGCGGTCACCTCGTCCCGGCCCAACTGCATAAGGCCTCGCAGGCCGAGATGGACACCACGTTCAACATGAGCGCAAACGTGGTCCCGCAGGACATGACGATGAATGCGGTGGACTGGCTGCGGCTGGAGGGCATGACTCGCAAGATCAGCAAAGAGGTGAGTCTTGGTCAGCGTCGCGGCAGTGGAAAGCAGGACGTCGCCGTCGGCAGCAGCAGCGGTAGTACTCATAACGTAGCTGTCGAGTCCACTGCGGGGAGGTCCGCGGAAGGCGGCAAGCTGTACGTGGTATCGGGCCCCGCCTTCGTTCCTCGGCTGATGCGAGTGGAGCGTCGTGCGGATGGGACGGAGCTGCACGTGCCGCTCCCCTCCACGGACGAGGCAGCGTCGCTACGGCACGGCCATCCCGCCCCGGTCAACGTGAAGCCGATGATGTCCTATGCGCTGACCGGTGACGTCAACAGCGGCACTCTCGTGGCGGTCCCGACGCACCTCTTTAAGGTGTTTCTCGCAGAGGAAGGCGGCGGGCGGACACGCTCGGTTGCTGCGTTCTTAATGCCGAACGGACCCATCACTGAGCAGCTGCCCCTCACCGCCTATCAGGTGCCGTTGGAGAGGTTGCAGCGCGTGACAGGTCTGCAGTTCTTCCCCGGGCTCGACACGGCTCGCTTGCCGGATATGTGTAAGCTGCACAACTGCGATGCGAGGCCCGTCGCGCTGTTCCAGCGGTATCGGGATGTCGCGCAGCTCCGTGCGGCGGGCACCGTACCGCAGCTGAGGCAGACGTACGCCTCTCTGCAGAAGTCAGCGGCCGGCGGGAAGCTGAGCGAGAGCGTGATGCGCGAGTTCGAGAAGCGCACGGAGGAGCTCGTAGCGGAGGCGGTGGGGCCTATCGACGCGCTGGAGCGCTAAGGAGAAAACCAAGAAGTGAAAAAAGAAAAGGCGTACTCCTCCACAGGTTTGACGCGCAGTGCACCGGACGTGGATCCCGCGTGGCTGCGGACGACCTCCCTTCTCTCCTCTCTCTCTTTCCACAGAGGTCGACCCGACACGATATCTTTGAAAGGGAGGAGGGGAACGAGAACGGACAACGTTTATTGGTTCTGGTTAGCCGTCTTACACCACGAGGCACTTCACAGTCATTACCATTCCTCTTTCCCTCCGCCCTCCGCATCCTCTCCGCTGCCTCACCTCGAGTCTAACACAACTCCAGTAAGACCAGTTCTCATCGTGCCTCCCAAATACTAATAAAAGCCTCTTCTCACCTCTATTCCTCTCAATACATCCACGGCGCCATGTGGGTCGAGCCGGCAATGAAAGACGTAGCAGCCGTGAAGCTGTTCCCTGCCAACACGCACATCTTCCTCATGTGCGAGGACGAACTGCGCCGTCGCATGCGGGCCGTCCGCAGTGCCTTCGACGCCGCGGTGAAGGCAGCCGCCTCGGCTGCGGCCACCGTGCGCACACTCCACGCCTTTGCCGTCAAGGCGAACCCCCTCGAGGCCGTAGTGCGGATTGCGAAGGAGGAGAGCTTTGCGGCGGAGACGGCGAGCATTGGCGAGTTCCACATCGCGGAGAAGGTCTACGGCGCTGGCGGCGCGGACAGGATCGTGTTTGACTCCCCGGCCAAAACGTTAGAGGAGCTCGCCCACGCGCTGCCGCTGCCGTGCTACCTGAACGTGGACAACCTCGTTGAACTGGAGCGCATCGTCGCGCTGTCCGAGGGCCGGGTCGCTGGCTTTCCCAAAATCCCCGTCAAGGCAACCCTCGGCATCCGCATCAACCCGCAGACGGTGGTGCAGACGAAGAACACCGCGCTGGCCACGGGCGGGAAGATCAGCAAGTTCGGCGTCAGCCTGCACGACGCGGACCACAAGGAGCGCATCGTCGACGCCTTCGTCAAGTACCACGACTCCCTCAACCTCAAGATGCTCCACGTGCACAGCGGGTCGCAGGGGCTGTCGCTGGACACCATGGTGGCGGGTGTGAAGGCGATTGTAGAGGAGCTCGCCGACGACCCGCGCATCGCGTCGCTCGTCGAAGTGGTCGACATCGGCGGCGGCTTCCCGGTGGACCTGGCCACCGACGACGAGACCGTCACGGTGCGTGACTACGTCGCAGCCCTCCAGCGCGAGGTGCCCACGCTCTTCGCACCAGCGCACTCGCGCCTCCTCATCACCGAGTTTGGACGCGCCATCTGCGCCAAGGCCGGCGTGCTGATCTCGCGCGTCGAGTACGTGAAGCAGAGCGGTGGTCGGCAGATTCTCCTGCAGCACATCGGCGCTGACCTTGCGGTGCGCACCGTGTGGCAGCCAGAGAAGTGGCCGCTGCGCGTCTTCGTGTACGACATGGACGGCCACCGTAAGCCAGGCGCGTCGGCGGAGGGGAGCGCGCTGCTGACGGACGTCGGGGGCCCGTGCTGCAACTCAGGCTGCACCATCGCTCGCGCGGCGGACCTTCCCACAAACGTGAAGGCACTGGAAGACGTCGTGGTGGTGCACGACGTTGGTGGTTACTACCACAGCTCCTTCTGCCTCTACAACCTTCGTCAGCTTCCCGCGTGCTTCATGTACCACGAAGGACAGGGCAACGACGCCCGCGGCACTCTGAAGCTGATCAAGAAGAAGCAGACCGTGGAGGACACGATGCGGCTCTTCGAAGCGGATGCGTAGCCGCAGCTACGTTCGCGTGCTCAGCGGCGGCGGCGAGGCGCGCGCTGCCAAACACAACAAAACCTTTTCACTTTACGACACTCTAATCGACCATGTGAATGACCATCGTTGTCGTATCATCGTGTTCTTCCTACCGTAGACCTAATTAACAATCTTCTTTAAAGCATTGCCAGCAACAAACGCCGATGCCGCCGTTGCACTACCAAACCGTAAACAGAACAGACACTGCAGAAAACCCCGCTGCCCAACCTCTGGTGAAGAAGCAGCTGTGATTGCGCTGCGAACTCCGGGGAAACGCCTATCACATCCGTCTCTTTTCTCTCTCCCCTGCCTCTCATATCCCAACCCCGCGTCCCGCCGCAACAACCCCGATTACACCCGCGCCCGGACCACGCGACGAACCCCAGATGCGAGAACCAGCGGGAGGCCGCATCCCGCCCCAACCTCGCTGGTTTTTACAGACTTCGACGCGCGCGCTTACAGCCCAGTAGGCACGGCACGCGCAGGCTGCAGGTCTTCAAGCTAAACGACAACACAAAGAAGAGCGTCCTGCTTCATCTCCCGCGACCTGCCTTCCTATGTGTAGTGAGCCCCGCGGACTCAGTGAGAGGAGAACGCCTGTCTACGGGTTACCAAAACCGTACGATGGACCGCTGAAGTTACTTGACTAATACCCCGTGGGGATGTTGAGCGCAACCCTGGCTCGCCACAGCGTTTATGTACTTTAATGGAAAGGACCGCTTTGTGGGGAGTGCGGGTAATATCCTCCGTGTTTCGACAGAGATGACACATATGAAGAAAGAAAATCAAGTTACGGGAAGACAACATTGAAGCTTGAGGGAAGCCTCTCTAATGCAAGAAAAGAAACAGACTAGAATGCTAATACAACACAGTGCAGCAAGAGCGATCCCTCCGCAAAAGAGAAGGCACTCGCTATCAGGACGAAGACAAAAGACAGGAAAAGAAGAACGGCCACATCGCCGGCCCGGAAACAACGAAGAAGCAATACAAGTAGAGTCTTCCATCAACGCACCGGGCCGGTACAGAGAAGAGGATTGAGGAAAGAGAAGAATTTTGAAGACAGTTATCTTTTAGATACGAAATTAGTTGCAGGGAAAGCTCCCTATTACAACCCTTACATGGGTCTCATGGAGAGCTGTTGCTCCAGAAAGGCTTTTCCGAAGGCAAGATTTCTTCTCTTGATTAATTCTGATTAGTGCTGACGAGGGCAGACAACGGAGACGAGCTACACAGATTAACCGAAAAGAAGAGAAAAAAGTCTACTGCTGGGCTTTGGTGGGAGCCTATCCCGCCTGCCCTTTTCAGCACCCATTCAGCCCGCACCGAAGAAGGGAAAAAATGAAGCAAATAAAAAGGTGAAAGAAAGAAGTTTTCGGTTGTCTAGCGAGAGCTTCTCTGTGCGAAGTGCGATGCCATTGAGCGCCTTGGTCGATACGGCTCTCTCTTGATGGCGGCTAAGGCCGTCATGTTGTCGATCTGTATACGAAGGTTCAACCCTGCGGGAATCCATCGCAGCCAGTGATCCACCGCGAGAACCACGGTGTTCCCCTCCAGCGTGTTTATGTGATGCTGCTCTGCTGCGGACCATGCTTCTCCAACGCTCATGATTTCTTGGGGCTCGTCCCGCATCAAGACCGCTCCCCAACCGGCTCCAGAGGAACAAGTGTAGAGGGTCATTGTCGGCGCTCTCGTTGCCATGACCGGCGCTGTCGCTCGTGGGCGGTTCTTCTGAGCCAGGTCGTACCACTATTTAAGTTGTGCATGCGCCGTTGGGCGTGTGCAGGCCGGCTCCTTCACCAGGAGAGGTGTCCGGATGAGCTGAGACAGCCTTCGTCTAATGAGCTTCGACACCCAATAGAACTCTGCGGTGCGGATATGTAGGAATGACGAGCTGCGGAGGATTTGTGCGTACCGTCGCTCCAAGTCACCGCCCGTCATGCTTGGCGTCGGACCATCAATCTTCTGGATCGTGTGATCTGCCGCTCCCACTTTGTGAGCTGCGTGGTTGAAATATACCCCCTATGAAGTCAGAGACTTCTCTTGCGTATCTCTCGTCGGTGTGAAGAAAGACTGGGAACTCTTGCGCGGTGGTTCACATCCTGTTGAAATGCTGATTTGGAGTGCTTGACGCGTGTCTGCGTACCGTATGTTGTCGATCCGAACGTTGATTGAGGTCAGGGCTGGCCGTTCACGGTGATCCTTTGCCCGCACACTTCGGACGGCCTGCCACGGTGGACGTGAGGATTTGCACGATTTCCGGTGAGGCCAAGTGTCCCATCGGAGACCGCGTCAAGCACCGCTGTATACCGCTATTCGGATCTGTGAAGATAAAGCATTCTTGGTTGCTTCTGGGAGCTCGACCTCAAAGAAACTGGCCCTCAGGTCGTGTACGCTGCCCATCTCGGCGTTTACTGCGTCGAGATGTATCGCAACGTGTAGGAGTGGCGCATCTGGCTGGTAGTCTTGTGCGTCTGAATGGTCGTTGTTCTCTATCTCGGCCACACGATAAAGTGTCTTAGGACGGCGTTGTGCTTGGTCCCCGTGACCGTAAACGGCGTAGTGCTTTTGGCAGTATGTTGCCTCTTGCCTCGAACCGCTGCTGTGTCGGAGTGCGTGCTGTGAACTTGCCGAATGATTTTGGTCTTCTGTAGTTTGTTCATGTCGTCCTCGGAAAGTGCTGGAGCGCTTTTGGTGTACTTGTTTTGGGATTGGTGAACCCTTGCGTCAGAAACTGGTGCTGGTTTTGTGCTTAGACTGTGTGCAAAGCAGTCTGCTCCAAGGAGGTGAAGGAGATCGTCCACACGCTGGCGGATTGCTGGTCACATGCGTGATCTAATTCTCTGAAAGTTGAGAGGCGCAACTTCCGACGCACCACGGATGTTGGAAGCCTTCTTCCGTGATGGCTGCTTTCTTCAGTCTCCATGCGCCTCGACCGAGATAGCCGCCGCGACCTGCGACTCTTTCTTTGAACGTCATTGCCGTGCAGAGATGATAGCATTTGTCTGCAAGCTGATAAAGCTGGTCTTGATTGTGTTGTTCCGTGGCTGGCAGTGCGGGGTTGCCGCTGTCTATTTTTTCATCAGTTGACAGGTTCCTTTCTTGTGTTTACCGGTGTCTTATCCGAAAGGGATCTGCTACGCGTTTCGCGATGTTGAGAAGGTCGTCTTGGTCTTCTCGATCTTCATAACTCATAAGAGTCATGTTGCCTTTTGGGGTTCCGATCGCTTTCGCTAACGGCACGTAGTCGGTGATGTAGCAAATCATGTTCTCCGGCATTGTGGCTTTGCCATCGCCATGCTTTGCTAACAGCGGAATGTACTTTTGCTTGCGCTGATTCTGCGCGGCGTATGCTGTGAGGAAATTCAACGCGCCTCGTTTGATTGAGTGCGCTATCAGTGCCGGACTTGCTTGCTTCGGCTCGCGGATGATCTGATGCATATTCATTGTTGTGAACTGAGTTGATGCTGGGTTTTCTGCTTTCCGGCTGCTGAGAATTTGAGCGATGCGTCCCGTATAGTTCGCGTCCACGACCACAACTAGAGCGTATGCCTTGTAAAGGTTCCGTGACAGTGTCTTTCTCGCCGTAAAGTGTACGACAAACTTGCCTCAGGTACACGTGCAAAACATTCTCCGTCGTCAATCCTTGAATATCTCCCCAACGGCCTGTCGTTTTCCAGCTCTGCACGCCGGTAGTCTGTGGTCTTCGGCGAGATTCTGTCGACGTCGGTCATCTTGGCGTGCTTCTCTGGTTGCTGTAACGCTGTGCACCAGGCTGCCCCAGACATGTCTGTGGTTTTGTCACACTCTCGAGGTGGCTTCCGCGTAAATCATGGCCACTACGGGTGTCATTTTAAGCGGCTTTCCTTCAGATGTTGGTGCTGCAGCGCGCGTCTGATCAATTTTATGATCTTCATCTGGAACCGCGAGAACTCTTGTAGGCATTTCATTCACTTTCCCGTGTTCGTTGACGGCCTGTAACCACCCGTTTGAAGGCTGCGGTACTCAGACCTCCAATGCCCGTACTTTCCGCAAGAGTTGCAGTACTGTTTCTTCACGTCGCAGCGCTTCTTCTTCTCGTCGCGAAGTTTTCCGAGTTTCTTCGTAGATGGGTTCCGCTCTGAAATGAGGGCTTTGTGAATCTCCTCCGAATTCACACCCGGCGTTTCGGCAAGTATGTCTTGGAGTGCCTGGATGAGGTTTGGGCCGGTCTCCAAACTACGAGATCTCTTCCACATCATCTCGTCAGAAGTATTTGATAGTATATGTATGCCTGTTCCTTGTGTTGTGGATTTGAATAAATCCGACAAATAAAAATGATTTTTAAAGCTCTACAATTGCTGTTGTATTAGGAATAATAACAACAGAAACCAGTTCTGGGAAAGGAAAAAACACCGGGTGTACGATTGAAAGTCAACTTGGAACCGGATAAGCTGTCGAACTCACCACACATATTGTTATGGCTTGCCGGCGGCTGGTTAGGCGGATCCGTGCATGCTCTCTCTCGCTGTTTGTCTCTAGTCTCTCTCCTTCTCTCCCTCCTCTCTCTCTCTCTCTCTGCTGCTCGCTGGTGTCGTACAACTTCACACGTACGAAGCAGCTACGCTTTGGTTTGCTTAAATCCGCGCTTGGGTTTGCAGAGCCCACCCTGTATGTTTGCTGCTTTCGCGGTGGTGGGTTTGCCGCCCAGCTACCTTGTTGCCCCCGACTGCGCGTACGATGTGCGCGAGCGTGGCGGACCTTACTGTGAGCGCGCCGGAGCACGGAGGTGATAGCGGTAGCAGGAGAGGGAGAGAGCAGTTTGTGTGGTGTGGTGGATGAGGTTGGTTCTCTTGTTTGTTTCCTTTCTATCGGCATCGGTGGCACACTAGCTTCGCTTTCGTTCTTTCGGTTTCACTTTCCTCCTCTCTCTTTTTATTGTTTTCGCTCCTGTACCTCATTTCATTTCGCGTCTCTCTATAAGTCTCAGTAGATATAGCTCTATTACAGTTCTTCCGTTCACGTCTCTGAATGCTTTGTCCCTGGGCGGGCCCTGGACCCTGCCGGTCCTCTGGGCAGGGTATCGCGCCGTGGGCGTTGTCTCACTTTATTCTGTCTTCCTTAACCCCCTGCTCGGGGACGGGGTGGTGACCGGCACGATCGGTGCACCACCGGCCGTTATCGTCTGAGTGCTCTCTGTTGTGCGTCGTGTACCTGGTGGCACTTTCCGTTGTTTTTCAAAGACTGCGTTTCTGTATCGGCTGCGATGTGGGGAGGAGGGGGGGGGGGGGGGGAGGATATTGCCTCGGTCGTCCGGGTCTCGAAAGAAGTGTTTCGTGGCGCAGGAACTGAATCACAAAGAGAAGTGCGTTACTGAGTCACAACAATGCGTTCGTAAGGCACAGTTTGATTTTAGGCGGCAGGTGAAAGTATGTGGTTTTGCAAGTTTTCGCCTCAGGTGTTGCAAAGTGGATCGTTCTTGGTCTCCGAAATGTGTTATGATTGAAAACAGGACGGCGGTACTCCTTGCTCAGTTTACAAAGCTAGATACTGACAGTTCTAGTAGCGAAGCGGGACCTTCTATATGTGTTTTTGTGAAGGTTCGAGATACTCTTCTGCTGAGACCCTCATGGTTCTGCGTAACACCAATGTGGAGCGAGGGCAGCTAACGTAGTTTTATGCTCAGCGTGCACGGCCCATTGTCACGACGCGAATGAGAAATTTGTGATCTCCATCAACAATGCAATCAGATGTCGGAATACGGATAATATGCACAACCTTGTAATGCGTACCGCTTTGTCGTTGTCGGTGTTAAGAGAGGAGACAGACGATACGAGCGAAATTCGCAAAGAGAGTAAGCTAATTGGTCATGGCGGATCTTGTTGTCCGTCTCACCACAGAAGTATTGCAAATGCCGTGCAGCAATTCGAATTCGAATTGAATTCAACCACAGACGTTAAAAAGATTGAAAAGTTTCTAAAGAAATCTTCAATTCGTATTTGGGACACGTACACGGCTATGTCGGAACTCTTTCACTTCGGCAAAACCTCTCTTTCTTTTATTTTTGCAACGTGTTACTTGTCATTTAAATGCGTCTCGTTTTTGAAAGCTTACAGTTTGTTGCTGATGTCGGCCACGGAATTCAGACGTCGGGTGACATCGCTGGGCCGTCGTCAGGTGCTGACGTTTGGCGCGGCAGCCACCGGTTTCTGCGGACTCGGTGGCTACATCTATTACCAGAGGATACATCTTCCGGATTTTCAGCGGGAAGAGCTCAAGCGGAAGATGCCGGTGCCTGTGCGGAAGACGAGCCTGTATGTAGCCGGCACCGCGAAGGGCGATGGCTTACTTCCTGAAACGAGGACGATGCCGACGGTGGTGTTCTACATCTTCGCGGCCTACCGTATGGTTCTGCTCTTTGTGAGGTGTGTACCAGTGGTTTGGTATGGGTTCCTCGCGTTCGGCCTGCATCTGTGCCCAGAGAAGGTGTTTTATAACAAAATTGCCGCCTTTCTCTCTTCCATGGGACCGAGCTACATCAAGCTTGGCCAATGGATGGCGACGCGGCCGGACTTCTTTCCCGATGAGATGTGCGCCACGTTGGAGACACTATACGATCGGACAGCGCCGCACAGTTGGTCCCACACCGAAAAAATTCTCCGCGCAAAGTTCACGGACGGCCCGTTTAAAGGGCAAAACGCTCTTCGTTTCATCTCCGAAGTGGAGAAGGTTCCTATCAACAGCGGAAGCATCGCACAAGTGCACAGAGCAAAGCTTCGCGAGTCCATTGATGGCGTTCCTGCAGGGACGGAGCTGGCGCTCAAAGTTACGCACCCTCACATCTGCGAGGAGGTCGCTGCAGATCTTGTCGCTATGCGCCTTTTTGTAACCGTTGGCAACAAGCTTATTCCTGGGATGAGGTACTTCAACCTGGATGCGAGTATCAAGGAATTCTCGTCGCTTATCCGGTCGCAGCTCAACCTTCTTGTGGAGAGTGACAACTTGAAGCAATTCAAGTACAACTTCCGCGACGTCAACGGTGTCATTTTCCCGACCCCGCTGGACTCGCTTTCGACGGAGAACGTGTTGTTTGAAACCTTTGAGGTGGGCCAACCGGTCCAAGGAGTTCCGACCAGCGAGGAGAATTCTGACTTTGCGGAGCTGGGATGTCACATGTTTCTGAAGATGCTGTTTGAAGACAACTTCGTGCATTCCGACTTGCATCCTGGCAACGTGCTCTTGCGCACAAACAACATCGAAGGAACCAGGCAGTACTACCCGGATGGCAAGCGGAAACTCCACCGCGAAATTATCATCCTTGACACTGGGCTTGTCACAACCCTGTCGAAAGACGAGCGCAACAATTTCATCTCTCTTTTTGCGGCTGTTGCGTGTGGAGATGGTGAACTCGGCGCCGAGCTGATGATGGATCGTCTTCCACCGTCGCTGCAGAAAACGCAGAGTCCCCAAGATCGCGAGCGCTTCAAGAAGGAGATGAAGGCCGTTTTTGACATGGTCGCACCGGGTAACCACGGCTTCCGACTCAGCACGGTTCAGATTGGCGCTGTGCTGGCGAAGGTGATGAGGACTGTGCGAGAGAACCGGATGCCGCTGGACGGCAACTTCGCGTCTCTCGTGCTGACCGTGATTGTTGGCGAAGGTCTGGGACGAAAGCTCTCTCCCGACTTCAACATCTTCGCAGAGTCTGCCCCATACCTGGTGGCTTTCTTGGAGGATGGCGAGCTGTACTTTCTGGCCAACAAACTTCAGCAAACGTACGGAGCTACAGCCTTATTGCGAGACGCGTCGGCGATGGTTCGCCCGAGGAAGGCTTCCACATATATGGAAATGGGAGCGAGAAAGGTTTCGAGTGTGCTGCGGAAAATTTTCTCATCCGATGAGACACCGGCGCACGGTTAATTATACCAGTAGTTTTCGTTTTCCTTCCCCACGTTTATGCATACACGCCTCTTTTTAGCTCGCCGGCATCTTATAACCCGTCTATTGGCAAATACACAGTGCCTCTTCTCCGAAACAAACTTCATGATGCGTTAACTCAGAGGAGCAACGCTTTTTTGTGTGTACTCCGCCTGTCGATGTTGATGTATACAATTTCTGAACGAAAGTATTTTTTTTTTTTTTGAGAGTGATTGCGACTGAAAATGAGTGAATCATGGTACAGGGTTTGAAAACGTATGCTGTCCTTTCTTGACCTGACTTTCCACTTTCTCTTTTCTCACTCTTCTGTGTTGTGTTCAAAGGTTAGGTCGCAATGCCGTCTATTACAAAGGGTTCAAAGAAGAAAAAGGGCGCGAGGGGCGGTCGCAATAAAGGTGCTGTGAAGATTGTTCCAGACCCGGATGCAGGGTACAAGCAGCAGCTAGATGAAACGTTTTACCTTTCCAAGCTTTCTCGGGCGAAGCTCATGAACCAATACACCGCCGCCGTCGATGCAGCAATAAGAGCAAATACTGTTTCGTTGACCTCCGTTTCTCCTGGTGATTTTAGCATTCCCAGTCAGATTCAGATGGTCAAGATTCCTGAAATTGTGCGCTCACTGGGTCTTTGCGTGACAGATGAGCAGATTGACCAGATCTGCTGCATGGTTTTGCAGACTGCGCCTCTTTCGAATCCGCAGACCGAGTTGGCGAGTGGCGAAGAGGCCATTCCTCAGCCTCCAGGGGTGTTTGCGGAAACGGAGAAAGTGCGTCAAGTTTTGAGCGAAATGCTACACTCACACATTCTGGCGTACGACCCGCAGGTCCTCTCGCATCCCGATCCGCGCTTCCCGACTCGCGTTTCCTCCGTAGTATACAAGGTCACCGAGCAGGACCTCGCCTCCTGCTTCGAGTCTATCTGGGCCACCACCGGGAAGAGGTCAGTCTTGCGAAATGACGGGACACAGGTCCGCTGCTTCGCCGTCGATGCGCTAGAGATCGTGATGGCTGATGTTCAACATGACATTTCGACGTTGCAGCCTCTGACGCAAAAAGAGCTTGAAGATCTCTACTTTTTCGTGAAAGGCGAAAACAGCGATGTAATTGACGAAGACACGTTTCTGAGGTGCCTTGCTGATGTATAATAGCTATCCCTTGCGCATTGATTCTAATCCGGTCTTCCCTTCTCTTTGATGTTCTATTTGCGGGCGTATTGGATGTATAATACGAAACAGGTCGAAGCATATCAGCAAGTAATGAGTATACACCGGCATTCTTTTTTGATTTGTTTGCAGCCTGCGATGTTTGAAGTCAACACCTTGGCTTATCAGATTGCGCGCTTGTTTGCAATGCGTTTTGTAACTAGTACTTTTAGTATATATCGTTAGATTTCAAATAACCTGGCAAAATTGTATCTCGTGCTGCTCGCAAGATTTGACTCAGATTCCTCTTTGCATCTCTTTCTCTCTTTTCTTTATGCCTTTGTGAACTATAGCCATTTCAACTTATCCTATATAGAGGAGTATTCGCACGAGAATCATAATGGACAACCTAACCGCATTTCTCAAAAACATAGATCGCAGCAAAATCGATGAGGCTTTGGCACTTCTGCAAAGCCTGAGGAATGACGAGCCAGCTCAAAACGGAGAAACGACAGCCACAAAACCAGCAGACACCTCTTCCTCTGCCGACGCACACCCACCGAAAGCCAACAGTACAAATCAAAGCGACGCTGAACAAAACCCTCACGAGCAGGCTGCTACTGCTTCTTCTGAGGGCGTAGAGTCACCATCCGTAGACGATGACGATACACCTCTTGCTGCTTTGGGACGAGTGCTTTCAACGGACGAGAAGAAAGCCGCGCGCGATACTCAAAAGGCTGAGAAGAATGCCGAGCGAGAGGTACGTAGGAAGATGAGAGAGGAGGAAAACAATCTTACGAAGCTGGAGGCCGACAATCGTAAAGCGATCGGTGAGGAGGAGAAAGATGACCGTCGATCCTTGCGTGAATCGGAGCGCGAGTCGCGAAGAGCAACAAAAGAAGCCGAAAAGGAAACTCGCCGTAAGGCGCGAGAGGAGGAGCAGGAGGCTGAGAAGGAGCAGCGCCAAAAAGCACGCGACGCGGAGCTGGAAGCAAAACAAAAAGCACGAGAGGCCGAAAAAGAAGCTCTTAAGGCTCCGAAAGAAGCTCCCAATAGTCTCGCCGTCTTTGGTTTTCTCAGCAGCGCTGTAAAGGCAGATAACAAAAAGAACAAACTCTTTTCGAACTTTGTGCAAGACAAGCGCACAGTGCCGGCCGCCTTACAGTTTTGGACGCATCACGAAGCAAAAGACAATCTCAACGAGGAGGACGCCTCCGTTATCGACGTTCCTGTTCCTGAGGCATACAAAGGTACGTACCACGACATAGAGAGTAGCCGAAGTCGCTTCGTGGATGAGGAGTCGTCTCTGCTCCATCCGCCGATGTTCGTCGAGCCAGATGTTTCCAGCAAAAGAGAAGTGTGCATCCGTGATTTTAATTCAATGATTGAGGCCTCTAATACGCTAAAGATTCAGCCGCGCGAACTGCTTCGCGAATGCGGATGCGCGTTTCACGTTGCTGCTGAAGAACCGTATCCCTCGTTCGATAACGAAGTGATATTCTCCGGTTTCTTCGCGATCGGCTATGATCCTTGTCAGTCTCGTCCACCGTACTTCGGGACGTACAATCACCTCCAAGAAGGCAACCTAAACGAGGCCGAGCTGCTGCAGATGGCGCGCTTTGCACCAGGGCAAGAGATTCCTCGTCTGTCAAACATTGACTACGATTACGATTCTGGGGACGATTGGGACGTCATGGAGGGAGATGAGGACATTGCCGCCTCTTCTTCGGATGAGTCCGACAAAGACTCCGATTTAAACTCCCTCGACAGCAGCGATCTGGAGTTCATCAACGACGATGACGAGGAGGACTCAGACTGTGATATTCAGCGCAAAATAATGGAGGCGCGACAGCGTCGTTTGTTCCGGTTGCGCAATAAAGATAAGTTGGTGCCGTCGTACAGCGGTCCTTTCGTAGGCATTCCCAATGACGAGCATCCGCTGCGGAACTTTGACGAGATGGAGCGTATCGCACCGTTGACCGCGGTGTACTTCAGTGAGCTGCTGGAGAACGAGCTGAGTGCACTGGCGAGCGGGAACGCCGTCATCCCCGCGGTTGGTGATGAGGACCTCAGCGCCGAAGAACGCGACGCAAGGCTGCAGAGAGCCCTTATGGAGGCGGCACTAAAGAACCGACGTGATATGACGGACCACGAGCTGAAGGCATTGCACGATTTGATAAGCGCGAATGGCCGAATCTCGACTAAAATGATCATCAAGGCTTTGAAAGAACAGCAGCTTTGCGTTGGTGTCGCGAAGGCTGAGATAGGGCGCACGATCAAGCGCTTGTACGAGCGGCGGCATGGTTCGCTTTTGCTGCGTGAAAAACCGTGGTCGCCAACGGACGAGCGTCTTTTCACTCCCGCGCCCGCCGTCAAGAAACCAAAGTCGACGGATAACGGCGGCAGCGGAAAATTAGCGGAGGAGGACGACAAAGATGATGCAGATGACGAAAACGAAGAGGATCACGTGGCGAAGGAGGAAAAGATCGAAGTGATGGAACCGGCTACCGATGCAGCGTCTGGCAATGGTGCCCTGCCTCCCGCGCCACCACAGAATGACGAACGTGTGGTTCACACCGCCGCACTGACAGGCACCGTCGTAGAAGCGAAGGAAGAAAGCGTACCGAAGGTGAAGCAAATGACGCTCACCGAGATGCTGCCGAGGGTCGGCGCTGTAAAGGACACAAAGCGGCCGCGCGAAGACGAGCAGCCGGGGGACCGGAATGGCGGCGTTATCGCATCAATTGATGATTAAACTCCAGCTAAAAGGTCGCGGAGACGCGAGCATAGATCATACCTCGTCGTTGTGGACGTTTGAGGGCAGCCATAGAGGTTTGAGGACTTGAATGTTGTCAGCTTTTCGAACGGTTTATTTCATACTTGTGTCTTTTCCCCCTTGAAACGCATTAAAAAAAGTTCTTTTCTCAGGTTTTGTTTTCCTAATGGAGTGCGTCACGCATTCGTGAAGGAAAGACCTCTAAGTTTCCAGGCTGCTTGCTGGAGTTTTTACTAGAGTATGCCTGTCAGTTCTGCTGACCGACTAATCCGCCTCATGTTAAAAAACAGGAGAAAACTAGCATAACTCTACGCACCGTAACACCCTTAGCGCTCAAAGACAACTATTTTTATTGTTTTCTGAAAGCCTGCGACAGGAAAATTGGAAAAGAGCTGATACTTTCTCGTTGTTATATTTTCTACTTCTCCTCTCTTTCTCCTCCTCTTAGTCGGTTTCTGCTATCGGGATCCGTTTCTTTTTCCCACCATCCCACCCCTTTTTCCTCCCCGCGAGTTGAAAAAGCCTCAAGATGAAAGGAAGGCAAACCTCCCATTCGTAAGTGAAGAGTTGTAAGTTTCTACTGATCTTTGATATATGCTGAGAAAACCTACTGAACATGGAATGAATAAATAAAAACCTTTAAATGGACGCTGAGGTACAAATCCAGCGACACGATCCGCCTAATTAAGGATCTCCTTAACTGTCTCTCTCTTTCTCTTCCCTTCTCCCATCTTGCGCTACATAGTAGAACCGACTAAGAATTTTCTCTTCTGCATTCATATAACCACCTCGCACTACTTTCATATCTCCTTGTTTTTGCCATTTATTCTGCACATGACAGTAGAAACCTGCTGGACACGGTTAAGCCTTTCAAGTCTCTGAGCTCCTCATTTATTGCCTTCCCTTATTAAGCGCGTTGAACGTCGAAGGCAAACGTGAACGTATTTTAAGCACTTTTTCACACTGTCGCATAAGTACTTATTTTACGCGTCTCTCTTCCTTTTGTCCCCGTCAGTGTTATATTATTCAGGAGACGTTGTTAACACACACATACACACACACTAGATTGTTTTTCATGTGAGAATGGGAAACAAAAGCTCCGCTGCTCAAACCACCGAGGCGGTGCCACCGCAATACTTTCTCGTGCCAAATGTCCCGGTGCCGTCACTGAAGCCGTCCGACCTCGATTTTTCCCAAACGTCCGGAAAGCCGATCCTGTGTGCTGGATGGGTCGCGCCGCACGGGAGTTTGTCGTGGTCGAAAAAGAACGTAGTCTACTCCACCGACATCGAAGTCCCTGTGCCGCGGCCGCACGAGGTGCGCGTCAAGATCTACGCTGCTGGGGTGAACCCAGCAGACGCGCAGCGCACAACGGCGTTGGCGCAGTTAAGCCCCACTGCGCAGAAGAATAGAAAGACGACGGCTCATCCCGTCAGTCGCCATTCTGCCGCTCCATTGGAGTTCCCGTACGTGATGGGCATTGAAGGCGCCGGCGTGGTGGAGAGCGTCGGATGGGACGCTGAGTTAGAGGAGCAGAATGGAGGACTGAGCGACATTCGAGTGGGGGATCGCGTTGCTTTCTTAGCAGACTTGAGCAAAGGTAGTGGGGGCTCCTTCTGCCAGTACGCGTTGGTCGACCGTGACATTGTGTGGAAGCTGCCAGAGATCATCGACGCTCCAACCATTTCTCCTTCGGGCGAAGTAGTACCAGGCAGACTCATTGACTTCGTAGAGGCCGCCACGCTTCCCGCCGCGGCCGCAACGGCGTACATCGCGCTCTTCGACAAGCTGCGAGTGGAGCCGCAGCGCACCATCTTCATCAGCGGCGCGTCCGGCGGCGTTGGCTCGGTTGCGGTGCAGCTGGCGCATTACTTTGGGCTCTACGTAATTGCCAGCTGCTCCTCACCCAATGTGCAGTACGTCCAGAGCCTCGGCGCAGATTACGTCATCGACTACACCCGCACGGACGTGGTGAAGGATATTCTCAAATTCACGGAGAACTACGGTGTAGATTACTTGCTGGAGTGCGCAGGCGCTTCCCTGTCCGAGATGCACGCAGAGGCCGTCCGCTTTGGCGGCTCGGTTTGTTTGCTGACCGGCCTGCTTGTTCCACGCAGCGATCTGGTGTTTCGTCGGCAGCTTTCGGTGCACTACGTCTTTCTCGGAATGCTGCACCAGGATGCAATTGCACGTCAGCAGCTGCAGTCGCTGGGCCAGCTCGTCTTGCAGCTGTACGCGCAGGGCGCATTTAGCGTGGTGACGGAGCAGGTTCCGTTTGTGCAAGCGGCGGATGCGTTAGACGTCCGTGCGTCGGGACACGGCCGGGGCAAGGTGGTCCTCGGCAACTTCCACCAGAACGAAGACCTAGAGGAACGGCAGCGGCGACGCCGCGTCTACCTCTACGAAAAGGCTCAAATGCAGCTGCAGAAGGACACTGCAGATTTAACGGATCCCAAGGTGGAGGTGGGGAAGGAGGGATCGAGGTAGGTGCGGACAGTTGCGTTCCGTGTCGTACTGGGACGTCATCCTAAGGTCTTCTGGGTTTGTTTCGTTCTCTCTCATTGCATTCTATCGTCTGCCGACTTCACTTTTACAAATACAACCCAGAAAGCAAATCTGCAGGTCAAGAGGCCGTGAAGCGAAGAGTTCGGCACTTTACGGCTGCACGCCTAAGAAAAAAAATGAAGAAGAAGAATTTCACGCTCGAGTGGCATTTTATGTAGAACAGAAGCAAGTGATTTACCTTCTTTTTTGCTATCTCTTCCGGGTGAATGAAAACGATTCTGTTGTCTACCAACTTGTCCGTCTTCTCTCCTTTCCTCTCTTGTTACGTCTCACGACCGTTCCACCTCCTAAAGTACCAACTATCGAAATCAGCATTCGGACAACGAATCACACTCTGTCTCACGAGCAATGAGCAACGGATCAAACGCACACCCGGTCGCCTTGCAATGCAAGGGGTGGGCCGTGGAAGAGCCGGCGCAGGAGTGGTCGAAGGACGTCATGTCGCTGACGGACGTCACCATGCCTGCGCCTGGACCCACGCAGGTGCGCATCAAGGTGCACGCGGCCGGCATCAATCCCGTGGATTGGAAGCGCACCATGTTTCCAGCATCCGGTGCAGGACCTGGTGTTGCCGGCCACGGACTCAACGGGTACAAGGGCATGCACCACAAGCCCCCGCATTACCCGTACCCCTACATCGTCGGCGTCGACGGCGCCGGCGAGATCGAGAGCGTCGGGGCGAAGGTGACGGGGTTGAAGGTCGGTGACCGCGTCATGTTCCACTCTTCCTTGCTGGACCCCTTTGCCGGGTCGTTGTGCGAGTATGCGGTGCTCGAGGGAGCCGTGGTGTCGCCGATTCCGTCGGATGGGCCGAAGCCGATCTCCTACGTGGAGGCGGCGGCGATCCCGTGTGCAACCTGGACGGTGTACATTGCCCTGTTCGACAAGCTGCGCATCGAGCGCGGCCGGAGCATTTTCATTGATGGCGCCTCCGGCGGCGTGGGCAACTCTGCCGTGCAGCTGGCCCGCAACGCCGGTCTCTACGTGTTTGCGTCGTGCTCCCCGTCGAATGCGGAGTACGTGAAGGGCCTTGGCGCGGATGTAGTGCTGGACTACCATGAGGGCTCGAAGATGGTGGATCAGATCCTGGAGGCGACGGAGGGCCGCGGCGTGGACTACTACTTCGCGATCACCAACACGGACAACGCGGAGGAGTACACCGATGCGCTTCACTTCGGCGGCGCGGTCTGCCTTATTTCCGGTGTCCTGATCCCCTCCAGTGACGTTCTTTTCCGTCGTCAGCTGTCCGTTCATTACGCCTTCTTGAACGGCCTGCATGGCCATCCCATGACGCGGCCGCAGCTCCGCATTATTGGCGATCAGGTATCGGAGCTGTACCAGAAGGGTGCGTTCACACTGCAGGTGGAGGTGCTGCCGTTTGCGGAGGCTGCAACGGCGATGGACCGCTGCGCGACGGGGAAGATTGGGAAGGGCAAGCTGGTCGTCCAGGTAGCGTCGCCATAACTACACTAAACCCCTCCATTGAGCCCAACCGTCTGCTGAAAAAGAAGGCAACAAATCGTTTCCTCTCTCTATATATACTCGGAAGCGTAAATGTGCGACGAGCGATTGTACGAGCCACCGAAGACGAGCTTGAGACGTTTCCCACCACCATTATTATCACCATTGTTCCTTACACGATAACACCCACCGCTTTCTTGAGCCTCTTCGTGCATCAAAGCTCAACACCAGCCAAAGTAGTATTCTGTTTTCTCTCTTCCTTTTGTTTCTCTGTGGTTTTTGGAGCAGCTGGGCCTGTTTATGCGAGTGCTTTCTCCTCTCTCTACTACCGTTATTATGACTATCCTTTTTTTTTGTTTTCTGATTTCGCTGTGCCGCCCCAGCGTTTTTCTTGGCGGCCGCCAATGATCAATTGAGAACAGCATCGACAATGATGAGACCTCCATCACAGCAAAGGAAAGAAAAGAAAGGAAGTGAGCTTCACGGGAAGCATCTCCTTTCATTGTCAGACAGTTCTGTATATTAGTCGCGCGTCTTGCTTTGGAGACTTAGTACCCGGCTTGAAATGCCCAGCATCAGAGTTCGGTGGTCTTTAATCTTTCAACCCCTTTTTCGGTTTTCAGCTTCCACTTGATTGAATCTTCTCTCTCCTCTCTCTCTCCAGCATAGTTGTGTTGATGGCAAAGAGGAGCTCAGTTATTATGCGTTTGAACTGCGAATTCCGTCTTCTCCTGGATTAAAAGAAAACTCTTCTTTCACGTTGTAGCACGCATTCGCGATGTTTGCGGCCATCACCGTGGGCAAGACGATAGGGGTGCGACGTGCACAGCGCCTCGCCGTCGCGCGTTGTGCCGCCTCATCGATCACATCTACCCTTTCGTTAGCAAGGTCACCCTCTGTTCGCACTGGGTACCTCTCAGCATTGTGTGTCGCGACTCGCCGTTACACCAATGTGCTGTACCGCCTTCCGCCCACCCAAACAATCCCGACGCACTCCCCATCTGGGGAAGAGGTGGACACGGAGCTTTTTGTCCGGCAGGTGAAGAACTTCTTTGACGTCTTGCGGCAGACGCAGCTCATTGAGATGGTGTACGAGATGAAGAGCTGCCCCTACTACGAGTGTCTCTTCACCAACGACATCTTCTTCCAACACTTCGAAATGCTTCTTCTCATGCCCAAGTTCGGCCGTGAGAATCGGTCAGCGGAGATGAGTGAGACGATCCGGTACATGCGTGGGTGGGGCGCGACGGCGGACGTGAACCACGTTCTACAGGACACCAAAGGTGGCCGAGCAAGCGGCAGCGACTTCATCTCGACGACGCACGGTATTCTGATGGGTTACGGTACCCCACGCACGAACAAGCTCGCGATGATGACGCTGACGGGTGAGACCGCGGAGTCGGATGCGCGCAAAGAAAACATCCGTGCCTTGTCCGTGGAGCCGGTGGAGCTCCTTCCGGACAGCCCTCCGCTTTCTGACTTGCTGGCGTTCAGCGGGCAGCGCACCTTCGTATTTGCCGACTCCGATTACGGCCACCACGCGGTAAACCAAGCGGTGCAGCGGCTGCCCAAGGTGCTGTGGCAAACGATAAAGCTGGAGCCGCAGTGCTCCTTCTTTTCGCACATGGCCGGTGCGAACTACGTCTACGACGTGTTGTGTGATCAAGACTTCCCTGTGTCGCTGGAGCGACTGGGTGAATCGGGTCTCAACCCCTTTCCGGTAGAGTGGTCGGAGCCGCGCAAGTTGGGCATCACGATGCGCAGCATCTGCATGACGGCCCGCTTTGTGCGCGGCACGATGAACGGCGGTGGCTTCGCCAACAGCAGCACCCATCAAGCCGCCAGTTTCACCTACAACAGCCGCAACGTTTCGAAGAACTCGCGCCTGTTTGCGGGGGGCCACCGGAAGCACGGCGATCAGTTGTCACCGCTGGCCGCGCAGTTAGAGGCGGGAGAAATTCAGAAGCCGGTGTACCAACCTGTACCGCGGTACGCAGCGCCCTTGCACTGTCGCGGTTCGGTGGTGCCGGCGAATGAGAGTTTTAGACGGCAGTAAGAAGAGGCAAGTTGAAAGAATGCGTTGCGTTGGTGGGGAATTCCTTATCGTTTCTTCTGTTTTCTTCTAAGTACCTCTTTTCATGTTTACAGATCTTTCGTGTCGAACTGAGTACACTTTAGGAACTCCAAAAGGTAAGTGCAAGTGGTGCATCGGGAAAGGCAGCTTGTTTTTCTCTTTCAAAGAAGTAGCCGACATGATCTGTGTTTCAACTTACTGTTTCTCGAGAGCGAATACGCCCTCTCGTATTTCTAGTTCTGTCGCTTCTTAGCGCTTCGAAACGCGCCTGTGCTTTCAACGTTTTCTCTTTCTTCACTCCCGTTTTGACCATTTTTCTTTCTTTAACCATCTTCACATAGACGTAACTCCGTTGTTTGTTTCCCTTACTAAATTTGTCTCTATTCCGCTTTGGCTTTCACCAATACACATATATATTTCCTCCAGACACTACCAGACTAAATCAGAGCTACAGCGCTGCATAAACGCTCTGCTTGTTTCTGCTACTCATCTTCGTTTTTAAAGTCTCCCTCCCCTCTCATTATATATAAGCGTTTCTCTTCTTTTTTTTTTGATCCTTTCCAGATTACCGTTTTCTCAGAGCGAAGATGCGTGCAGTCGACCGCTGCTTCATTGTTATCAGCGTGCTCGCCGTGCTAAGCTGCCTGTCCACCTTCACCGAGGCAAAGCTACGGCTTCCGTACACGACACCAGTCATACAAACAAGCCACCCCGCCGTCGTGGATCCCGAGACCGGAAAGGTAGCTGCCGTGCTCCCTGTCACCTTCACCGTGACCGTCGCCGACAGCTTTTCCTATCCGGTTGAATTGGTGGATGGGATTCACCTGAAGGGTGCCTCCATTGTCCAGACTCACGTCTTCACAGGGGCGAGCATCAAGCTTGTGTTCGACGTGCCGAACCCCGGTCTGGATTTCGTGATGAACGTGACGTCGGACGAGTATCCGGTGGTTCAAGATCAATACGGCAGTCTGTGGAAAGCGGTAGAACCGTTGAGGCTCGAGGTAATCAAGCAAGACACCAAATTCATCTACGACGTCGGAAGCGTTGGAATGACGAGCTACCAGTCGCAGTCGGAGTCCGTGGATACACCGCCTGGCGGCCCGCGGTACGACTACGAATGCTACCGCACGAAAGCGTGCTGTGGTCTCAACTCCACGCACTATCGAAAGTACGCACTGGTGGACAGCCCTGTGCCACCGTATGCGTGCACGGACGGGGCAATTACCTACGTATCGTCTAACTTTTTGTTTCAACTGCGAGGTGTTCTGTTGGGTGGAGATCTGTCAGAAAGCACAACCTGTAAGGTAACGGCGAACGAACCCAAAGGTGTCTCAGTAACGTGCTCAAAAAGTGCATTAGCTACGTTTGATGGTATTACTGTATCCCCGTCGTACTTTAAGCCGTCGTTTGGTTTTGCGCTTTGCCGACAAGGCTCGTCTCTCACGGATCGGTCATACGAGGCATCGCCAGTACCAGTAACAAGCAATGCTTTTTGTTCCACTAGTTGGTGCATTGGGTATACCCCCAAGAATTACATGAATGATCGCGTTAAGTGCCTCGAGTACCCATTGGGCTATTATTCCTCATTGGACGGAAACAACTCCAATCAGTTCAGCTTCTATGAAAGAAAAGCTGAGTCTCAATGGGAGGTTGCTTTTTCTGAACTCGAATGGATCGATGATGTCGGGATGTCTTCCTCCGCCACGATTCAGAACATCAGCTTCCAAGGTGACGTCCCTGCATCCACCGGTTGGACCCTCACGTACGCAGACTTCCCCTTGCCGCTCACCAACACGTTGCAGCCGCTCTTCCCGATCGGACGTCCCACCCGCGTTACAGCGCGCTTTAACGATGCAACGTCTCCCACAGCCGTCGTTGTCACTGTTGAGTACGTTTCCTTCTCGAACTTCACAGGAGCCAACTGGACTATACAGACGTGCGTGGGTACTTTCTGCGGCTCTTCCCAGTATCCCGCCGCAGCGGACACGAACCGCTATCCAACACTCATCAACGCGACGGTGCACCTCTCATCGCTTGACCGCACTCCGCAACTGCTGCCCTCTGAAGTCGTCGTGACGGTCACCTGCGAAACGACCCCGACCACTAACCCTTTTCACACGCTTCTCAGATCGTCCACTGTCACTGTGGACGCCGCCATCGAACCGCCAGCGACGCAAACAGTGAAGGCGAGTCTCGCGCGTGAACCGCAGCAGAAGGTGCCGTCGCCCTACGCCGCGTCCCTCGGTGCGAGCTCCACCGTTCGTATCATCTGCCAGGGCGACTACCGATTCTCCACCGCGGCAGGGACGTGTGTGCCACTCACCGATCGAGAGTGCGCCGTCAAGTATCGTGGCCGCCGCATCGTCTTCAACACCACCACGAACGCGTGCTTCTGTCGCGCACCGAGGCTGACGAGTCCGCTGATTACCGCCCCCTGCCCGATCCGCTGCCTCCACCGAAGTTCACAGAAGAGAGCATCCGCGAGCTGATGAAGTCCCTGAAGGTGCCCAAGTTCATGCAATCGATGGAGAGCGCCATCGCAAATCATGACATCAAAGTCGAAAGCCAGGAAGGCCTGCCGCAGAACGATCGGCGCGTGTCGCGTGCAACGGCAGCGGCGAAGGCGAGTAACAGAGCTGCACAGACTGCCGCCGCTGGCACCACTACCACCACATCAACCGGCAACTCGGACTCCTCCTTGCCAGCGGAGCATCCTGGGTTTTACGAGCTGTCCGTCGCCTTCCTTGTCGTTACCGGTGGGACATGGGTGTTCATCCTCTTTCGCGATGTCTTTTACAAACTCGGTGGTGTCGGCCCATGGTCGAAGAAATACGGTGAGATGATGGAGCGAGCGGCCCGCCCGTCCCCTCCAACGTCCGTCTCACCTGTCGCCCAGACGCCCCCCCCGCAACCGCTGGCTGCGCCACTACCACGCGTCGTTGCACCACCGAATCCAATTAAAGACAGCGGCGTGGAGGCCAGAAACTCTGCACGGAGGAGGGCGTAGAAAGAGAAGTGACAAAAAAAAGAATAGAGAACAGAAACATAAAGAATTGGCTGAGGAAAGAGTTTCTTACCGGAATTGCGTCGCGGTATGCGCTTGCGTGGTAAATACAAACGGAGCCGCGTGTAGGTGGCAAGTCGACACTGACGCGTAAAACCGGAGTGAAGTCAGGGAAAGAGATGGAAAAATGCGGTACACGCACATCTGTGGCACGTGACCTGAAGTAGCATCGTCCTCGTCGCAGCGGCACATCACTTGTCTCACCCCACTTTTCTCAGTCGACGCTTTCCACACCGTGTGGGTGCGCATCCGCTGATGTCTGCGCATCGCTCTTGGTCTCGTCGGCATTCGAGGAGAGCACCTCCACCCTTGACGACTGACGCACCGGCGACCGCGCCGGGTACTGCTCCGAACCGAACGGAGAGGGTTGACCACTTCGCATCGAATGGGCGGTGGCGGATCGGGGGGAGTCGTACGGGTCGGGCATGAAGGAGACGGCAGCGTACGGCGGGGACTTGGCAAAGAAATCCTCCGCAAACCCACGCGATCCCCAGCTGGCGCCTTCGGTGGGCGGGGAGCGTGGAGGTGTGGCGAGGAAGCTGTACCACCGCTGCCCCTCTGGGTCCTCCGCAACAGCAGGAGGGGCGGGCATGTACTCGTAGGTATCGTACAAGTTTCGGTCATCCCCACGACCGCTGCGACCGGTGAACTCACCTCGCGGAGAGAGATTGTCGTGTGCGTAACCGCCGTCGGGGTACCCGAAAGGCGTGTGGTGCTCCGCAGCAAAGTTTTGGGCATCGAAGTGACGCGGACGCGGCGGAGCGGAGGCTGCGGCAGGGACACCGTCCCACGTTGGCGCGGCATGTCGAGGTCGGCGTGGTGACCGACCGTCGTGCGATGCTAGGCGATGTGGCTTCGTGGAATTCTTTCTGCCGGAGCGGTGACGCTTCTCTGCGGCAGATGGTGGACTTTGTTGGTGAGAAGATGAGGTGAAAGGCTGCGGAGCGGCATCTGGCCTTGCCGAAGACGGAGGAGGAGCCGGTGTGGCTGCTGCTGGAGCTGGGTGCTGAGTTTTGGACGTGTCTTTCTTCTGCTCTTTGCGAAGAAGAGAGAGGGTTGGATAGTAAGAAGCTCACGCGTCGAACCATGTTCCCAATGCGTTCGAAATAAGCGGATGCCCAAAGAAGCGCGGGGGATCTTTGAAGCATATCTTCGCCTCTCTACGACGCCAATTTCAAATACTGAGAATAATAAATGAGTCGTTCTCGGCTACTCAAGGAGTGCACATACATAACCGGTAAGCGATACGCTCACGCAATTGTGTTGTTTCGCTTGTGTATGGTGTGTTTGGAGGGGGGCTTTGGGTTCTCTGCCAAGTCATCGATCGACACCGCACACAACCCACCGCCTTTTCATCGCCGCCTGCAGGACGTCAGAATACTGAAACCTGAGGGAAACAACAAGAAGATCTTAAGGCGACGAGAGGCTGAGTTAGGCAATGAGAAATTCGACTGCTTGACACCAAAGAAACCCGCAACTTTTTTTTTAAGAACAAGAGGAAAGAGGGGGGGGGAGGAGAGGGATTCACAAAAAAGATATTGAAGTAGAAGTAGAAAGCCTCGCATCTCACCCCCTTCCGTCAGAAGAGATGCTCGTCGGGGAGCGGAGAGAAGAGTCGTTGTCGAGGACGGATACAAAAGGGAAAAGCGAATACAAAAATTTCTATCTCTCTCTCTGTTCCGGTGCGCCAACTGCGCTCCTCCGGTCAGCACGCCAGTGAAACGGCGGCATCTTTCTCGTACATTATTGGTGATAAAGGCCTCGTCACTTCATACATCACAAATTGTTTGATAATGCAAGACGCTACGGGTGCGTCCTCCAGTCCATTTCACGCCGCCAAATTGATGGAGGAGCTTCTGCGAGAGAACACGTCCCTGCGAGCCCGCCTGCACCTCTCCGATGAGCAGCGGGTGACGCAGGAGGTGCTGCGGGAGCAGCTGCAGCAATTTTTGCAGCGTGTGGCGGAGGATGAAGCGCGAGCGAGTCAGGTGGTGCGGAACGGCTCCGCGCAGCGTGATGAGGGAAGTCCAACGGAGGACGGCTCTCCTTCCTCTCCTCTGCCGGATGAAGGAGCGGAAGCGTTCGCCGGGTCGTCGCCGTCGTTGACGCAGACGGTATCGGTCGTTCTTCGACAAATGCAGCAGGGAAAGCAGCAGGCGGAGGAGGCTTTAGAGAAGCTGCAGAGCCAGACCGTCGCTCCCTTGCACGCGCAGCTGGAAGCGGCAGAGAGTGAAAGGAAGCAGTTGATGGCGCGTATTACCGATTTAGAAATGTCAATGGCCAACACCCCCCCTCCACCGCTCGTGGCAGAGCTGAAGCAGCTCCGCGAGTCAGAGGCTCTCCTTCGGCGACAGCTCCAAGAAACGCAGGAGGCCGCCGCGGGGACGGTCGGAACATTCCGCAAGTCCATTGAGGACAGTCTGCGCGCTGCTCGTCAAGTTCCTGAGCTACTTGGCAAGATGGAGGCGCTCAAGGAGGAGCTGCGCATTAGTCACAACGTACAAGCAGCGCAGCGCGTGCTGATGGACGAGCTCGAGCGCCGTCACGGCGTGGAGCGCGAGATTGAAGACGCTTTTCGCAAGGACGAAACGAACATGCTGATGGAGCGCATTGGTCACTTAAGGGCAGAGGTGGGCGTTGCCGTGGCACGCGAGGCAGCAGTGGTGTCGGAGCGGGATGCGAAGGACGAGCAGCTTATTGCAGCACAGAACGAAATAAAGAATCTCATACAGCTGCACAGTGAGGAGCAGCAGGCACTCGCGCAGAAGCGTCAGCGCGCCGAGCAGGACGCCAGCAGCAACCCGTCTTCCATCCGTGGCGAAATGACGAAGTTCTGGTACGAGGGCCGCGATCGTATTCGCGAGTTGGAGCGCCAGGTGCGCACACTGCAGCTCACACAGGCCGACTTGCGTGTGTCGCAGGGTCGTGTGGCACAGCTGGAGCAACGGAAGGCCGTGCTGACCGACAACCTAGCCGCCCTCGCTTCAGAGGTGGACCGCCGCCGTGACGAGGAGCGCGAGCTTCGCGCGCACTGCGCCGGCGTGGAGGCGGAGCGCGATCGCCTGCTCACGAGTGTCGCCCTGACCATCGCACCGGTGATGTCGGAACAGGAGCTTCGTGCGTGCTGTGCGACGATCCGCGAAGCAGCGACGCGTGTGGCGGCCACCAGCGCCACCGTCGTCGCCGATCCACACGCGATTGAGGAAGCGCTCCGGCGCTCGCAGAAGCTGAAGAGCGAGGTGGCACAGCTGCAGCGGCAAAAGGACCAGCTGCAGCGCTTCCTGCAACTCCGCGAGGACCGCGTGCGGGCACTCATGGAGCAGGAAGCCCTCATCCTGTACGAGCAGCAGCAGCGACTCTCCTCGGCCCCCAACTCCCCACTGTTGCAAAGCAAAGCAAGCGAGCCGTCTTCGGGTGTTAGTGCTGCTGCTGCGATGGCGTCTTTTTCGCTGCCACAGTTTTTGGAGTATCTTCGCCAAGGAGCCAACGATGTCTTCTTACTGAACGAGGTCGCCGCGGCGCGAGGAGTGGCGAATGCGGGGTTGAAGAAGGGCGCCGTGAAGAGCAGCAGCGGAGGTGCCGAGGCTGCCAGTGGGGGTGACAATTCTGTTGCACCGCATCGCAACTCCTTTGTGGCGCTGCAGCAGCAATTTCAACAGAGCCAAGAACGCTTGTTAGCGTCGCATCGGGAGCTGCTCGAGACCCGGAATGAGAACCGACGTCTTCAATCGGAGGTGGAGAGAAGCCAGCAGGAGCACGCGGCGGCACTCACTTCCCAAGAGGAGGCCAGACGTGCAGTAGAGGCTGCCAACGCCGCCCTGACATACCGCACGAAAACGCTAGACAACGAACTGCAGGCGATGCACAAGCACTACACCGCAGCGGTGGAGATGGTGCGCACCACCTTGGAAGGTCTGTGCACCACGTTGCAGCTCTACCACCAGTCCGAGCAGCACACGGAGACGCTGCGGGAGATGGTGCAGGCGGAGCGCCGTGACATGGGCGATCTCTTGCGGCGTGAGGCGGCGTCGTGGGGCGCTGCGCACGGCGGCGAAGGCGACGCACAGGAGGCGGAACACTCCGCCGCCGCCGACAAAATCACTGCTGCCTTGCGCCAGATGCAGACGTACATGACAGAGGCGATACATCAAACCACACTGCAGGCGAGCCGGGATCAGACCAGCTACATTGGCCAGCTCGTCCAGGCGATCCAGGAGCAAGAGGAGCGGGTGAAGACGGCGAAGGCCGCCTTCGAGGCATCCGCGCAAGCGCAGGCGAGCAGCCTGGTGGAGCGCATCAGTGCGGCGCAGCAGCAGTGGGAGTCGACGTGGAAGGCGAAGTACCAGGCGATGGAGGCAGAGCGGACGCAGAGTGTCATGCAACAGCACGCCAGTGTCGTGTTGCAGCGGGCACTGGAGCAGGCCGTCGTCGCACCTGCGCACGGTGGCGGCGGTAACACGGCTTCCCCTGCCGACGATGCCCCTGTCCTTCCGGCCGAAGTGGAGGAGTCGGCGGCGCACATGTCGGGCACGCTGCAGGCGATCCGCAGCTTCATTACGCATGCCCGTCAGCGTCAGGAGCAGCAGCAGCGAGAGGAGCTTCAGCGCCTCCAGCAGCAGCAGCGACAGCAGCAAGAACACGCCGCTGTCGCTGCTGCTGCTGCGACTGCTGCGATGCCACCGCCGCCGCCGCTCTCGTCGGTGTCCGTTGCCGCACCCACCTCCGCCGCTTCCACAACCTCCCCTCTCACCCCAGCCTCTCCCGCGCCGTCGCTTGTCCCTGGCGTCTCGGCCACTCAACTCCCTCCAGCGTCCGCGTCTGTGGCACCTGCACCTGTTGCCGCGATATCACAGCCGAACGGGGCCTCCGCAGCTTCGCACGCTTCTGCTGGACCTGAGGCTGTGAATGAAGAGGAAGAGGGGGAGGTAAAGCCAGCGACGGTGCCGATCGAAGCTGAGCACGGTGTGAGCGAAGCCGCCCCGGTAGATGAGGAGCAGCTGCGCGAGGAAGAACAGCGGTCTCCTTTGACGCCAGCGTTCACGTCCATCGTCGCCGAAGCTACGACGGAGCCGGAGGCGGTGACCACCGCCGCTGCGCACATCGATGCGTCGGCCAATGAAGAAGATGCGCCAACGCCCACGTCGTCACCGCAGTAGTTACCGATGTGCGTGTGTCTGTGCGCTTCTCACCCTTTGGGCTTCTTCCTGCCATGTCCTCTGTGTGGACTGTGGAAGGTGATAATCGAATAGGAAGGGCGGCTTCCGCTCTTCCTTCAGCCTGTCACGGCTCTTTTTAAATTTACTATTTTCGGCCGATAAGTGTTGTTGCGTTTCCCGTTGGCGGAGTTGTTGGTCGTTGTGCAGTAGCAAAGTAGGTCTCTTTCGACGTCGACAGAGTAAAAGGCCAAATCAGCCACAGTGACTATAATAGCCGGAGAGAAGCTTTCGTACTCCTCGTCACAACGGTCCTTCAAGGTATGATCTGATTTCTTCACTTCAGTGTCTGTCTGTGGGGAGGTAACCGCGCTGGGTGACATACGAAGCGAAGTCATCGACGGCCTCGCCTGCCAAACAGTTGATAAAGTATCGTGCCTTGACCTTTATCCAGTCTGTCTTTCGAAACACGGAGAAGAGCTTTTCCTTTGTGTCAGCGCGGTGTTTTCATTTTTAACAAATTCCTCCCCTGCGATTGCGTTCCTTCATCTTTCCGCGTCTTCTTTCTCACCCTTCAAGTCAGACGCACACACGCGCACACACACACGTTCTTTCCGTTCTTGCCGTTGTGTTCGTTGCATATGTATGTGGAAAGAGGTAAATTCCTTTCGCAGGCAAACGTCCCATGTAAAGAGAGAGCGTGCGAGCGCAAACAACAAAGCGCACGCTCCAATAACCCCCCTTTTTTTGAATAGGATTTCTTGCTCTCCGTATTCCTCCGTGTTCGTCTTCCTTTCCTGTTGTATGTTCTCTCCTTCGTTGTTCTTTCGCACACAGGCTTCGTTCTTCCATCTACCTCACAGCTCTTCTTCGACCGTCCTCGACAACGTCGCGTTGGCACTCATGGCGGGATGCTCCGCGTAGTCCTTCAACGTTTTGCGGTTCAGCGCGGCATCGCAAAGCAGCTGGAGGCGCTCCCACTCGATGAGCTGCTCCGACGTATGCAGTCCAGCTCGCTGACGAATCCGGCTCGTTCGCTTGAGTCCCACTTTGTGTTGGCGGAGCAAAGCGTCGACGCGCAGTCCTCCTCGCCTGCCTCTCCAACCGACTTCAAAAGCTCCTCCTTAGGGACTGTGTTACGCAATGCGCTGAGTGAGCGATTACTGGCCGAGGTACGACACGACATCCACACCCCACATCTCTGTCTCGATTCGGGTAGTTTGATGCTGGCCAACTGCCTGCGTCATCGGCTCTCCCCTCTGGCCACCCAGCAGATCTTTGCGCTTTGGCTGAAGTTTATGCAGCAGGGCACCGGGTCGAGACACGCTCCTTCCTCGCCCGGTCTGGGATCGTTCTCCATGCTTGGCCTGGGCAGAGATAGTAGCAGTAGCGGTGGCGGTGCCCAGGAGTACCAGGCCATGCAGTTTCAGAGCCTCGTACGTGTCCTGGAAGCGTGCTTGGATGCACAGGAGCAGCGGCGTGTACCGTCAGAGCACAGCGGAGAAGGACGAGCAAACAAACGCGCAGTCCCAGCAGCAAGTCCACCAAACCAAGGAAACGCGTGGCCAAGTCCAGTGTGCTTTGCGCTCGACGACTGGGCAGAGCTGGTCGATACGGTGGAACAGTATCTGCCGCTATTTGCCGACCACGGCGCCTCCACCACTAGCTTACTGGTGCAGTTTACGGCTCTCGCCTTGGAGCTCACAGGGAGCGCCTCGAGCACGCCAGCTGTAGCGGGACCGGACAGTCGCTTTGCGAACAGTCTGCGGCGCCTCAGTCACCTTCAGATGGACCGCACACTCCTGCAGAGCCGCGTGTTTGGTCTGTGCGAGGAAGCTGTGAAGGCCCTGTGCGCTCTGGAGAGCGCCGAGGACGCGGAGGATGAGGTGCGGTCCTCTGGTCAGAGGAGTGGCCCGTGGTGGCATCGGCCGCAGGAGCTGGTGCGGCTCTCGCAAGCACGACGTCGAATTGAAGCGTACGAATTCAAACAGCTGCGCAGAGGCGACAAGCCCAGCCCATCACATACAAACGACGACGCGCGTAGCTCCTATTTCATGGAGGGCGACACTGCGCACCACTCGGCTTCTACCGGCGCTACATCGCGACCAAGCGTTGACAAGACGCGCGTGTCATCTGGTGGTGCGGTGCGAGGAGCACGTGTGGGCACGCACGGCCACTCCACCACGTCTTCCTCCTCCTTCGTAGCACCATCACTTTCCACGTCTGGCACTGGCGTGCGTTGGCTCCCACGCCTGTCCACCTCGTGGTGGGTCTCTTCATCATCCCCAGCTTCTGCCTTCACAAGCGGTGGCGGTGCTGCCTCCGCTGGCCACGTAGCGGCGTTGCGGAGTGGAATCCCTGTGCTACGCGTCGGGAGGCAACTGGGCGGCTACGTCACGTATCACGCACTCCAGCAAACAACCACTGCAGGCTGCCCAGACGCACCTCACGCGAACGCACGACCTGGCTGCGATGCACCAAGCTTCGGCTTTCACAACAGCGTTGCAACGCCACATCCCCCAGCACTGCTCGCGGTTCCCCTGCAGCACGTCCTCGAGATCTTCGCAACGGTCTGCGCGACTGCGTCGTGCACGGGTGCTGTGTCGCACGTGACGACTTTCGCGTGGTGGGTGCGCGACGTCATTCAGCATCAGCACGGACGCCGCAGTCTGCACGACGCCGACGAAGTGGCGAGTTTGCTGGGCATCGCCGAACTCTGCCTCGCCTACCCCGACGGTACGCAAACGGTGTTGGCCGAAGTTATGAGGTGCCTGCAGCGCTCTGCACTGTTTCTATGGCAGGCCGGTGACGCGGCAGCTGCGCCGCACGTTGTTGCGCGGAGTCCACCAACGCCACACGCTTCTGTGCTGTGGCCCCGTGCGTGTGAGGCTGTGGCGAGCACGCTGCCACTCACCACCGTACGGTCCGAGGCCGATCGCACGCTGCGCACCTTCGTGAGCACTGCACAGCAGGCCCTGTCGACGCTACAGGCGAACCCCACGAGTGTAGAAAGCACACAAGAAGGCGCACAGCTCCTCTTGCGTCACAGGCGGTACGGTGTGCTCATCCTTGCGTGTTTGTTGCTGCAGCGATCAAACGGGTACGTGTCGCAGTCGTTCTCTGCGCGCATCCGCGAACTCGCGCTGGCGCTGCCTTTCATCCACGCTACGGGCGGTCCCAACGAACTGGCCTCGGCGGTGCGTGCGCTTTACGTGATCACGCATCCTGGCATGCCGTCTCCACAACAGGGCCGAGGTGAAGCAGCCCAACAAAAGGAGGACATCGCCTTCTACGTGTTGAACCAAGTCACGGCTCTTCTCACACCTTCCGCGGAGGCGGGGGTCGACAAGTTGGAAAGCAGCACAGATGCGGGTCTGTCGCGTAGCCTTGCGTCGCTGACCATTACGGAGCGTCAGCTGCTGCGTTCCGCACTACGTCAGGTACGCGCGAGTCGCACGAAGGCAGTGCTTGCATCTACAACGACGGAGGGCCCACTCACCGAAGCACCGCGTCTACGCGAACACGGCAGCGCTGATGCATCTAGCGCGGACGGCTCCAAAGGCAGTCCTGACCACACCGTTTCCTTCAACCGCGGTACAGCCGCAATGAGCAACGCCTCTCCTTCCAAAAGGCCATCGGAGCAGGCTTTGCGGGAATCTGTCGGTAGCGCAGCCCTCGTGTCAGCGGACCGTGTACGCACCACCACAACGCGCCCCTCCCGTGCGACACCACCGGTGGACTACGACGCGCACGTCCTCCAACGTGAGATCGAGGCTGTGTCACGTCACTTTGGTGAGCACCGATCAACGCTGAAGTCCACAAGTTAGTGCTGTCCGCAGTCGGCGCTGAGAAGACCATCTTATTTCATCTTGTCGCATATGCGCCGTCATCTACTCGTTTTTGGTTATGCAACGCAACGCACCGGCTACCTCGTTAAAACAGCGTCCGAATCAATAGTGAACCGAAGCATATATATATATATATATATATATATGGTAGGCACACAGCAAAAATTGTCATTGTTTGGCGTGCGTCGCGTTACCTCTGTGTGCCGACCGGTGCTTCTTCCAACGTCTGCACACATCGGTAAACGAATTTACCCCCCCCCCCCACACCGAATCCACCGCGGTTGCTTTTCCGAGGTGCCTCTTGAGCGGCTTTACTGGTCCTCTCCTCGGTATCCGATGCAGTGCTGTGCGAGACTTCTCGAAACTTCTGCTCTGCGGGTCTCTCCCTTCAATTCTTGTCCTGTTACTGTCACTCCTCTCTTCGTTAGTGTGCGTGTGCCTGAACACTGCATCTGACTCTCATAGAAAGCCCGCTCGAAACCTTTTGTACGTATTTCAAACGTGTGACGCGTTCGTTTCAGCCTCCTTCAACCCGCGTTGCCTTCCTACAGTTCCATTTCTTTCACCAGTAAAATGCCCGGCCGCGACCGCAAGATTGTCGTGAACGGTGTAGGCTGTTCGTGTGCGGACTACCTGTTCACCGGGTTTGACTTCAACTCGGAGCGCTTTCAGAAGTACGTATCGAAGAAGCCCGGTGACGGCGGCATCAGCATCGGTCATCTGATCTTCCGCAGGGATCTGGAGGCGTTCGCTGGGAAGTCAATGGACGAGATCCGGAAGGACCAGGGGTGGCTGCGCGAGAACGACCACTTCAGCGTTGGCGGGCCGTGCATTGTCGGACTAATCAACGCCGCGCAGCTGCTGAAGGGCGGGCTGATCGACAACCCCGACCAGTGCGAGTTCAACTTCTACGGTGCCATGGGCCAGGACGTGACCGGTGATCGCATGCTGAAGGTGATCAACCAGTGCCCCGTCAACCTCGACCACTACCTCCGCATGCCGAACCACCCGTCTGCCGCGACACTCGTGCTGTCCGATCAGAATTACAAGAACGGCAGCGGCGAGCGCTCTTTTGTCTACCACGGCGGTGCGCTGGACGCGTACACGCCCGAGATGCTGGGCGAGGACTTCTTCAAGGCCGATGTGACGTTCTTCAGCGGGACGGCGTCGGTGCCGCAGATCCACGCGAACATCACGACGCTGCTGCGTCGCGCGAAGGCGTACGGCAGCGTGACGGTGGTGGGGACCGTGTTCGACTTTTTGAATGAAAAGCGCAACCCGCACAAGCGGTGGCCGCTGGGCGAGTCGGATGAATCATACCGGCTGATCGACCTCCTCGCGGTGGACTTCGTGGAAGCGCAGCGGATGAGCGGGGAGGCGAACATCGAGAAGGCAATCGCCTTCTTAATGAGGAGCGGGGTCCACTCCTTATTTGTCACCAACGGCGACGAAGCCGGCTACGTGTTTTCCGACGGCAAGCTCTTCACGAAGCAGGCGTTGTCGCGGTTTAAGATATGCCAGAAGGCAGTGGAGCACCTGAAGGCAAACCCGCATCTGCGCGGCGACACGACGGGGTGCGGTGACAACTTCGCTGGCGGTCTGCTCGCGTCTATTGTTAAGCAGCTGAATAGCGGCCGCAAGCCCGGCGAGTTGAGCCTTGCCGACGCGCTTGGGTGGGCGAACGGGAGCGGAAGCTTCTGCTGCTACAGTGTTGGTGGGACCTACCTCGAGAAGCAGCCCGGTGAGAAGCTGCGCGGTGTGCGACGCATTCACGACCTTTACGTGGAGCAGCTTGTGGCGGAGGGTGCGGTGCATGTGGCGAAGATGTAGACTGGCGTTGATGCCTTCGACCAGCACAAACGACCCGCCGACCTGCACTTCTGTAGACGCGGCCCTCATTCAATTCTTGTTGGCTCGCTCTCCTCTCTGCATCGTGGTGTTGGAAGCAAGGCACCTATGCGGCTTCTGACGTTTCAGCGTTTTCCCTTTTCCCTTTTTCTTTAAATCTTCAAAACGATATTTGATTCCACTTTCTTTTTCACTTACTTTTTCTCAAAAGATGCCTCCTTTCGCTTTTTCCTCTTCTCTTGTTTCCTTTTATCGCTGCCTTTCAGTGTGTGGTTTTGGAGGTGGGGCGAGTCCCATCACCGCACTCACTCCTTTCCCCTCCTTCCGTGGTACGGGGGTTGACTTGGACGTGTTGTCAGCAGTCGCTACACGTGCTGCCTCTTCTGTTTGTTTTTTTCCCCTCGGGTTTCGTCGTCCGTCATCTCCTGCGAAGGCTTTGCACGTGTGTCGAAGGAGGACGTGGCGCGTGGTGCATTTGTGGTTCAGCTACACGGTGTTGTGTTGTGGTAGGCGCACCGCATGGCGCGCGGTGTGGCTGTGGGGCACGCCCAGCGACCCCTCGTACTTTTTTTTTGTTATCAAAAGATTAATTCTCTTTTCTTTTACCTTGACCTTTTCTCTCTTTCTCTCTCTTCGCTGTTCAATGATTCAGGCCCGAGCAGTCATGAAGGAGAGTAAATGGAAGAGACCTTCACCAAAAGGATTATTTTTCTGAACAACGCTTTAGACACTCTTGTGTTCTCATCATATGCTTTGCAAAACGGATGAGTCGTGTTAGCTTCCTCTTGTGTTTGCGGTGAAAACAAAGAACGAAAGAAAACAGCTGAGCTGCGTAAGCAACCATCTCTTGTGTTGCATCTCCGCTTTACTGTTGGCTTGCCGTGCCTCGGTCAGTCCACTCAAAACGCGAGACGTACGAGCAGTCGTCACTGAGGAAAAGGAATAGAGAGAGAGGTCGTCTCTTTCCTTTGCGTGCCTCGGCGCACCCGAGAGGGCGGATGCTTTGCCTTCCTTTGTTTGCACCGGGTGTCATGTGTGCCGGCGCGTTTGTCTGTGTGTCGTCTGCTTCGATGGTTTCTCTTCTTTCCCTCCGCTCTTCTCTCTCTGTTGGGCTGGGCGTTGCGTGGCGGCGCCCGGTCCTTTC